AGAGTTAATGACTGGAGCCAGAGATTGGGCCAGCATGTGCAGTTGCTGCTTTCCTTTTTATTTAATTTTATACTTTTAAGATTTTTAGTGTTTTGGGGTTTTGTTTATTTTTTTGCAGTGGGTGCTTCATTCCTTCTACAGTTTATCAGACAGCAGGAAGTGATATTAGCTATAGACACTTGCAGAAACTGAAAAGCATTAGGATTTTGAGTGTGGGGGGATGTGGCATGGAATTTTTACAAGCTTTCCTTCCAGTTTTGAGATGCGCACAAGTTTTGAAGCAGTTGCACTAGGAATGTGTTTATTTGCTGTAGTAAGTGAATGCTAATTTTGAATTCAGGGATTCCGTGAAGCCAGAAGGTGCAGAGTTTTAAAGGCACTGAAGAAACGAGATCTTCCAGGCTTGAGGCATATAAACTTATTTTGCAATGGTCTCCTTGCATTGCCTCAGGTGTGCTGAAGCAATCTAACCAGTGCTGACTGGCTGCCATTTCTATTTTAAGGCATCATTTCACAAACTCTTCTTGGCTTGGCATAGACTTTTTGATTTCCTGCTTTTCCCATTGTTATTCATCTGTATTTATTGATGCTACAGTATGAGGGAAACGCCTAACCATGGGACTTACCGCCCAGTCTTGGCCTCCCCGTGCCTCTGGTTTTTGGCACTAGCATTTTAATTCCAGTCCAGGAAGTAGAGGAGGAGTATCTTATGCCAGAGCAACTAAGAAACTAAGCTAGAATAAAAGGAAGGCTTGAGCACACGCCTGACAGTTGCTTTAAGGCTGACGATCTTGCATAGTCCAAACTACTATCTGTTGTTGTACCATCCTCCCCATACCAGAAAAGAAAGCCTCTCTTTGTTGCATTGCTATTGGACAAGATCACTTCCAGTTACTTGTTCCAGTGTCATAGAAATACAGTGGTCTTCAGAAAATGTCCACTAAGTAAAAATTTTAGAAGCAGGTGGAGGGGGGAAAATATTTTTATCCTTTTTAATAAAAAGTTTCTGAAATGTTTACAAAGGAGACGACTAAGGGTGTGCTATGGTGTGTAAAATCATGATTGACTATTAGGGAACCTAAGGAATGGGGTGTTGCTTATATTTATATTCAAGAACCAGTGCAGCCAATTAACATGCCATAGTTGAACATTTTAACCAAAGGAACTGTGGGACAAGCTGCCATGAACTATATGAGTTAGAAATGTAGCTAAGTTTGGGAAAGGTGCTGGGAAATATGGGATGAAAAGGAATATTAACACATATTAAGCAATATGGCAAGGATTTGCAGATTCAAATGAATAATGCAAGATAACAATACTTGAAAGTTGTTAGGGTTTTAGTCAGCATTTTTTAAATCCATGTCATCCCAACACCTTAATAATGGCAAAGTTATATTTAATCAAGATCCAGTTTTGCAGCCCTTCCCACTGGTGGCTAAAAAAAATATGAATCTGTTTATTTTTACAATTTTTGTAGTGATACCCAGAAGCACATTATGAAATGTTTTATACTAAATGAGAAATCAGCACAGAAAATGTAAAGGATTGACTCAATTTCCAAAACAGCCAATGACAGAAACATACAGAAGGTCAAAGTTCTGGTTTCACTCTTCAATCAGTCACTATATATATTATAAAGAAACAAAAAAAAATACCGTATGTACCTTGTATGACTGAAATTGCTTTTTTCTGAGGTAAGCTGCTAATGTATTTTCCCCCAAGCTCTGTCCAATGTAAACACACAGTAGTTCCATCCTTATATTTTAACGAAACACCATGGCATTAAAAACTTGCCTAGTTTTATTTTTGAGTTCGCACTAGATAGAAAATACATTTGTATTGCCTCTTTCCATTGATCCACGACCATCATTTCTCTCTCTTAAGTCAAAGTGGCTTTGCAGTGCCATCAGAAAGAAATACCGGTATCTCCTGTCAGGCACAATTTAAATGCAGGTCCTATACTTCCAGTTAAGATTAGAATGTCAGACATAAATGTTACCCACTTAGAGCTCCAGGAAGTTTTTTTTAAAAGACATGACATCATTTTTGGAGACTAGCAGTACAAGCCTATGGACTTTCGCCTTATAGTAGGTTGCTTAGAGGATTGCAACCCACAGTATAGCTAGGGTGTTTGCTGTTGATACCTGAAAGCAGGTTGTTGTTGTTGTTTTTACAAGTAAGGTAATGAGTTGGCAGATGTAAGCAAATATCAGCTACTTTCATAACACTCAACCTTCAGATTCCATTGAGGGAAGCAAATTTAGATGAAGTAACTAAAGCTTTCCAATTTCTACATAATGTTTGGTGTGCTTTGGTGGCTTTCTAAAAGGAAGGTCTCTATGTGTGTACATGGATGCAATTTTAAAATGAGTTTCCACTGTATTGCAGTTGGCAAGAACTTAGCATCCGATAAATCAGGATGGATTTCTAGTTGCTGAATTGGGTATCCTATGCTGCATTACTAAAATTACTTACTAGGTATTCAGGCCACCAGCACAAGCCCCATTGAGAGGGGGGAATATGTGCTGACATGGCTTTGAAAGCCAACCTATAAAAAAGCAACATAATAATTTAGTTGGACACAGAGAGCAAAATGGAAACATATCTTTGGACAACAAAGTAGCACATACAATCATGATACTTTGGAATAGGTATAAACTGCTCCAAAATATGGTGTTCTTGTCCTTTGCCTGAAGTAGAAGGAAGGTTTAAAGACATGGGTGATTGAAAAATAGGAAGAAGTAATTCCTGTTTGTAGTAGGAAATATAATTGGATTTTGTTGCCATAGCAAAGGTATAGGGATTCTTTCCCTCACAAACATCCCCACACTCATTTTTCCCCCTTTACGCTGTAAAAGGGGACTAAATCATATCTTTCCTAAGGAAGAACGAGTGAGCAGGAAATTTAGGGAGGTGATATCATGTTGCTTAATTTGTTTCCCCATCATGTTTCATGTAAATATCCCACGAATGCTGTGTATTTGTACAGGAAATTGAGCAAAAAATGTATAGATTGTGATGTCTGACTGGTACTCTGCCCTGTAAATGTATTTTTAACCTATGGCAATCTGTTGTTGTTTAAAACAACGGCAACCACAACCCCCACAACCAGTTCTCTTTTTGTGTATTCATGTTCGGAAAACCTATCATAACTGTAAGGAAAAGCAAACCTTAAAAGGAAACAAAATATTTGTACCAGAGTCCTAAAGATACTTCATTGTATATATTGTGATAGCATGTTTATGGAACCAACAAATAAGTGATGTGAATTTTAGGTGTAAATATCTGCTGTTTTGTTTTGGATTTTCCTCCCTTCCCTTCCCCATTCACTCAACTGCTGTGATGTTGAATTAAAAATTAATACTTGATATTAAAAAGCATTGAGCAGATGCTCCAAGGTACCCATGAGATATTTATTCAGATGCCACAATGTATCTTACATATAAAAGCTGGTGCTCAGTAAACTCTCATGATGTTGATCTCCTACAGATTTCCTGTTCAGGTGCTGTCAATTGAAATTACACACCAATAAGTTTAGGGGTGGGAAACTATTGAAAAATCAGGAAAATGGGAAGAATGCTGCAATCTACTTCATAGGGAAATTGATAAGATTGTCTGTTATTAACTAACCGTGTTTTACCCAGCAGTATTATCCCTAACTAAAAATACTTTCCCCAAGATTTGTGGGTACCATTTTCACTTTTTTTTTAAAAAAAGCATTGTAACTCCCTAGATGATGAAACCTTGTTGCTAGAAGAAAAGGGGATACTTGCTTCTCGCTAGAAAAGGTTTTCATCTTGCTTTATGGGACCCAAAGAGGTAGAATAATCCCACACCTAGTGAACTGCCCTGCAGAATACTCAATGGATTCTCTGACTGGCTTTCTCTAATGTTTAGCACTCTGTGATAGCCAATTACCACCGTGTGTCCAAGTTCACTGAAATAGCTTGGCCTTTGTTGCCAATCACAAGCTGCATTGGTTTTGCCTTTAGACTCCTCTTCTATCAAAACAGAAACATGCCCTGCATCTGAGCAGTAACCACACCAGGAAGCAGCTTCTGGAGCTGGATTTAGAGCGTTGGCAGCAATTTTCCTACTCACGGAAAAACAGTGTAAGGACCAGAATAGGGAATGCCCAATCACACTCACGGCTAATTATTAAATACATAACGAGAATTATTGCAGATAAATTCAGAAGCAGAAAACCATGTGCAACACATGGAAAACAGGCATGCCTAATACCTTTTGAGTCAGACTGAATGGATGAAAGATAGGAATGGAACAAAAACAGCAGCTCAACCCATCACTTAGCAAATATGATGGAATAATATGGGGGCAACTTTGGATTTCTTCCTGGGCTCAGGTCTTTTGTTAAGCTTTAGCCAGCTGATGAGTATAGTGAGGGTGGTCTTAGGGAAGCTGAACACTACCTACGAACCTAAGACCCTGCTGGGTCAGGGCAAAGACCCATCTAGTCCAGCATCCTGTCCCCACAGTGGCCAACCACATGCCCATGGGAAGCCCACAAGTTGGACCCGAGTGCAGCAGCGCTCTCTCCACTTGTAATTCCCAGCGACTGGTATTCAGAAGCAGACCATCTCCACCAAAACCTATTCAGGGGGGTTGTGAGGTCCTTTCCAGATACAGATAGATGCGCACACCATCAAACATCTTTCCTCTACTCAGCACAATTCCCAGCACTCAGAACAATGATTATTTTGTTGCTGAGATGATATTGTCTCTTCCCCCTACCTCCACCTGATATAATAGTGAGTGCTATGTAGAATGTGGTTATGCAAGTATAAGTACCTATTGCAGTGTCTGTGACATCACTGGCAACAAGCAGCACAGCTCCTTTGTACGCCATTTTGTAACCTTTAATTTTGTCCCCCAATCTTGTCTTGAGGCTGAGCATTCTCCCATTCAAACATGTATGGACTCTTTAAGCCCTTTAACAGCAACTTAAAATACTTGCTTAATTTTTTTTCTTGTTTTTTTTTATGTCAACATACTGATTCTGAGTATATTGTTGTATTAATATATTACTACTGATGTGAATATTGTCTATTTTAATGCTGTTGAATGTATAGTTTATTTGATCATATATAATTGTAATTCTGTTAAAATATGAACAATTAATAAAAAGATAAAATATAATGAAAGGGCCAAACATGAGCAGGGATCCACCTCCCATCATCTCCCCACCACACACAGTATTGCCATGTCATTTCACAACCATTTTTCATTCTGTTCAATTGCTCTTCTTCCCAAGGAGTTCTTGGAGGCTGTGTGCTCTTCCACTCCAGTGCAGGACGCACTTTTCCCATTAAAGAAATAGTACTTTGGCCACCCCATATATGTGTTTCTTTCATAACGAAATCTGGGGTGAGGGTTGCTTTCTAACAAGGCCCAAATACTATTTAGAATACTTACCATAAAGATAACTTATTACAGTTAACAGAAATAATTGATCCATCAGTCAGTTTCTCTATGTAGAGGGGGTAGCAGGGAGAGAGGGTTACATGCACAGATCAGACGCAGTATAGACCTTTGATTGCTGCTTGTGTGCAAAAAGGATAAATCTAAATATCTACCATCTGTGCATATAGGCACCCAGACCAACTAAGACCATTAAGTGCATTTCCCATTAACCTGCACTGTATGAAGATGCATTTTCTCTGGGCTTTACAAGTTATACACACCTTGTTTGCCTGACTACATCTTCAAAGTGATGGAGTTTGAACCATGTAAACACAAGCTCTATAGTATCTACCTTGATCTATGTGATATTTCAACCTGAGTTCACTGACGGGTGATTAGACTTGGAGGCAAGCCTCAAGTTTCAAAGTTACTATTCTAGTCTGTCAGAGCAGCGTCCCACAGAATGAAGGTAAGCTTTTTATCCACTAGACAAACTACTGGCCATCCAGATATCATTGGACTATAACTCCTATCAGTCCTTAGCCTAGACTTTTTCTTTTTGTGCTTGTGTGGGAGTTGGGAGTCCCAGCAACTTCTGGAGCACCACAGGTTAGCCTTAAAGGCAGGTGAAGTAAGCTGAAAATATGTCCTTTAGCTTATGCTTTTTCTTTTGTAGTGTTGTGTTTAAATTGTTGGAAAATTAATAAATATTATACAAAAAAGGAAATATGTCCTTTAGCAAAAATAAAGCGAGGCAGTGCTTAGCTAAGTTAAGAAAAGGAATGCAAGGTAAGTGGTCCATTCTTAACATAAAAAGGATTTACCTGAGATATTTAGGTTATAACTGCAGTCTTGGGAGCCAACTCATTTAGCAACAAGGAAGTGAGACAATTGCCTGCTATTGAATTGCCCATATAAATAGTACAAATTGTTAAGATTCAGTGGAATTGTGCTCCTTTTCTCTTTCAAAGGTGTAGGAACCTTCAGTCACTCAATTTCTATCTAGTACCTTGCAACATCTCCAGGTTCTCCAGGATCTCATCCTAACTTCAGCATTTCTATAGGCCATATCAAGCAGAAATCTACTGGGCATAAGAATGGGTTGAAATAAAAGGGTGAGGTAGGCTTGGTTAAAGACGTAGAAGAACCAGAAGCTGCCTCCGAAGCCAAGTACTGTTTTTGGTGGATGCTGTCCGAAGCAACTCTTGGCTATGGGGGAAACATGCAGTGAGTGATAAAGGAGGGTGTCTCCCCCCACTTCTCATTCCGCTTTTCCTTCTTTGTGGGGAAAGAGAGAGGCATGTCTACATTTTCATTCTGTTGCATAGAGAAGAGACTTTCGTCAGCACATGTGAATGACTTGAGTGTGTCTATATACATATGGATATATATTTTTTTCCAAAATGTATCTAGTAAAATAATGTTTAAATATGGGTTGCAGAAATTAGATACTCTGTAATTAAGATGTAATGGATTTTACAGTTTAAGGAACCAATTGTTGGTTTTAAATAAGTTCTGTGCTAAAAATAAATAAATACTCTGATTATGGTTGGCGTGCATTTTCATCACTCTTAACAAAGATATGGCTATAGATGATCAGCTGGGAGAGGCTTAACTCTCATGCCATGACCCAACTCAGCAATAACCACTCCAGGCAAGCAAAAAACAAGGCAATTCTTCCCAAGTACACAAGACGGAGCTGCATTCTATTCCTATTTTTGCTTCAACTTCTACATTAAAGTTGGGCTGTGCCAGTTCCTCCAGGGTGAGCAAAAAGTTGGTTTCAACAGCTGGTGAGAAAAAAAGGAAACCTACACATAGCAAATATGGGAAACAGTGCTAATTATTCATGTGTATACATACCAATAGGGACGTGGGTGGCGCTGTGGGTAAAACCTCAGCGCCTAGGACTTGCCGATCGCATGGTCGGCAGTTCGAATCCCCACGGCGGGGTGCGCTCCCATCGTTTGGTCCCAGCGCCTGCCAACCTATCAGTTCGAAAGCACCCCCGGGTGCAAGTAGATAAATAGGGACCGCTTACCAGCGGGAAGGTAAACGGCGTTCCGTGTGCTGCGCTGGCTCGCCACATGCAGCTTGTCACGCTGGCCACGTGACCCGGAAGTGTCTGCGGACAGCGCTGGCTCCCGGCCTATAGAGTGAGTTGAGCGCACAACCCTAGAGTCTCAAGACTGGCCCGTACGGGCAGGGGTACCTTTACCTTTACTATACATACCAATGCAAAAGCAAACTTTGTTTATTCTATAATCTCATTTTGCTGCAATTACCTGTCAGCGTAGTGATGCATTCTACTTTCATGGGCATTATGTGTAGCACAAATAAATACTGTGGGGAGAGGATAGAGCTGGTGATTTTCCTTTTATAATTCTGAATCGAAATCCAGCTAAAAGGAGTGCAGGTATGTTGCAAAGAAATACCTATGTAATGTAAAATGTGTGTTGCACACTTTACTTAAAAGGTCCCACACTGCACTAAGGATTTTTATGTCTCCGCCATGTGAGGCTTATACAGTAATTTGTATATTAAAACATTTCCCTTTCTAGCGTTTGGCTCCAATCTCCCGCTCCAAATGAGTGTTTCTCAAATACGCTTGTAAATGCCTTTGGCAAGAAAATATGCATTCCTAGGTGCCCCTGAAAATGGCTGGTCTGCAGGCCTTGCACATTCCAGATTAGTGGGAGTGCCCTCTTGCCCAACACACACATATTCTAGACGTGGCACAGCTGCCACGCACGTGGGGCATCTCCCGTTTCAGACCAATGTTTATTGCTGCTGTTGCTACAGCCGCTACTCCCAAGTTCTTCTCATTGCTATGGCAGACTGATTTTGAAACCCTGAGCTCACGGTTTGTAGGACCCTTGTGCATCCTTTGGATTAATGGCAGCCCACTTAAAGCAGGCCTTATCCTTTACCCGCGAGGCCCGGAGGTGCCACTGGTCTCCCGCAGATGGGCTCCGGTCCCACTTGCGCCCCTATTGCTGCAATGCCACCTTCTCCTAACCAAAAAGCTGCTCGTTCGCAAAGAAGAACTGGCTCCTAACAAACGCCAGCTTCCGGCTCGGGGATGGGCCCTTTCTTCCACACGTGCACTTGCCCCTCTGCGCTTCAAGGGCCGTGGGAAGCAGTGGTGACGGCGCGAAATCGTGCCCGAAACAAATATGGCGATCTCCGCCTCCTTACACCTTTGCCGTAAACTGCTAGGGCTCCGCCGCTGGGCACGCTTCGCGCTCAAAGTGCGCGACGACTCCCTCGTTTCATTCGGAGGCGGCTTGTCCAATCGGCGGCCGCCAACTCTACTGTCCCGAAAGCCCGCCTGGCCAACCGGCAAAGGGAGCGTGGAGACTTGCAACGGAGTGCTCCAATGGCAGCCTCGTACGTAGCAGGAAGAGGGGCAGGGCAGCCAATCGGGTTGCGGGTGGGCGGCGAGCGTGTCGTCAAGGTGCCGGCTGTGGAGGGGCTTTTCTTCAGTACGAGCCGAGCGAGCGGCCGAGGCGGGTGGTGAGAGGGAGGATGCGGGCAGCCAACGGGCTCTGGGCGGCGCTGGCCTTGATCCTGCTCCCTGGGGAGAGCCACGCTCTGCGGGACGGAGACTGCGAAGGTGAGTCGCCGGCCCCGCGTGGATGGTCTGAGCAGCGACGGGCGCGGAGGGCGGAAGGGGCCCCCGGGGCTTCGCGGAGGGAGGGGAGGAGGGAGCGCGTTGCTGGGGTGGCCAGGTGGCAACGGCGCCTCCCCTTCACGACCACGGCCTCCCCTTGGCTTGGAAACCGGAGGCGAGTCTTGCCTCAGCCGCTGCTTCCACGCTGCTTTCCCCGGCCCGGTGCCGCTTTCCTCTCAATGGGAGGGACGCTGGACCCCCACATCGCAAGGCTGCCATGGGGAAGGAGATGCTCTTGTAGTTGCCAGCCAGCGAGTCGGTTTGAACCAAGAAGGCGAGCATCAGTGCGGGTGGCTGCGGGGGCTTTGGAGAAGAAGGGGAGAGGGGGTTCAAGTGTCCTGCTTGCTCTGTCGCTATGAAGCCCATTGAGAAGATGCAGCTTCCAAAGGGGTTTCCCCAGAAGCTGCTTATATAAGGAGTAGGGATAGACCTACATGTCTTGGTGTAGCTTTGAGGTCACCATTACTGCAGTGGTGCTGCTGGGAACTGTACATTTGACACTGGTGTGTGGGTGGGGGCCTTTTCTGCTGTGGCACCCTAGCTCAGGAATGTCTTTCCTTCTGAAATTCCTTTGCTCCCACAGACTACTGGCACGCAGGCACTAGGTGGAAATCAGACTGGCTTTTCAGACTCTGGGGCATTAGTGCTTTTTATGTTTGATATTAATGTATTCCCTTTTCCCCCTTTGCATATATATTTTAAACAGGCTCTGCTTTATTGTGACCTGCCCAGAACTCCTAGGATGTGGGTTATAAGTTGCCTAAACAAACTCTTACCTCATTCATTTCTGTAATCGTGACCTTCAGATTGATACTAAGTAGGATATGCTGTGAATTATATCTACAGTGTGATATAGTCTCTATAATTGTAATGACATGTATGGGTCCTCCCTTGTATGACTTAGTAAATGGTTACACCCACAGGCTGAAGGTCTCCTCTACGGTACTTATGTTCCTGGTTACACACTAATGCAGAAGACTCTGTTCCAGGATTTCTAATTGTTCAACCCTTAACTGAATGAGCAGCAGCTTGAGGAGCTGCTTTTATTTATGTATATTTTTCATGACTTGACTGAAGCCAGAGTTTGTTTCTGGAACGAACCAGTTTTCAATACAAAGTTTCATCCTTGGAACACAAGGAATAATAGTGTTTTTAATCATGTGCAGAGTGCTGCTAATTCATGGTTGATAACACACAGCCATTCTGGGTTGTATTATTTTCCCTAGCACATCTCAGCTGTAGTCTTTTGATCTTAACAGAGAGAATATGGCTCAGCGAAGGCACAAACATCTTATAAGACAGAGGTGATGCCCCAGTCCAGGTGCCTGACACCGTCCGCCTCCCCGTCCCTCAAATTCTCCATTAATTTTGGCAGTGGCAGCAAAAAAAGGTATCACATTGGGGTGGCTAGATCTAGCATCCCACTGAGAATGCAAATTGCTCCTACCCCAGTCATTGGATTAAATATTTGATAAGCAGAGAAGAAGTGATGACACTCCCCCCTCAGCTGGTCTTCATGAATCAGCTGGGGAGACAGGCTGTGTGCAAAACTGGCCACATCCAACCCTGCCCAAAGATTAATGTGAGAAAGGGTAGCTACCCCTGTTGTAGCTAAGAACAGATTTGGACTGCCATGTTGTATGAAACATGCCCCTTGACAAGGTAGTCTGCTGTCATAAATATGCCCAGTAGTTCATCTTCTACACTAGTGTGTTGGCTTTCGATGTGCTATGCTTCATTCATTTTGTGTAAGTTAAAAAGAAGAGAGGAGAATTTCGGGGAAGAAATTCATTTCAGCATTATATCTCCTTCGCTTTACAGTGTGTGTTTCATTCTTGGGAAGATTCTACCAGAGCATAAAGGAGAAGAATGTTGAGTTCACACCAAACAGTATTGAAAAAGAACTTTTAAAATCCTGTAAAGAAGCAAAAGGCAAAGAGAACCGTCTGGTAAGTATTTGTAACTGGGTTATGTATTTTAAACATTTTTACCTCATTCTTCAGCTGAAAAGGCAGTTTGTGCAGCTAATTAAAACAGGAGAGTCCCTCTGCACGGGCTTAGTTTTTTAAAAAAATGCCAGGTGACAGTTGAAGGAGGGAATGTCCATTGGAACTGGTGAAGTTCTGGTCGTAATTGGAATAAAAAACATAACTTAAGACAAAGAGGAAATAGTGAATGCACCTGTCTGTATATATATTCCAACAATTTATAAATGGGTTCACACTGTAGTTTCTAAGCGGCCTGCAATAATGATACAGAAGAGATACAATCAGTTCAAATTAGGCATAAAAAACTTGCTTAATGTGCTGGCTGAAATAAAAAGGGCTTCACTAAGCACTGAAGTGGGGAAGAGGCCTATCTGATCTCAGCCAGGAGGTTGTTCCATAGAGTTGGGCCCACAATACTAAATGCACAGCTTCTTATAAGACACCTGTATTGCGCTGACAAAGTATTGTGCTCAAGCAAGCACCACTGAGATTCTTATAAGAAATTCTTATTTAATAAATTTAGAAAAGTGTGTTGCAGTCATCCAACTTAGATGTATAAGTGGGGCATATGTAACAAGGCGTAGACCTGTTTTTTGTTTTGTTTTAAAGAGTGCAGCTGCCACACAACCCTGTGCAGAAGTCCTTTAACAGTAGTCACCACCTGGGCAGCTGAGAGCAATGCTCTTTCCAAGAGGCCTCCCAAACATGGACCTGGTTTTTCCAAGAGCTGATAACCCTGGGGAAAATACATTCTATGCCTAGTCTCTGAAAACATTTTTATTTAACCAACAGCTCTTTTGCCTTGTCAATTTTAATTTTAAACGTCAGCCTTGGTGTGTATGTTCTGGGGATTCTCCCAATACACACACACACACACAGCCAATTGGAAGGAAAGGCTGGGGAAGACCTGTTGCAGTAGCAAATGTCTGTGTGGGTTTCCAGTAGCAGGACTGGTTAGTTTAAATCCGGCCCCTTCACTGGATTCATACATTCTTTGCTCATTTCAAATGCCAAGTCAGGACCTAACTGATTTCCATTCAAGGTCCACTTTGAGCATAACTTTTATGGTGAGTCAGTAGCTCATTAAATCAACCCACAACACAGTAGAAAGTGGGTTGCACTGGAAACGAGCATACACACGAGGCAAAGCCAGGACTGTGCAATTAACTGCAAGTAGTCTCAAGCCATGAAGTGTAATATGTCCGCTTGATATCTTTGTTATAACCAAGTAGTGGGGCTTGATACTGCTTGGGACTAGGTACAACTCAAGACAGTGTGAGGTACATCCTCCCCTTGCTATTGACAGACAGATAAATGTGGTTGTGGTACAGCAAGATGTGCTCTTTCTCCAGTTACCACCAAGCTGCAATGAGGGGAGGAAGAATATAGGAATCTGCCTTATACCAAGTCAAATGATTGATCTATCTAGTTCAGTATTGTTTACAGCAGCAGTAGGGAACGTCTACCCTGTGAGCCTAATTAGGCCTAGCAGGGGCCCTAATTTGGCCCCTGAGGTTCTCCCCCCCCCCCAATCCATGGCCACGCCTCACATATGATATCATATGTGTCATTATCTGTGGGGCATGTAAAGATAGTAGCTGCAAAAGAACATTTGGAAGGTTAAAGTACACCTGATTGATCCTTGTTGACCACTGTCATGGGGGATTGGCTGCACTAGGAAGTTCCCAACAGGAATTCCCTAATGCAGTCTCCTTCAAAAAAAAGAGCTCTTGGCACTAATAACCAATCGGTGCTGACAGCCATAAAAGGGATTCAGCAAACCCCTTTGCTGGCATCAGGTAATTGACTGGTGGGTGGCCCAGCTGTCCAAGTTGAACTTTGGAGAGGAAGGGACCCAGCCACTAGGTATCTCAACTCCCACGTCTACATTGACTGGTAGTGGCAGTTCAGGGTTTCACACAAGGAGCATTTCCAGCTCTACCTGGAGACACCAAAGATTGAAACTGAGATCATCTGTGTACAGAGCAGATGATCACCCTCCCCATAGAGCAGGGGTGGGGAAGCATTTGGCCCTGCTGGGCCAGATCTTTATCTCCCCCAGCCCCATGGACCAATTTTTATAGGTGGGCAGGACCATCCACCTGCAAATCATGCAGCATCGTTATCATGTTGGGTGATTGGAATCTGTCAAAGTTCACCTGCAAATGTAGGGGGAAATAGTTAAAAGGACTTGGTCAGTCCCATGCTCAGTGATTCTAAAGTGGCAGACAATGAAGTGGGATAGCAGAAGCCGAGATGGGCTGGGTTAGAATGGTTCTGTTTCTCTCTTGGGGTTCTGAGGCCAAATAAACTTCTTGTGTGACTTGTAAGGACAGGAGACCTAGTTGTGTTTATGATGCCTGCTCTCACAAATATATCCTTTTTAGATTAAAAAGTAGTCTGGAAAAGTCAGGTGACCCATAATCAAATAAGTCATGTTGATCCATATGCCGCCTCTAAGACAAAGTTAAATCTCTCCAAGTCAAGATTGGGGAGCCTGTGGACCTCCAGATGTTGTTGGACTACAACTCCCATTGGCACCAACCACTATGGCGATTGGTCACAAATGATGGAAGTTGTAGTCCAGCAACATTTGTAGGACCACATGTTGCCATTCCAGATCTAGGTGGTAGAAAGGCTCTGAATGGTGTGATTGATCTTGCATATTTCCTGTAAAGAAAAAGCAGCAACTCCTTGGAGTACTAAAAGTTCCTAATTAAGCTAACAGCCAGCACTTTCCTGTGTGAGACAAATTCTTCTGAAAAGGTTCAACCAAGAAGAAATTATCTTAAAATCATTGCCTGACCTCTCATTTTCTATTCATTCCCTTCTAGTGCTATTACATTGGAGCAACCAGTGATGCAGCCACTAAAATAACTAATGAGGTGTCAAAACCCCTAAGTAATCACATCCCTGTTGACAAGGTTTGCGAGAAACTGAAGAAGAAAGATAGTCAGATCTGTGACCTGAAATATGGTGAGTATAAGCAGATTACCAGTGATCGTTACTTTGGTCCTCGATATCTTTCTTATGTAGAGAGAGCAAGAGTGCTAAAGTTACTGGCTGCGTTGTGGTAGAGAGGAAATGACTTGTGCAGTCATCTTGAGTTAGCCTGGCAGTATGGCCCATTGGAGAAAGTGCAACATACTTCCAAGTAAAAGACAAGATCTTACGCATATCAGTTAGAGAAAACTTTTTCTCCATTCCCCCTGCCCCCAATCATACAGATAAGGAAAATGGTAATAGAATTAATTCAGTACCAGAGGACTACATTGAAACAGTGAAGACCCAACATGGTTCCTAGGAAAATACGATACAAATATAGCTGTGAACTATGGGCTGCTTATGAATATTGCTGAGGAGAACATGAGGTCGTAGAGCAGGAATGGAGGATCTGTGGCTCTCCAAATGTTGGACAACTTCTTCTGTCATTCCTGACCATTGGCCATATTTGAACTGATAAGAGTCCAACAACATCTGGAAGGCCGCAGATTTCCACCTTGCTGTAGAGGATCATCATCTAGCTAGCTATTGGGTTTTTCATAGACAGTAGTTTTATGGTGAGGATGCTGAACTGTGACAATGGACTGATCAGATTTCAGACAAAAGGTTGAGCTAAGTTCCATATAGCAGACAAATTATGGTTTATCTGTCGGCTCCCACCAACGGACGTGTTTTCATTTCATTTTGGCGAGCCACAGTTGCTAATATATTCCAACCAGGCAAAGTATGCTTTGTCACAAACCAGGGAATTGGAGTACATATTTGAAAGATAATCTGCACGTGGCCATTGTGTCCAGTTGGGGCTGTTCGCTTGTTGCCTAGGGATGTCAGAGATGAAGGGCAGCACGGTCTTGCTTCTGACATCAGCCACTGAGCCAAGGGCGACTAGGCCACTTCCCTTGCCTCCAGGAAGAACTTCAATGCAAAATACCTCCATGATTGCTTGACCTCTTATATTCCAGCTCCCATCACTGAGTTCATCTGCAATAGTGCTCAGGGTACAGCCTGTTAACTGCATTCTGTTCTCGACTCCTACTATACATTCCAGTGTCTTATCTTCCCCAAGTATAGCTATTATCTGTGAAAACTTGTGCTCTTAATGAAAGTAGTGTCTAGGAGGTGCTGTGACTTGTACTATTTCAGCTATGTGATAGCCATGTTTTGTGTCTAAGGCTGCATTCCTATGATACTTGAACTGGGAACAAGCCCTCCTGAAATTTCTGAATTGTGGTCAGTTAAACTTGTGGACTAACAATGTTTCATACAGTAATATGCCCTTCTCTTTATCAGATAAACAGATTGACTTGAGCACTGTGGACCTGAAGAAACTGAGAGTCAAAGAACTGAAGAAGATTCTAGATGACTGGGGGGAAACATGCAAAGGCTGTGCAGAAAAGTCAGATTACATTCGGAAAATCAATGAACTGATGCCTCAGTATGCACCAAAAGCAGCCAGTTCACGGACAGACCTCTGACCACCATAGTGGCCTCTAGATCATTAGCAAATCAAACACAAACTACGTTAATCTTTCTATTTTCTTTTCTGGAAAGCTGTTTTTGTAACTTATTTAACTGGGTTTCAAGTGTCAAAGTGAAGCGGTTCTTGCAATGCTGGTTCAACTGCCTTGTCGTGTCTCAAGTTTTTATTTCTTTTGCCTCCAATTTATGTTTAAGACATTGACGTATGTATGGGATTTTTGAAATAAAAGTTAAGAAAGCCAGTCTTGTCAGTTGCATTAATAGGATTTGTATGAGTTTTATGCAAGTCTGGCTGATGCCAACACAGATCCTTACTTCGTACTTGGTGCTTTGATATTTAGGACTCATCTACACTTCCATTTGCTCTGCCGCTTTCCCCTGGGGAAACCTGCTTTTTACCAATGAATCGGAACAAACAGCAATCAGGTTTTCCACAGATTGCATTTGTTCTGATTCAGCAGCTTTTTCCAGAAAAAGCTGTGGGGAAAACAAGTAATTGCTTGGACCTGTGCTTTCTAGGCACAGGACAAGCAGAAAACTTCTTGGACCCATGCTTTTAGGAATGGGATGAGTGAGAATGGGTGAGCCCTAATAATGGCCATGTTTTGATAAAATGCTTATCTATGGGCTAGGGTGGCTTCTGAGATACCTGCTCTCCTGACTAATGCCTTGTAAAATCTCTGCATTTTGCTACTTCACATCCAGGTGAACATGTGTGCTATATTTGGTCTTTGGATTATTGCATGGTCTTAAAAGTATTTGAGAGCCAGTTCGTGCTACCTGAAGTTGTTAAAAAAACGGTACTTTGCTTTCAGAAATTTAAGCCCCTGATCCTGTACAGCTGTACAATCAGTCCGAGTGCTGTTTTTCTACAGCTCTGAGGTAAACTGACACCATCTATGCAAGATAACTTCCTTGTATTCTGATTCTGTATTTACAGTTGTCAATACAGTACTGAATACAATCCTGACCAGCTACATCTATGTAAGGCAGCTGAATCTGGAATACGTAGCTTCTGTATATCCATGAATTTTTTTTTAAAAAATGGGTAGGGGTTGATTTCGGGTTCTCTCATGCTCTTGGAAAGCTTTTTGGCAACTTCAGTTCACAAGTAAAAGAAGCAGTTAATATATACTAATGTAATAAAAGAGTGTGTTGTACCAGGTCATTTATGGAGACACCTTTAAATGACCACCCACACAAAATGCAGTTGTGAGCTAAACCCTTCATATATGGGTGGTTGCTGCCAAAATCTCAATTCTCACCAAAGGTTGACTAAAAACAGCATCATAGAGAAAAATATATTGCTCTTGAGGAAAAATTACGTGTTTTAAACAACATGAACTTTAGGGCAGTTACTGTTGACAGATTACCCACCTGCATAGCCTCCCCCACCTCGCAGAAAAGACTGTTTTTGAAAAGTACATCATATATTTAAACTTCTGTTACAGCACAATCTCATGCACATTTACTGTTTTATGTGCTACATGTCTGGTCTCTGATAGGACAAAATAACTTGACAGCATGGTTCTGAATGGGCCTGCAGTATTTTAGTATATATTTTTAATCAAGGTAATACAAAATGAAAGGATTTTGACTTTTTTAAGCTTATCCTTGGCTATATCCAGTGTTCTAGGTGCATTTTGCGACAATGAATTTCATTAGTTTCTGAGCTCTGGGTGCAGTACTGCGCCTAAGATTTAAGATTAAAACTGCAGAGTGGAAGGAAAAAAGGACCTTTTTCTGCCTCCCCACTTCCAGCTACTCTGAAGACTGGAGAAGAAACCCTTTAAAGAATATTAGGGGGGTGGGCAGGAGAAGGACTAGACCATGTGAAAAATGAAAATATTTTAGCTGCAATTCATTTATTTTCAGCTTTGTATTCTTGTTATTTAAAAAGTGCACCTAGACATTTCATTGTTGCACCCATAACCTAGGTTTAAGGTGCCATTTAGCTTTGGTTCTCATATCTCTGTTTCTAACACGATGTCTGAATAGATGAAAAAGACACCGTGGCTCCTTTACGTAACTAACAAGCTTTATCCTGTGGCAAAACAGTCAGCATCTTTTCTACTTTCTGCATACGGAACATGGATATTAACTACCGTTGCAGCAATATAATTTCCTTGTTTTTGCAGCTTCTGCCAGCACATTTTATTTTAACGGCATGTAATGCAAGCGCTATTTGTAAATGCGTGTTTGCCCTTCAATGCTCAGAGACCAATAGTTTTGCACGTGTGCGCGATCGCCGGTTGCTCCCTTCCTCCGCCTAACAGCCGCTCGTCGGAGGCGGCGCGCTTTGGCCCAGAGAGGGAAAGTGGCATCCGCTTTATTTCTACTTGCAGAAAAGGGAGAGGAGCAGAGGAAGGGGGAAAGCGCTGGCCTTCCTGCTCTCACTTGCTATGCACTTTCTACTCCTCCCTCAGACTGAGCGGTAGGTAAGTCCCCTGGAGGCGAGAAGGCGGCAGCGCCCGGCCGGGAACACGGAGGGGCTTTGCTCCTCGCCTCCCCGTCCTCTGCCGGCCGCCGGGCGGGCGCGAGCAGGAGGGGCTTTTGGGCGGCGGCCGCGGCGTCCAGCCGGAGCCATTACGGACGCGGCCCATCGCTCGGCAGGCTCGGGGCGGGGTCGCGGGCTGATGACGTCGTCGGCGCGCACGGCGCGGCAACTGGGCAGAGCCGCCTTCGCTCGTTCCCTTTTGTCCAAGATGGCAGCTGCCGCCAGAGGCGCCTCCTGAATCGCGGGCCCCGGAGCCATGAAGCGGGCGAGCGAGCGGGATTCCAGCCCGGCGGGGTCCGGGGGGACGCGGGGCGCCTCCTCGGCCAAGAGGCCCCGCGAGCGGGAGCGCGAGAGCAGCGGCGCCAGCGGCGGGAGCAGCAGCCGGCGGGGCCCGCACCGGAGCTCGGGCGCCTCCTCGTCGTCGACGTCCGCCTCCGCCTCCGCCTCGTCGCGCAGCGGCCGGGACAAGTCGGCGGCGGGAGGCTCCAGCTCGCGCAGCCACCGCGGGGAAGAGCGGCCCGGAGGCGACTCCAACCACCGCGGCGCCGCCTCGTCCAGCGCCAGGAGCAGCAGCAGCAGCAGCCAAGCCGCCTCCGCCGCGGCGCCGCCGCCCCCGTCCTCCTCCTCGTCCTCGTCGTCTTCTTCGCGGGCGCTGGGGGCCGCCAAGGCCAAAGTGCCTCTGGCCGCCGTGGTCGCCCCATCTTTGCTGCTGGGCGGGCCTTCGGCGGTGGCCGCGCCGTCGCTGCTTTTGGCGCCGGGGCTCGGACTGACGGCCGGGGTGGGGCTGGCCGGGGATCCCCCCGGCTCCAGCGAGTACAAGACCCTGCTGGTGAGCGGCCTGGGCCCGGCCCTCCCGGACCAGCTTCTGGAGGACGGTCTGTTCCGCCAGTTCCAGAGGTTCGCTAGCGGCGGCGCCAGTGACATTAGCGTCAAGCTCTCCCATACCCCCGAGCTCGGCCGCGTTGCCTATGTCAACTTCAGGCACCCGGCGGACGCCCGAGATGCTCGAAGGCATGCCAGAGCCCGGCAGCTTCTCCTCTACGATCGCCCCCTCAAGGTGGAGCCTGTGTACCTGCGAGGGGGCAGACGAAGCCGCACGCCCCCACCTACCCCGTCCCCTGAACCCATGGCTTTCCTGCCCCCAATCCATGGTGTCTATCCTTATAAACAGAGATCTCTTTCTCCTGTTGCCACCCCTTTGCTGAGAGAGCCCAGACCACGACATGCTGCCGCTGCAGCCTTTGCCTTGGAAGCTGTTGCCTTGGGTCTCTCTCGGGAGCGGGAGAGAGTGCTGGATTACTATGGACTGTACGACGAGCGTGGCCGTCCCTATGGCTATCCCATAGTGGCTGAAGAGGATCTTATGCCAGAGGATGATCAAAGAGCGACTCGTAATCTCTTTATTGGCAATCTGGACCACAGCGTCTCTGAGGTAGAACTGAGGCGTGCCTTTGAAAAATACGGCATCATTGAGGAAGTGGTGATCAAGCGCCCTGCAAGGGGCCAAGGTGGAGCCTATGCCTTTCTAAAGTTCCAGAACCTGGACATGGCACATCGAGCCAAGGTTGCCATGTCTGGCCGGGTTGTTGGCAGGAACCCTATCAAAATTGGCTATGGGAAAGCCAACCCCACAACCCGACTTTGGGTGGGTGGTCTTGGTCCAAGTACTTCCCTAGCTGCCCTTGCTAGGGAATTTGATCGCTTTGGAAGCATTAGGACTATTGACTATGTGAAAGGGGACAGTTTTGCCTACATTCAATATGAAAGTTTAGACGCTGCCCAGGCTGCCTGTGCACAAATGAGGGGCTTCCCTTTGGGTGGGCCAGACAGGAGACTTCGAGTGGATTTTGCCAAAGCTGAGGAGGCACGCTACCCTCAGCAGTATCAACCTGCACCACTGCCTGTACCCTATGAATTGCTACCTGAAGGCTACAGCAGGCACAGGAGTCTAGAGCAAGACTTAAGGGTGAGAGACAGGACTCCTCCTCATCTCCTCTACTCAGACCGGGAAAGGGGCTTTTTAGAGGCTGATTGGACCAGCCCTGTCAAAAATGCAGAGCGCAGAAATAATTTGGAGACCTACAGTCAGTCAGCACGCAGCCGAAGTGGAGAACGTTGGGGCAGCGATAGTGACCGAAGCGTGCTCAAACCATGGGAGGAAAGGCGTAAACGCCGTAGCCTTTCCAGTGACCGAGGGAGAACTGCCCATTCGCCCTATGAGGACAGAGGCAGGACAAAACCTGGTGGGCCAGCTTTAGATCGCAGTCCAGAGAGGGCTCGGAAGGAGAACCACACCACAGAGTCTGCCACGGAGAAAGAGCAGAATAACTCCCTGCAGAACAACAGGCATGCATCAGAGGAGAAGCCTCACCGTGAAACATCTGATCCTCAGCCTAAGAAAAGGGACAGCGAACGCAATCATCGAACTGCTGAGGCTGAATCAAAGACTCATGAAGAGTCCAAATCTGAAACAAAGAAATTAAAAAGCTTATCAGATTATGCCCACACGCTGCAGCTTGCCTGGAATGGGCTACTTGTCCTGAAAAACAGCTGCTTCCCTACATCTATGCACATCCTTGAAGGCGACTTGGGGGTTATCAATGGGCTTCTGAAAGACCACTTGTCTGGTGGAAAGCTCACGCAGCTCAAGATTGCCCAGAGACTTCGGCTTGACCAGCCCAAGCTGGATGAAGTAACTCGACGTATCAAGCAAGGAAGCCCTAATGGCTATGCTGTGCTGCTGGCTACCCAGACTGCTCAAGGAGCAAGCACTGAAGGGGCCGTCCCTGTGGTAGAGCCTGGCTTGCAAAGAAGGCTTCTCAGGAATCTGGTCTCTTACTTGAAACAAAAACAGGCTGCTGGGGTGATCAGCCTTCCTGTGGGAGGGGCGAAGGGTAAAGACAGCACAGGCATGCTTTATGCTTTCCCTCCTTGTGAATTCTCTCAGCAGTACCTCCAGTCCGCACTAAGAACATTGGGAAAGTTAGAAGAAGAGCATATGGTGATAGTGATAGTCAAAGACACTGCCTAGTATTTACTCTCTGTCTCCTCTCTTTCCTCCCTCTTTGCTGATTCCATATTTCTTTGTATCTCACACAGCCTGGTTGCTTTTAAGGCCAATTTTTTTGAGCGAGGCTCCAAAAGTCCTCCAAAAAATTCTACAATTTAATTAGTTTCTAATTTTAATACCATTTTAATCCCATTTTGTTTTAATATGTGACACTGTCTGCTGTGTTCTTATTTTTTAAATGTATGGAAAGTTGTCAGTAAAGCCTTGTTCACTGATGGATTTTTAACTTTGTGCAGTGTCCTGGTTTCTGTAGTCTGCCAATGGCTGGTTCCAATAGATAAAGCAAATAACGTACTTCAGACAGTTCTTCCTTTTACTGCTGTTCAACACTATTATACCAGTTTTGTGCTATTTTGATTTCTTTGATAGTTGAAGTCTGCTTGCTTCTTCTCTCTGTGTTTAGGTAGTTAATGCCAGAATTTTTTTTAAAAGGTGGAAAAGGTAATGGTATCCATTATTGGACCAACCTTTTCTTGGTGGATGAGAGCTTTTGAGACGATTGTAGCCAAAGAACAGCTCTGTGAAGCTAAAAAGTTTTAGCAGTCCTCAGCTCTTGGTGCAATAAAACATAGGCTGCACCATGGGTGCACCCCCCCAACTCCTCTGTTAACTGTGTTTCCTGTTGGATTGATTATATTGTAGATTCAAAGCTACTCTTAGATTTTCTGTTCAGTACTAACTATTGGCTACTCAGGAAGACAAATAACCAGGCAGTTGAGTAGGATCTGATAACAAAATCTAAATGATTATGTTCATCAGCTCCAGTGGCAAAAATAAACGATAAAAACTTGACCAAGTTGCCTGCTTATAGCGTGTGTCCTATATTGCAGTTATATACAGTTCTGCTTGTTATATACAGTAGGTTAGGCAGGTGGATGCACTGCTTTTTAGGACAAGGTGGGCAAATTCTGTCCGACCTATTATTTGAGCACTCATCTTCTGGCATTGCTCTGGGATTAATTAGCACAGAGAATGAGGAGGTCCTCCTTCTATGAGGTCCACCTCCCTAGATAGCATTTCTTTTGGTCATAACCATTTTGGTACAGAAAATGGCACTCAGGGATGGAGAACCTGTGGCCCTCCAGATGTTGTTGAACTGCAGCTCCCCTCATTCTTAACCACTGACCGTGGTGGCTGGGGCTGATGGGCGTTGGAGAGCCACCAGTTCCCCAGCCCTGACATACCTGGTGATGTGTAGCAAATACACAAACACTTTCTCACGTGAGCAGATCATTGCAATTAGCAGTGTGTCCACACACATGCAGCAGGCCAGAGCTGTCACAGGGGATGTACATAGGAAAGCTGCTTTATGTGAAGTGATCCTCGGGTAAAAAGGAGAAAGCATGAACTGTAAGAGATAGTCTAAGGAGGCGTGTGTGTATGCTGCGGTAAGAGTTTACGCCACATTCTGCACCAGGGTATGCCCACTTGTGTCTAAAATATGCAATTAATAAATAGATGTATGCACACTCACTTAGCTTGCATAATTCTCTTTCCAAGAGCTTGCTTTTCAAGGAATGTGGAATGTTTTGAAATAATGGATAGGGAGGATGCTAGAAAGGTTTGAAGACAAGTAAGCTTGATAAGGTTACATTGTAGCATCCCATATAGTGTAGTATCCCATTCTGGATTGACATGAAGTGTACGGGGTGCTGATCCTCTTAACTGCTATGACCCTACACAGCCCCATCTGTGGTTGCAACACTGTTCAGACCAAGGTCATAAATACTGAGACTTCGCCATTCTCTGCTTCTCTATCCTCTAACTATTACCAGTTCTCTTGTGCAGTGAAATTATGGAAGCAGAGACAACACTAATGATTAGCAAATAATTATTTCTAAGCCAGCCATGTGGTGTTTAAAACATTTTTTAGGATGTGTATTAAAGCGTCCAAGAGAGCTAAGTTGTCAATGAATACAATTTTTAAATTTTGCCTCTGAAAGGTTACCTGCAAGAAATACCAGCTTGTGATTTAGAGGTTGGTCTTGTATGAACTCCCACCCTATCTCATTTGTTGGTGTTAGTTCTTTATTCTTTTTAACCACATCGTGAGTTGTTAAAATACAATTTTCCAGTAGTCTCACTAACCAAGTGACTAACATGATTAGAGCCCTCTCTTGCACAGCAAACGATGCTAGTAAATGTTGTTCAATGGTAGCCTCCTGTCCACTCTACTGTAAAAAGGGAACACCTGGGTATATTGAGCAGGATAAGTCCCATTTATGTATGCAATTTTTGTCTACTATTGGTTAAAAATCACAAGGGGCCCAGAAAACAGTTCTGAACAGCTCTAAGATAGATGTATGTGAACCTCTGGCTCTCAAGATGTTGCTAGACCACAACTCGCCAGTCCCAGCCAGCCTGGCTAATGGCCAGTCATCCTTCAGCAACTTTCAGAAGGCCAAAGGTTCTCCATATCTGCTCCAAAACGTTTAAATAGATGGATTTTGTTTGTGTGCTTCTAAATCTCTCTTCAAAAAAGTAGTCAACAGTAAATCAAGGAGATTTTCTTTTTCTAGATTCTGAAGAATATTCACTTCACAAATGCTATTTGCAAAAGTTAGCTCTGTAATATATTTTTGTTTCTAAAATAAATGAAAAACATATTTTAACCAAGTGGTAGGAAGAAACAGAAAAAGATGGGACCATTGTTCTGATACAAGCAAATGGAAGTCTAAATGCAGACTCACTAGTCCCATGAAACACAAGCATAGCCAAAGGAGAGTAGTGGTGAGGGTATGATTCCGTTGCAGTTTTATCAAGCACTGACCTAAGACCATTGCGAACATTACTTCATCCTTTACCACCACCTACCGGGTTTGTGGTCTAAATTTTATTTCTAAGGCCTGCAATGCAGTAAGTCACAGTTGTAAATGGAGTGGAGCCACAGGAAGAAAGGACAGAAGGTAGTTAAATCCATTTCCATGACTGGGTTGCAAGCAGGGCTTTCTAATAAATACAACCATCCCAGTGACTATTTTACTCCAATTGCTGGGAGAGGGTGAGTGGCAAACCCAAGGCCGGTCCAGCAGATGTTTTGCATCCTGCAGTGCTCCCCATTACAAATAGGTTCGTGACAGGCAATACCAGAAGTTAGTAGCCTCTAAATTCCCTTGTAGCATCCAACCTCTGGGCTTAAAGGTGCACTTCACCAAAATAAAGTTGCGTATATAGCTAATAGCCGTAAATAAATAAATAAAATAAATATATCTGCCGCTAGTATTGTAATTTGTTTAAACTGGGTGTGGGGAAACTTTGGCCTTGCAGCAGCTGTTGCTGCTGAGATAGAACTCCCATCATTCCTGCACACTGGGCCAAGCTTGTTGGGACTGATGGGATTTGTAGTTCAGTAACATCTGGACAGCCAAAGGTTCCCCACACCTGAGTTAGAGAAGACAAGCAACTCAACTTCATATGAAAATAGGTATTCTCTTTCCCTTCCCAGGGATGCAATCCATCATTGCATGATAATATAGGAATCAGAACCCAGAAGAACTGTGGGATACCTCTCACATGATTTCACTGAACATGATCCTCCTGGGATAAACGTATGGACCGCTCTTCTTAAAAATCTTGTGTGAATAGTACTGATAGCATCACTCTCTTGAATGTCCAGATACATTCATGCATGTGAAGTCACACTTCTTATATGAATAACCCTGCCTTGGTCATGCATTCTGGTGCAAATTAGCACTGAAGGCAGCTTGAGGAGCCAGCAAAGGCAACGAATGTATACTACAGCAGCTCAGAGCTACAAACAGACAGGACTTGGATTTTATTTATTTTTTTAATAAATACAATTTACATTAAAGAAAAAAAGGCCTTCGATTTGTAGTTTTCACACAAGGGCAGAAGGAAAAAAGGGGGGAGGGAAATAAAATTTTAAAATTCCAAACACAAAAATATGTAGGAAGGGGGTGAGGCGAGGAGCTTGTAAACTAGAGTCCTTCATCTCCAGCAATGGCAGATTCTGAGCAAGACAGAACGGGATCTCTAGTCTTCTGCCATGGCTACTATAGCAGGAACTCGCAGGGCTTTTGTCAGGAGTCATCAGACAAAAAAAACAAAAACCCGAACATTTCACAGCAGGTAGCAACACATCCATTAAAAAATTATGTTCAAAATAAAAATCACCTACAGCTTTTACAATCCATGATTCAATCCCACCCTGCCTGCCACGCTTTTCAGTAAAAATGCCCTTTTTAAACTTATTTATCCCCCAGAAACTTGTCATAGTGACTAAACATTAGAAGATCACAAATCCATACCCTCTTTATAATACCTGCCTGTTTTGTTTTTTATCCTTTTTTTTGTTTCATATAAAACTATTTCTGTTCTTTAGGAAAGAACTTTATACAAAGAAAATATATTGTGAAATATCTTCGGAACTCCCCGTGGAGAGGAGAGTCATGTCTCAGCCTCAAAACCAAAAATAAAAAGGCAGAGAAAAAGAAAGGTCAAGCCCCTGGGTCTCTTGGTAGGAAGGTTCCAGATGTGTCAGGAGCCTGCATCTGTCCACTGCAAGATCAGAAGGGCTAGAGTTCTTTAGATGGGTCTCCCAAGAATTAGGATATGAGCGGCTGCTCAGTATCACCTCCCGGATTTGGCCTCCTGGCTTCCGAGAACGGAGTTTTCCTGCTGCCAACATCCTGTGGGGTGGCCACTCCTCACTCATTCAGAGATAAGATTATGTCATCTTCCAAATCCAAATTATCTGAGCTGTCAGCTGGAAAGGGGACAAATGGGTTATTTGAGCAATGCAAAGTCTGATATGTCAAAAAGACACCAAGCAGGGTAACTTGTTCCAAGTCAAATATGAAAGACCATGCACAGGCACCCTTTAGAGTGGTATGCCAGCTAGAAACCATAAACAATGTGCAAAACAGGACTGTTTCACCACAAGCCAAGGCACAGGTCCTCATTATAAAGAGAATACTTACCACCAGAGTGAGATGCCTTCAGGAATTACTGAAAACACTCTAGAGAAGCAGTATGTAGCTCCAAAATCCTCTGTAGTGGGAGTAAAAGATGCAACGGGCACTAAAACAAGGTGAGTTTCCAGAGACACAGAAAGGGTACAATATATTGTTCCTAAGTTGAAGCGTATACTAAGTATTTAGGGAGAAAGGCAAGGACAGGATTTAACTGATCAATGCAACCAGAGGAGAATGACTACCAAGGAGAGTCAATTTAGACAAGCAGTTGCCACCTTACAATCAGCTGTCCTTCACATCCACAAACACAGCTGAAGTAACTGCTTATTTCTATTATATCTTAAAAAGAAACTTTTTGGACTGTTTTTAAATACAATGGAAGTTTTAAAGACTTTCCAAACAAGGGAGAGTTCCAGGTAGGTAGCCATGTTGGTCTGCCGTAGTCGAAACAAAATAAAAAAATTCCTTCCAGTAGCACCTCAGATACCAACTAATTTTGTTATTGGTATGAGCTTTCGTGTGCATGCACACTTCTTCAGATACACTGAAACAGAAGTCACCAGACCCTTATATGTAGTGAGAGGGTGGGGAGGGGTATTACTCAGAAGGGTGATGGGAATGGGTGATTGGCTGATAGGTGTGGTAAACCTGTTGACCCTCCCCACCCTCTCACTATATATAAGGGTCTGGTGACTTCTGTTTCAGTGTATCAGAAGAAGTGTGCATGCACACGAAAGCTCATACCAATAACAAACTTAGTTGGTCTCTAAGGTGCTACTGGAAGGAATTTTTTTATTTTGTTTCAAACAAGTGAGATGAATGAATGAGCTTGGGGGCTTTATGTTTTGTACAACCCTGCTCCTGTGCACCCCTTTTTTGCACAAACAGGAGGAGGGCAGAATCAGCACAAGTGGCCCAGCTCAAAACAGAAGAGAGTACCTCTTTTCTTGAGTGACTTTCCTCACCCAGCATACAGTAAGTATAAGGTAAACCAGCCACAAGGGAAGCTGATGTTGGGATACAGTAAAGTCTACCAAAGGGCAACTGGGTGATGTGAATTATGTGCAATATTTGTGTTAATACTGTCTCCAAAATAGCACTTGCTTCTTGGTAAGTTGATTGGTACCACACCACAGCTCAAGGGACAGGGGAAAAAACACTCAGTGATCATTCAGGTGGCCATTTTCCCTAACTCTTGTAGAAAATCTGTCTAGGATATGGAAGAGTTGTCTTCTTCAGCAGGATCCGCTGAAACAACTCTGAAGAAATGCAAGCACATTCACAAGCAATTCCTAACCCCTAGTTTTCCTAATGGAGTCCTTGATGAGATTTTCAAGGACACACTTTCTTGAAATCAACAAAAACCACCTCCTGTCAGAATACCAGCAGTAAAAAGACCAGGCAGGTCTTTTTCAGGGTATGTGGAGTGGATATTGGCCGACGGTGCTCTTCAGAGGGAACTCTGCAAAGGTATATTTGAAAGTAGCAGTTCAGGAATCTGGTACAATAATGAAGTGTGCACCATTGTCTACATGAGATGATGCCCCTGGGATTTGAGCGTCGGTGAAAAGAAGAGTGGTTTTGCAAGGCAGATAGAAAGACACTAACTCTGAGGAGGTACCAATAAAGCACCTGTGGGGGGACACAAACACACACACCAGATTTACACAGCATTTTTTTTAAAAGAGGGAAAGCCTCGTTTTAATGTTATTATTGGAATGGCTGTGGATGGGCTTCTCTTTCATCTCTATTCCTTTGAATGTGAGCGTTTGTGGACAATGAATCCCTAGTTCCATCCCATGCAGGTTTATTGGACTCCTTTTCCTCTCTCTACTAGTTTTTCCATGTAACGGTTATAGCTCTAAGAAATCATTTTTAAATCAGAGTCTAAATCTCCTTTACATTCTTACCTAGACGAAAGCCCCACCAAACTCAACTAGATTTTTTTCCTGAGTACACATTGATAAGATTGCACTGTAAATGTGTTTGCAGCTTACATGATCTGCACTTTTAAGATCCAATCACAAACTTTTAGAATCCAGTATTTTCCTTCATCTGAATAATGAATGCATTTTTCTCTCATACTCTCTCCCTCTCTTCCATTCCACCCAACTCATCAAATCCATACATAAACAGCTATTGATAGGGCATGTGTGAAATGGACTTAAAACCAGCTCACAGCTAATGCTGCATAAAAGTCATCAAAATGAGGACTAGAAACAGCAAACACAGTTTAGCTGGCTAGTGCGCCCCCTATAAAAGACAACCAGGCTGCAAACCAATCCCAAGGAAAAAGATTGGATGCATTTTTGCTAAAGGAAGATGATGTCTGACCTGTGAATACATCTTCATTTGAGAGTGATAATAGATGAATAAAGGTAAAGGTAAAGGGTAAAGGGACCCTTGACCATTAGGTCCAGTCATGACTGACTCTGGGGTGGCGGCGCTCATCTCGCTTTATTGGCCGAGGGAGCCGGCATACAGCTTCCGGGTCATGTGGCCAGCATGACTAAGCCGCTTCTGGCGAACCAGAGCCGCACATGGAAATTCCGTTTACCTTCCCGCCGGAGCGGTAACTATTTATCTACTTGCACTTTGACGTGCTTTCGAACTGCTAGGTTGGCAGGAGCAGGGACCGAGTAACGAGAGCTCACCCCGTCGCGGGGATTCAAACCGCCGACCTTCTGATAGGCAAGTCCTAGGCTCTGTGGTTTAACCCACAGCGCCACCCGCATCCCTAATAGATGAATAGGAGCACTTAAATTACTTTAAACGTTCAGCAACCAAGTGGCATCTGCATGAAGTGAGCATTCTAGTGTGTGTCATCTGCTTACTACGCAGAATACATACTTATCCTCCCGAAGTGTAAATATGCCAATCCATTCCTGCATGCTATCAGTTCCTGCCCTCTGCTTCCACAGACTCCTCCCAAAATGCCCCACCAATGTCACATTTCCCCACCACCCCTTCTTGCAAGTGCATCCTCCACCACCACCTCCCATGTTTTTCGTGATGCTTCACACTAAAAAGTCCCCAGAAGAGCAATGCCAGCCAAATACTTATTTTGCATGACAGATGCTAGACAGAAGCAACTGAGAGGACCTGTGATATGGAACAGGCAGATCCACAGAGCCACATGTTCTACATGAGAACAGAGACAACAGGAAGGTGGAGCTGTTTATTTGTGTTTGCATATTGTGAGACTTTGGAAGGAAACTGCCTAGATGTGAGAAGAGGCAGGGGAACCATGCAATGAAATTATTAAAAAACAAATACTTTCAGTAATGCTCCCTTCTGGCATCACTAGCTTCTGCTGGAATGCACAGGCTATTTTTTCAGCTGCAATCCAGAACCCTCTAATGGGCTTATTTCCCCCAGTAATGTACAACAATTGCACAGCATCTTTTTAGATACAATCCATCTTTTAATTAGAGCTCTGCAACATGTCCTGGTGGGATGTGGACAAAATACCTACCACCATTAAGAACATAGAGGACTGACAAATATACAAGAAAATCGCTGGAGACCTGACAGGGTGCTTGCCCCCAGGTTCATGTGCCTGATTGCAGAGAAGCAGGGCTGCACTACAACAAAACAAGAGAAGAGCACACATGAGTCTGCTAGCAAAAGCATTTTAGCTCAGGATGAACGGAAACGGAACCAGACTGGGACAGAGGGTTGTCTTCTCAAACACTCCCAGCAACATGTCACCTTCCGGGCATCCGATGTCCTGCCTCTGCTGAAATTAACAACAAAGGTTCCAGCGATTTCACTGAAGGGAAGCCTCTCTCTCCCCTCCACACACCCATAGCTTGCCCCCACCAAGACTACCTTAAATTTCCAAGATTACACACACAAGCACACCAGTTGTGAAAATTAAGAATTTTGCTCCAACATAAATGATTAACTTTCTCGCTGTGACATAATGCACAAAGTGCCTCTGAGAATGAGCAGACTGCATTTCCCTCAGAACTGAGGAACTGCTGCCTGCAATGAGAAACATGCAATCAAAGGGCAGGAAGGAGGATTCCAGGGCAGGTGACACAGCTTCCAGGAAGCCTGGTCACCTTCTCTCACTTTCTATGTCTATCCATCTCTTCCCTTTCCTGCTTTCCCCCCTCCCACCCTCTTTTTAAAGCACTGTTGCATCTTCTTTCTATACAATAGAAACACTCTATCCCTGCAATGTAGAAGTCCACCACTTCACCACCAGCCATGTATTCAGCACACACATGAAAAGGCATTTAACTCCCTTCCTTCAGATGCCCATGCCCGCCGTTTTTTGTCTCACTTTACCAGCATTAAATCCCAGAATACAGGATGTAATAATAAATAAGCCACCTCTGAGCATGTACTGAACGCCAACCCACTTCACTGAGCAACAGTTATCTGTCCCCTTAACAGACAGACACAAGCATCCGTGAGGATTGGGGGGGGGCTGCTTTCAGGTCATTAGCATGGCTCCCCTGTAAGATTAACCCCTCTTGCCACCATTCCATACAGATGGAAGAAAGTTTGTTCTCCAAGCACAAACTATCCAATCCAATACTTTCTTCTCACACACCTGCTCCTGACACTTTCCAAATAACCCTATTTCCCTCAACTTTCAAGCTCCATCCCTTGCACCTCTCAATCCCCATCCCTTTTTGATCTTCAAGAAAATGTTTTTAGAGAGAAAGAGCTGCAGTAGGTCAGCTGGGCTGGAGACATCATTTGAAACAGAAGATCCAAAAAGATGAGGGGGGAGAGAAGGGGGGCAGTATGGGGCAGATGCAGCAACTTCAAACACAGGACGGTCAGGCAGCAACACAACTTGCTGGCTCATGCTGCTTTCAAGCCTCTGGGAACTTCTGTGTAGCTGCATGCTTAATTTTACAAAGCCAGTGACAGGCAGGCTAAAGGAAGGTAGTGTTGGCTATATCTGACTTTCTTCTGCCGTGCTGCGTGGAGTATTGATTGGGGGATTACTGCAGCTTGAGCCTGTGGCATGTTTACATGGAAATAAGTCCCACTAACTGACAACTACACACTATTGGAAAAACTATGCCCCAGGCTCTCCCACAGCTCCATTGCTAGAGCATCTCAGCAATTCTCATTCACCAACGATTTACAGTTGATACTCTCAGGAAAGCAATGGGAAACTTCACAATCACATGGCAAATCTGGTTACTGCAGGATCACCAACAAATACGTAACGTGTGAGCCACACCACACATCTTCAAACAGCCACTTGCAGGTGCCTGGGAACCTGGACTGGGTTCCAGTTTAGTAGCACAGGTAAAAAAAATTAAAGCACACGTACTCTACAAACATCATGCCATCAAGTAACAACCTGTATGCACAGCTATCAGGCTTGTCACATGAGCGGAGTTGTTGTCCTATGAGAGTTAGCTAAAATTAATTCAGGAACCTGGGACCAAAGAATCTGACCTGCACACTAGGCAGTGCAGTGCTTACACTACCTTTAACCTGTAGCACCTTAGAGACCAACTAAGTTTGTTCTGGGTATAAGCTTTCGTGTGCACGCACACTTCCTCAGATTGGTATCTTTGGTCTGCCCTGGACCTTTTAACCCTTTGGAATCCCCCAAAGAGTTAATTTCTCCCTAGGTATACTTACTATCCCCGAGGATCAGCTCAACTTCCTCATCAGCGTCAGAGTCTTCATCCTCTCCTTCATCTCCCTCTTCAAGCAGGTTGGCCAGCTCCTCATCGTCAGAAGGCGAGAAGTCGTTTTCTCCATCCTCTCCCGCATTCTCGTTGTTTTCCTCTTCCTCCAGATCAGCCTCTAGAAGCTGGTCAGTGTCCAGCTCGTCAAGGTCATCTGTGTCATCCTCATCCTCGTCGTCATCTTCTTCCTGTTCCTCCTCCTCCTGAAGAGATATGAAGAAATCCCATTAAAATAAACAAAAACTGAAAGGGCTGAAAGCAACGGTAACAGAGATACGTGTGCTGCCATTGGCTCCTCCTGAACAACAGCCCTCTTCAGTTGTTACGCGAGCAAAAGGTTATTAGCTAGCACCACATGGCCTTTGTATGTGCTTCTCAATTCAACAGAAGCCTGACTACCTTGACCTTGTCAGTACAATATTTTAAAAGCTGTTATTTGCAACACAGCAAAAGACAACACAGAACAGGTTATTTGGCAAAGAACATAAGGAGCTTAATCTGGTTTTGCCCTACATAACATCAATCCCATTCGAGGTGAAACAATGAGGAGAGAGAGGTTTTGTGAATGAGAGGGTGATCCTGAGTGTGGGTTTTGTCGTCGTTGATCTCTGTTATGTCCTAATGAGGAAAGTAACCGTACTAGAGACAAGCACTGACAAATTTCTTATGCTTTCCACACATGGCTAGTTCCCACTGATGAGAAGAAAAGACAATCCGCATACACACAAACTGAATGCCACCTGTTTGCCAAGATTACCGTATTTTTCGCCCTATAGGACGCACTTTTTCCCCTCCAAAAATGAAGGGGAAATGTGTGTGCGTCCTATGGGGCGAATGCAGGCTTTCGCTGAAGCCTGGAGAGCGAGAGGGGTCGGTGCGCACCAACCCCTCTCGCTCTCCAGGCTTCGCGGACGTCTCCGCAAGCAGCGGGAGTGCTCCCGCTGCTTGCGGAGAGTTGCCTGCACGCTGAAGCCTGCCTGCGCTGAGCTCAGCGCGTCCAGGCTTTGTGGACCTCTCCGCAAGCAGCGGGAGCCCCCTGCGCCTGGGGGGGGGGGATATAATTTTTTCCCCTTTATTTCCCCCCCAAAAAACTAGGTGCGCCTTATAGGACGGTGCGTCCTATAGGGCGAAAAATACGGTAATTGCTAATGGAGATAAGGGTTCCTAGCACTAAGTTCCCAATGCCACTTCTTCTCGACAAGATCATCAGGACTTGTTAGAATATAGTAGGCCCGTAACGTACATTCTGGGTGGTCCACGTGCAAAGGCAACATTGTGCAAAGTCAGAATGACACCCAGAACCACCCCTGCCATTTGAAATCTCTCAAGATCAGGGCCATCCAAGATCTCATGAGACGGCCCCACAAAATTTCACTGGAGCACCCCAGAGGCCTTGTGCGACCATCCCACAGCCCTGGAAGCAATATATATATATATATATATATATATATATGTTTAAAAATATATATATGTTTAAAAAGGTTTTTTCAGATGGCCTTGTGAGATCTAACGAGAGCCTCCAGAGCCCAGGAAGCAAGGGTCTCCTGCTTGCTTGCTTTGTTTGCAATCCACCTGAACCTGCAATCACCTAAGAAAAATAAGCGTTAGTTGCTGGCTATTGTAATTAAAAGATTGACACCTGAAGTTTCATTTCACCCTGTTCAGCACGCACCTTCTTCAAGACTGCATACAGACACACGGACAAAGCTGAAGTGACAGGTATTATGCACTCCAAAACTCATACTCTAAGCACAATCCAGTAACGTACAATCAATGACAGCAAATAGTGATTATTAGTTCTTTAAGTTTTATTTATGGCATATATTCAAATCTCACAAGCCTTCAACAAATGCACACTAGAATCATAGAACTGTAGAGTTGGAAGGGACCCCGGGGTCATCTAGTCCAACCCTCTGCAATGCAGGAATCTCAGCTAAAGCATCCATGACAGATGGCCATCCAGCCTCTGCTTAGAAACCTCCAAGGAAGGAGAGTCCACAAACTCCTGAGGGAGACAGTTCCAATGTTGAACAGCTCTGACTATCAGAAAGGTCTTCCTGATGTTACAAGAAAGGAGATTCCGATTAAACAAGCTTACAAGTTTCTCAGTGAAACACACCCTCGTTTGGTCAAGAATATGCCAGGCACCCTTTGTGGAAGAACATCTGGCCAAGTCTTTTTCAGCTTGCAGAGAAACAGGGTTGAGTCAAGGACCTCCCATTCAGTAATATTGCATCCTGAATCCTCAAGAACAAGAATCAGGAATGTATTTGTAAAGAAAAGCATACCTCAGGTGATGAAAAGAAAGCAGATCTCCCCATACTATTATATTCCTATACTTTGTTTCCGTACAACTGACCATCTCACAAGGCAAAAAGCAGCATGTCCTAATCACAAAATTATTAACCAAGGGGAACACCTCAGACTAGAGATGCATCCCAACAACACTGGTTGGTAGGAGAAAATGTTTTAGAATCCATGTCTTGGAAGAGGAGAGGGATGCCTCTTTGGAGAGAAACTTATCTTCCTAGGCCTACAGGTAAACCACAAGTTGTACCGTACAAATAAAAATCTGGCTTTTGATCAATAGGCAAAAAATAACACTTAGTAGTTGTATAGTACTACATCTCCCAAGCACTCCCAAACACTTCCTGCACAATACATCTGAATAAGAAGTCTTCATAGTTCCTTTACGTTTCTTCTAGACCCTATATAGCAGCATAGAGTTGGATCCAGACATAGAGTAAACCCACTGAAATCAATGAAACTTAGGTTTGTAAAGTATAGCTGTTTAAGTCTCACTGGTTTTAACAAGTCTACTATGTATGACTAACTCTGCATTCAACCCATAGTATGTACATAAAGTCACCTTGTGAGAGTTTCTCTAGTCAAACAGTTCCTGAAAAATACCAAGTTTCAGGAAAATCAATTCCCTTTCTACCATGACCTCTTCCTTTATCCTAATTTATGTTTCCCTCCATTAACTGGGGCTTAAAATTATTCTGTAATACTGAGTCTATATTCCTCCTATAGCTTAACTGTTCTCTGCTACAGAAAAGCTAAACTATTTTTATGAGAATGTGACTCTTATTTTATAAAGAATCATTTTCCACCCTTTTGGTCTCTTGAGAACTCTAGTGAAGACATAAAATTCTTAACAGCAGATGGAACATACAACAACAGAACAGAGGTTCCTCAACACATTTGACCACAATTTCACCTGGCTTCATTTGTGGTCTACATTAGGTAAGCCCACACAAACAATAATTCTCTCACATGCAGTCTTGTGCAAATGGAGACCTAGCCTGTTAGTGCCGAGTGTGCCTGGGCCCATTGATATTGAATTTACTTCTTCTGACTTCTTTTGCTGTGAGAGACTAATACAGCTACTCTTCTGGAATTGCATTTTCAGCTGCTGGTGCTTCTAACAAATAATGCCATGCCCAACATTTCTGGAGCCCTGGAGCCAACACAATGTTCACCAAAGCACAAAAGCCCTGAGATAAGAATATTTTGGTTCCTATTTGACAAAGGATATATTGTGTATTATTATGGATACAGTAGCCTGAATAAAATATGGTATAGGGCTTATATTTAATTTTACTCCTACCCATTTAGGATAATTTTTGTCACTTCCGAATTTAAGTTCTTTAATTAAGGGATGCAATACGATCCCCCTTTCAACAGGTATCATATATTGGGTGAGAAGAGATAACATATGCTGGCCAGTGCATGATAAAGTATGGGTGCCTCTCACACGAAGAAGCCTAGGTGAGCCACAGGCTTATGCATGTTATCTCCCCATCCTCTCCCACTTAACATTTGGCCTCAGGTTCAGAAGAGACAAAAGCTTTTGCTTCTACTTTCAGTGAATGGCCATTAAATGTTATGTCCAAACCTCAACAAATTGTGATTGGTCTTAGCTAGAGTTTCCTGAAACAAATCGAATCCAAACCTTGTGTTTCAATAAACCATAGTTATGATCAACTACAGGCTAGGATTCAAACATAACAGTAAACCTTCGTTCCTCAACCATCAGTTCCCAGTTGTTGGAGTACAACCTCTACCTCCTCAGCCACTATGGTCAAGGGTCAGGGATGATGGAAGCTGCAGTCCAACATTAGGGAACCCAAAGTTGGGGAATACCGTGGTTAACTGAAAACAGAACTGAAAGCTTCCAATCGCCTTGCAACCATGCTGGAGGAAGAGAGGTGAGAGAGGGAGCACGTATGCCCAAAGTTCATGAACGTAACTGTAAACCATGGTTTACTGCTACATCCAAACCATCTGTAGCCAGTAAAACCAATTATTCTGTTTTTACAGACATACACAACTATACATACGCATCTGTGTGTACCAGCCTATATATGGTATATCAATACATAAAATATAAATGGAGTTCCTTCATAGAATGTGTTTTTACTATTATGTCATACGTTCCAATCTGCAATAAATGAATTCAATTTCATATGAAGTTTGTTATCCTTCATTTAATCACAATGTATGTTCAACTTAATGGCTGCCCTAAAAGGTGAGGTGGAAATGTATTAAATAAAACTATGCCCTCTCTGAATAGTCTTACTGCTTTTCCAGTACTAAAGAGGAAACATTATTGTTACTTTCCTTCCTGTGTCTTTCCCAAACCTTATTGTGGAGGCATGAATACCCAGGAAAAAAATGGGGATGGGTGGGGGAGAGAAACAGTTCCTCTCCCCCCAAGCCTTCACAACTCTACCTTATCCCTAATCCTTTCCTCACCCCACACCAAGTTTGAGTTCATTTGCTTCTTTGATCATTACAGAATGTGCTCCAGACAGAAATATTTTAGTGGCTTTTTTTTAAAAAAAAAAAAACCTTTAGCTTTCAAAATCCAAGTACAGTCATACCTCATGTTCCGTTTGCTTCATGTTACGTTCTTTCAGGTTACGTCCCACGGCGACCCGGAAGTTCCGGAAAGGGTTACTTCCGGGTTTCGCCGCTCATGCATGCGCAGAAGCGCAAAATGACGTCATGCGCAGAAGCGGCGAATTGCAACCCGCGCATGCGTAGATGCGCCGCTGCGGGTTGCGCTCTTTTCATGTTTCGAACGGGCCTCCGGAACGGATCCCATTCGCAACCAGAGGTACCACTTTATACATGCAAATTCCTCATGGGTCATTGAAAGCAAGATGCAGAACTGACTAAGCATATTAGTACACATTAAGTAAGATTCTTACCATAGGCTTCTATGCAGACCCAGAAGACATGGATAGATGGGACACACGCAACACAGCAAACAATTTGTCATAGGTGCCAAATTGGGGTGAAGAGATAAAACACAGTTATTGCCATTCTACAGCTTTAGCCAGTTAAAACAGTAACCACTTATCTACCGTAAGTTGCAAAAGTTGTTTCGATATGTAACACACGTTTTGCCTTTATTTTAGGCAGCAAATTCAGGGAGTGACCCTTAGCCCAAAGGCAGAGTGTGCCTGTTGTGCCTGGAGAAGGTTCAGTCCCAGGCAGCCTCTCCAGTTAGAAGGACCAAGTAGCAGCAGGCAAGGTAAAAGAGCTCTTTCTGCCTGATACCCTGGAGAGTGACTGCCAACCTGTGCAGACGGCACTGAGCTATACAGACAAATAGCTTCATCTGATATAGGACAGCATCTGATGCTCCCAGACAAGGCAAACTTAAGGCCAACCTTTTATCCCCCCCTCCAAAAAAACCACACACTCATAATTCATAAATTAATACTAAACCAATTACATTTTTCAAAAGTCCTACACTACTAGCTTCACTTCTGTTAAATGTGTCAGGCATGCCTTTATACTGAAACTCTGCTACGGGATAAATCTGTTCAGTTTTTAAAAGTAATAGTTAATTGTGTGTACAAAGTGATCCACAGTGAGCTAGTCATTGAAAAACTAATATTTGGGCATTAAATGCTCAGTTGTGAATTGCTTGGATACTGTGCTAGATTTTGGATGCTGTATCTTTAAATTTCCTGGAATTGTATATGATTAAGTACACCTGTGGATAGCCATTAAGAGTTCTGCCAACAGTATCAGCTTACTACACTGTTACGTGATTGCTGATCAACTGCTACTTTATGTACCTGTGGGGACAGTTTATTTGGTACGTGTTTATTATTTATTATTGGGTGGTTATCCAGCTTTGGGAAGGCAGCATGAGGGCTGTGGGAAGGGGCGTCAAATGTTGCCAGAGACTGCCCAAAAAGGCATGAAGAGCTGCACGTGGCCCTCAGGCCACACAGCAGACCACTCTGCTGTGGATATTCAGGCCTACCCTTTAGAGGTGCTATACTGTTTTCCTTTCGGAAAGGCAAAGTCTTAAGTATTCAAAGTCACCATTCTAGAGAAGAAAACATCCACTTACATGTAACAAGCAATTAAGGTTCATAATCTAACAGTTCAGATGACAATACCCCTCACAAAAGTCTATTGTGCTACACCAAGCACAATGCCTCAATTCTCCCAATGAGAACGACATGGGTGAAAGGAAAAGAAGCCTTGAATTACGGTGCACTGAAAATGATTATGGGCTGGAACAGCTTGTCACAAGTGAGTGCATCTCTTGCTTAAGATGACCACCTGGTCTTTGCACTAAGAGGGATTTTAGACTCACCTGCAGTTATCCATATCAAGTTCCTCAAATAGTTGCATTTATAAATAATTTGGATCTCTCTACAAGGCTACCTACATTAGCTACCTTTCCATTCTAGCAGATGATAAAAAGGATGGGGCCATTCAGAATCATTTAACCCATAGCATGCTATTATAGGAAAGGTGGTAGGACCTGGGTTTTTCTTGATCACTTTCCTCAAAGCCCTGTGAGGCCCTAAGACGTCACCATGTCGTGCTTCAAAGGAAGGATTTATTGGCAGAAGTCAGGTAAGCCACATGCCTAGGCCCATTCCTTTTTGCCAACAAGCCCCCACTCTGCCTCAGCCACTTAACTGTACTGCATTATGCACACTGAGCAAGACTGACAGGCAAGAGTGGCTGGATCTATGTACCATTGTGGTAAAGTGGCCACACCAACTATTGCCACTATGGGAGCACCACAGAAACTGGGCTGCACTACAGAAAAGTTGGATGCTAAGACTCGGCTCTGCTGAGAATGCCCTGAACATGTGGAGAGTACCTTTCAGGTATTACTTAGTAACCAGCTATCCCACACTCTAGAGAACAGGGCGGACTTCTAAGGCAAAGAACTTGCTTCCAGTTGGCATTGGATACTTGATGCAACCATTTAAACAGAACGGTGGTCATGGCCAAGACCCATACCTCCCTCCACAGACTGAACATTATCCAGTTTCCAGGTTGCGTGTCAATAGCTGAACTATGGAAAAGGTTGATCTTGGCCACTGACATGATGCTCTTAAAGGCAGATGTGTCCAAGGGATGTGAAAGACCTAAGGTGAAAGAAGCATCAGCACTTGCCTCTCTCTTGAAGCTGGCAATTTACCTGACCTACTCCCCTGACCCCCAATAATTCCAACTGTAGATAGTGAACAAAGCAAGATAGGGAAATCCTGTACCTAAAAGCTAGACAGAGGTTAGCTGGGGGGCAGGGGGCTTCAACTAAGGGAGCCATACAGTACTAGGAACCATTCATCCACCCAAGGCCTACTTGATGGAAGAAGACCAAGAGTGATTCCAGACAGAACACTTTCAGAAACACTGGTAGTCCCCATTTCTCATCCCTGGCAGTCCAAATGGCAAATGAAGGGCTAGAAGAATTGGCACAGCTCCAAAGAGTTGTACAGGAAGCGGCAGGGAACACACCTCACAACACACAGCTCCTCTATTTTGTGATGTCTTATCTCTTCTTCCTTTCCAGTTTAGCTCTACACTACGTAATCACCCCTAGGCAATGCAGTAGCTAAGCTTTCTACATTGGCAGCGGGAGACAGCAAAACAGCTAGCAAAATAGCAGGAACAGAAACTACTAAGCTCTGATATAACTCTTAGCATTTTGGCTCCAAAAGACAACATCTCTCTTAAAATTAAGAATAACTCTGAATACGTTGCAGAGCAGCAGTAGGCAAGTACCGAAAACATGTGGGGCTGAAATTGTAACTACAACTTGTAAGAACAGAGTTTACTAAAGCCTAGTGGGGGGGGGGGGGCTTACACATACCTGCCAATTTCCTATAAATAATCATAGACTCATAGAATTGTAGAGTTGGAAGGGACCCTAAGGGTCATCTCTTCCAACTCCCTGCATACAACACCGTTTTGCTCAAATCATTCTTTATTTTTATTATTTGGCTTACCCTCCAGCATGCCCCTAGCAAATGAGAGGGGCTTCTATACAGCTGGACAGACTTTCTTCCAGGCTTGACAACTCATTGCATCTGACACCTCATTTTGTCCATTTATTCTGCAGGAAGCAAGCAAGCATAAACAGGCGAGGGCGCAAAGATCACTGCTGTAAAGCAAAGAAGTGCCACCAGGTCTAGGCACCTCTGGGGAGCCAGCATTGGCTCTGATCTCTTAGCTTCATTGCTTGAACAACCATGGTTTAAAGCAACAACTTAGTACTTGGAAAAATTAATTAAGAGAGACGCAGAGCCAATATCCCCAAGACTCAAAACAAATTGGAACACCAACATTTGAACTTGTAAAGATATCTGCTGCCTGAGGAAAACGTTCAACTTTCAAATCAGGACTGGGGACGTAGGAGTTTCTGATGGGTGGGTGTAACAATAAGCATTCACTTAAATGGATTGTAAGAGGTCAAGAACAGACAAAATATTTAATTCCACCCCTCCTTACAATAAAAGAGCAAATAACTGCCCAATGGGAAAGTTTCCGAGCATCCTAATCTAAATGACATACCTTGAAACCAAGCAAAGTAATTTTATTCTGAGTTAAGCAAAAAGAAAAAGGTTTCAACTTTCCTCTGCCATGACTGCAGCTTTGACTTTGTTTCTATTGTAAACACTGATGGTATTTCTACCCTGGAACAAACAAGCAAAAACAATCCAACCAACAACCATACAGAATCAGACAGTTTGGCACAAAGAAATGTACCAAACTTAGGAAGTCACATTACTTTCTGCAACCCTAAGCAGCAACAGTATTTTAGCCATTTTAAGAGTTAACTACAATAGAGTATATCTGTGAAACAATGGTCCTAATACACAAGGGAAAAGCAGAATCTCTTAAGCAGCTCTGGATTCATTTCCACAATATGCATTGGCCCACTTCAAGGGAAGTCTGCCTATTTGATTGTTGGAAATGTAGCTGCTGCGTGAGTGCCAGGAAAATCCATAAATCACCACGAGAAGGCATATTAATAACTGTCTCTTTTCTCATTCACCTCCTGAAGCAATCCATTTGGTTGCTTAGTTTAGGCATGCTGCGACTGATTCATTCAATCACTTATTAACATAGTAAAAGCAATTAACAAAAAAAAAGTGAAGACAAACAACTAATATCACTACTGCAAAAAAGGGACACCAAAAATCTGTTCCTGCTTGCAGCTCAACAAATACAAGCTACTTCACTCATCAGAACTCAACTCAAAATTGCTTTAGTGTGCTGTCTGTTATAACAAACCAAAACCATGTAAGATAAATGGCATACAATAAAGATTTAGGGTTGCACCCAGTGTAGTGCTACGCAGTGTGTTTCATCAGCCTAGGGATCCCCACTTGCACAACTCCTTGCACCCCACCCTACAAATCTGTTCTGGGTTTCCTTCCCAAGGTGTTAGTTGGATACTACCCTTAAAAGCTATTTTCAAAGCTTTTCTAAAAAGTTCAACAAAGGAGACATTTTGTATATGCTACCTGGTCTTCCTCTTCATCCTCCTCATCTTCTGCCAAACGCTGCCTGCCCACCTCGTAGAGCCTGCAGACAGTATCCATGTTCATGGCATCCATGCTTCCTTGGTTCTGAAACAGGAACCAGATACCAAGTATGGTAGGTTAGCTTCCATCCAACATGCTGGACTGACAAATTCAGCAACACCACCTGCATCATCATCATCATCATCATCATCATCATCTCTCTATCCCAGTTACACACCTACACTTACAATTGAACAGCCGTTTGATTATCTTGTTTGGTTCTTGTAATGCAAGAAAAAGACATTTACCTCAATCACCGCCAAGTAACAGTCCTTTGTGTCTGTACACAGGTCAAATATGTTCCTTTTCACATCAATGGTGGCTGGAAAAGAACACATGTTTTAATCCACATTTAGCCAAGACAAAAGATGCTGAAAGCCAAAAAGGAAACAAAGAAAACCTCAAAAATTTGAGAAATGTATTAAATCATCAAATTGTAAAGTTGGAAGGGACCACAAGAGTCATCTAGTCCAACACTCTGTAATGCAGGAATCTTTTGCCCAACATGGGGCTCAAATCCACGACTCTGAGATTAATAATCTTATGCTCTGACTAAGCTAACCATGTGCCTAACAGTCTATCACCTTCTTCAGAGCAAAAACATTTTTCTTGTACTAACAGGGTGATTCATTCAAAGCTAGAGGCAAAAGCATATCAGGCATAGTGTAACCTTTTAATAAATCTCTCCATGGTGAGCATCATTTCAAAGCATTGCCTTGTTTTACATATATAGACAGTGGAGGAGGGTTCTGGTCCTCTTGGTGCAACCCCTTCCTTCCCTAGCTGTTCACAAGGAAATCCTTTTTGGTGAAGCTGAACCACAACTGCATTCTTAAAAGGAGGTGTAATGATATCTATGACCGTTTCTCCAGGAAGCAAGCTAGAAGCTTTCTGCAAAGAAAGTGAAAGTAATATACAGTGGTACCTCAGGTTAAGTACATAATTCGTTCCGGAGGTCCGTTCTTAACCTGAAACTGTTCTTAATCAGAAACACCACTTTAGCTAATGGGGTCTCCCGCTTCCACTGTGCCGCCGGAGCACGATTTCTGTTCTCCTCCTGAAGCAAAGTTCTTAACCCGAGGTACTATTTCTGGGTTAGCAGAGTCTGTAACCTGAAGCGTATGTAACCCGAGGTACCACTGTATGTAGTTTTGCTCAATATAAATTCAGGTACAGTGGTGCCCCGCAAGACGAATGCCTCGCAAGACAGAAAACCCGCTAGACGAAAGGGTTTTCCGTTTTTGAGTTGCTTCGCAGGACGAATTTCCCTATGGGCTTGCTTCGCAAGACGAACATGTATTGCAAGTCTTGAGATTTTTTTTTCGCTTTCCCCCCCTTTTTCTAAGCCGCTAATAGCCTTTTAGCAGCTAAGCCGCTAAGCCGCTAAGCCTTTAATAGCCGCTAAACCGCTAATAGCGCTAGGGTTGCTTCGCAAGACGAAAAAACCGCTAGACGAAGACACTCGCGGAACGGATTAATTTCATCTTGCGAGGCACCACTGTAAGCGCAAGCACGATCTTTACCAATTGGTTTGTAGTCTGTTGCATTGAAAGTCCTGAAAGATGATCCAAAGGGACTCCGCATCCTCTCTTCCAGAAGATCATCTTCATCGTCAGCCTGCAACATTGCTGATCAAGGGGAAAAGGTGTTTAAGTAAGCAGTTTCTGATGGTCTAAAATTGTTTTAGGAGCATAGGAATCTGCCTTTTACTGAGCCAGGCTAATAGTCCATCTAGCTCAGTACTACACACACTGATTGGCAGCAGCTCTCCATGGTTATAGGCAGGTGGCATTGCTAGCCCAACCTGGAGATGTGGGAGACTGAAGCTGGTGCTTTCTGAATGCAAAGCACATGTGACGCTGAAACATGGAGAATGGAACCAACTAGAGCAGCCTTCCCCAACCCGGTGCCCTCCAGATGTTTGGGACTATGAATCCCATTGCCCCTGACCCTTGGGCTATGGTGGCTAGGGCTGAAGAAAAGTGTAAGCCAAAACATTTCGACAGCACCAAGTTGAAGAAGGCTGCCATAGACCATTGGACTGGCATATTCAGAAAAAGGATAGAAAAATTGTAGCGTTTTTCTCTGAAGAATTTGAGCTACCTGTTGAATAAGTATATGCATAGGCTTTGAGTTGGGAAGGATGGGCTTGAGAGCAAAGGAAACTGAGTAGGTGTGTAAGGCTGCATTGGAAGGAAGAGGAAGGAACAAGTAGGGAAATGGATAATCTGGAAGAGGGAACGAGATATCAGGGTAACAGCAAGAAGTGCTAGAAAATGAGGAGAGAGAAGGAGGAACCAAACAGAGCATCTATGCAAGGCCCCCGGGAACCAGCAAGCATCCCTTCTGTATTTCTACAAGTAGCAGAAACTAACCAGTCAGTCAAACCGCTGCAAAGTTCCAGCCCACCTTTGGAACTCTGCAGGAAGACATTGCACTCCCTGTTGAGACCCAGCACACAGCTGAGCCAGGAGCCTTTTTTTTAAGTGACAAAACATGCAATTCTGCATGCCTTGGCTATGTATGTTTTTGTTAACTACCACAAAGTAACATAGGAAAAGGCATCTTACTAATGGGCATCTTACCTCCGTACATGACTGTTCCAGTATGGTTGAAGACTACACGGCACTGATCCAAGGCTGGCACTGTGTGTAGCAAGTGGAAAGTTCGAAGGTCCCACTGAGGAACGTGTTAGGGAAGAATCCACGCAATCATCTATTGAAATACCTGCAGCAGCAATTAGCATGTGAATAATGCCAAATATATTGTTGGTAGATGTAGCTGCCAGCTTTGTAGCTGCCAGCACTGACTCAGCAGCTGCCACCAAGATCAAGCAGGACTTCCCAATATCTAGGACTTCCTCTAGCCCAGCCTTCTCCAAGCAAGTGTCGTTGTTTTGAACTACAACTCCCGTCAGTGCCAACCTGCATGGCCAATGGTCTGCATTATGAGATCAGGGATGATGGCACTAGGTTACAGAAGGCTGACCTACTACACTTAAGTCTGATTGTCCCATCTTCCTCCCTGGCCCAATTCCGAACTGCTACCCTCATTAATATTTGAAAATCAGACAACAATGACTCTCTGAATTCAACTTTACAATATTGCCTTGCAAAGCGCTTTGTCCTAGCCACTTTGAACAGGAGGGCCCAAATTGGCATTGCAATATGCGCAGCCAACAAACTTACTAATCCAAGCTACTGCCCTATCTTGAAGAATCCTATTACTGCATTTCATCTGATAAAACAAGAAACATTACACCACATTCTGCAATCATTTGTTCAGCACGCCAAGCTCCTTAAGATCATTGTGTGAGTCACAGCTCAGGCACAAAGGATACAATTTCTGTGTTGACTATGACTTCCAGCCCATTTGGATGAAAAACACCACTGATGGTCATGTTGAATTTATCAAACTTGTGAATAGCCTGTGCAGAGCGGACATCCCAAAGGACGCCATCATTTAAGACAAGGTCGTCTGTGGGGTTAAAAGTGGCACAATTCTTCTTGTAGTTGTTTGCAAGATCTGGATTAAACAGAGTTAACAGCTTGTTGCCAGTCTGAATATCATAGATCTTTTGGATTAAAAAGAAGAAAAGAAAATAGTCAAGATCTGCAATTCGTTTGCATCTAAAGAGAACAAAAGTATGTGCAATAGTGTCAAAATCATTTTTTGCAGACAACCACCTGCCCTGAGTTTGCTCATTCACCTTGAAAAGAGTTTACAAGTTCATGATCAGTCTCTGTGGGAGTGCTCAGTGCATTAATTCTGTATTCTGACAATGCCCAGAAATCATTACAGACACTACTGGGTTAGAGAGAAATCAAAGGGCATTACAGTGGTACCTCCGGTTACAAATGGGACCTGTTCCAGAGGCCCAGCCATATCCCGAAATCTTCGTAACTGGAGGTGCCTGTTCTGTGCATGGCACAGCACCGTAGAGCGCTTCTGCGCAGGTGGCAAACCCACTTCCGGGTTTGCCACGTTCACAACCCGAAAGTTACGTTACCCGAAGGTAACGTAACCCAAGGGTCCACTGTACTGCTTAAAGCCTACCTACAGTAAGGTTAAGAGGCAGATGGTAAGCTTCATTTAATAGCTTATGTAACAGTAGATGAATTATTTGCATTGCTACCAACTGCAATGTTAGGAGTACATTTTAAGAATTCTAAGAAGGGTTGATTCTTCCTAGATTCCCCCAGTCACCAATCAAGGAAAACAAGTAGCAGGAACCTCACAAGTATCAAAGAGTCCCCTGCATTTATTTCCTAGCTCTTGAATTAAATCATTTTTCCTATACCTTGATACTCTCAACAACCAAGAGTCCCTTAAATTTACACAATCCTCTTTTTAAAAAGCAGCAAAAGAATAAACAAACACTGTAAAATGGCACTACACTTTTTTTTTAATAACTAAAGATACAAACCTATCGGACAAAGGACCAAACCTGTGTTGTTCTATTGTGGTAGCCATGTTAGCACGTCACAGCAAAATCAGTTAAGAATTTTGTAGCACCCTTAAAGACTATTGATTATGGAATAAGCTTTTATAAGATGGATCCTAGTCTACAGAAGCCTATGCCATAAAAATATGCTAGTCTTTTAACATGCTACAGGGTCAGTGTGCTGTAAATTTAAGAAAACAATTTAATTTTTATTTCAGCTGCTTTTCATAAATTGCTGCAGATTCACTGCTTTTTACTTCTGCACTTTGTGCACTTAGCTGATACTAAATAGTAATATTGCCAATTTGTATATTCTGCTTCAATACAGGAATGTTTTCTGAGACTGCTTCAAATTTTAAATGAGTCAACCAAGAACAACCTTTCACAAGTCGCGTAAACTATCCAAAACTGGCAATGCATGAGGTTTCTAGAGCAGTGTAACCTAAGGAGCGCATCCACTACTGCTCATTTACGATGGAAATTTCTTTCTTAATTGCCAGAGAATGTGCAAACTGACCAAGAAGTAAAGGCTGCTGCTCAGAAAACTGTTGTGCAAAGTCTCAATCCATTACAGTAGAAAAAATCCCTAATTGAGATTAGGGATTGTGGGTAATGAAATAAAGAGACTACCATAAAGGATTCCATGTACCACATGGTAGAAAAAGAGTCACAAAATGAAAAGTTATCATTCTGACATATATGCTAAAAAGATTTTTGCAGACTTGTTTTCTTTAAAATTATTTTCATATAGATGCTTAAGTGGAAATCAAACCATACTCTGAACATTTGAATTTGTTTCTTTTACCCTTCTCTCAGATACATTTTATGTACAGGATCCTTTAAACACTAATTTCCCTTTGCCGAAGCTAAGAATAAATTTTTTTAGCCTGTTGCCTCCCAAATGACCGGATCATGAGGTAAGATCAGATTTCTTTTGAAGGCTAAGATAAAGAACACAGCAGAGCAACATAGAAATAATACTTTGTTTAAATGCAAATATATAGGGAAATCAACAAAAGGGCAAGGAAAATTGTGAAGAATTTGAATAGATTTATGCTTTATGACATTTGTCTTCCTAAAGTAAGACAGTCCCCGAGATTATCTCTGCTTGACACTGCCACCTTCAGATTGCTTCTAACTCCTCAGAACAGAGAATATTTGATATGTTATACTAGAAAAGTAAAATTACTGGCTCATTTTCATTCATCCTGAAATAAAGTACAGATTCTCTTTAAAATCTCTAACAATTTATTTTTAAACCGATGAGGAAACATTAAATTATATATTGGGGGGGGGGCAGGGATAACTTCCAGGTGAATGTGTCTTAGGAAACAATCCAGAAAATGTCCTTTATGATAAATCAACTAGGCTAGGCATTATAGATCCCCAAAGGAAGGGCAGGCATAACACCAAGGAGGGGCCCAGGTTTCACCATTGGACATTATTGAGCCAATGAGGTCAAAGGTCATCTAATCCAGCCTCCATAAAGCAAGATCCATCACCAGATCCATCCATGGCACTGTCACATTTGAACTAACTGCTAGATCTCTTTCAAGCAACATCAGAGCTTAGTTAGCCCTCTCTAACTCATTCACACAGCACTTTTCTTCTGTTACATAATAGCTATGGTTGGGCTACTGAATTTCATTATTTTTTTTCAGTTCACTAAACTTGTTCAGTATTAATCTCATCCTATACCGCCAAGGATGATGAATCTGTGATCCTTTAGATGTTGATAAGACTACAACTTCCATCAGTCCCAGCCAGCATGGCAAACAATCAGGTTTGATGGGAACTGTGGACCCATAACATTTGGAGCACCACGAGTTCCTCATCCCTACTCTATGCAATGTTTCAAAGTTCTTCCCATAAGAAACGGTTCTGGCATGCAAATAGCTACAATATGCTTACACAGAGAATATTAAATTAGCTTCGGAGATTTAAAAAGTGATACTTACATGGGCAATGTCCCCCTTTGTGCCAATAACCCTGTCCTGAGAGTGCTTGCTGAATTCCACATAGTGGTCATCTGTGAAGGAATGCCTGCACAGGAGAATCAAATGTTCAATACGCAGTAAGAGATCAAAGCAACAATGTTTCTCAACAGTCATTTTGTGCACCTTTTAATGAATTATTGCATCACAAAATACAGAATATACTGGTTCTTGAGCTAATAATAAAATATACTATAAAACCCAGCTATATTCACTACTAGGGCAATCTTTACCTATCTGTCATCTGCCTAATATGCATTCAAACGAGTCCATAGGATTATAGTCACTTAACAGATTGCTCCTTTAATGGTCTGGTCTATCGGGGTAATGAAAACACAATAAAGAGTGTACATACTTGGTTTCAAAGACAGACTTCATTCCCCACAATGCAGAAAGAGGCTGGCTCCAAGATGCAGATGTCAGCAGTAAAGAGCCATCCTGCAGTTTAGGGGAGACAACAAAGAAGCAAAAGTGTATTATTATTATGCGTGTGGATGTATTCTTATTTAGCAGGATGTTGGGAGAAATGTCCTGCCATTTTGTTCTGGGAAGTAAGAAAGCCATCAGAGCTGCTAATTGTGCCATGATGCAAACAACGTTTTGGGTAGGTAACAATACTGGCAGTCCAACGTCACCACATTTGTCATGCAGGTAAACCCAATGATCATCTCATCAGTCGTTTGGGATACGTGGCCACTCCAAATGACCTGTTCTGAGCAAAGCTTCATTATCATCATCATCATCACCACCACCACCAGCAGCAGCAGCAGCAGCAACTGCTGGGAATCATGAGTGGGAGAGAGTTGCTGTGGCACTTGTGCCCTGCCCCTGCAGGCTTCCTCTAGACGTCTGATTGGTAACTTGTGAGAACAGGATGCTGAGCTAGATGTGTCTTTGGCTTGATCCAACAGGGTTCTTATGTTCTTATAATGCACAGCAGCATGGGGAAGTGAGCTTTTCACAAGATTAACCTCAACCAAGGGTAGCCAAAATGGTGCTTTCCAAATGGTATGACTACATTCCTGACCATTGGCCATCCTAGCTAACGCTGACACAGAAGGTGTCACCCATAAAACCTGGACGGCACCCCATTGGCTTACAACTGTGAGAACTGTCACTTAGAATCAGAATTGTAGAGTTGGACTCTTAGATTAAGAGTCTCATGCTCTACCGACTGAGTGGGTAAATGTATCCCTTAACAAACTGATTTGTGGCCTCTGTTGGTGAAATATGGAAAATGAGTGCCTTGCAAACAGGGACTGGTCTTCTAGAATCAATCTCTCCCGCAAACTTTCATACTTTCAGATTTAATAGAAAAGCATTTTTCCTGTTTAAATACTGTACATATTAAACCCATATCAGCCTCATATCCCTCCTAAATACTGTTGTTGTTGTTGTTATTGTTGTTGTTGTTGTGTCCATGCAAAGCGACTGATCTCTCTTCCCCTGTCACAAAATATTGGATGAGACCGAAACTGACAGGTAACATTTTACCCCTCCCCTTGTTATAATTCCATATTACTCACAAGCGGCTTGAATAAGAATATACTGGAAATTTGGAAACCTATGACAAATTACAGATAGCAATCACTAAAAATTCCCACTTACACTAATATATTCACACCATTACACCCAATGGAAGGGTACGCTGTAGTAAGGTAAACGGTAAAGGACCCCTGGAAGGTTAAGTCCAATCAAATTTGTCTATGGGGTGCAGTGCTCATCTCTGCTTTCAGGCCGAGAGAGCTGGCGTTTGTCCACAGACAGGTTTCCTGGTCATGTGGCCAGCATGACTAAACCGCTACTGGCACAACGGAACACAGTGATGGAAGCCAGAGTCCACAGAAATGCCGTTTACCTTTCTTTGCAGCGGTACCCATTTATCTACTCGTTCTGGTGTGCTTTCGAACTGCTAGGTTGGCAGGAGCTGGGACAAGATGGCAAAGTGAGAGGAACAATGGAATAGGGGACAGGGTATGAAGCATGTCTTGTTTATAAACAAGCCCAAATTAGAGCAGAGGTTTATGTTCTTTCCTGGCTTAGCTCTGCATCCTGATTCTGAAGGGAGATTTGACTAACCCCTGTATCATTCATGAAGCCTAGAACCACAAGGTTGTTGCGATGAAGAGGCCCACGGTGCTATGCTACTGTTCCTTACCCTAGAAGGCTCAAGGTGTGTGATGGCAGAGTTGTGGCACTTATAGCTGGCCTCCTCCTGCCCACTGAAGACATTGTAGAGTTTCAGGTGCCCCGTGCAAGTGCCCAGCATCAGGAATCGCTCCCGCGCAGAAAATGCACAACACGTGAAGCCACTCTCATCTTCATTTGCTTCCCGGAACACAGAAATTGGACGGAACCTGGGAAATCAAAGTGCAACTGAGTAAAAAAGCGAGCTGTTAAAAACGTGAGAGGAGGATTGGCAAATGACCAAAACTGTATGCGATAAATTGCTAGGTTGGAAGTCATGACTGCCATCTAAAGGGAATGCAAATATCTATGAATGCTCCAAACGTGAAAGATGCTGGAGAAAACTGTCAGGAGGTGGAAAAACAAGGAATGGGATAAAAAGCCACAGGTTTCGTCCAAAATATGGGTACTCAAGTCTACCTTTTGGAAAGCTGGATCCAAAGATTCAAAGGAATTGAGAAAAAGCATCTTGCTTACCTGCTGAATATAAGGTGCCTATCAAAGCATCCACCATCCACCCCGCCGTACTTTGGAAAGGCCGCCCTGCGTGACAGCCGCGAGGTAAAGTTAGTTGGCGCTTGGCGCCTCTGTTTTGGCTCAGGACACTGGTGGGGTGTAAAAAGAGAGAAAGGAGGGCAAGTGGCCACAGGGTTCTTGCAGCGAGCATGCTGTTCCCTAAGGTACTCTGTGATTATACTGTCCAGTGTGGGAGGGGAAGGGAGGTGCCTGTCCAGCTGCTTTTTGATAGCTGGGCTCTGGCTGTAGGCGCCATGGTCTGATTTTTGCCGAAGCACTCTGATTTTCCTGCCGTTGCAGGGAGACGGCCTCTCTCGAACAAAGCTAATCCTGCCAATCACTGGAGAGCTGGTGGCCTGAGATGGCCCCGGGAGAGCAAGCGAGCCCTGGCAGGCAGTCTGCCTTGGCTGGGCATGGACAGAGGAAGCAGCGGGAACTACAGAAGGGTGGTTAGTCAACCGGGCAGAAATGCCATTCGCTATACGAGGGGTACGAGGCAGAGGCACAGGAGAGGCGGCAGCAGGAACAGGGGTGAAGGCGGAGGAATGAGAAGCAGCCGTCATGGGTAGATCCGCCTCCTTGGTAAGAATGGTAGCAGTTTCTCCCAGCCCTTTAGAGATGAGATGGTTCCTGATCAAAAGCAGCAGCTCCTTCTCGGGAAACGAAATCCTCGACTGAGCCACGACGTCTGCTTTCTGAAGTCGAGCCAAGGAGACGTCTGTCCCAATCAGCAAGGGTTTCCCAGAGACCCGCTCAATCAGCTCAGCAGCATACTTGCAAAACTTCACGTGCTCGCTGCGCTTATCCTGGAGCACAGGCTCCTTCATCAGCTGCTGGATCTGGCAGCTGCTGAAGAGAGGCAACTTGCTGATGATCTGCCGGACCGTACTGCTCCGGGACAACCCCACCAAGGCTTTGCAGGCCAACGCTCGGATCTGGTCGGCATCTGTAATGGGCATTTTCACAGACAGCAGAGACAGCAGCACCTTGATGCCGTTGTTGGACTGCACTACGTTCCACATCTTGGCCAGGGTGTGCTCGCCGCTCCTGGGTGCCTGGGGGAGCATCCGGCGTGGGGTGCCAGAGATGAATTTGCCAATGCTGGAGATGCGGTTATCTGGGCCACACACACAGTTAATAATAATCTGAAGGGCTGACTTCTGGATTTCTGCATCGTGGATAAAGAATTCTCCTTCAGCAAGCCCCAGGATGATGCTGATACCTAACAAAAAAGGAAGCATTTGCACACTGGATCAGTCGTCTGTCCAAATAGGGCACATCAGTATATAAGAACCTACGAACAGCCCTGCTGGATGAGGCCTATGGCCTACCTGCTCCAGCACTCTGGTCTCAGAGCGGTCAACCAGATGTCCACAAGTAGCCCCAAAGCAGGACCTGAGCAACAGCACCCTCTTCATCCATGATTCCCAGCAAATGGCATTCAAAGGCATCTAGTGCCTCCTGCCTAGTATAGGAGGCAGCGTAAAGCTTACTGAAAATTTCAGCAACTAATGAAGAGATTTATAAAGTTAAGGATGGAAAGCAACTGAAAAGGTCAAGTTCTACATACCCACAATGGAAATAGAAGTTCCTCCCTCATCCACCGTATCTACCGCCTCTGCTAACTGCAACTGGATTTTAGGAACCACAGTAAGGATGGCCAGAACATCCAGAGCGTAACGCACTGTGTCATTCCTAGAAAACGAAAGCAAGCGGTTGTGGAACCCTTTTAAGGCAAAGATCAGCTACACAAAATAACACAAATCCATTACACCAGCAGTCATTCCAGGCTAGAAGAGCGTGAATGTGGGCAGACACTCGCCTGGGGCAAATGACTATGGAAGCAAGCAGTGAGTTACCATGTTCAATTCTCTCACCTAGCATAGTAGGTCTTCCAGTTGCATGCTATTGAAATAAGTTGGAGCATGAGCTGCACACAAGACAGCTTGAGGAAGACCTCTGCTGGATCCCAATAGAGCTGTCCCGGCCCATATTCTATTAGGAACTCCATCATCTCTACAATTTGTTCGTGCGTGTAGGAACAAGCCTGAAAGGAGAAGGTAGCATTCAAGAAGTCTTTTAGCATCATCAATTACTTATGAGACTTAAGAAAAAGTATGCTCCTTAAACCCAATAGTGGCCTTCGGAAAAGGGAGATCCAGAATTGTAGTGGCACTGCAAGTAAAGTCCTGCCCCGCTCACACCTTAAGGATCACACAGTTGGGACACAGAACAAAGCTTCATCTCCTGATCTCAATGCTCATGCAGGAGAAAGCAATCCTGAAGACAGGGCTTCAGGCTTAGTATCTATCAGTTTAAAATATTTGAGATTTACCATTCTGCTAAATAAATAAATGCACAAAGAATTCTGATCACAAACACTAAAGCCAAATGATCTAAAAATGTACTAAAATACAGCACAGCACATTAAAATCCAGGACTAAAAACTATGGATGCTGCTGGAAAGCTTGCCTAAACAACAGATGGCAGAAAATCATAAAGGGGGAGGGGGAACAAAGGAACCACCCATGAAAGCGATTTCCACAAGAGGAATGGGGAGGGGCCCTCAAAAAAAATTAAGGGTAGTGTGACTGAGCAAGAACTAGCATAATGTGCTCCCTATATCCATTTAAAATCAGCTCCACAAAGAACCTGTCAGAAATCATTCCACAAAGCTACCAAAGCACTTGTGCAGCAGAAAGGAGTGCAGTCAGTTTATCAGATTTGACTAACATGACTTTTTGACATTTTTTTGCAAGAATATCTAAAGGGTGACAGGATCAAAAAGTTCCTATACCTCTACAAAACACACTACTCACCTTATATGGAGGCTGCGGATGGACCAGGATGCCACCTTCAGTGCGCTGGAGTGACTGCTTCACCTGTTCCACTTTGATGGCAAGATGAGCCTCAAAATACCTGCGCATGGCCATGCAAGTGTGTTTCCCAGTCTGGCGGCTGGCAAAAATCTCATCGTCGCTTAGTAGTGCACCTTGGGTTTGCAGGTTTAAGATATCAAGAGTGCTAATCTACAAGGAAAAAGAAACATATTTGCCATTATGTTATTTCCCACACCTAAAGGCTTATCGTCTTATTTTTTCACTCAAATAAAAGAATTAGATCAGCCAAAGAAAACCTGTGCCAAGAAGCTGCATTAACTGCCAGAGCTTTCAATACATATAGGCAACCTGACAAAGCAACTCTCATAAAATGAGCCAGTTTGTTCATTTGCAATTAAAGAATCACTGTTCGCTTAAAAAAAAATATTATGTAACATACCCAGAAAGATTGAATCAGGAAAATGGAGAAGCACAAGAGAAGGAGTGTTATTCCATTTTTACTGGCTTTGTCCTTTATATGCAGTGCAGTAAACCAAACTCTCTACTTTAATTGCTAAAGAAGAAACTACGTCAATAATCTGTTCCTCTTATCACCACAGACCATAGTTCTCTCTAAATAGGACTCCTAAGACAGCAGCAAAGATCACTCTTACCTTTACCACTACTATTAATTTTATAATGAATGATTTTAGAGTGTTGTTTGTGCTGTACTTTTGTACTGTTTTATTGTTGTTAGCCGCCCTGAGCCCGGCTTCGGCTGGGGAGGGCGGGATATAATTAAAAAAAATTATTATTATTATTATTATTATTATTATTAATTAACTGCCTGAGGATCTCGGAAATGTTACATATATTAAGTTGTTTTTAATTACTATTTACATTTGTTAGTCACTTTATACCAAAAAGGTATGAAAGTGACTTAACAAAATAAAATCCAAACATATAAAAACAATTAATAATCAGAAAAAGTTAAACCAATGTACAATACAAAGTATCGCATGCTCATCCAATGACAAGATTAGGAGGATAAGTTATAGCCAGTGAAGAGAAGCATGGTTAGAAAGGGGAAAGATAGATGTCCCAAAGCATGCTGGTGCTGGTAACAGTCACACTGCGGCCATGTTCACACATAATGCTAAAACATGGTTTAACGCTAGGGAGTGAGAGTTCACAAGTGTGACCAAAGCCTAAGACTCAGCACCCACCCTCTCTTCTGCCCACATGGCCAGGAAGAGAAGTTTTATTTCACTTTCAAATAGCCGTGCTTTAAGGCTTTGTAGAAAAGAGGAATTCTGGTTTACAACAAGGGTTCTTAAGCAGATTTCTAAACAGGTTATGAAGCTGGCCTTGTGCAGTCTCCCTGCCATCTCCTCCATTCAATCTATTGCAGAGAAGCAGAATATTCTATAAACGATGAAAGAAAGGGAATACCTTATATACTAGCAGTGAGGAACTGCCAACCCGCAGGCCTATTTAGGTCCAGCAAGGTTCCTAAATGAGACTATTTTGCTCAAACCACATCCATCTGCCCAACATTTGACATCGTATGTGACGTCAGGTATGGGGCACGTAAAAACATGGCTGGGATTGGCTGCAAATGGAGGTTCACTGGGATGAAGTCATCTGATGGGCACTGAGAGGGAATCCCTCTGAAGTTGTCACCTGCTCCTACTGATGTCAGGTGATTGACAGCCCTTCCAACCTATCAGAGATGACTCACAGGGAGGTAAGACTTCTGGCCCACCGTCCGCATCCAGTTCCCCACCTCTGGCCTTGCAGGACCAGCTGAGGCGCAGAAGACTTGGCAGTGGCACCCCAACCCCACTTTAAGATGTTCTGAGAAAACACCTGAAAATATGAAACTGCTGTAACACTTACCAAGTTAACAAGGCGCCGTAAGCCATCATGCCTATCGAAGAGCTCCAAGACCGCACGGAATGAAAAACAGATAGAGAAGAACATGGTAGCATGGCAGCAGCCCGAGGCATGAGAGCATTCCATCAACCACAAGGTGTAGTTCACAACATCTGATAACACGTGGGGATGCATGCAGACCTAAGAACAAGAAGATGCAAGGGCAATCCTCAATGACGTTCATGAAACCACATGTAATTCTGTTTTAACCCTCAGCAATGCCCCCCACAGTAAGCAACAGACTATCTAACAATTCAGTCACACTTGCAGTCTCAGCTGCAGCCACACTTAAAAAACTTTTTGCATTCTTGCTTAAGATGGTGGTTGGGATAAGCAACTAATAATTAATAGATCAGAGTTAAAACATAAAGCAGCTAATTAACAAAATCAATCCAGGCGTTTAATAAGAACGTGTGTGAAGTATGCTTAAAAGCTAAGAACGTAGGGGAAATGGTTGTGACAAAATGCAGAAGCACATGCAACACGTTTATGTTGCCAATTGGGAAGGATAGCAAAGGTCTTTGCAATCACTCTCAAATTCCTTTCAAAGTGCTAGATGTACCAAGCTCAAAAAAGTTTGGTACAGTCGTACCTCGGTTTTCAAACATAATTTCGACTTCCGAAATGTTAGAAAACCGAGGCACGGCTTCCGTTTGGCTGCAGGAGCTTCCTGCACTCAAGCGGAAGCCACACAGGATGTTTGGCTTCTGAAAACGCTCGAAAACTGGAACACTTACTTCCAGGTTTTTGGTGTTCAGGAGCCAAAACATAGGAGTACCAAGGTGTTCAAGAACCAAGGTACTGTAATATTATATTTATGGGTTACGCTGTGTGGGTGACACCCAAAGGATCCACTGATTTGACCCATTGACCCATTGATTTCAATAGGTTTACTCTGAGCTCAGTGAGCGTGGGGCTTGCCTCCACTTTAGCTTCAGAACAAGAAACCTATGAAGTTGACTCCCGAACACTGAAGTTAACAGGGCTGGCATCAGAGCCTGTTGATCTGATCTCGCTTTCTGCACTCTTGCTGAATTGAGGTAGATTCTTGCAGTCAACTGATGACTGACAAACCAGTATCCCATTAAACAGCAGCCACATGAGCATGTTGAAAACAGCATATGAGGAAAAGCCAACGTTTGATGGAGGTGTCAGAAGATCAAGAAATAATTCCAGTCGGCATGTAAAAAGTGTGGTTGTGTGAATCCACCCAAAGAGGAACCTGCTAGGTAGTATTCAACAGTTGTTTTGTGCTGGCAAAAGCAAATTTGCTTGCAAAAGGGAGGGAACTCAATTTTTACTGTTTCCTCCTCCCAATGCAGCCCCACTGTATTTTAAATACCTACAATTTCTGTTAGCAGAATGGAATCTTACCCTTTCCATGGCATCCTGATTGTAAGACAAATAATATAAGCACATGGAGACACCTGTAGCTGCCATGGAAGGACGAGGAATCTCCAGCAGCTTTTGCACTCCTCCATGAGCAACAAACTCTGTTGCAAACTTGTTGTGGAGCAGCAGCGATGCCAAATACTGCGAACAGAAACCCAAAGTCAATATAGAAATCCACTAACAAACCCTTGGAGTTCTCTGATACCAGTGAAATGCTCTTCTCTGCAATTTGCACAGAGTGGTAAAGGAAAGAGGATATTGCCTTCTTGGACTGCACCTGCCTGAGAGCAAAAAGATGGCCTTGGTATAACACCACCACCTTCTAACTCAATCGCCTATAAATAGCTTTATCAACTCTGTAAAGCAGCCATCAGATATTTTCCTACAATTTAAGAAGACAAAAGTTTGTTTTGCATGTCTATGCATTTCAAAAGTAAAACACAAGGCAATTCTGAGCAAGGAAAATGTCTCTTCTCTCTTGCAAAGGATTTAAAGTGTAAAATAGCACCAGTGTTCTGTAGTCTCATCTCAAGGCAGCAGCAGTAGCAGAACTTGGGAGAAAACCATTTTATGTCCCATTAAATTTAGTGGAACAACACAAGCAGCAGGAGACAACAACATAATATGAAGATCTGGGTGCAGCACCAAGGAATCAGCTGACTGATTCAAAGCAGCTGGATAGCAAATTTATCTGGGACTGCATCACTCAAATTTGAAGCCTTTCTTGGCCCACAAAAAGACTCTGGACTGGCTCTCTTCCAAGACCAAAGGGAGAATATTAACACTGCATTTTATTTTGCCTTGAAGAAACACTTTGATGACAGAATGTGAAAGGCTGAGGGTATGAAGCGCTGAGAAGTTAAGAAATGCATTCAAGTAAGCACAGCAGCATCAGGATTAGAATCAAAGCTAAATCTGAATTCTAGGTTTTTTATTTTTTTAAAAAAATCTATCTAAATGTAGCCTTAAACACAGTGATTTTAATGAATATTCACATTGTTGTGAACTGACTTGAAATTTTGAATAAAAGGCAGTATAGACGTGTTTTAAATAAATAAAATAAATAGACCAAAGCAGTCAGAGGAAATATACTTAATAATTAACAGATAATCATTGACCCCGTTAAGAAAAGAGCAGATGAAGGCTGCCTCAATCAAACTTAAGAGCAAAAACACAAGAACTCAGAATGCAACTTTGGCACTACTTAACTAGATATCATGTCCAGAATTATTTATTTCAATAACTGACACGGAAAAAAATAATTGGCACAGAATCACCACTTGTTAACAAGCAATTTGCTCTGCTATCATTTTACCTTCAGGGCTTCAAAGGTGAGCAGTACATCATTGGTCCGTTTCAAATCAATATAGAACATCATTAGGTCTCTTGATCCAAGTTGCATAAAGATGGGAAGCAGCTGAGAAAAGTAAAAGATTAGTTCACTGTTGAAAAAATTGTGTGGGGAGCACTTTCGACAGTATCATTTCCCTTCCCCTTAAGTTTAAAGGCAAGCGAATAATGACAACAATCAAGCTCCATCTCTGTCAAGTGACCAACACTACCTTGTATTTCTTACGGCTTAGCTAACAAGTTCCTTCTCAACAATTTTAGATGAAGGTGGTTGTCCAAGAAAGGGAGACAAGAAGAGCCTCCTGTCAAAATGTGCATTGCACCACTGAAGGAAAGGCAGTAAAGAAATCTAATAAATGCATCTTTTCAGCACTTCTTTTAAATAGTTAACTCTCATTCATATGTTCGAATTATTAAATTGCAGGGGTGGGGAACCTTTTTCAGTCTAAGAGCCCCATTCCCTCAAGGACTACCTTCCAGGGACCATATACCCCTGGGTAGAGCAATGAATGCAGCTCTGACCTTTGGACAGGGGGCTACACTCCAGCCATGCCAAAGGAAGATGCTTCTACACCAGGGGTCGGCAACCTAAGCCCCATGGGCCGGTAGCGGTCCATGAGGTTTGTCTAACTGGCCCATGGCGATCTCTGCCACCCCCCCCACCTGCTCTTACCGGCGCAGCGACTGACCTCTGGGTTGATGGCACCTGTGCACATGCGCACGGGCACTCCTCCAACCCGGATGTGCGCCAGAAATAGCATGTGCACACACGTGGAGGACAGAGAAGCGCCCCTGTGCATGCACACACACTATTTCCAGTGTACTTCCGGGTCGGAGGAGCGCCGGAAATAGTGTGTGCGCACGCGCACAGGTGCTCCTCAGACCCGGAAGTGCGCACATGCTCCTACCCATCCTCTGACGGACGGAACGTCAACCGGCCCATCCTCGGATAAGGTTGCCAACCTGTTCTACACACACACATTCTCCCTATCCAGCAGAGTTCAAGGACACATTCCACCCAGGCAACAGCACTTAAGGACAATACAGAGCAGGCCTATCAAAGGGTGTTGCCTGCGGGAGAAGCATGGCCTGGAAAAGTCTCAAGGACCAGACAGAGAAGCCTGGAGGATCACATTCAGTCCCTGGGGCCAGAGGTTTCCCACCACTGTCTACAGAGGAACATCTCCTTCTCTCAACTCAAAGAGTCACCAAAAAAATCCTGAGAAAACAATTCCAAGATCTCATTTACATGCTCTTTTTGTGATGCTCTGGACCGGGGGTAGGCAACCTAAGGCCTGTGGGCTGGATGCGGCCCAATCACCTTCTCAATCCGGCCCACAGATGGTCTGGGAATCAGCGTGTTTTTACATGAGTAGAATGTGTGCTTTTATTTAAAATGCATCTCTGGGTTATTTGTGGGGCATAGGAATTTGTTCATTATTTTTTTTTCAAAATATAGTCCAGCCCATCACATGGTCTGAGGGACGGTGGACCAGCCCACGGCTGAAAAGGTTTGCTGACCCCTGCTCTGGACACATCTTCAAGCCCGTCATCTGAGGCCCTTCTTCATTTTCCTCCCTCACAAGGTCTGGATGGTGGCAACCTTTTCTGTGGCGGCTTCCCATCTACGGCATTTTCTCCCCAGGAAGGTTCGGCTGCTACCTTCATTACATATCTTTAGGTGCCAGGTGAAATCATTTCTCTATAACCAGGCCTTTGACTGATTAAACATTCTATGGCCTTTTAAATGTATTTGTGGGAGGGGGTGATTGGTCTGTTTTTGGTTTTTGGTATTCTCATTTTGAATTTTTGAATTCTGAACTGCCCTGTGATCTTCAGCTGAAGGACGGTATACAAATTTTAATCATCATCATCATCATTCCAAACCCCCTCCCCATTAACACAATTTACAGTGGTGCCTCGCAAGACGAAATTAATCCATTCCGCGAGTGTCTTCGTCTAGCGGTTTTTTCGTCTTGCGAAGCAACCCTATTAGCGGCTTAACGGATTAGCGCTATTAGCGGTTTAGCGGCTATTAAAGGCTTATCGGCTTAGCGGATTAGCTGCTAAAAGGCTATTAAAGGCTTAGCGGCTTAGATAAAGGGGGGAAAAGCGAAAAAAAAATCTCAAGACTCGCAAGACATTTTCGTCTTGCAAAGCAAGCCCATAGGGAAATTCGTCCTGCGAAGCAACTCAAAAACGGAAAACCCTTTCGTCTAGCGGGTTTTCCGTCTTGCGAGGCATTCGTCTTGCGGGGCACCACTGTAATTGGGTCATAAAAGGAGCCCATCCAGACATTGCTTGTTTCCTTGCCTTTTGTATACCTACCTCTTGATACTCCCCTAGGGGAGTCAAATACTGCAGAATTAACCTTTGCTCTATAGCGGAGGTCAAAGGGTATAACGTATAGTTTGTGCCAATCACCCAAGGAGACATCTCTGACCAGCTGCTGTTAGACAGTTCAACAAACATCCTTTCTGGCTCTGAAGAGAAGCCAAGTTTTTGTTTTGCTTTCCGGAAATTCTCTCTTTCATGTTGCTTCCCTGATTTTTTTGTGGCAGAGTTCACCCGACTACTAGTCTTGTGATTTGAGTCAAGGTTAAATGAGATTTCCATATCCCCTGTAACTTCCTCCTGTTCGCCATCCACAGCCATCTCCCCATAATCCATGTCCACAGCTTCTTCATCCAGAGGCAGCAGAGAGTCTGAGGGTACTTTTCGAGGACTGGGCCGCTTGTTTTCGTGTTTCGTGTTCACTTCATTCACTTGCAGCTCTCTCAAGCGCTGAAGCACAAACGCCACCTGTTGCAAAAAGAAAAGGATGCAGCACTTTCACATAAGCAAATTCAAGTCAAGTAGCCCACAGGAGACCAGGGAAGGAGAAATACAAGGCGTTTTTACCCTGGCTTCTGACTGAGAAGCAGCCCATGTGCCCTTCTCCCACAAAAAAAAACCCCAAAAGAAAAACACAGGACCAAAGGCACGGAGGGTTTTGGTTTTTTAAAAAATAGTTTCTGTGTTTAAAGCAATTTCATAGAATCATAGAATCATAGAATCATAGAGTTGGAAGAGACCACAAGGGCCATCGAGTCCAACCCCCTGCCAAGCAGGAAACACCATCAGAGCACTCCTGACATATGGTTGTCAAGCCTCTGCTTAAAGACCTCCAAAGAAGGAGACTCCACCACACTCCTTGGCAGCAAATTCCACTGTCGAACAGCTCTTACTGTCAGGAAGTTCTTCCTAATGTTTAGGTGGAATCTTCTTTCTTGTAGTTTGGATCCATTGCTCCGTGTCCGCTTCTCTGGAGCAGCAGAAAACAACCTTTCTCCCTCCTCTATGTGACATCCTTTTATATATTTGAACATGGCTATCATATCACCCCTTAACCTCCTCTTCTCCAGGCTAAACATGCCCAGCTCTCTTAGCCGTTCCTCATAAGGCATTGTTTCCAGGCCTTTGACCATTTTGGTTGCCCTCCTCTGGACACGTTCCAGTTTGTCAATGTCCTTCTTGAACTGTGGTGCCCAGATTTCCATGCAAAGACAGTTCATTTTCATTTTCTGCCTACTGTAGAAGTGCAGGGGGAAATGGACATGGGAAGAAAGGCCTGGTGATCTTTGGTGATTACAGGCAAATACATCTATGACCGATGATCTGCACAGCTAACATGTGAAATCAGTATTTCAATTTGTTTTGTTAGTTTTAAAAATTATATCCCGCTTTTCACTGTGTAGGTCTCAAAGAGACTTACAACAATAAAACATATATTCTAAAGGCAACTCCCCATTTGTTCCTGTCTGTTCGTGACATCCCTTTTAGCTCGCTGTTCTACAGATTGTACTGAAGTGTTGCCTCTGCTCTGGTTTTTATGTTTTTTTTTAATTATTTTGTATAGGTGTTTGATTTTTGTGCTATTGCTGCAAAGTGCCTTAGGCAACATTTGGTGGACAGACAGTATACAAACTTAACCAAACTTTTACAATACTCCATTTGCTCCAGGTTTTGAAATGAACACACCACACCAAGCACATTTCCAGCTACAGGGCAGATAAGCATGAGATATGCTACCAAGAGCAGAAACATTAAGAATCAATACTCCGATATGAATCTATTTCCTCCATTTGCAAAGGACAAGTACAGTATGGCAATTTCCTATAAAGCAGAACCATGCAAATTCCCCTCCAGTTTTCCATCATTCACTGCAACTTCTGAAATCACATCTGTGAGGAATGAACCCCCCAAAAGTCTTAGGATTCAATTATGCTTTGCAAGTGCTTGCTTTTAACAATGGGTGTGACGGATTTGCCATGAGTATTACCAATTGAGAATTCTCATCTCTGTAGTTAGCAGCAATGTCTTGGTTCTCCATGGCCCCTCCCAGCAATCCAGTTGCAAATGTCCTCAGAGGTTGATCAGCCTCTCGTGCCCACTTGAAGAGATTCTCAACTATGCCTTCCTAGAGTTAGTGGGGATGGGGAGAAGGACAGATATTAGCAGATAAATTCTCCTCTCCACAGCCATATACAAAGGGGAAAAAATTAAATTTATAAAGAATTGGGGAATATCTGAAGTCCTCCTACATTTTCCAAAGTGTAAGCCAGCATTTTCCAACTAGAACACCTAATGTGGATTATTTTCCACAGTAATCCCGAAGCACTTCTGTTGAATTCACAAGGATCACACTGTAATTATATGAGTGTACAGTAGAATACACTATTATTATACACTTACAAAAGCTAAGGTCCACTAAGCAATGGAACTGTGTACATATGTATAATCAAGATCTGAAGTAGTGCTAATATGCATATACTAGCAGCCTTTTGTTATTCTTGCTGTGGGATGACTTACTGGTGAGGGACAAGTCACTTTTTCAACTGAACAGCCATTTGCTCCTTCATGAAGCACAAACTGCTGCAGCAAATGCAGCAAAGAAAGTTTTTTCTCTAACCACATATCACTTCTTTGGATCCTGGTCACATAAGCTTGGGAATTTCATGCAAGTATCATCCACTTCCCGCTACCCACTACATATTGCAGTTGGGGATTGTATGTATTTGGAAGTTTGAGACTGTTTCTCCTGGGAGACCTGCAAACAGCCCAGAAGACAACTGTAAGCCTCAACTCATGATCAAGTTTTCAGAGTTGCATCCTTATGGTAAAAGACTCACAGAATATGGAAAACCTGTTTTTTTGAGAGAGAGAGACAGAGAGAGAGAGAGAGAGAGACTGAAAGTACAATTTGAAATTCACATCAGTATCGACAAGAAGGCTATTAAAAACTTTTTTAGGCTGGTAACTTTCGTGAAATTTATACGCTGTGTTTTGTGAACTAATTTACACAGCTGGCATAATGACTCCAAGGCGCCCTAAAACAGATTTTTTATTTCTCACTCCTTTGAAACATAGTTGCTGTCTACCTAAGTCTCTAGAAATAGCAGAGAGAGTGGAGACTACTAAAATGGTCAACAGGAAGGTTATGTGAGCATCATCTTATATCTGAGACCTTTTCCTGAAAGACGACAGCAGTTTCCAGCCCAGGCATGATGTCCAAAAGGAGTCGACAGGCAGCGGTATTCAAAGGTGGTTCTCTGCTTGTCATCACATAAGCATTCACCAGCTAAAAAGAGATAAAGAGAATTAAATAGTACTGTCTATTAAAAAATGGTCCAGATAAGAAAAAGAAGTTGCATAAGCATGCAGTATTGGACTGCAAGAAATATTAAAGATTTCCTCCCTTATTCTGAATGAAGCCAATTTATTATGGCTTAGAGCCTGAATTACCCTTCTGTGAATGGAAGCAACAACGATCCATTGTTGGCTCCCATTGATGGAGGCCTTTTTCATCAATTCCTCCTTTTCTCTGAAGCCCCCAGCACCACCTCCCATATTACACTAGAACAGGGTTTCCCAAACTTGGGTCTCTAGCTGGTTTTGGACTACTACTCCCATCATCCCTAGCTAGCAGGACCAGCTTTTAAAAAAATAAATTTTAAATGTATTTGCCATTGTCTACAAATCCTCTCAGACCACACAGTCTGCAGGAATTCCAACTTTCCTGGAAGAGCCAGACAAGGCGCAAAGACCGTTTTGTTTTTGTTTTGTTTTTAAGAAGCTGCTGCAGGTATGCATATTAAGTTAACAAACAGAAGGCTCTCCTTTATACTCTTGTACAAGTCAGGCTTAGAAAGATTTTATATCAATTCTTGGAAGGTACATTCCTAATTAAGCACACAGCAAAGCTAAAAGAAAATGATCACTCTGGTACCCCTAACTCAAGGCAAAAAGATGACTGAGTAAAAGAATAATGAAAAGTTCCTAGCAGTCCTGATGTGCAAATCTATGGAAAAATGTAAAGGGCAAACCCACTGCATTCATGAAATCGTCGTTCTTGAAGAGTATCCTCAGCAAGTGGCCAAGCATACATTTTGGATCTGCCCGACCTAGAAAGAGATGGACAAGAATATCAGCTTGTCTTCCAAACTTGATTAGCAATAATAAATAGCAAAGTATGTAGCAAGCAAATTAAAAGGAATGGCTAAATTTTCTAGCTAGAAGTGAAAGGATGCTTCACATGTATCTTTTCTCTAAATGCATTCTGAGTAAAAAATTTTAAAATGTTTTATATGTAGAAAACAAACCTTATGTTTAATGCAAAGCACATAGTTCACAGAATTATAAACAATCAAGCAAAAAAAGATAGTCAAGGCAAATGACACGTTAGGAGTATTTAGAAAACTGAACTGGAAACAGTAATACATTACTACTGCACTAACTGTCATTCTTTCTATTAAAATATTGAAGAACTGAAATGCCTAGACCTAATAAAAAAAAAATCTCAACATATTAAATCTCACCTCCTAATCCAACTTGCTGACCACCCGATAAACCCCAAGGACAAAAAGTACAGCATACACAGAAAAAGGAAGAGAAGATTGCAACACTAACTTAATCCGCTTGGTAACACTGATCCAAAAGCAAGATAAGGCTAGGCAGTCCCACCTCATATGGTGTATCATTGCCTTGACCTGTGTGCCATTCCAGTATAAAGTAGAATCCCTCACATTTCTTTCAAATTATCTTCATGGTATCTGGTATGTGCACATCTGTAAATTTTGTCTGATCAACCTTAACAAGATATAAGTAGGAAGGTTTAAATGAGCTGGAAAACTGCCTTCTATTTGCTCTGCGACAGCTGATTCTCTCATTTTTCATTCCAGGCCTCTCACAATAAATTTAAGTCCGCTTTCAATTTATTCCTAATTTGTTTAAATATATATCACTGGCCTAAGAAACACTAAACCGAAAGTGAGGAACATGCAACCATCCAGATGCTGTTGAACTATAACTCCCATCATCCTTGACCACCAGCAGTGTTTGATGAGCTGTGGGTGCATGCAAAGGTTCCCCACCACTTTGCTACACTACTTACAGACTGAGCCGCTAAAAAGGATTCAGAAGCTCAGCAAGTGTCAGCACAAAAACGTGACTATGGGTTTTCACTGTGTGAGGTATGCCCACATTTCCCCCCCTTTATATGCATTATTTCTAAAGTAGATGGAAGGGCAAATTCTGAAAGGAATTGTTGAAATGTGTCAAGCATTGGGGAGAAATCTGAGTGCCGTCCTAGCAGATAAACTTTGTGGAGCTACATCTCTGCGGTCTTGGCCTTCCCACCCTCTCTCTCGTTTACAACACGATCAAGAATGGATCACAGTGGATTTGTATGCTCTCAATGCATCTTACCAGGGTGCCTATCATCAAATGGATCCGGATCTCGCTTGCGGTACTCTTCTGTCTCCTTCTCAATCAATTCCGACATTCTAGAAAGGGGGTGAAGAAACATGAGCCACTTGAAATCCCCCTCAGAATAAACGCTGCTAAAGAACTTCAAAAACCACTCACCCACCCACGTTCCAATTGTACTGCAGATGACTGAGACACACGGCAGTAATTCAGCAAAGGAAATAAATGAGACTCTGAAGTGCTACACCCTGCTGAAACAAGGTCTATGCTGCCTTGTAATAAATGGGTGATGTCTGCCCTCGCAAGGCAGCCACCAACACAGGAACCCAGAAGACAGTAAAGAAAGCATTTATGTTAACATCTGCTCTCTAATATTTGTTGGGTTTCTATGTTGGGAAGTATCATCAAAAAATTATAGATGATTGCTAGACACTTGCAACTAAGGACTCTTGAAGTCCTTGTTTTTCTGCCAGAATTTTTTCATGACACTCTGCCCCTCCTTGTTTCAGAAAAGCCTCACTGGGTAGGCAGGTTGCAAGCAGGACTGAATATAGCATTGCTTGTGTAACTGCACTTCTGAACAACTGTACTTACCGAGTAAGGATAGGAACAATATCTTGCCCACTGCCATGCTCTTTTTCCCACTGCTCCAGCAAAGCAGTAAGCTCAGCCTTGGAATCCACAAGTTCAGAACATGAAGTCATGACTCACCCTAAAGGTGGAAGGGAGGAAATCAGTACCAACTGGAAAGTAGCTCAGCTCTCAAAGGCATTACTTCTCAAACAAAAATTTAAAAATCTGAGTTTCCAAAAGGATTTTTTTATACACGAATGCTGCAGCCCTAAGCAAATCGCACTGAAATTAACGGGGTCTACTTCCTACTAAGAACAATTAAATTAAGCTGGGTAGATGAGGTGATTTTCACAATTTCCCTGCCCCTAGCAAATAAAATTGTACAACTCTAGGCAGATGACACATTGTATAATGATGGACAAAGAGTTCAAAAGGACCCTTGAGTTAAGGACAGAAACTGGACTTGTAAAATGGTTCAATGATCTGTTTCTTTGAAGGCTCAAATACTATTCAAGAAAGGCCAATTGTGGTGTTTTTTAAGGGCAATGTGAATCGCCTGGGAGTATTCAGTACTGAAGCATCATTTAAATTAAGTCTGAGCGGACCTAATAAACGTCTGGATGAACAGTGTATCTTGGCAGATACAAGTAAACCTCTCTGAGCTTTCCAAAGAAGAGCAGGACAGAGATCCACAACATTAGGCTGGCTTTGGCGTCCAGTCAAAAATATGCAGTGACCATGACCCTGTGACTTTCCCAGATCTTAGAATTAAATGACAGTAATTTTATTATTTATACCTCATCCATCTGGCTAGGTTGCCCCAGCCACTCTGAGCGGCTTCCAGCACATATAAAAATATAACAGAATTATACAGCTGGAAGGGAACACCAGGGTCATCTAGTCCAACACCCTTCAAGTGCAGGAATCCTGCTCACAGCCATCCTTGGGTGGGCTTGAACCACCAAACGTCTGGTTAACAGCCAGAAGCACTGACCCATTGTGCCACCTTTCATTGTGCTGCCAACATACAGAGAACATTTCCTGCTTTCGTCTTTAGTTTCAATTTTGGAAAGCAGGTGAGGCAAGGGGACCCTTCCTGTAAAAACAAGCCCCAGCATTCACCTCCAGCTTGGAGGTGGAGACAGTATATAGGGATTTCCCCTGCCAAGGACCTCAGAAACCCATTGAGAATGACCCCTATTCCCCACGGCAGCTTCAAGCTAGAAAAGGACTGCATCTTGCTGATTCGTCACTTCCTTGCAAGGCACTTGGAACAGCAATGGCAAATAATAATAATAATAATAATAGTATCCTCCCACCCCACCCCCCAGCTTCCCTTACTAACTCAAGAGAGGAAGGTTAGGGTTCATCAGTTTGTCACCATGCTTCTATGAGGAAGGGCTGTGGCAAAGTGGTAAAACATCAGAAGGTCCTTAGTTCAAATCCTGGCATCTCTAGGTAGGTCTGGTAATGTGCTGTCTGAAACCCTAGAGCCAATGCCAGTCAGTATAGACAATACTGAAAGAGATGGGCCAATGGCTTGACTTCCTATATCCATGGCACTCATAGCACCAAAATCATCTCCACTCTTTTCTAAATACATACTCTAGTCACGTTTAATATGTGTAAACCACCATTCCTCCCCCACCCCATTTTCCTTAGAAACATACTCAATAATCTCCAACCTTCCTCCCAATTTTAGAGCTGGGGAGGGAGTTAAATTTGCCCCTACAGTTATAGACACCAGGAGAAAACATTCCTCTTCTCCCCGGCCTTTGGCTAATTAAACAATCTATGGTCTTTTATAGTGGGGCGCGTATTGTTTTCTTTGTTATGATTGTTTTTTTTGTTATTATATTATGTATTTCTGTGTTTTTATACTACAAACCTCCATGTGATCTGCTGATGGAGGGTGGTATATTAATTTAATAAAATAAAAATAGTTATTATTAATTATTAAGTAATTATTAATAAATACAAAATAAATAATGGGCTTTCAGAGTCACCAAAGCCCCACCCAAATCTTCCCTAGCTTGGAAGCAGAGAGGAAAGCTGGAGCTCATCATTCATCAGAGGCTGGAAACATTTGCCATGGTGGTGATGTCAGCAAGTGAAACTGTGGACCCATAGAAGAGAATAGATTATAGTAAGGGAGTTTATTACAATAAAACTTGAGCCTTTAAGTCAATCTTAACTAAGTATTAATTTTTTTTCAAAGCTGCCATATTAGGCTTGCATTTATTCATGAAGGCCTCTCTCAAATGAACTCTCATAAAATTGCAGACCAACTCCATTGGAAACAGCAGCCCATCACACAGCTACTGAACTTCTTCTGACAAGTGCCACACAGAAAGGGCTACCAAAACCTAAAGCTAAAGGGACCCCTGACTGTTAGGTCCAGTCATGGACAACTCTGGGGTTGCAGCGCTCATCTCGCTTTATTGGCCAAGGGAGCCAGTGTACAGCTTCCAGGTCATGTGGCCAGCATGACTAAGCTGCTTCTGGCGAACCAGAGCAGCGTACGGAAACGCCGTTTACATTCCCACCGGAGCGGTACCTATTTATCTATTTGCACTTCGTGCTTTCGAACTGCTAGGTTGGCAGGAGCAGGGACTGAACAACAGGAGCTCACCCCATTGCGGGGATTCGAACTGCCAACCTTCTGATCGGCAAACCCGTGTCCCCTACCAAAACCTAGGGGGGCTTTATTACAGAGGACTCCTGGTGTTACTAACAGCACCATGAAAACCCAGATGGAACAAAAATACTGCTGGTGGGGTGGGGGTGGGGGTTCCACCAAGCCAGAAATGATTGTTCAACTTGTTTTGGATGAGAATGCACTCCCACTTTCAGAATCAAGCAGACAGCTTGAGTGTGCTTCTTGATCAAGCACTTTATGCCAGCTGTGTCCCTTCCTGGAAAATCAGACCCAGCAAGTCATTGATGCCCACTACATCCAAACTTTTTTATTCTTCCACCCCTACTCTCCACAGAGTAGGTTGCCAGAGGAGGAACACATCAGATTTCCTAGAAGTCTAACTAATACCCTGCTTTTCCTTCCATTGCTCTGTCCATTTCTGCTTCTCCTCACCATCACCAAATACATAAAATTAAACCAACGGTTTAGACTATGATCCACAGACTGTTGACCCCTGGAGCTTTAAAAATGTATTGTATCAAGATATCTTAAGAATCACTCTCTTCCACACAAAGCTGTGCAGACTCTTCAGCTACCCTGCTGACTCCTCACACACCTGCACACCTGAAGTACAGTGGGCAGATTTTAAGGGTGCTTGGGATGAGAGAAGGTAAATTTTTGTTGCATGACTGGAAGTCTACATGCAGTGTTGGATTCTGCCCATAATATGAGGCACACAACTGTCTAAAATCAGGACAGATTCAGTAATATTTTCCTAGTCTGCTGAAGAATCCAAAAGTCAACTGGCCACTTTCCCAAACCTATGAAACTACACTGTTCAGAGGAGTAAATAATCCTGGATCCTACTTTTAGGACTGTTCTCTTCCTGTTTTCAAACTTCCTGGACTTTTCATATTTTGTAAGTATACCTGCTTTGGTATACTTGAAGATATTCAGTACAATTCCTCATTGCTCCCCAGCCCACACCAAATTTATTTGGCTCACTTTCGGTTGTCATTTTCAGGTGATTATAAGTCTTACTTACTGTGCCTTCTGCTTAACAGTAACATTTTCACTGTGCTGTTCTTATTTATACTGGGAAATGTAAGCATATCCTATACATTCTCAGTGAGCCTTGAGTCCACAGTGGTGGAGAAACCACACTCAATGCATAGCTTTCTATCTCACTGATATACTGTTTCCTGAAAGGCAATCTGCACTTTTTAGAGCTTTTCCCATCCACAAACAGATCCCTCTTCCCACTTTATCAGACATTATTCTAAGTGCAAAAGCAGAAGACAGCTGTGAATATATTGGCAGTACATCAGAAAGTAGCAGTAAGAATACACAGCCCAAGACTCACAAATATCTAGATATCTGATGAGTCATTTGGGGAAAGACCGGGGAAGAGGGAAGACCAGAATCTTTATTTCAAAGATTTTGAACACTGAACAGTGCAAGGCACACTACAGTATTTGCTTCTGTGTTCTGCCAATTCATTCCCCCTGCAACCCCTGGGCTAAGCAAGTTGCTTTCTCAAAACAGGAAGAGCCAATGACAACAGGATCAATCCATATACTTGACCAATTATTTATTTGGTTACATAGTTTGCATTATTATAATATGCAATTTCATAGATTAGCTTCAAATACAGCTGTAAAAAAAATACTTGGCAAGGGAATGTGAGCTCAAAGGCAGCACACAACAATCAACACACACACATATCCACTCACCCTGACATCAAAGGATTAATTCCATGCCAAGGCAATGTTTTGTCCAAAGTATTATACAGGTAACAGGTGTCTTTTGTTAATCTGTAAACTCTCTAGTCCAGCAAGTTTTCCAATATCAAATAAAGTATAGTCACAGCTGATGTTCACAGCTGCAGGAGAAACCCCAATGTTTGTACAGTACATTTAATACACTGCAATGAGTGGGAGGTGTTTAGGTCCATTTATGTGACCTAATTAGATGAAATTGCAAGCATCCCCACACTAAAGAAGTTATTGTTTTAAGCAATGAAGAAGTTGAATCTTCCTTTTCTAAAGAAACAGTTTTGCTTGAAAGCATTCTATGGGGCTACTTGTGGAGTTTCCAATGGAATTGCCACTTACCTAAGAGCTGGCAATTATCACCAGGGTAGTTACACTGGGAACAAGAGAAGTCTTACTGAGTGTCTTGAAACAAGGCACAGGGTGAAGAAAACAGACAGTTGGAAACCACTGCCTCAGGGTGCCCTGAGGCAGCTGTTTCCAGTGTTAGAAACTCAGCTATATAATCTAATCACCGAATGGACCTTTAAACCTAGGTTACAGTTGCCACAATGAAATATTTAGGCACCCCCCCCCACGGAGATTATTATTATTCATTTCGTTTCTATACTGCTTTATATTTTAAAGAACAAATCTCTAAGCAGTTTACAACACATTAAAACATCAATTACAACAATCCAGAATAAAACAAATTCAAGTTTCAAGGAAAATACTTCAGATCCTTCTCTAAGTGACTTTTTGCTTTCCCCATATGCAAACCTGGCATCCAGAGGTTGCATTTGGACCTGTGTCTGGTGCCTGGCTAATTTCTAACACTGGCTGTTCCCAAAGGCTTCCTTCATCTTTCCCATAAAATGTAAAGGTAAAGGTACCCCTGACCGTTAGGTCCAGTCGCGGACAACTTTGGGGTTGTGCACTCATCGCACTCTATAGGCTGAGGGAGCCGGAGTTTGTCCGTAGACAGCTTCCGGGTCATGTGGCCAGCATGACTAAGCTGCTTCTGGCAAACCAGAGCAGCGCAGAAAAACGCCGTTTACCTTCCCGCCAGAGTGGTACCTATTTATCTACTTGCACTTTGATGTGCTTTTGAACTGCTAGGTTGGCAAGAGCAGGGACCAAGCAACAGCAGCTCACCTCATCGCAGGGATTCGAACCACCGACCTTCTAATGGGGAAGCCCTAGGCTCTGTGGTTTAGACCATAGCACCACCCACGTCCCACTCATCTTTCCCATACAGAAAGCCAAAGGAACACAGCTTCAACTAAGTGTGCTTCTCTGTGTGTGTTACATATGCAAATGCAAGTATGTACCTACATACGCCTGTGTGTGCATGCAAGAGAGAGAATGAATGACTGTTAGCAGCTTTTTTTAAAAAAAGTTTTTATTAATTTTCTTAATAAACAATCATTACATTGAAAAAGAAAAAACAAAACATCTATATTCACTCTTAATATTAATCCATATTTTGGGATTCATCGATTCCCCTGACTTCCCTTCACTCCCTTCCCTGGTACCTTTGTGTTATTTTCATTTGTGGATGTCAACAAAAAGACTCTCTAATTACTTCCTTATTTAAACATTCTCCATAACATTACAAGTGTGTTTTTTTTAAAAAAAAATCCTGCTAATATATTAACTTCCTTACATTGCTTTTGCTGTTAGCAGCTTTGCCTTGCCAGCAGCAGAGTGTTTCTGCCCTCCTTCCCAACCTTGGAATAAATACTTATAGTCATTCCTTTTCCTCAACCATAGCTTACAGCTATTTCATTTTAGTCCAAAATTATCGTCATAATCTTTTTTCAAAAAAACCTAAATCCCCAACCACTTTTGGCTTGTGGCTCCCCCCCCCCAAAAAAAATCAGCAATGGCGAAATGCTGTCCTCTGGCAAAAAATAAATAAATTAGCCACCCCAGTATGGTTCAGTGGCAACCTGGGAGAGCGGCCAACAAGACCTGGATCAAATCTTCATCATGGATTCACTAGGTGATAGTGTACTATATGGATGAGATTCAGCTAAGTTTTACTCAGAGCACACCAATGGAAATTAATGAACATGACTACACTAGGCCCATTAATTTCAGCAGGTCTACTCTTAGTAAAACTTGGTTGATTATCAATATAACTATTGTTCAACCTCAGTTCCTTATTTAGAAAAGGGGGGGGGGGAATTTACAGTAATCTACTTTGCAAGATTACTGTGAAGATCCAAAAATAAACAAAGTGTTTTTAATATCAGAAATACAATTACAATGGAAGACCAAACAAGAATAGGTATGTGATCAGTATATTCTGTAATTAATAGCAGCTGATAAGGAAGGAGCAAACAGACAGGACCAGATCAGGTCTAGCCCCTGCCCTTGCACCACAATCATCCCACCACCATCATTTCACCAATTAAAATCACACATACAAACCTGCTATTTTCCTACTTTGAGGGAAAACGTACCCAATACTACCTATGGTTTCTCTCTGTAGAGCAAATAGCTTCAGGCGACAAGTTGTTAAAAATAGGGGCAAGCATTAACCCCTCTCACCTGCCACAGTAATCCTAATCTGATGTGCTCCTGCCCTCCAGCAGCTGCTATTATTATTAATCATTATATAATTGAATGATTGTCATGTGTTTACATGGGGAAATGTAAAGGCCTGAGAAGTATTATGTTGTGATCAAGTCAAATCTTGCTACCCGCCCATGACACTGTATGACCCAGCCACCATGGGCATGGATGGAATGGGAGAGTGGAGAAGATGCATGTCTGATTACCCTTTCCCTATGCAAACCTGACAGGTGTTTAGATGGGGCTATGCAGATAAGGCTTACTGGGGAAGTTTTAACAGTTCACATTGAGCTTCATGGAACAAAGAAAGAGGGCTGTGCTTCAGGATGTAGTTACAAGGGAAGACACATATCCTCACAACAGGAGAGCAATGCCAGATCTACCCACTTCCCTGCCCACAACCATTTTGCAACTAGCACAGGTCAAATTGTGACCACGCTGAAATCTCTGGATGCCAGGTTAGTGACTAAACATCTCCATCTGGCTGGCCCCTCCAACTATCTTAAGCAGAAGAGTTCATTTACTGCCTTTATAGCCTACCTTTGTCTCCAAGGAGTGCTTCCCCCTCCCCAGTTAATCCCTACAACAACACTGTGAGGTAGGTTAAGAGATTGGGACTGGGACAAGGTCACCCAGTGAGTTTCATGACTGAGTGGGGATTTGAACCCTGATCTTCCAAGTCCTATTGACACTCTAACCACCACTACACAACACTATCTTCCTGCTGTGGTGCAGCTATATAAAATAAGTAGGTAAATAAATCTGGGGCAAGTAAAATGTTACTTAGAGAAGGATCTGAAATATTATACTTGAAGCTTAAATTTGTTTTATTCTTTATTGTTTTATTTGATGGATATCTGTTCTGATATCTATCTGTTGATGGATGGCCATCCTGACTCGGCCCCAGACACACTGATCAGATGTTTAGAAGCTGTGGCTGGATGGTTACATGGGAGCCGGTTGAAGCTAAATCCTTTGAAGACAGAGGTCCTGTGGCTGGGACGGGACGATATGGGATTGGGGGGCCAACTCCCATCTCTTGCGGGGGCGCAATTAGTGTCAGCACCGTCCGTTAAGAGTTTGGGTGCAATCTTCGACACCTCCCTTTCCATGGAGGCGCAGATTGCAGCTACTGTACAACAAAGGCGGCATTTTTCCATCTCCGCCAAGCTAAGCAGTTGGCTCCTTACCTCTCTCGCCCTGACCTAGCCACTGTGATCCACGCAACGGTCACCTCCAGACTGGATTATTGTAACTCGCTCTACGTGGGGCTGCCCTTGAGACTGACCCAGAAACTCCAGCAGGTGCAGAATGCTGCAGAGAGACTCCTTACGGGGTCTTCGCTGCGAGATCACATTCACCCGGTGCTATACCAGCTGCACTGGCTCCCGGTGGAGTACAGGATCAGGTTTAAGGTGCTGGTTTTAACCTTTAAAGCCCTATACGGCCTAGGACCCTCGTACCTACGGGACCGCCTCTCCTGGTATGCCCCACAGAGAAACTTACGGTCTTCAAATAAAAACATCTTGAAGGTCGCAGGCCGCAGAGAAGTTAGGCTGGCCTCAACTAGAGCCAGGGCTTTTTCAGCCGTGGCTCCGATCTGGTGGAACACACTGTCACAAGAGACCAGGGCCCTGCGGGACTTGACATCTTTCCGCAGGGCCTGCAAGACAGAGCTGTTCCACCAGGCCTTTGGCCAGGACACAGCCTGACTCCCTCCCTCGGCAATCTTCGCGGAGCTCTGGCCCAATGGTTGCCAGTGGCTTGAATTAATTAATTTTATAATGAATGATTTTAGAGTGTTGTTTGTGCTGTACTTTTGTACTGTTTTATTGTTGTTAGCCGCCCTGAGCCCGGCTTCGGCTGGGGAGGGCGGGATATAAATAAAATTTATTATTATTTATTATTGATGTTTTAATGTGTTGTAAACAGCTTGCAGATTTTTTTCTTTAAAATATAAAGCAGTATAGAATGAAAACAATATTAATAACAGTAACAACTCAGCTGGAGGGGGTGACACCTAGACATACCATTGTGGTGACTGTAACCTAGGTTTAAGGCGCCATTTGGCAATTAACTTATATATCTGAGTTTCTAACACTGCCCACAACACCTGATACTGGATGGCCTGGCTTCTACCAATATAAGAAACCAAATGCAAGGGCTGCAAGGTAGATTTTCACTCCCTCAGAGGTCCCTGTAATATGCAAGCCACTGTCACCCTACCACAGAACACACTGCCCATAAGGGCAGGTGTATCAGTAAATAGTATATTCCAAGAGAGAAGCATCACAGGTGTTCCTTGTACTATTCAATATCTGGGGCTAAGTTCTAAAATTAAATATACTACAACTCAAACCAATCTAAAATTTCTTCCCCACTCCAACGTGTATGCAGCAGGGGTAGTAGTAGCTTCCCATTTGTCTGGGCAAAAGAATTATTCACACGCACAAAGACACGAACAACTTCGCAGAGCTGAATTCTGGCATCGAAAACAGTTTCCTAACTCAAACTAAGCCCTACAATTGGTGTCGCAAAGAGAAAGGTGGTTCACGTGGGGGGAAGAGAATAAGCTTCGGGCAGACAAAACCTCCCTCGAGAGTTTATGTAAAAGCTGCCACGGCGCCAGCGTCCCTCCCCCACCCTGAGAGGTGACAGCTGGGGGCCAGAGAGGAGGAGAAGAAAAAGTGGGTTGGGAACAAAACAGAAAAGGTATGCTCGCGCTGGCAGGATCAGCAAGGACCAGAAGCCGGGCAAGTAAATGAGGAAGGGAGACGGGGGCAGAGGAAGAAACTACCCTCTACTTTGCAACACATGTTGGTCTTTGATCCCCCAGCATCGCCCTTACCCCTCTTCTCCGCCTCCAGCACTTTCGGGGGGAGGGGGAGGGGAGAAGCCGAAAGATGCAGGGCGATCCGCGTGGAGACGAGAGAAAAGTGAGTTGCTCGCCTACCAGGGCAGCCCTGCGCGCGCTGACTCGGAACTCGGTCGCACCGCGGCTTTCGGAAAACATGCCCACGACCGCAACCCATGGCTTAGGTATATCGCTACGTATCCCTCATCTGGGCACTTCCCCCTCGCACGCGACCCCCTCAAACTCCCTTCCCTTCTTCACACGGGGAGATAAAGCGAGAGCCAGCGCCGTCTCCTCTCCCTCTGCTCCCGGCCCGGGAGGGCAACGCGGAGAAGGGCCCGAGCCGCCTTCCGCCCGCCCGCCCGCCTCCCTCCCCACCTCCCGGTCCTGGGCACCGGCGAGAGGGAGCCAGGAACACATGGGAGCCTCGCTGCCGGGGCTAGGAGGCAGCCTCCGCGCCGTCCGCCCAGGCGGGCTGCCGAGGCGGCCCCCACCCCGGCCTGCGCCTGTCACCGGCCTCGGCTTGCCGGCCTGCCCTTTCCCCCCTCAGCCCGGCCCCCCGCGCGCCGTACCTGTCCGGCGTCGCTGCTGCCCCTCTCGGCCTCCTCCCGGCCCCCACGCACCGCGGCCCGGCGGCTGCTATCACTATGGCGGGCACACACTTTGCTCGTCACCGCGCTAGAGCTCCGTCACCCCCCTCCCTCTCCCACGCGCTCATCGGCTCGCTCGCACGCACGCACGCACGCCGGAGGGGGGGGGAACGGCGCGCGCTCTGGCGACAGGGAAATGTAGTCCGGGCTACCTGCGCGTGCGCCGCCGAGCCCAAAGCCCGCTCCCATCCTCTCGCAAAGCACTTTGGGAGTTGCAGTCTACTGTCCCCATAATAGCGCATCTCTGCATCTCCTGCCGATAGGCCGCTCGTTGCGTGTTTGAGGGAGCAGCCGGTGAAGGCGCGCTATTGACAGCTTGCTTGCCCTTACTGCTGTCGAGGAAATAATTTTGAAATAGAAAACGGGAGCTGGAAGAGCAGCTGCTGAAGGAGTTATCAAGAGTCACCGCAGTTGAAAATTTGTCAGAATGAAACCGTTCAGATGAAAACGTTCAGGCGCTGGGAAACCAAGTGCAACGTTATTCTGCTTTAAAAGTGCTTCTGCCTTAGCGAAGAGACGCGGAGGAAAGAGATGGGCACTGGCTCCACAGCTGCTGTAACGCTCACCTGAATGCATTAAATCCAGGGCCAACCTACCATGTGCTAAATGACGGATGGGCAGAAGGTAGATTGGGATCTACTGGTAGATCTCTGGCTGATTTGCAATAGGTTGTTTAAGGTTAGCAACGACAAAATTGCGTTTTCCCTTCTAAATCGTTGCTGAAATGAAGAGGGTTAACTAGGGTTTTATTTTGGGGTGAACTGACAGAGCTGAGTTCACTTCTGGTACTGAAAACCAATTATCGGGCTCAGAATGTGCTCACAGACACCCTGTTTTTTAACACTATGTATCTTTTGTGCTTGGCCCAGGTTGGTAGATATTGGAGTTTGGAACTAACTGAGTAGATCCAAGACAGCTAAACTCTGTCTGTCTCTGAACTAAATAATATACAAAGCAGACATTGGGAAGCTAGTGGCCGTTTCCTAAATATGTTTACTTGAAGGTCCCATTGTGGTCTTACGGGACTTACACACTAATAAATGTGTTTTGCATTGTTTCAAACTACAACTTTTTAAATCTTGGATTCTAGTTTACGTTCATCCATAGTCATAAGACCTGTGTTATGAGAAGACGTGCACTCAAATTCTCTTTTTTGTAAGTTCCAATGCAGGTTCTAACATAGAGAAAAGCAGTTGCTCCAAATAATAGCCCAATCCTATATGGATTTAGGTATACCTGATTCCATTGAAATTAATAGGTTTACAGTGCATATGTCTCATATATCCTATATCCATAAGTATATACAAAATTGCAGCTTTAAGTGCTGGTAACATTGCAGAGAAATAGGAAATAAGAATATAGTATATACCTATGGCTGTTCCTTTTCAAAATATGAATACACTTTTGCACAGAATATTGCTTTGCATTCAGAACTTCACAAGTGCTCTTCCAAGAACCATACAAATTAAAATTAGAAGGAACAACCCATTATTCATGGTCCCATTTGTTTTTCTGGACATTTCAAACATCATAGTATTGGTGTTGCAATTATAAGATAGTGCTCAACATGGCTGACAGTACATAAACAAAGAACAAAATCCTTCAGCAATAAACACCAATACATATCAATACTGCAATCACAATATTAACCATTTGGTTAATAAGCTACATTGCAAGTCAGCCAAACCTGACCATCGCCATCAAATTTAACTGTTGTGTCCATATTTGCAACCTTTTTTTCCTTTTTTGTAATTTAGTGTTTCATTGATTTTTCAGAGTCAATAATACAGAAACATTAAATAAAACTCTCTCTACAAATAAATAACAATTACATTCACCCTCTCCAGTGCCTCACTTTTATTTTCATTCACAGCATCAAATTAAATATATAGAAAGCAATTTCCTCTGAGATAATTAATACAAAAATATCGTAAGACCCATTGAACTCTCTTGCTGCTCAACAAAAATCCACAGCATTTCACTGTATGTTATTCTGTCTATGATTGCAGTCCTAACCCCACTTATGTGGGTGTAAACCCCATTGAATTAAATATGACTTACCTCTGAGTAGACATGGTTAGGTTTGCATAGTATGTAATCCTTATAAAACAAAATTACAGCTGCTATCTGAACCACTTCTCTCTCCCTGTTACAGAGTTCAGTGGGACCTATTCTCAAGTAAGTGCACATAGAACGAGACAGCAATCCATGACATAGATTTCATTGAACTGGACTTTTAAGTGGCTATAAGTATTATTTGTTCCAGGTTTGACTAGAATTAACTTCCTGAGAGAGGTTAGATACTATTTTTAGTGCATGAAATATTTATTGCACATGTGTATGATAACCGGTATACTAATTCGGGTCTATGTATGTAGTAAGCCTATGGGCCGGGGATTATATCACTTCATTCTGTAGTTCCTTTAGTAGAGATGAGCTAAAGTTTGGAATCAGAATCTACCGTCAACATTTGACTTTTAGTTAAATGACTGATGGAAGTTAATACAACATTTGTTCATTTCTGTTGAAACCATCAGACACTGTCAAATGTAAACTGCTATTGTATGCAACCTGTCAGATGTTGAATACTATATACTATATGTCAGATACAGAATTATCATCATTATTGTATTTTCTACGTTTATTTATAAAAACAGCATATTACAACAAACCAATTTAAAATACTACCCCTAAAATGCAAACTAAACTAAAAGAATAGATACAGCAGTTAAAAACAGCAGCATAATCTGTTCTAGAATTCAAGTCATAAGAAGCCCCATCTTTGCTGTTCCCCTAAAATCACCCAGATATAGTGTGCTCAGGGAGTCATTCCATGTGCAAAGGCACTCTTGTATACAACTAAGGCTAGGTCTAAGGCCAGTCCAGAGCATCCCCAAGCTGTGACCCTGCATTTTCAGAAGGTGTGCAACCCCTCCCAACATTAGTCATCCAAACTGGAATACTTCCTGCTGCCAGAAGGAACCCCTATACTGCTTGGATTGTTTCAGTTTGTTAGGTCTCATCTGATCTGGTCTAGGGCAGCCTGCACACCATAAAATTTAGGCACATTTAAAAGCACATGACTTCTAGTAAAGAATCCTAAGAATTATAGTTTGTTAACAGTAGTGGGAATTGTAATTCCATGAGATGTAAACTACATTTCCCAGTAGTATTTGGGTGAAGAAGTCATGTGCTTTAGATGTAAAGTGTGTACTTAGTCTACACCCTTCTTGGGATAAGTGTTATGAGCATATGAGGCTGGTATCCAGATTGAAGTAGATAATAAATTCAGTTTTCTGAAGGAAAACCTGGAGCCAAGATGCCATCACCCACTGCAACACCTTACCTAAGAAAAGATGAAGACTGAGCAGAAAAGTAGACCAGAAACAAGAGGAAAGAATGAAGTATGAGTGAAAGAATCAAAGAGATGAGTGCAAAATGGGAAGGAGCACAAAATTTTTTGTTCTGGAAAAAATCACTACAACAGAACATGGAAGAAGAATCCAAAATAAAGCAAAAACAATAGCATAAAGGCCATACATTGGACTAGAGGTGTAATCAGATTAACAGGTGTTAAGTTAAATAGATATTATCAAAGGAGTTATCAAAAGAGGAAGATTAAATTATTTTGGGAAGGAGAGCATGCAACCATTTGTCTCCCAAATCTAGACACTCCCACTGTTCTAAATGTTCATACAGATTGCACATTTTCTGAGATGCAGTAGAGTACTTTTTCTAGCTGCACAATTTCCAGCATCACTGGCCTGAGAAGAGACTCCTGCCTAAAATTCTCAAGAGTCACTGCTCGTCAGTGTAGACAGTACTGAGCTAAATTAACCAATGGTCTGACTTAGTATAAGGCAGCTTCCTGTGTTCCTAGGGCTTTTATACTCTCAGGAAGTAGATCAAAGATGCCCAGGGATTTCAAGTTTATGCCTAAAAATGTAAGGTGTGTGGCTCCATCAAACAGGCATTTGAAAACACATAATACAGGTGCACTTGTCGGATAAATACCTAAGTTTCACTATGACTCCTTATTGAGGCTACACCCAGTAGCAAACATATTTCCCATAAGTTTGCAGAAGGCTGTATTTCACAGAACACTTTACCTTTAGAGAAAAACCTGTTGATTAACGCTCATGAAGCTGGTTCAGCATTAAGAGAAGACGGCAACTCGTTTTCTTCTGGTGGCAGATGACTTTGTTTCATTTAGTTTTTCTTCTGTTACAACCACCTTGCCTTCTTCAAACATGTGTTTTATCACCAGATTCCATTCTGATGTCACAAAGCAGCCAGATATTCTCTTGTAAGCATATTTCTTTCTTTGGTTTTCACAAGAAGCCTTTGAAAATTAAGATACTGCAGGATAGGTTGTATAGATCCCAAAAGACACATTAGTGCACAATGAATTTTTAAAGGATTATGCTGGAGATGATATTTTTTTTTGTAAACTTTGGGCACTGAAGTGTTCCAGGTGGATTTCCCCACTAATGCCACACATGCATTTAACAATGAGGGAAAGGGGGAAGAGAACAGGAGAATATCCCAGTGGGTGCATATCATAAAGCCCTGTATTCAGAGCACACTTTTGCTAGCTGTTCTTTTGTGATACAGATTCATGAATATCAAAGGATAGAGAGGTTTGTCCTGAACTCAAAGCCAACTGGTAAAATGTCTTTCTTTCTTTCTTTTTGTGTTGAGCCTACAAAACAGGAAACAGATTCTGCCACATGCTCTACTATTCTTAAATGGCATTCCCCTGAAAACAAAGAGCAAGAAAAGGTCAAATAAACTTCAGATTTGCTGGACAGTATATTTCAGCCTGAAAGACTCATCCAGCATAGGCATTAGGTTTGTCCTGTCCCATACCTTGTGCTACAAACAAGCTGAGGTCATTTGTTCAGGATATTTTTCTCAATAAGAAGTCCAGGCCAGTGCACAAATATAATATATGCTGTGGAGACGTGACTCAGCCAAGGATCCTGTATTCAGTAGGCAAGTGGAAGCCAAGACAGAGCCTTTTGCTTGAGAGGAACATTGCAGAGAATGAAGGGTCCGATGAGATTAGATTCAGGGAGGTAGCCACGTTGGTCTGACGCAGTCGAAATAAATAAATAAAAGTCCAGTAGCACCTTAGAGACAAACTAAGTTTGTTCTGGGTATAAGCTTTTGTGTGTATCTGAAGAAGTGTGCATGCACACGAAATCTTATTCCCAGAACAAACTTAGTTGGTCTCTAAGGTGCTACTGGACTACGTTTTTATTCCAGTCCCATGAGATGTGAGCTGACAATAAGGCCAGAACACAACTCATGTGACTATGAGCTCAAAGCAAAGTTTGACCCAGAAGAATAGTCAACTGTTATGCACCAGGTCTCACCAATCTTTTTGGGCCCATGAGCACAAATACTAAGATTACAGTCCTAAATTTAACTAATCACACTGAATACAACAGGTTTTAGGGGTGACCCACAAGACACTGATCTACTATGAAGGACAATGTAACTCCCAAAGTGGATTTCTACAGCAGAAGGGAAATGGCCAGATAGGTTTATCATCAAAGAACCAAGGAGAGCTTAAACTGAAATGTACCAATGCTTACCTTATGTAACATCTTTATTGTGAATATGGCTATTGTCCATAGAATGAGGTTTCTCCCAGTGCAGGCAGCATTCCCTATGTTTGTTTTAAAATACAAGGTTCCAAGTTACTGTATTTTTCGCCCCATAGGGTGCACCGGGCCATAGGGCGCACCTAGTTTTTTTGGGGGGAAATAAAGAAAAAAATATATTTCCCCCGCAGGTGCGGGGCTGGGGCGGGGGAAGCCCGAGCTTCCCCCGATCCCAGCCCCCAGAACAGGTTGCTATCCGCAAGCCGTGGGACAGCTGCGCGACTTCGCACAGCTCTCCCACGGCTTGCGGAGAGAGCGAAGTCGCACAGCTCTCCCACGGCTTGCGGAGAGCTTCCCGAAGCCTGGAGAGCGAGAGGGGTCGGTGCGCACCGACCCCCCTCGCTCTCCAGGCTTCAGCGAAAGCCTGCATTCGCCCCATAGGACGCACACACATTTCCCCTTCATTTTTGGAGGGGAAAAAGTGCGTCCTACAGGGCGAAAAATACGGTATTTTTTCCTGTAACTTGTTTTAGCAGTTCTGCAATATACTGAAATAACACTTTCCCCTGATATGTCATATGCCAATTTGACCCACAGGTTAACTATAAAATACACCATTAAAACTTCCTTTTATTACTTTGCACATTGTTGGTTTTGAATCTGCCTTATGTTCTTGATTAATGCAAAGGTTAAACGAAGGAAAAGAACTCAATTTGTCTTTCCAGTGCTATTCATTTATTATCTGCCATGCCTGCTCCTCTTGATGTCCCTTCTGAATTAATTAGTTTGCATCTTTTCAGCCTCTTAGCATATAAAAATGACCTAAGACTTTCATTCATTTTTCTATTCTCTAGATGTTTTCTATTTCTGTTACCGGTATGTTCTCTTGAGGAGCTTGGATGAGAGAACTTGAACATGTCTGGGTAGGTTTAAAACTGATTTACAGAACAATTATTCCTCTTATTTTTAGGACTGCCATAGTTTGCAGTGCTTACTTCTATGCTAGAGGCTTTCAACAATCACGCTTTGTCTGCACTGGTTCGTTAAGAACCGTGCAAGATCATTGGAAAATATTGTTTATTTTAATGCAATAAGAACTTAAGAAGAGTCTGCTGGATCAGGCCTGTGGCCCACCAAGTCCAACATCCTGTTCTCACAGTGAACGACCAGATGCCCATGAGAAGCCCACAAGCAGGATCTGAGCGCAATGTCTATCCCATTTTAAAACCATGCTTGCCCACAACCCTTGTGCTTAAAACTAACTAGACCATAGATCTCATTCTCGTTGCTATGCACACCTGGCTTTTACATCAAATGCATGGTGTCACCTTCCTCCATTTCACTCTATATACAGTACCTCCAACATAATTTCATCCCCATCCTTGAACTGTTCTCGGTTTCATCCCATATTCCTCTCTTTGCCACTTCATCGCCACAACAACATGGGAAGATTCTGCTAATTTAGGCCAATGACCCATCTAGGGCAGCATCCTGTTCTCAAAGTGGCTAAACAAAAAACATTAAGCAGGACCTAACCGATCAGAAGGTCAGCGGTTTGAATCCCCGTGACGGGGTGAGCTCCCGTTGCTCGGTCCCTGCTCCTGCCAACCTAGCAGTTCGAAAGCACGTCAAAGTACAAGTAGATAAATAGGTATCGCTCCAGCGGGAAGGTAAACGGTGTTTCCGTGTGCTGCTCTGGTTCGCCAGAAGCGGCTTAGTCATCCTGGCCACATGACCCGGAAGCTGTACGCCGGCTCCCTCGGGCAATAAAGCGAGATGAGCGCTGCAACCCCAGAGTCGGCCACGACTGGACCTAATGGTATAACAGCACTCTCCTCGCATGTGATTCCCAGCAACTGGCATTCGGAGGTTTTACAGCCTCTGACACTCGTAGAACGTAGCCGTCATGGTGAGTAGGCATTGATAACCTCCATGAATTTGTCTAACCCTCTTTCAAAGCAATTCAAGTTGGTGGCTATCACTACCTCTCGTGGGAGCAAATTCCATAGTTTAACAATGTGCTTTGTGTTAAGTTCTTCATTTTGTCCAATTTAAGGAAACTGGGATGCAGCAGTCATGCTCCTGTAGATTTATGCCTGCTTTTGGCAAAGTCCTTGGGATTGCAATTAATTTGGGGGGGGGGAGAAACCCTGAGCCTCGACTGCTTACAAACCTTTAAGACATGTGCCCCCTTAAGTAGGTCTAGCCTATAGTTTGAGATAAAGCTGTTTTAATATGCAATACCTGGAACCTGCCTACAAGGAATTACACGGGGGGGGTGTCTATTGGGTTGTTGTTTTTATTTTTAGAATGTATTTTGTGGTTTTAGATCTTGATTTTATTCTGTGAACCGCCCTGAGACCCCCAGGTATAGGGCGGTATATTAATAATAATAATAATAATAATAATAATAATAATAATAATTTGTGGTGTAGATGAGTTGCAGATAAGTATTTATATTATGTATTTGTAATATAGGAATCTTCTTTACAGTGGTACCTCGGGTTAAGTACTTAATTCGTTCCAGAGGTCCGTACTTAACCTGAAACTGTTCTTAACCTGAAGTAGCACTTTAGCTAATGGGGCCTCCTGCTGCCGCCGCGCCGCCGGAGTATGATTTCTGTTCTCAACCTGAAGCAAAGTTCTTAACCTGAAGCACTATTTCTGGGTTAGCGGAGTGTGTAACCTGAAGCGTCTGTAACCTGAAGCATATGTAACCTGAGGTACCACTGTATATTAAGTTCTACCATTGGTCTATCTAGCTCAGTACTGTCTGCACTGACTGGCTAAGGCTCTCCAAAATTTCAGACAGGGTTCTCTCCTAGCCCTACCCATAATTTTTTTTAATGGGACTTAAGTGTGTATAACTACACACAGTTATTCCAACTGTGCAATCCCCACTCATTTAAATGGGGCTTTGCATAAGAAACCTTCTAAATGGATTGTATACCCTTCATATTTTAGCTGTTTCACAGTGCATTCCTGTAGTTTATCTACTTAAAACTCATTGAGTCCCATTGAGTCCCAGCTAAGTATGGACAGGACTGTAGCCTTACGGCATATATTTTCAATTAAATGTTGATTATATTAGCCTTTGGCAATGGTGAAAAAATGTGGGGTGTAAATAAATACACCTAGAATCACATAATAAAGCATTAATCTACCAGATTGCTAGAGGTTAAAGAAATAAATGAGTTAAAGTGATGAGTAAAACAATATTTTATATAAATTATTACTGGTAAGAAATATGAAAATGTGCTCATCCACAAGTCACCTGAAACCTCAAAAGCATAATCTAAAAAGCGTTAGCATTGGAAATTGCCCTTGCAAATACTACAAAGCAAATGTAATTAACTTTCTTTCTAAGGTGGAATTGGTTCTATGACTTTTGGAGCATGGTGGATAAATGAAAAGGATGCTCTGCATCTGATGGAACAAATGAATGCACTCATTGATGGAGTCGTGGCGGCAGGTTCAGTATATTTTGAATGAAAGCTAAGTTTCCATGGTTAGAAGCAGGACTAGAAACTGAGGCAAGCAAAATGCACAACTGGCGAAGGACCATAGGACGAGAATATACAATTGCACTGTGTTGCATAGGAAAGTTCCTTGTACTGAGTCAGACCATTGGTCCATCTAGGTCAGTATCATCTATAATGACTGGCAGCAGTTTTACAGGGTTTCAGGTAGGGTCTCTCAGAGCACTTTCTGGAGATATTGGGGATTGAACCTGGGTCCTTCTGCATGTCAAGCAGATGTTCTTCCGCTCAACAACAACCCTTCCCTCACAGAGTGATGGGCTTTCCCCAAAAGGCCAATGGTCAAAGCTTAACTTTGTTGTCGTTTAGTCATGTTCGACTCTTCGTGACCCCATGGACCAGAGCATGCCAGGCACTCCTGTCTTCCACTGCCTCCCACAGTTTGGTCAAACTTATTTTAGTAGCTTCAAGAACACTGTCCAACCATCTCGTCCTCTGTCGTCCCCTTCTCCTTGTGCCCTCAATCTTTCCCAACATCAGGGTCTTTTCCAGGGAGTCTCTCTTCTATGAGGTTGCCAAAGTATTGGAGCCTCAAAGCTTAACTAATAATCAGTATGGTAATTCCAGTCTGCACTTCAGCTAACCCCCCCAACATATTATTATTATTATTATTATTATTATTATTATTATTATTATCCCACCCTTCACCCTAAGGTCCCAGGGTGGGTTACAATAATTTTAAACAGTTTAAAAACTTACAATGAAAAAATGAATTGCTTCACCCAGCCAGTTGCAGCCCTTCCTTGAAACCTGCCCTGCTAGCAGGAGAGGAAGACAGACTCTGCAAGTGAATCTGTGTGAAAGGGCAGCCTGGTTTTTTGCCAACATGTCTATTATTCATACGGAGGAGGACCCCAGCTTGCTGTTCAACATAGCAATGCCCATCTCTCTCTCTTTCTCCCTCTCTTGCAAGTAGATCTGCTCACAGTTACTGTTCCCCATAACGCCTCTAGAGGGAAGTAAGCACCTCTGTAACAGTGTTCACTATCTTGAGGAGCAGAACATCACCCTAGATATAGCCCTAATGAAGGGTATTACCAGGATAAAACTCCATAGTTGGGCAATGGCTATACTGTACTTGTACCAGTCAGAACATCACCAAAATGTGTTAAGTTTTCAAATTCTCCAGACTCTTCTTAAGACAAGATGTTGCATCAAGGGTGGGGAACCTCTCACCCGCCAGATGTTTCTGAACTAAAATTCCCATCAGCCTAATGGCAGATAAGGTTATCAGTAGCTACTAGCCACAATGGCTGTGTGCTACCTCTTAGTTGACGGCAATAGGCCTCTAAACACCAGTTGCTGGGAAGCACAACCAGTGAGAGTGAGGTTGTGAGAACCAGATGCTAGAGTAGATGGACTTTGGTCTGATCAGGGCTGGCCTTCCCATAAAACAGAGTGAAGCACCCACCCCAGGCAGTGGAAGTGCAAGAGGTGGCACTCTGCCCATCCCACCGCTGCTGCCACTGTCAAGACAGTGGCTGTTCTGGAGCGTGGTGCTGCCACTTGTCTTCCCTGCCCCCTAGCTCTTACCGAGTTCAGTGCAGAATGCCCTGGCTCTTACTGAGTTGGGTGAGAGCCAGGGCATTCCGGGGACAGAAGTGGAGTGGGGAGAGACAGCAATTCTCCCCTGCCCCTGAGACTGATCCAGCAGGGTTCTTATGAATGTTATGACATGGAACTCCAATGATGGCTCTAGGAATGGAATAACAGGCCCTGTCTAGTGGCCCCATTTCAGTCCCAGGGCTGCCACTGCAGCCCCAGGGGCCATCATTTTACTCTCAGGTCTGAAATTTGACTAACATGGATCATGATGTCAGTCTCTCAAGCTCTCACTCTCTCAAGCTCTGCCACTGCTACTCCTCATCATTTCCTCCTATCTCTGGGCTCTATCATATTGACCCATTCCATACCTTCCCAGGAGCCATTTTTTGCTTTATTTATAGCTTGCATTTATTTCAATGAAGCCCAGTGATGTAAATTGGCATTTGCAGTTCTCACTACAGTGGTACCTCGGGTTACATACGCTTCAGGTTACAGACTCCGCTAACCAAGAAATAGTGCCTTGGGTTAAGAACTTTGCTTCAGGATGAGAACAGAAATCGTGTGGCGGCGCAGCCGCAGCAAGAGGCCCCATTAGCTAAAGTGGTCCTTCAGGTTAAGAACAGTTTCAGGTTAAGAACGGACCTCCGGAATGAATTAAGTACGTAACCCGAGGTACCTTCAGATAACTTCCAGTATTTCTTTTCCTCCTTTTGGTTTGTGTTTTTATTTACCGGTAGATTAGGTTTTTTAAAAAAATAAATAAATTGATAAACAGATATTAACCTATGTATAATTTCTTTCAAACTTTAATAAAATTTATTGGGCGGAAACAAACTTCCAGCATTTCAAATGTGCATTTTTGTCAATCATTTTACAGCATCCATACAACTTCTCTGCAGGAGGATACTTCAATGATTATCTTTATTTGGAACAGGTGATTTAAATTTCCTCTCTTGAATGACACTTTATAGTTTCACATATAGTTATTTGAAATGATTTACAGAAATGAAAATGTGGCTGAATTCTAGCTTGTAAATTACCACTGACTCTGAACCTGCAATTGTTAAATACAATTACTTGGGAACAATTCACAATGAAATCATTGGAACTTACTTCTGCGTAAACGTGCATAAAACCAGACAGTGATAGCTCAAAATTCACCAGCTGCATTTTCTGGCATTTTTTAAACAGCTTAACAGACAGGGAGATAATTTGTGTTTAATGACCTTCACATCCTCCAATGCCTGTAATTGATAATGTCTTGAATACTGACTCATATTGTAGTTGACAGGCATATAAAAGCTGCTGTCAGAGTAAAATGTATATCTGTTATGACAAAGGAAGGATCCTTTTAGTGATTATCACAGCAGCCATCCTCTTTTGGATGCTATCTCACCTAAGCTGTGCTTCGTATAGCCCCTTGCTGCAGGACCACTGGTCAAAGGAATATTTACGTACATAGTATTTTTTTCCTTAAGGGCAAGTATTAAATGTGCTGGGACAATGTACCCTGAAGCAGATAAGGAGCATAAGTAGCTTAAAACTTGGTGGATATGGTATTTGTTTGCTGGGCAGCAATTATGCACTGAACATTCACACTTTGGGATTATTAGAATGTTGTCCCACAGCACAAGTACCAGAGCAACTGTTTCCATTAATCCCTTTCTGCTTCTCACTGTTACTTAAGGAAGCACACAGTGTGTGGCGTGCAGCATGCTTGTAGGAGAATCATTTCATTTCATTTATTTAAGTAATTTATATACAACCACTTCATCAACAGAATAAACATCTGAGTGGTTAGGAGCGTTCTACAAATATAACTAAAAGCCAAATACAATAAAAACTCCACATTTTAGAGCCACAAAGAACTATTAGGTAAGATATCCTATTAAAGATCCATATTAACATATGGGACCATAATAACTACTAAAGGTGAAAGGTAAAGGACCCCTGACAGCTAAGTCCAGTCGCGAAAACTCTGGGATTGCGGCGCTCATCTCGCTTTACAGTCATACCTCGGGTTAAATATGCTTCAGGTTGAGCGTTTTCAGGTTATGCTCTGTGGTGACCTGGAAGTAATGGAACGTGTTACTTCCGGGTTTCGCCGCTTGCGCAGGCGCTCAAAATGACGTCACGCGCAGGCGCGGAAGCGGCGAAACACAACGCGCGCAGTCGCATGTTACATTCTACTCAGGATGCGAATGGGGACAAGGGAGCCGATGTACTGTACTGTACTGGCCAAGGGAGCCGATGTTTGTCCGCAGACAGTTTTTCCAGGTCATGTGGCCAGCATGACTAAGTCACTTCTGGCGAACCAGAGCAGCGCATGGAAACGTTGTTTACCTTCCCGCTGGGGCGGTACCTATTTATCTACTTGCACTTTGACGTGCTTTTGAACTGCTAGGTTGGCAGGAGCAGGGACTGAACAACGGGAGCTCACCTGTCGCGGGGATTCGAACCGCCAACCTTCTGATCGGCAAGCCTAAGGCTCAGTAATTTACACCACAGCGCCACCCACGTCCCCCGTAACAGCATGTCCAAAATACAGAAAAACAAGAGATAAACAGCCTACCTACAAAATATACATATAGAATGTATTTATTGGTGGTTGCAGTATTCTCACTTCTGCTGCTGCCTCCCCAAATTAAGCTCACATTAAAAGGTGGGGCAAAATAACATAGTACTCACCCTTGGAGCTCTCAGTTGTCATCAGGTAGGATGGTAGGACCCATAATCATTCCCTCCCTAATCTCTAAAATATATAAACTGTTATTGGAGTGGGAGTGTAAAGACAAGATGGTTAAGATGACAGTGATTAAATGGGCTATAGATATTGGTTACAATATAAAAATGCTTGGGAGAAACTATGGGGGGAAACCATGAATTTCTCAGCATGTTATCTTATTAAGGAAAACCTACAGAAAATGTACTGGTGGTACCGGACACCTAGCAAATTGGTGAAAATGTATAGGAAAGGGTCCACATATGCATCAGGGTTGAAGGAACCCTGATGCATATGTGGTGGTTGTGTAAATACACTAGAGAGTTCTGGGAAATGATCCATATAGAATTAAAAAATATATTTAAACTCACATTTCCTAAAAGACCAGACGCCTTTCTACTAGGGATAATAAGTGATGACTTACCAAAGAAGGCACTCAACCTCTTTTTATATGTGACCACTGCAGCTATAATAGCCTGTGCAAAAAAATGGAAAGAAAAAGATGTACCTGCAAAAGCAATCAGGCAGAATAAATTGATAGACCAAACAGAATTAGCAACTATTAACACAAAAATAAGAAATAAAATGAGACACAGTTAAGAAAAGAGTGGAAGTGTTTTGGAGACGATCTTAGAAGGATATTCAATTCAACCTGCAAGTGGGAGTAAATATATAAGCAGCAGATAATATCAAATAAAGGAAGATTTGAGATAAAAATGGGTGGGAGATCAGGATATGCAGCTGATCAGGGTTTACATAGGATGCGACAAAAAGGTGGACTGGGAAGTCCTTAGGAAATGGATGTGTGATTGACAATGTATTATTTATTTGCAACAGTTGTAAAAATGCATAAATATTTTTTTAAAAATCATTTCCTCCCCCAGACACATTACTAATCAACACAAAAACAACAAAAGGGGATGACACCCTTGTCTTTGGTGTATTCCAGAAGAGTGATCTGCAGCAGCACTGGTTACGAGTCCATGAGCTGGGAGTGTCCTCAAAAACTCACAGATCTCTCCAACAAACTCTTCTAAATTACCGGTATACTGAAGCTTGTCACCACCCAGGCATAGCAGGACCATAATCCATTGGTTGACAGCTATCATCCAGAGCCTTTCTGCTTGTGCCTAAACAAACTGCAATGTTCAAACAGCCACATACCTGGAGGAGGGAACAAACTGCTGACAAACCATTCAGGTTGAGTTGGTGCAGACTGAATAACAACACAGTAAATTGTACATTCATACACACTGTATATTTATGTAACACTTTAAACAACAGTCTTGACAGACATTATCTCCAGTGGATTTATCATGAAGCATAATCTAATATGAAGGTCTAGTAACTAGGGATATAGTTACAAAATCCCTTCAAGATCAATGTGTGAAAAACCAATCAGATTTAATTGTCTTTTTTTCTTTAGGAGGTCACTTTTTTGATGGGAAAAGCCAATGTGACAACCACCATCTTATTCTCTTTAATAAAACCTCACCATGTGAATGCAATTTGATACTTTCTGCATGAGTAGGGATTGCAGAACCACAGGGGAGAGGAAAACAGATGCAGAGGGTTAGATGTGCAAACCCCCTATTGACTAAATGCACAGGAGTGTCTTATGTCATTGCTATAATGATGGGGATATTTATAGGGTTTGAAATGTAGTTTTATGTAAGATAGCATATTTTCTCAAGCTAAATGAATGCCTTTATTTATAATCAAGCCATCTGTATTTACATTTCCTACTAACTTTCCTTAAGATCTGAATTAATAAACTCCCTTACATTTTCAAGTGGAACTTCTGTAGCTAAGATCCATATTCACACTTCAGGTGTAAATTGTAAATAAAGATACTTGTTTAGCTTTAGCAAATATGCTAACTGAACCTTATAAGGTTGTTGCAAGGCTTTCTGAGAAGTGTTTTGATGGCTTAGAAAAAGCACAACCAAAGAACTAAGTACAGTGGGTTAAGTATTTAATTCGTTCCGGAGGTCCGTACTTAACCTGAAACTGTTCTTAACCTAAAGCACCACTTTAGCTAATGGGGCCTCCTGCTGCCGCTGCGCCGCCAGAGCACGATTTCTGTTCTTATCCTGAAGCAAAGTTCTTAACCTGAAGCACTATTTCTGGGTTAGCAGAGTCTGTAACCTGAAGCGTATGTAACCTGAAGCGTATGTAACCCGAGGTACCACTGTATTATTATTGGCTGACGTCCATGTGTCTTGGGAGACAATGGAGGAGTGTGCCTTTGGGAGTGAAGTCAAACTGTTGGAGAGTGGAGAATTTGTGAAACTATGCAGAAATCACAATGGGGCCCCAAAGGGGTGAATAATAATAATAATAATAATAATAATAATAATAATAATACCATTATTGTCAATTTACAATCTGTGTACAATGAAATTAACCGAGCCTCCCCCCCCCCCAGTCTCATTGCACTCTGTATGCTTGTCGCACAACACACCAACCCCGATTAGATATCAGATCCCCCACAGCCTTTTTAAAGCAGCTGTAAGGGCACCTACTTTGAGTAGAGTTGAAGCACCGGGGGAAGGGGTGTTATGTTTTATATATATATTATAGAGCACATACATTAATTAGACAGTGAAAGGCTTGCATTGCATGTGGGTATTGTCAGAAATATGGTCCCTGATTGGTAGCACATTTTCAGGCACATTATGAATGTGTCTGCTGTTTTCTTCCATTTTTGTATTTTCTGTGCCGAGTGCGTCCTACATCTCTGCTTGGCTGAGTCTGCAGTGGACACAGCAGCCATTACACCAGCACCACAGGTATATTTTACCTCTCTTTGTTTTGTTTTTGTTGCGTTTTTAAAAACAGAGCATTAAAACAAGATAACCAGATACACAAGCAGGTAGGAATTAAAACCAGCAAAAATCCCAGTAGAATAAAAGAAATGAGTCAGGGGGGGAAATCAGTGAATGGGCAAATTATTTTCACTTGCGTGAGAATTCCACGCTTGGGGTGCTGTAACTGAGAAGGCCCTGTCCCATATCCCAGTTGAGCACCTCTCCTTGTGGCAGAGGATGGGGCAAGGCCAATGAAGACAAATGCTGTCGGCAGGCAGGTTCATGTGGAAAGAGGCAGAGGTTTTTCAAATATCATGGTTCCCAATGTGTGCTATTAAAAGGAAACACAACTATTATCCTTTGCCCCAAAAGCACTCAGAGCGACCTGAAATCTCTTTTTACTGCTTGACACTCCTTGCATCCCAACAGTAAATTTCCTTTCTTTCCCATTTTTGCTGAAAACGTTGCTCGCTACTTTGTGGCATGTTGGTTGGCCTCTAGTGTGTGTTTTATTTCTGTTGACCATAGCCAACTTTTCTATTTCGTACGTTTTCAAAGTGGCTACCCCACATTTGATTTTTTGGATTCTTCTTCTGACGGGCTAACATGGCTCCACCACCTGTCCTTTTCCTGGCAATAGGCCTCTAAACACCAGTTGCTGGGAAGCACAACCAGTGAGACTGAGGTTGTGAGAACCAGAAGCTAGAGTAGATGGACTTTGGTCTGATCAGGGCTGGCCTTCCCATAAAACAGAGTGAAGCACCCACCCCAGGCAGTGGAAGTGCAAGAGGTGGCACTCTGCCCATCCCACCGCTGCTGCCACTGTCAAGACAGTGGCTGTTCTGGAGCGTGGTGCTGCCACTTGTCTTCCCTGCCCCCTAGCTCTTACTGAGTTCAGTGCAGAATGCCCTGGCTCTTACTGAGTTGGGTGAGAGCCAGGGCATTCCGGGGACAGGAGTGGAGTGGGGAGAGACAGCAATTCTCCCCTGCCCCTGAGACTGATCCAGCAGGGTTCTTATGAATGTTATGACATGGAACTCCAATGATGGCTCTAGGAATGGAATAACAGGCCCTGTCTAGTGGCCCCATTTCAGTCCCAGGCCTGCCACTGCAGCCCCAGGGGCCATCATTTTACTCCCAGGTCTGAAATTTGACTAACATGGATCATGATGTCACTCTCTCAAGCTCTCACTCTCTCAAGCTCTGCCACTGCTACTCCTCATCATTTCTTCCTATCTCTGGGCTCTATCATATTGACCCTTTCCATACCTTCCCAGGAGTCATTTTTTGCTTTATTTATAGCTTGCATTTATTTCAATGAAGCCCAGTGATGTAAATTGGCATTTGCAGTTCTCACTACAGTGGTACCTTGGGTTACATACGCTACAGGTTACAGACTCCGCTAACCAAGAAATAGTGCCTTGGGTTAAGAACTTTGCTTCAGGATGAGAACAGAAATCGTGCGGCGGCGCAGCAGCAGCAAGAGGCCCCATTAGCTAAAGTGGTCCTTCAGGTTAAGAACAGTTTCAGGTTAAGAACGGACCTCCGGAATGAATTAAGTACGTAACCCGAGGTACCACTGTATTTCCTTTCAGCTTTCAGATAACTTCCAGTATTTCGTACGTTTTCTATTTCGTACGTTTTCAAAGTGGCTACCCCACATTTGATTTTTGGATTCTTCTTCTGACGGGCTAACATGGCTCCACCACCTGTCCTTTTCCTGGCCAAAAAAGCTGCCGTGAAGTCAGCGAGACTGGCTCTGGGACAACCGAGTGAGGTTTCACGTCTTGGTTTCGACACGGTGGTTTAGGCGGCGCTAAACATCTCGTGCTTCTCTCCAGGCTTACTAGGGCTGCCTCCGGCTTGCAAACACGAGCACTGCCGGCGACAGCTCTTCGACGTGCCCTCGTCGCCTTTGGGGGATTGGTAACGGACGCGTTCCTGTTGCTCGCCCCCCTCCCCGGTTTTATTTCGCCTTCCCTCCTGCTCGGCCCCTGCCGCCCTCCCGCTGCGAGGAACGTGGGAACCTTTCTGCACCTCACGGAACCTTTGCTGCGGGAGCGCCTGTTGCTGCCCGGGGGATCCTCTGGGTGGCTCCAGCTGAGGGGACGCTTTACTGTTGCGGACCCCAAGCGGAGGGAGAGAGGAGCGAGGAGAAGGAGGCGGAGGCGGCGACAACGACGCGGGTGAACGGGGGCCGGCGCGCCACCGAGAGCGCGCCGAGCGCCTCAGCCCCCGCTCCCTCCGCGGCCTGGCCCGCAGCCCCACCAGGAGGTGAGAGCCGGCCGCCGGCTGGAGTCGCGGACAGGGATGCCTGCATGGAGGGAGGGAGGGAGTGCACACAAATGGAGGCGCCGGGGGAGCGGATGGGCCCAGGGGTGGGAGGCAAAGCCCCTCCCCGCTCTCCTCGGCAGAGCCAGGCTCGGGAAGGGGGAAGGGAAGCAGGCCAGGCGGCGGCGCCCCGGGAATACGCGGCTACCGCTCTGGCTCAGCCGAGGCTCGGGGGCGGGGAGGCCGGCATGGGGTGGGGGAGGGAAGGGGGGGTCCGGGGACCGAGATTAGCACCAAAGGGGTGTGCGCGTGCATCTGGACAAAAGCACCCGAGTTAGTACACGTGAAGAGTGTTTTCCCCGAACAATGAGGTGGGGCTCTCCGGCTCTCTGGAGATGAAGGCAGCAAGCTATGGAGACTTTTCAGGGATGCTCAGGGAAGTGGCGCTAGGTGTTGTAACAACGGGAGAAAAAAAGAAAGTGGGAAATCATGCATATTACTCCGGGAATGCAATGTTCTTAACTGTGAGTGTGGGGTGTGTGTTAAAAAATAAAAAAAATGGGCAAACTCTTACAGAAAAGCTTGGAATTTTAAAAGAAAGTACTAAACCGTTTGCATAATGTTATACAGTGTGGAAAATTGGTATTAGAAATGCATTATTTTTTTAAAGAGGGACTTAGCTACAACATTAACTTTGAATCAGATCCTCTGTTTTTCTTTTTTTACCAGTTGTGGTGACTAGGAAAGAGAGGTTGGAATCTGGTAAAACTTTGAAAACTTCAAAGTGGGATGGCACCTGGCAGTCTGTCTTTTGATCTCTGCCCTGTTTTAGATTTCCTGACTTCTTTCACTCCCACTTGATCTAAATGTGGCTAGTTCTCACTTGCTTTAATTTTATTTTGTGCTATATTGCTTACTTATCACATTTGTGTCATTGCTCTTTGAAAAGAAAATTTCCTAAAGCTGTAACTGTTACTACCTCTAAGCATGTACTGTACAGTAGGTGTTGTACAGAAGCATGCTTTCTGCCTCTAGGGGTCGCAACCTACACAGAAAGGGCAGGGAGGGGGCAGGCCTTTAAAAAGTGAATGTATTTGGGGGGAAGTAGCAAAGGAGTCTGACAAAATATGAATTTCTGTAGAGACAGCTGCTTTTGGTTGGTAGTGTGGAAGGGGGGAAAACACAACTGCCTTGTGTATCCATATCTTTGTCTCAGTTGAAATACTTTTTTGTGTGTGTGTCTCTCACCTGCACAGGAGATACACAAGCTTCTGTGAAGGGACAACTCTTGGTAAGGGTATTAATTAGAAGACTGAATAATTTGTGGAGAGAGACAGAAGTAGAGAGGAATTACTGTTGTAATGATTTGACTGAATAACTTTTCTATATAGAACTTAAGACAGAGTTGTTTAGATTGTTTGTTTAATTAGGGTTCTGTTTTCTAGCATTAGATGGAAAGGTACATCTTTGAGATGATGGTGTTGATGAAGTGTGAGAACCTGGCAATAGCCTGAATGTGATTGGAGAATGAAAGAGATGGGATTAATTTTATTAGATGCTTGTGCTATGAGTGCTTGTGGTAATTGTCTTTGTCAGAGGCAGATAAGCATGGGCTTAGATGGGAGGAGTAGAATCTCCATCTTTAATGATTTAGTATTAGTTAAAGAAATTGTAAGAGATGTATGTCAGGATGTTAGGACATCCTGATTATCTTAGAAGTCATGAAAATAAGTAAGTAGGTAAGCCAGAGAAGGTACTGGAAACAAATGAGGAAAAATGGCCAGATGACATTGAGTTGTTCAAGAGGTAGAACTGAGAAGTGGAAAAGCTAAAGTTAGAAATGTAAAGAGAATGCCCAGATATAAGCTTGGTGTATATATTACATTTTGCAGAAACAAGATTAAGGTATTGTTTTCTGCAAAACTCTTGAGCTGCAGAAGCAATTGATTTGACTCTTAATTCCCTAACTAGTTAATCAAAACAGAGGCCGGTAAAGTAACAGCATGCTGCTTTTATATGTTTGTTTCTGTGTGAGAGAGATATTTATGAAAGAGAACCAAAAGGGAAGCAAAATGTGGAATTACCAGTTATTTTATCTTATATGAGCGTTCTCTGGAACTGTTACCACCTTTTGTGTCAGTGTGTATATCTACATTTCCATACCCCATAGAGTATATGAACTTGCCTTACTTTTCCATTTCTTCCCACTCTTTGGCTTAATGACGTTTCACTACAGGTGGAAGGATTGCTGTTGTTTATATAGCACCATTGGTGTGTATGGCATTTTACAAAGTGGAAGAGGACAGATCTTGCCCCAAGGAGTGTCTAAACTAAAATTCAACACAGGGGAAACAACAGAGGAAGGGAAGTGACAGCAGAGGTAAACAGGGAACAATATGATGTTGTTTCAGGAGCACATTCTTAGACTTAATTACAGGCTAAGTTACAATAAGGCATGGGAATAAAGATATTGAGCCAAAAATATTTTCTTTCTTAATTAGCATGGCGCTTCTCTGCACAGGTGGGCAGAGATCTTTTAGGCCAACTCAGTCTTTGTCTTCTTTGTAGTTGGGTTTCGTTTCCTTTGGGAGGCAAGTATTTTACTCCCTAGTAAATGTGTATGAGTACTGCTTTAATATAACCTCAGAAATGAAAGAAATTTAGTTTCCTGGGCTTCTGAAATTTTGTGTTGGTTCCTTAGGGATTTTTAACCCCCCAGCTCTCTTCAAGTTTGTGGCCTAAAACTTATTGGTGATTCCCAGGAATTTTGAAATACTTTTCCAGATGTTGTCATCTCCCTAAATGATGCTAAACCTCTCGAGCCTCAGGTTTCCTTTTCCAAGTACTTGCATATGAGTAGTGGCAGGTTATCTAAAATTGATTTTTCTCCATGTGGACTAATGAGATGAACCAAGTTTGGGGGAGTTAGGAGGATTCTTCATGGTGTACATGCTGAAGTCTGCAGGTGTTCTGCATGTCTACCTTACCTTGTAGGCTCATATGTTGATTTGGTCTAGGAGTGACATACTGGGTGCAATGCAAGTGTGTACTTGCTAGAAGAATGGACACCATTGTTAGAACTGATTCTCCCTCTCCCATGTGCACTCCCAAATCTGCTTCAAATATTGGTGGGCTTCAAAATCACATCATGCAACATCACTCATGTGATGTCACCCACTGAAATTCACACTTTTCTTTATGGTCACACATTGTCATTAATATTAGGATTCTGTTAAAAGACTTAGAATAGGGCCAGTGAAGAGTTAACAACCTCTAAACTTGTGCTAAAGAAAAAACTACTAGCTTAAGTCAATCAACCATTTAACTTTGGTAAATGTTTCTGTAATGTTTATAGGCACATGAACATTGCACATGCTCCTTGTTGGCAGAGCATCACTTGCATATCAGTACCGCCTTTTTTTGAAAGTGTAATAGAAATAAAGCAATTGGATGAAATTATGTGTCTAATTTGTGTTTAGTTTCTTTGTCTGATCAGAATTTGAATTTATGCACTACTGTCAACTAGCACTTTTGTCTCTGGAAAAATGGACTTGCTTCTTTGTAAACCTAGATGCCTGAAAGGCTGTTAGGGACTCTCAGTGCAACAAACGCAGCCTACACTTGGTCAGAGTCACTCCCTTTATTGTTACTTCTCGTACTTCAATTCTGGGCCATAGCAGTGAAAACAGGTCATATGTAAAAATCCTGGATTCCTAGCTCAAAGTAAACCTCATCCAGTTTCCAGTTCCCTGTATCATTCTGAGTCAGGAGGCTGCTGAAAGGAGTTTTCCTCTTTACCAGTGGAGTAAATTACACATCTATTTGTCTTCCATAGACTAACACTGCTCTTGCCGGACAAGTAGGCATGTTAATTATCTCCTTGCTATGTACCATCTTATATAACTATTTTTAAAATTTTCTTTAGAATCTAAAATAATAAAGAAGTTTTAAAAATAATGCTCTGTTTAGCTTAGAATTGACCACATTGTAACAATGAAGGAAATGATTGTAACCTGATTTTGGCAACCCCTTGTTGAGCACTGGGACTCCAGTATCTTTAATATGCCTAGCCCTATATCTACTGCCAAGGTGGGAAACCTTTTTGGCCTAGTGAGCCAGATCACTGTCTGTCCTGCCCCCTTGGGCCAACTTTGACAGGTGAACAACCCACACATCAATCCCCTAACATTAGTGCTTCCCAAGTGACTTACAGACAGCTTTTTGTTGGGCATTTGAGAACTGCATTACAGGGGCTTTGCACCAAGCATATGGTTGGTAAAGCTGTTTTCCTCAGGGATCAGTTGTGCAATAGAGGAACTTGGGCGCAGACCCAATCCAGTAGGGTTAAAGTCACTGTTCATCAGCTATTGGATGGTGACTTAAAATGTGTCTTCTCCAGGTATTGACTGCATGATTGAGTTCCCCATGGGGAACTTGGTTTTACAGCTGATCCACCCCTGCCTCTACCTGCCCCACATTTGAAGTCACATATGATGGCAGGTGGGCATGGTTTGGGGGAAATGACCTCATGGGCCAAGTAGAGACAATGGATTAGAGTTTCATAGAATAGTAGAGTTGGAAAGAGCCTGATGGTCATCTAATCCAACCCTCTATAATGCAGGAATCTCAACTAAAGCATCCATGACAGACAGGCATTCAGCCTCAGGTTCCCCAACCCATGATCTACTTGGACCTTAGGATCCTCTTCAGAAGCCCTACTCTGGGTGCTCCTGCCAAATGAAGTGAGGTGGCTACCAAGAGGAGGACCTTTTTGGTAGTGGCACTTGAGCTGTGGAATGATCATCCCAACTCCAAAACCAGACAATGCCTCAACCAAACAGCCTCCCAATGCAATAGATGCATTGTGTACTGCTCTTTTGAGTTAGTTTCAGGGGTAGAACCTAGCAAGGAAGGATGTTAGAGTTCTTAAGAGACCAAGAGACAGCTATGAGTATTAAGAGTTTAAGGAGCAAAAGTCATAGGCTGGAATATACCAGGAAATACTGAAAACAAGAAGATAAGGTTAGGGAATTCAGTAGATAGCTTTAAAGGCAAAGGCAATGTGTTTGTGCTGGATATGGAGGGGGATGGGAATAATTTGGACAGCAAAGTTCCTGATTGTGGTGAGAGGACTACATCTGCTCCTATAGCACTATTGGATGAATTACAGTTTACCATGATTCAGGAGCATAATACAGAGTATGACCCAGATCAAAACTGCTGGTTTAGAGCCTTCTTAAAAAGATAGAATGTTGGTTCCTTTAAAACGCTAATTTTGTCTTTAAAATAAGGGAAGCATGCCAGATACATCTCTTGACAGGTTTATTAGCCTGCTGGTATATTTTATGAGAATCAGATTAAATCCTGTTGCTGAATGTGCCCATTCAAAATGTTCTGTGCTTCATAGGCTACTATAAAAGAGTATTGTTGTTAGATGTGTTGACAGGAAGGCAGAAGCGTAGGGCAAAGCCAAAGTGTGTGTTCTGAACTAAATATTTGTCTGCATAAGGTTTTCTCTGGAGGTTTAGTCTGAAAGTTCCACATCATGCAGGACTTGTACATCTAAAAAGCATTTTTTGTTTCTTTCCTGATATGGTAGTGCACATTCTTTTATACCTTCTGTTTCATTTATCAAGAGTATTTTAATGAATACTACACTAATCTACTCCACACAATGTTTTGCAGTGTGTCTTTCAATTATGCTCCTTAAAGTTGCCTTAGGCTTCCATTAATACCTGATTTGAAGAAACAAAAAAAGATACTATGTACTAAAGTTGTACCTAAGGTACAAAACTACTCTAGAGTTACTTAAGCCTGCCTTCTTGTTACTTTTTGGTTTAGCTTTCAATATGAGGGCAAGAGAGCAATAAGGAGAAAGGGGATCAACAGAGGGGAAAGGAAGTGGTGCCACCCACTTCCTGGTTTGGCCCTGCCCACTAGCAGCATGTAGAGACCTCCAGTGGATTATTTCTAATGGAACGCAGCCCTTGATAGACAAAGGTTGCCCTTCCCCATCTTAAAATAATTCATTTCCTCAGTAAGGAGATGTTTACAACAATGCCTTCACCAGTGAGCATTGTTTCATCAAGGGAGGTCTGATTAAGAGTCGCTTTCTTAGTCTCAATGAAGTATTCCAGTAGCTACTGATTTATAGAATAATACCTTAAGCCATATTTCTTTCTGCACAGAAGAACATACAGTGGTACCTTGGGTTACATACGCTTCAGGTTACATACGCTTCAGGTTATACACTCCGCTAACCCAGAAATAGTGCTTCAGGTTAAGAACTTTGCTTCAGGATGAGAACAGAAATCGTGCTCTGGCGGCGCGGCAGCAGCAGGAGGCCCCATTAGCTAAAGTGCTGCTTCAGGTTAAGTACAGACCTCCGGAATGAATTAAGTACTTAACCCGAGGTACCACTGTACCGGTATTTAATAAACCCTTTGTAGAAAAGCACTGTCTGGTGGTCTTGAAGCTCTTGCCTTAATGAAAAGAGAGATTTCAAGTTTTTCTTCTGAAATGTTTAGAGAAAAGAGAATCATTAGGCAATTCATTTTTAGAAAGTTGCAGATGACGAAGAAGAGATTAGTGAAGGTTTTAGATGGCAATCTTGTGCACACCAATTTTAACTCAAATTACATGTTTGATGAGGAAATGGATGTACAGTAAGTGTAAAATACAGCTTGACTACCAATCTTAGTAGCCTCTGAAGAAAATATACGCTAACCATATAGGATTTAACCCCATCCCTTGCTATGTTAGGCATAGTTGAATGAAGCACATGCAATGATTCTTAATGAGAGAATACTCAGATGTTTTGCAGCAAAAGGCAATCTACTTATGGTGAATTGCTCCCAGGCCAAATCTGCAATCAGTTGTATGCAGAAGTGTCTTGCTCTATTGACTTGCATGAAGGCTGGTAGCATTTTAAAATGTTACTTACTGCCAAAGTTTGAGCAAGGACTCTTGTCACTTGTAATGCATTATAACCTAAATAATATATAAAGGCTAAAATTATTTATTGGGAGTATGGGAAACCCAGCCAGATGGGCAGGATATAAAAGTATTATTATTATTATTATTACTATTATTATTATTATATGTGTGTCCACCCATTACAAAATGTAGAAGGGATTGGGGTGATTGTGTTACTAGGAATTTTATTGGTCAAACAACATTTTATTTGTTACCCAGACTGTTCTGTCTGGACACAAAAGGTATTGAGTCTTATTCCTAGGAAATATTTTATTTCTTATCCTACCTACTCTCTTCCCTAGTTGATCTCTTTTTGGTAGAATTTAAATACACAAAAACTATTATCATGTTCACCACCCCATAACATTTCTCCTAAGATAACCATACCAGTTCTTTATCCTTCTCTGTTACCTTCCAGATCCTCCACAGACTTTAGTGCAATATTCTCCGTTTTTTTGGTGGTGGTGATATTTTTTAAATAAATAAATAATAACAGTATTTAAGAGTAAACTGCCCTTCAGCTGAAAATCTCAGGGCAGTTCACAACAGATCCCACAAACATTTAAAAGAACCCTAGTTGTTACTATTATTTAATCCTTAATTATTTAATCCTTAATCAACCAATGTAGAGTTGATGTTCCAACAAAGACCTAATTAATGCTGTGGAGAATGGCACTGTTACCTCCAGTGTTATGTATTTGATGTGTCTGTAAATGCAAAGCCAGGGGACTACCTTTTGTAACATCTAGATCAGGGATTGTCAACCTGGTCCCTAACGCCCACTAGTGGGCATTTCAGGATCCTAGGTGGGCAGTAGGGGGTTCTACGGCACAAGCTGAATCCTCCTTCCATCGAGTGCTGGTGGGCGGTAAGGAAATTTGACCATCAAGAAAGATGCATTAGTGGGCAGTAGGTATAAAAAGGTTGACTACCCCAATCTAGATCCTTCCTTGTGCAAGAACATTACCACTTTGCCCACATTTTGTATCTATTTGCATATTTTGCTTTGCGGTAAGATTTTTTTGTTCAATAGCAGTCCAGTGCTATTAAGTTATTCTTTCAAAACAATTTTGTATTATAATACTTCCTTGTGCAGTATTTATGGTTATTCCCCTTTCTTCATCATTGGCTGATAAAATGAATTTGCTGTCTGCTCCTTCTAAGTCACTAGTGTTGTTCAGCATCACTGTGGCAGGCCATTGTTGTCTATTTAGTTTACTTTTCTTCTTTGGATACTTAGTACTACTGTTTTCTGTTGCTTGAAGTTGTTTCCAAAGAAAGCACTGAGATTTATTAAATTCTAATGGTTGCAAAATTAGCAGTTTGATTATCTTAAGGGGCTGTGCAACCTGATTCTATGCAGAGTTGGACATAGCTAAGCCTATTTAATTTAAGAATAGGTGTGCTTAACTTGGCGTTGGATTGCATCCTAGTGTTGGTAATGAGATAGAAGAGCAAAATGCTTCAAGTGCCAATCAGTATGTTGCTAGTTGGAGGCAGGACTGTTGTATAAAGTGAGGCTGGCCAAGCCTAAAGAAATTCACATCCATATTTATGCAGAAGTAAGCTCTGTTCATAGTACTCGTCTTTAGTTACAATTTTTCAATTGATAAACTAAAACCACCCCAGAATGATACATAATAGTATGCTGATAGATGCCATCATAGACATGAAACTGATGTTTAAATACTAGACCTTTGCCTCCCAACAAATAACAAATAAGACATTATCTCCTTTTCCTATGGAAGAAAGTAGAATTTATTTACCCAATTCTTCACCTTGTACCTGGTTCTTTTTCTCATAACTTTATAATTTTTAGAAGTTATTCCACATCACACGATATTCATCATTAAATTCTGAGGATGCTACTTATTTCTTGGTGTCTGTATAAATGCATATAAACCCCTCTTCCATTTCCTTCTGAAAAATGCCAGCTTGCTGTGTGTGTCCCGCTATACTAGGTAGATGACAAGATGGTTTTAGTAAGAGACAGTTGGGAAGTCTAGACTGATTATGACTATTCATTTGAAGGTAATTGTTCATCAATTTGAAAAGAGCACTACCTACAGCACTAAAATGCTGAATGTGTGGGGTAGGGTAGGTTGGAATAGCCTACCCATAAAACCTGAGATGTGGGTATTAGCTGGACATATTATGTAATTCTCCTTGGTAGATGGTTCTGAACTGGGTCAATCTTGTGTGAGAAATGAGGGCAGGCTAATGTCTGTAATTCTTACCTGCCTGTGGTGCAGTGTTAGTGTTGTATATTTGAAGTTTGCCAGGCTAGCTGGAAGCCCTCCAGAGAAGCACTGCTTATGCAACTGAAATAGGCTAGCTACTAGGAACTGGGATGAGGGTGCAGACGTGAAGGGCTGATTACATGACGAAACCGACGAAACCCTCAAAGAAGTTACTTAAGGGTTACTTAACTTTTTATTTAGCCTTGTAGTTGAGGAGTTGGTTGTCAGAGCATATTAATAAGCTAACTGTTAACTAGTCCATTGAGCATTGTATTAATGTAAGCTAATGTACATTCCCTTAAAATCAGTGGGATTTAGTTAGTTTTTAGAATGTATTTTTTTTGCCAAGGTTCTTCAGGTTGTAGCTGATAACCTTACAAGTGTTTACTTAAATCTTATTGGTATGAAACTTGTCAGTGTGAAAGTCTAATCTAGTTTGCAATTAAAGATTTTATCTGAAACCATGCAGTAGCATTACATTTGCCTGTTGAAATCCTTATTTTCAGCTATTGTGCTTTATAATAAATAGGCTGAAACCATGAGACATTTATTAGGAGTTTGTTAATAAATGATGGTTTGTTGTCCCTTTTCCTTGCTACCTGGTTTGGAAGCATTATGTGTTTTGCTGTACCCAGATAGTATGCCACCTCTAAAATGAAGAGGGCTGTTTGCACTTTTTGAAAAGATGTTTATTTTTTTTTTTTTTAAATATTTTTATTGCATTTTTTCCACATAGAAATACAAAGTCGGATATACAAAGAAATAACAGAAAAGAAAAAGAAAAATAAAAAAATAATCTTTCCCAAGCATTTTTCTATAACCAACCGGACTTCCCACGTCTCCCTCACCTTGCGTTCTTTACAATAAAATTTTTCAGCAAATTATAACCTTATTTTGTGCATTCTTTTGTTCTTTCAAATACTTATGGTTTACGTTTAAAATGCTTATTGTCAATTTACACTAATAACATATATAATGTTCTTTTAAACATTAGTCCTTTCATTAATATAGCTTAGTTTCCCATACCTTAATCTTATTGCTGGAGCTGAATTTCCCTAATCATGCGAATTCTTAACATTCATATAACTTATAAAATCTTTGTAAATAATCTTTAAATTTGTTCCAATCCTCCTCCATTGCTTCTTCTCCCAAATCTCGGATCCTGGCAGTCATCTCAGCCAATTCCATGTAGCCCATCAATTGCGTCTGCCACTCTTCCAGTGTGGGTAAATCTTGAGTCTTCCAGTATTTTGCGATAAGAATTCTTGCTGCTGTAGTTGCATACATAAAAAGGTTCTATCCTTCTTTAACACCTTCTGGCCGACAATGCCCAGTAGGAAGGCCTCTGGTTTCTTGGGAAAGGTGTACTTAAACACCTTTTTAACTCATTATAGATCCTTTCCCAGAAGGCCTTCACTTTTGGGCAAGTCCACCAGAGGTGAAAGAATGTCCCTTCAGCCTCCTTACATTTCCAACATTTATTATCAGACAAATGATATATCTTAGCAAGCTTGACTGGGGTCATGTACCACCTGTATATCATTTTCATAATATTCTCTTTCAAGGCATTACATGCCGTGAATTTCATACCAGTGGTCCATAACCTTTCCCAGTCTTCAAACATAATGTTGTACCCAATGTCCTGAGCCCATTTTATCATGGCTGATTTGACTGTCTCATCCTGAGTGTTCCATTTAAGCAGCAAGGTATACATTCTCGAAAGTACCTTGGTTTTTGGTTCCAACAATTCTGTCTCTAGTTTCGATTTTTCCACCTGGAAGCCTGTTCTTTTGTCCAACTTAAAAACCTCTTGAATTTGAGCATAGTGAAGCCAATTTTGCACCTTATTCTTTAATTTTTCATAACTCTGCAGCCTCCAAGTTTCTCCTACTTTTTCTATAATTTCCCCATATTTCGCCAACCAACCTCCATATTAGGTTTTTCCGGGCCTTGGCCTCTGCTGGTGAGAGCCACCTCGAGTCTTACCTTCTAATAAGTCCTTGTATTTTGTCCAGACCATGAATATTGATTTTCTAACAATATGATTTTGAACATTTTATGAACCTTTACCTTGTCGTACCACAAATATGCATGCCAACCAAAAGCGTTATCGAACCCTTCCAGATCTAGGACATCAGTGTTCTCAAGAAGTAACCAATCTTTCATCCAGCAGAAGGCCGCAGCTTCATAATATAATCTCAGGTCCGGCAGGGCAAACCCCCCTCTTTCTTTCGAATCAGTTAGTATTTTAAACTTTATCCGGGGCTTTTTGCCCTGCCAAACAAACTTGGATATATCCTTCTGCCACTTTCCAAAACATTCCACTCTGTCCACAATCTGTAGGGTTTGGAACAAAAATAACATTTTCGGCAATACATTCATTTTTATAGCTGCAATTCGACCCAACAAGGAAAGTTTCAATCTTGACCAGATTTCCAAATCTTTTTTGATTTCCAGCCAACATTTTTCATAGTTGTCTTTAAATAAATTCAAATTTTTCGCTGACAGGTGAACCCCTAGGTATTTCACTTTTTTACCACACTTAGTTCTGTTTCCTTCTGAAACCCATCTATTTCTGAAGGTGTCAAGTTTTTCCCAAAACCTTGGTTTTTGCTTATTCAACTTAAATCCCGCCACCCGACCAAATTCATGAATCAGTTCTAATACTCTTTTTGTACTAGATTCTGGCTCCTGTAATGTTAAAACCAAATCATCTGCAAAAGCTTTCAATTTATATTGTTTCGCTCCGACCTGTATTCCTTGTATCAACCGGTCCTTCCTAATCATGTTCAATAACACCTCCAGGACTGAAATAAATAAAAGAGGGGATAGGGGCACCCTTGTCGTGTCCCTTTTTCAATTTTGAACTCATCTGTCACCACATTGTTCACTATCAGTTTAGCTTTTGCTCAGAATAAATTGCTTCTATTCCATTTTCAAACCCCGTCCCACTCCCATCCCTTCCAAATTTCTCTTCATAAACATCCAAGAAATATTATCAAAGGCCTTCTCCGCATCGATGAAAATTAAAACAGCTTTCGTATTGATATTAGTTTGTAAAAGTTCCAAAATATCAATAATGTTCCTAGTATTATCAAAGAGATGTCTCCCTGGGAGAAAGCCTGCCTGGTCCTTATGAATTACTTCATTAAGTATTTTTAAGTCTGCTCGCCAAAATATCAGCAAAAATTTTGTAATCCACATTTAGGAGTGAGATGGGACGGTAGTTCTTAAGCTGAGTCTTTTCAGATTCCAATTTAGGAATCAATGTGATGAAAGCTTCTTTCCACGTTTCCGGTGCCCTCCTCCCTCCATAATCTGGTTACAGACCTCCATTAGTGGTTGTATCAAATAGTCTTTTAGTGTCTTATAATACTTGGAGGTAAGTCCATCTGGGCCTGGAGATTTGCCTAGTTGCATATTCTGAATGGCACCCTCTATTTCCTGTTGTGTTAATCTATTATTTAAGATTGTCCTCTTCTCCTGAGATAGTTTTGATAAACCGTTAACTTTTAAAAATTGATCTATCTCAGACATTTCCTGAGGCCCTTGTGTATAAAGTTTTTGAAATATTTCTGAAAACACTTTCTAATTTCTTCTGGTTTCTGAATGTTTCTCCCTTCCACCTCTAGATTAGTGACAAAGTTCAATTTTTGTCTCTTTTTCAACTGCCATGCTAGCAGTTTTCCACATTTATTTGCCGATTCAAATGATCTTTGTTTCATTTGTTTAATTTTCCATTCCACTTCTTGATTTATCAATTTCGCATATTGAGCTTGGTGGAATTTGATTTCTCTTAAAATCTCTTTTGATTTTGGTTTTAGTCTCAATTTTTTCTCTCCTTCTCTTATCTTCTCTAATATCCTGTCTTTTTTTCCATTCCAAAGTTTTTTCTTGATTGTGTTCTGTTGTATCAGAAACCCCCTCATTACAGCTTTACTTGCATCCCAAATTGTTCTCTTTTCCACCGAAGTGTTCAAATTGATTTCAAAATAGTCCTTTAAAGTTTTTGGGCCTTCTTCACAATCTCCTGATCTCTTAGTAGGGTGTCATTCATTTTCCATCTGAAAGAACCGGTTGGAGTAAGTCTCAATTCCACTTTCAAAGCATTATGGTCGGAGCAAGTCTTTGGACAGATTTCCACTTTTCTGATCTTAGGTGCCAGTCCTCTAGTTGTCCATATTTGGTCGATTCTTGTCCATGATAGGTGGGCCTCAGAAAAGAATGTTCCTTCTTTACCTAAGGGGTTCCTTGTCCTCCAAATATCAATCAAGTCCATGTTGTCAGTTAGTTCAAAGAAGGTTTTAGGTAGTCTGCCGTCTTTAGTTAAATTTTGATTTTGTGACTTATCCATGTGAGTAGAAACCACCCCATTCATATCACCCATCATTATGATGTTAGTATAGTCCAGATAGTCCAGCATTATCTCATGCAGCTTCTTGTAAAATTCCGATTTCCCTCATTTGGTGCATATATTCCTAAAATCAAAAACTTTTCTCCTTGTGTTTGTATCTCAATTGCCAAAATTCTTCCTTGCTCATCTTTAAACAGAAGTTTCGGTGACAGGTTCTCCTTTGCATAAATCACGAAAACAGTGAGGTGAGGTTCCCGGACCTCCTGTAGCGACACCCACTCCTCGCCGGAAACTGTCACGCAGAGAGTCCAGAAGACGTGTTTCCGTTAAGGAGCTTTTATGTTGGAAGCGATTACGAAAGCAACCACTGTCGGAATCTTCTAGTGACTAGAGGAGCCATGTCAGAGGGGCTCAGTCACAGACAGAGGTTTGTGGACTTGAACAAACTCTGAGGGAATACGATTTTACGCACAAGCAGCTCATAATCCCATCACACCACCCCAGAATGATACATAATAGTATGCTGATAGATGCCATCATAGACATGAAACTGATGTTTAAATACTAGACCTTTGCCTCCCAACAAATAACAAATAAGACATTATCTCCTTTTCCTACGGAAGAAAGTAGAATTTATTTACCCAATTCTTCACCTTGTACCTGGTTCTTTTTCTCACAACTTTATAATTTTTAGAAGTTATTCCACATCACACGATATTCATCATTAAATTCTGAGGATGCTACTTATTTCTTGGTGTCTGTATAAATGCATATAAACCCCTCTTCCATTTCCTTCTGAAAAATGCCAGCTTGCTGTGTGTGTCCCGCTATACTAGGTAGATGACAAGATGGTTTTAGTAAGAGACAGTTGGGAAGTCTAGACTGATTATGACTATTCATTTGAAGGTAATTGTTCATCAATTTGAAAAGAGCACTACCTACAGCACTAAAATGCTGAATGTGTGGGGTAGGGTAGGTTGGAATAGCCTACCCATAAAACCTGAGATGTGGGTGTTAGCTGGACATATTATGTAATTCTCCTTGGTAGATGGTTCTGAACTGGGTCAATCTTGTGTGAGAAATGAGGGCAGGCTAATGTCTGTAATTCTTACCTGCCTGTGGTGCAGTGTTAGTGTTGTATATTTGAAGTTTGCCAGGCTAGCTGGAAGCCCTCCAGAGAAGCACTGCTTATGCAACTGAAATAGGCTAGCTACTAGGAACTGGGATGAGGGTGCAGACGTGAAGGGCTGATTACATGACGAAACCGACGAAACCCTCAAAGAAGTTACTTAAGGGTTACTTAACTTTTTATTTAGCCTTGTAGTTGAGGAGTTGGTTGTCAGAGCATATTAATAAGCTAACTGTTAACTAGTCCATTGAGCATTGTATTAATGTAAGCTAATGTACATTCCCTTAAAATCAGTGGGATTTAGTTAGTTTTTAGAATGTATTTTTTTTGCCAAGGTTCTTCAGGTTGTAGCTGATAACCTTACAAGTGTTTACTTAAATCTTATTGGTATGAAACTTGTCAGTGTGAAAGTCTAATCTAGTTTGCAATTAAAGATTTTATCTGAAACCATGCAGTAGCATTACATTTGCCTGTTGAAATCCTTATTTTCAGCTATTGTGCTTTATAATAAATAGGCTGAAACCATGAGACATTTATTAGGAGTTTGTTAATAAATGATGGTTTGTTGTCCCTTTTCCTTGCTACCTGGTTTGGAAGCATTATGTGTTTTGCTGTACCCAGATAGTATGCCACCTCTAAAATGAAGAGGGCTGTTTGCACTTTTTGAAAAGATGTTTAAATCCAGGTGGGTTGGTTGACTCAGCTGTGTGGATTTTGTAGGAGATGACATCTTTATGTACAATTGAAGATCTAGACTCAACCTGGTTATTTATGTTCAAAAAATAGACACACTCTCTCATCTTCTTCCACTTGGAAGGCAGATTTTTGGAAGGCCAATTTTAAAAAAACAAATAAGCAGCTTTTGAGAACCATAAACATCAGAATTTAGCACTGCAGCTTTTTAAGAGTTGTTTTGTAACTGGCTTCTCCGTCTCCTGTGTTTTTCTCCCTGCTTTTTCTTACTCTTTGTGCCTCCATTTCTCTACTTACTCTGATTAGAATATGATATCTTGTGGATAGAGAAGTGACAAGCAACCAGGACATGTTTGTGAACTCCAGATTTTGATATATTCAGAATATGTGAACTTTCTGCTTCTTATTTTGCCCCAAATATACAAAGTCGTTATGGTTACTGTTTTGAGGGGTGTTTTGATGTTTATATATTAATATAAAGTTGAGGTAATTTTAATCTCTTTTAGTATTTTAACTTTTGTATTTTATGGGGAAATAAGAGTTGTGGATCATCAGCATATGGGTGGCACCTCGCCCCAAAACTCCTAATGACCGCTCCCAATGGCTTCATGTAGATATTGAATAGCAGCGGACATAATATAGTTTCCTGTGGCATCCCAAAAAGGCACTCTCCCCAATAATACTACTCTCCCAGTTCCAGTCCCGAAGCTAGGAAAGGAACCACTATAATACAGTGTCCCCATCCCCAGAGCCGATCCAGGAGGATACAGTGATATGAAATGCCAATGAGAGATCAAGAAGAAGAAGCAAGGGTGGGGGGCCTCTTCAGTGTTTCTAATCAAAGGGTAACAGAAATTGGAAACAAACAGAAGATACAAAAGAGATATTTTTCACATCCACAGAGAACACAGTGTATTTCTTTGTTAATTTGAACTCACAGACTTCTACACTGTATGTATATTACATTTTTATGCTCAAGAACTATTACAGTGGTACCTCAGGTTAAGTACTTAATTCGTTCCGGAGGGCCATACTTAACCTGAAACTGTTCTTAACCTGAAGTACCACTTTAGCTAATGGGGCCTCCTGCTGCTGCCGTGCCACCGGAGCATGATTTCTGTTCTCATCCTGAAGCAAAGTTCTTAACCTGAAGCACTATTTCTGGGTTAGCAGAGTCTGTAACCTGAAGCGTATGTAACCTGAAGTGTATGTAACCCGAGGTACCACTGTACCAATAAAAAATGGAAGGGGTGACTACCTGCATACACAGGGAAGGAGGAGAGAGAAGGATGAGTGCTCTAGAATAGCAACATGTTTGTACTCTAAATTCCATTATACGGGGCAAAAAAATGGAAAAGCAAGCAGCTGGTTACACCACCAGCAGCAGTTCTGAGGCAAAGAGAACTTAGGCATCATTGCCTCCAAGTAAATGCATGTCATTTCTCCAGGTTATACCATTAGCATTCTCAGCTGTAACCTATATCATACAGTTTGGATGAAGCCATTGTACTCCTTATTCTCCTTTAATATCTTCTTCTTCCTCTGATGTTAATGGCTATCACTGCTCACAAAAAGTCCAGTTAGTGACTGTAGAGTCTGGAAAGCTTACAACGAACTGGGGTTAAGCTGTATCATACTATGCAATCTATTGTGCTTGATTTTAATTTCCTCATGTTTTTTCTTGCTCTTTTGTAGGGCTGCCTTAACACAGATCATGAGCAGGTAATGCACAAGGAGTGCTATTGGGAATCATGTCGGACGAGTCAATCTCAGGGAGTGATCCAGACATGGACCCGGACTTGGAGCAGGAGGATATGGAAGAGGAGGAGGAGGAAGAGGAGGATGAAGCAATGGAGGAGGACAATGATGGAGATGATGAAGAGGATTTACTTGATGAGAATGGTGAGTAATGGGCAAGGGAGTCAATGAATGCTTTTTTGTATGTGCTTCCCGGCACTGTTAAATCTGGTGAATAAATCATTAGGTTTTATATAAGAGGCAGATTTGTTCACTGTGGAATTTATGCAAGTACAGGTCTTTGAACATTTGTACCAGTTTTTGAACATTTAAGTCAGTAGGTTATATAATGTGACAGCCCAGTCCTAAATTGGCAACTTGCATTGCTGTAGCTAAAACTGTATCCAAATCTGGGTGAGCAGGGCAGAGTTATTTAGCTCTGCAGCTGCTGGGGAAGCCCCCTTCTAGCAATCCATTTTGAGAAGAATGTTGTGTGTATTGTTACTATGTGTCTGAGGCATGTCTGTTGTGAGGGCATCAGTTACACCTTTTTTGTGAAATATTTGGCTTCTCCAGACCTCAGATTTGAATGAAAGGGCACGAGGCTAAAACTACGGCTGTGTGTACTTTGCTACATATATTAACATTCTGTGCCAAGGAAAGCTGTCCCTTGTGGCCTAAATTTTACAGATCTACTCAGTCTGTGCATTACTTCCTCTTATTTGCATATTTTTACAATCTTGACTGTTCTGTATAATCAACTCCGTGTTGGTAATTAAGGGAAATTGCAGCAGCTATGCAGAGCACTGATGCCCCACCCAAAACTGCTGGAAACTTTATCCAGGTTCCTGATACAGTGGTGCCTCGCAAGACAAAATTAATCCGTTCCGCGAGTCTCTTTGTCTTACGGTTTCTTCGTCTTGCGAAGCACGGCTATTAGCGGCTATTAGCGGCTTAGCGGCTATTAACGGCTTAGCGGCTTTAATAAAAAGGAAACAAACTCGCAAGAACTCGCAAGATGTTTCGTCTTGCGAAGCAAGCCCATAGGGAAATTCGTCTTGTGGAACGACTCAAAAAACGGAAAACTCTTTCATCTTGCGCGTTTTCCGTCTTGCGAGGCATTCGTCTTGCGAGGTACCACTGTATTTCAGCAGGGGTTACCCACATGTAGAGCTAGTTTGAATACAGTTAAGACATTGTTTATTTGGTTTAACTTGAATTTTGCTCTTCGCCGCTCTTGACTATGCCATACAGGGGGAAATACAAGCCAGGAAGAAACCAGAGCCTGGCTTGTTACATGCAAGCTCAGGCTAATGAGGACTCATGGTCCAAAGAAACTACAACCCCATACAAGCTAAGTTTAGCATGCATGGTAATTCCTGCCTTGTGTCCTTCTCTGTGTGGCAAATTAGTGTTGTAGTTTAAGATTACACGTGAACTGGGCCATTGTTGTTAGGACATAAGAGCACAGGAAGAATCTTGGATCAAAGGCCCATTTTGATCTGTATTCATTGTTTCCAGTACTGGCCCACCACCTGCATTAGCAAAACCTCACAATGAAAGTGATAGCTTTTTGTTGTCTTCAGTATCCTGTATTCTGGTTCAGTTTAATACTGTGACTAGCAGTTATGGATAATCTATAACTCCATTGAAGGAGGTTGGACTAGATGATGCTCAGGGTCCTTTCCAACTCTACAATTCTGTGATTCCATATGATTCAGTTATTTATGCTATTAGATTGGCTTAATTTAGTCTTCAAGTGTTGCACCCTATACTACATTCTGTGTTTTTTTTCTGCACTCCTGCAGAATCATGTCACATGCACAGTCCTGACTCAAGACTAGAGAAAAAGAGGAAGGCAAGTCCTCCATTTTTATCTGTTGCTCAAGGTGCATTCAGATGCCTCTTCTAGCTTCTCCTCCTCTGCTGCTTTGTGCTTGCTTTTTAAATGGTTTCTGTTCATGGTGTGTGTGTTGAGGGAGAGGGAAGGAGTAGTTGCACATCTGGAAAAGCAAGAGCACTCATTTCAAAATGGAGTCTTGGCCAGCAGCAGTTTCACTTGTCTGTGCTTCTCCCCTATCTCATTTTTCTAAAAATTTCCTCTCATTACAACAGCTAACTGAACTCCTGCAGTTGCATCTGCTTGCAACAAATTCAACTCTAGGAATCAGTATCCTCTGTTATTAGAAAAGCCCCTCTCTCATCATTCATTCGCGAAGTAGCTCTAAATTGGAGCTCATTGCTAGGTCTTTTTTCTCTTCTGTTTTGGACTAACCGCAGACCCATCTCTCTTGTTTCCTTAAAACATGGAATTTGGAACTGAGAGGAGATCCTCTGTAGATTATCTTAATATGTGGTCAAGTTCAAATGGGAGAAAGTTGTCCTTCAGATGCTGTGGTCCTGAACCATATAGGGTTGTATTCAGCTAACTTTTAATGAGAATAAAGGTAAAGGTAAAGGGAACCCTGACCATTAGGTCCAGTCGTGACCGACTCTGGGGTTGCGGCGCTCATCTCGCTTTATTGGCCGAGGGAGCCGGCGTTTGTCCGCAGACAGCTTCCGGGTCATGTGGCCAGCATGACTAAGCCGCTTCTGGCGAACCAGAACAGCACACGGAAACGCCGTTTACCTTCCCGCCGGAGCGGTACCTATATATCTACTTGCACATGACGTGCTTTCGAACTGCTAGGTTGGCAGGAGCAGGAACCGAGCAACGGGAGCTCACCCTGTCGCGGGGATTCGAACCGCCGACCTTCTGATCGGCAAGTCCTAGGCTCTGTGGTTTAACCCACAGCGCCACCCGCATCCCTTTAATGAAAATAGACCCACTGAAATTAATGGACCTAAGTTATGATCATTAATTTCAACTGCTCTGTTCTGAGCAAATGTTAGTTGAATACAGCCCAAAGTACTTTAAAGATCAGAGGTTAACAGCTTGGCCACCACATTCTGGTGAACCACTTCCAGCTGAGCAGAGGGACTTCTGTTCACAGCCTGGGCATAAAGGGCCAACGCTGAACCCAGAAGGACCCCAAAGCTACAAACACATGTTTTCAAGTACAGTTTTATGCAATCTTCGTGTAGGGTTGCCATACCTCAACAACTTTTCTGTCTGGATTTTCACTGTTTGAAATATGGCGACCCTATCTTCATTGCAGTGCAGTAACTGTAACTCTGATACATTTTTTTCCCCAGTTCCCTTAAGTTTTAGACCTGGGCTGCATTCTATTCTCTGTTAATGAGGCCCTTGATTAATGAGCTGTCCCCACTAAATCAACTTCTACTTCAAGTAAATAGTCTTGTATGTAGTCAATATGATGTGTTCTTTTTCTAATTAGTGGGCTAGCTTAAGTGGTAGAGCTATTAATTCTGTTCTGCTCATAACTAGAAGTTATGACTACCAACAGTTTATAATTTCATCTGATGGTGAGCCCTTTCACCTGGAGTATTATCCCTCATTTCTCAACTGTGTAACAAAAATTACCAGAAATTGCATTTTAAAGAATGTGATGGTGATTTCTTCTGTGATAGTTGGTCTTCATGGCGGCTTATATCCTGCCCTAAGTCCTTGTATTATGTCCTTTTGAGCTCTTTTGTATGTTTTAAGTGCTTAACTAGAAACTGGTAAAAAGAAAAGAAGGAAATTAGTCGCTTTACAGTCAAACTAATTGTAAATTGTATTGCTTTTATTTTTAGATGAGTAGGTGAGATTTATCTGTAGCGTGGAAGATTTATAAAACTGATAAGGCTTTGTGAAATATTTTAAAATACGTTTGTTCTGTTTGTGCAGTACATTATTCCTAAACATTAATACACTTTTACAGTTCTATGTGTTATACAACAAAGTGGGTATTGCTGACTGGTGGGTGGCTCATTTTCTTCAGCTCTCTGATTTTTAAGTAGATCACCTTGTAATGATTTTGTCATATTCTTTCCTTTTGGGGGAATCACGGTGCAAAGTTCATCTCCCTGAGTAACCTTTGCATAACGTAGCACTTGCCTTGTGAGCTACAAGTGTGTGCGCTGCACAGAGACACTTGCTGCACTAAGAAAGGCAAGGAGTGTTGCCCAGCAGATTGCCAGACAATGTGCCAATGACTACCGGCTAAAGTCATATCAGAGCATTCAACTTGCTGCTGACAGTGACAATACTCACAAAATGTACGAAGAAAGCCATTGGAGCAACAATCAGAAAAACTGCACTGTTGAAAACTTTGTCTGTAGAGATCATCACAAATTGCAGCAAGCAGGTGAAGCAATGAGCATAGCACTGCCAAGAACCGTACTTGTGGGGGGAAATGGTCTTTGGCACAGCAATTGCCTGCATTCAGACTCTGCTTGTCTTGGAGGAGCTGGATGTTCCTCTCTCCCCTGATGAGCTTAAGAACTCTTAAACATGTGGTGAAGCCCTAGGACAGGACTGAATCCCAGCAGAAGTACTGAAAGCATCAGCATTGGTGACCATACGCTTGGGGTGGTAGATGATTCTGTCTGCCTTGGCTCCACCATAACCAGCAACCTTTCCATTGACGCTGAGCTGGACAAGTGTATTGGTAAGAAGAAGAAGAAGAAGAGTTTGGATTTGATATCCCGCCTTTCACTCCCTTTAAGGAGTCTCAAAGCGGCTAACATTCTCCTTTCCCTTCCTCCCCCACAACAAACACTCTGTGAGGTGAGTGGGGCTGAGAGACTTCAAAGAAGTGTGACTGGCCCAAGGTCACCCAGCAGCTGCATGTGGAGGAGCGGAGACGCGAACCCGGTTCCCCAGATTACGAGACTACCGCTCTTAACCAGTACACCACACTGGTAAGGCAGCTATGGCAATGGTTTGCCTCTCCAAAAGGGTATGGGAGAATGTGATGCTAGTGCCCAATGCCCAAATGAAGGTCTACCAGACTTGTGTGTTGAACATGCTGCTTTATGGAAGGGAGTTGTGGGCAACTTACAGCTACCAGGAGCGACGCCTCAATGTCTTCCATATGTGCTGTGTCAGGAAGATTTTGGGCATCACATGGCAAGGACCGAGTCTCAGACAGAGGTGTTTTTCCAAGCCCACATTCCCATTGTTTTCACACTTCTGTCTCATCAATGTCTAAGCCAGGCATGTCCAAAGTCCATTTTGGGGGCCTAATCATGCCTGCTGATCAATTTAATCCGGCCCCCATGGCAGTATATGTGTAAAATTGTAAAAAAACCTGAACAGTTTTGGGGTAAAATTGGAAAAAAAGCTGAACAACTTTGGCCGGCCCTCATGCATGTTCACTTCATCAAATCTGGCCCTCTTTGAAAAAGGTTTGGGCACCCCTGGTCTAAGCTGTCTTGGTAAGTTTCCACACAATGAAAGATGGCAGGATCCCCATGGATGTGCTGTAAAGGGAGCTACCTTCAGGCACCAGGCCTGTTGGCAGACCAACTTACAAAGATGTCTGCAACTGTGACACGAAGGCTGCCAGCATTAACTCCACTGTGTGGGAATCCCTTGCAGACGACCACTGTGCCTGGAGACAGGAGTCAGGTCATGTATCCACAGCACTGGCCAGAGGAGGAATGAGCACTGGGAGGAACGCAGAGAGAATAAATGCCATGGTGCTTCTGCGCCAGTGAAACCGGGCACCTTAATCTGCCCCAGATGCAACAAAGTATGTCTCTCCCATATTGGTCTCCACAGCCACAGCAGGCGCTGTAACTCTCCAACGGTTTGACTTTACCCCCAATGGCATATTCTTCCACTGTCTCTCGAGACAGACAGATGCCAACAATGCCTTGGTTAATGTGAATGTGGCACTGTGGTCTAAACCACTGAGCCTCTAGGGCTTGCTGATCGGAAGGTCGGCGGTTTGAATCCGCGCAGCGGGGTGAGCTCCTGTTGCTTTGTCCCTGCTTCTGCTAACCTAGCAATTTCGAAAGCATATCAGTGCAAGTAGTTAAATAGGTACCACTGCAGCGGGAAAGTAAATGGCATTTCTGTGTGCTCTGGCACTCGTCACAGTCCTTTGTGCACCAGTAGCGGTTTAGTCCTGCTCGCCAAATGACCTAGAAAGCTGTCTGTGGACAAACGCCAGCTCCCTCGGCCTGCAGCGAGGTGAGCGCCACACCCCATAGTCACTTTGACTGGACTTAACTGTCCAGGGGTCCTTTACCTTTTAAAAAAACCCTCAAACACCTTGGTGCTTGTATGTGTTTTATGGTATAATTTTGGTTTTGTAAAATAAACCACATCATTTTTAGCATTTAAGCTCCACAGTTAAACTAGTAGAAATGAAAGTGATTGGACCAGAAACAAGAAGTACATAAGCACAGTAGTTCTGTGAGAATTAAGAACCAGTGAGGATATTGGTAAATTCTGCTGTAGGCTCTTGGCTCTTTTGAACTGGTTGTTCTGTACCAGCAAAGTGACGACATTTTTGTTTTGGTTTCCCCCCCCCGAAAAAAACACTCTACTCTGTGTTTTGTGGAGAACGCTTTGTACTTAAACTGCTTGTTTCTTTTTGATTCTATCTGCTAGGGATGAGTTTGTAAGCTTCCTTCCTTCTCAGAAGAGTTTATTGTGGCAGGGATGTCTGGAAAAGGGCACCAAAGTCCTTAGCCAAACTTACAGGAATATAAGGGGCATGATATGAGTTGGAGGTGGCTAGGAGCCTATTTTGCTAATTCTAGAATTTTAATTAGTGCTGTGAAACTGTTATCTATTGTTACCTAAGTTATCATAGTTGGGGTGTGGCTTGAATGCTGGTGTGGGAAGGGAGACTAGAACATTCATCTCGGCCCCCTCAGGGTTTCACAGACAGACAACACTTGCGGTCATATTTCTTTTTAAAAATCTATAAGGATTTATTTCAGGTTAGGGCTGAGGAGAAGGGTCATAAAAATCTTGATGGTGGTGTTGCCTCTCCTCACTTGTCTCCTTACGATTTTTGGGGGCATAAATCACTTGTTTGAGAAAGCGGAACAACTTCTGGCAGCATTAGACAATGTTATATAACCTGGAGAAATGACTTGCATTTGCTTGGAGGCAATGATGCCAAAGTTCTCTTTGCCTCAGATCTGCTGACGGGTTCTGTAGCCTTGCTGTTCTGTTATGGTGGTGTAACCAGCTGCTTGCTTTTCCTTTTTTTTTGCCTCGTATAATGGAATTTAAAGTACATATGTTGCTATTCTAGAGCACTCATCCTTCTCTGTGTATGCAGGTAGTCACCGCCTCCATTTCTTGTTGGTAATTGTTCTTGAGCATAAAAAATGTAATATACATACACTGTAAAATTCTGCGAATTCAAATTAACAAAAAAATACACTGTGCTCTCTGTGGATGTGAAAAATATCTCTCTTATATCTTCTGTTTGTTTCCAATTTCTGTTACTCTTTGATCAGAAACACCATTATGAAGAAAACTTTTTTTCCTTTTGAAATTAATTTGTTATTTCTTGTTCTATTATTCTTGCAGTGATTTATTCGTTTCTACTAACCTATCTTTAATTGCACTTGCACACTATTTATTTTCATTCAGCAGTGTAAAACTAAAACCCCAAACACATTTAATTGAAACAAGTACCTCACAAACACAGCAGGTGTAGCCACCATAGTGCCCTCCTGATGTTGTTGAACTCCAATTCCCATCAGCCCCAGTCAACATGGCAGGGATGATGGGAACCATTGTCCAGCAACACCCGGAGGGCACCATATTGTAATAAAAAACTAATTTAAAAAGAAAAAGAAGTGTAATTTAAGCCCACAAAGGTTTGTTTGGTTTTTTTTACTGGAAAATGCACACTTTTGAGTGAAAGTGCTTATCAGCTTAACTTGGGAGGAGAGGCTGTGACTGAAAATAACATCCTGGTTTTGATTAAAATATTTAATAAGAGCTATTGTCTCCTTATTTTATAATTTTAGATTTGAGTTTTTTAAAGAAATAAAATCAAGGGCCATATGTGCATTTATCATACTGCTAAGACAACTTTTGACCAGTATTATACTATTAAATCAAAACATTTGATTGTGGAAGTTTGACATCTAGAACCCTACATAGTCTGTAGAGTTATCAGTTGTAGTAAGTGCTCTCTAGCTTAAAGCAAGGAATCAGTAAATATTGCTGACTCAACACATTGCTGACTCAACAAAGCTCCCCCCCAACCCCTATTATATACTCCTGAGTTTATTATTCTTGGGTTGCTTATGGATACTGCCTAAGAGAGTCGCAGTCTGGGAAATAAAAGACTGCAGCCTGAAGCAGTCTGAGAAATAAAAGAGTATAGCAGAGGTAAATCATGTGGTCATATTGCATGTGTTTTAATGGGCTGGAACCAAAGCTTTCTGAAATCAGTAGACATTCTTATTTCTTTGGTGTGTGCCAACTTCATATTTTGTCTTCATTTTTTGTATCCATTTTCTTTTGTGCTGCTTTTTAAATTTGCTTCCAGACGGATGGCTACAGGGAGATCATGTCTTATGCTGGGGTTCAGTTCTAAGGGTTCTGTGTGTACACAAAAATGTGTACAGTGGATGCTCGGGTTGCGAACATGATCTGTGTGGGATGCACATTCGCAACCCGCAGCGGCGTGTCTGCGCACGTATGGTTGCGATTTGGCACTTCTGCACATGCATGACCGCTGAAACCCAGAAGTAACCCGTTCCAGTACTTCCGGGTTTCGGCAGGTCCGTAACCCAAAAAAACGCAATCTGAAGCGTCTGTAACCCGAGGTATGACTGTATACTCAAGCCCTTGGAGCCAAGCCCCTTCTTGAGTATCACTGGTTTTCCAGAATTTGTGAGAAGGGAGAGCCTTGCTTGGAAAGCAACACAGATATTTTAAAAGGCTCTTTATGTGCCAGGAAAATCTGGTGCAAAAAGAGCTTTCAGCTGTCTACTCATTAAGAGATCTTGGATCGGTACTGACAGTACTGTCACTAAAAGCAGAGGGAAAATACCTGGGATAGGATTAAAAAAGGAAAATAAATAAATATTTTGTTGTGAGATGTAATACAGAGGAATAGCTTTTAATAAGCCTACTATGAAATGAAGCATTATGTAGTGGGAGTGTATCTTAGAAAACAGCCTTCCCCTACTTGGTACCTTCCATATGTTTTGGACTACAACTCCCATCAGCCTCAGACCTCTCCACTGTTCTTTGATTGTTGTTGGCCTCAGCAACTCCACATAAAAAAATAATTTTTTGAGCTAAAGCCAATAGGTCGTTGCTGCCACTATTTAGGTTACAGAGATCACATATTGGTTGGTTTCACACATATGGAATTGTGTTGGGTTAGCAACACCTTGTGTTGCTGTTAATAAAATTAAACTTGCAATGATTCTCTTTTTAATGGCTCCCAATATGTTGATATGCTAATTACCCCCACCCCCTTAGCCCTGTTGTTAATTTCTGGAGCCCTTTCTCTTTGTTTCCTGTTGCCTGTTAGAATTCCCCTTGTGTGGGGCCCCAGTTGAGTTTGAATAGTTATGTAAGGATTTCGTTTTATTCCTGCTCTCTTCCACTAGTTCAAATGGATCGCGGGCTGAGTAAATGATATCAGATGAAAACGGCGTGCAACTTTTGTTGTAGCAGCCACCCCAGAGAGAAGAGACCTCCCAAAATGTACATGGTTTCTTTTTGTTTTACAGACTGTACTGTTTTTCAGGAGTAGTGTTGGGTACCTCCTCTAATTTAGCACATATGCTAGTTTCAGTCAATAGGACAGAATAGCTTCTGTGATTGGTCCTCAAGTACTAGCTGGCTTTTTTGTGTGTGTACTCATGGCTTTGAGGACCTGAGCTGGGAAAGAAAATAAGTGCCAGTGCTATATAGACTAAAACCTAGGCATATTTAATTGGTTATGTAAGTGACCCTTCTCAGTCACAGCCAAGTTACAGGATCTATAGCTCAATACAGGTTTGTAGGATAGATCGCTAAGTGCTGTTGATTAGAATATCCGAATACCATGACGTTGTTTAGTCTGTTTCCTCTCTTTTCTCTGCTACTTTAGCAAAAGGCACCTTATGATTTTTTGTGTGATTATGGTGCTCCAAGCAGAGATGATAAATTATTTTCATTGACTTCAGGCATTTGGTCTGGGGCTAGAATAGCTCATAGTAGTTGACAGTTTGCCATATTATCTTCTGCTGAAGTTACAGAACCAGCTGTTAAAGAAGGTTGTGTTGCAGTCAGCCGTGTACACTGAGCAAAATGCTCCTTTTGGATGAGTCTCAGCACTTCCCAGGTAAGACATGGAAGTCTCCTTTCCATCTACTTCTCCTCTTCCGTTCATTTCACAAACAATTCATTGTTTTTAGAAATCGGATGTGTTCCAGTGGTGTTGTGAGAGAGTGGTTGGAATATAATATTTTGTAAAACAATACATTGAGATTCATTATTTATTTAGCAGTCAATAATTTGGTGGAAGTTGAGTGTCTTGATTTGCACGAGAGGCTGACTGTATAATCTTGAACACTGTATAAGGCTATTTACGACTTTTTAAGTCTGAGGATTCTAGTAAAACAACCAATTAACTCTTGTATTTGTTTTGGTAGGATTATTATTTCATATTGCAGCCTCTTTGCACTTGTTGCTTTCCTGAGCAAGGATGTGGCATATTTTGCATGTGTTATTTAATGTGTTTTCTCCCTATCTGAATCTGCATACTTCTGCAGTTCTGAGAGTTCTTACCGGTTCTGTATTTCCTAGGACAGGATAGTGGAAGTGTATGTGCATTATGTATGCACACACTGCACTTCTGACAAACTTTTTTGTTCATCCCTGGAATTCTGAGAATTAGGTTTGCCTTCTTACAAATAGGTTATATACAAAAAGTTCTGAAATTCTGTTATGAAAAAGTCTTGTTTGAAACATCACATTTAGTTGTGTATGCTCACTGGTATTTATTTTGTAACCTTATCAATTGTTCCTGTTTACCTTTCTTGTTCAGAAAACTGATTTCTTCCCAGTAAACTCATAAAAGAGGAGGTAGGCATAAAGTACTTTTTTTAAAAAACTCCTTGTAGGAGTGACTTATATGGACTTTATTTTGAAACTGATAAGAGTAATCACGTGTATGTGTATTTTTGCTGGGTTCTGTTTTATCTTTCTATGAATGGTTTAAAAAAGTACAGACAATCCAGTGGCGAGAATGCAACAAATGTCTAACTGGTTTATGGGTCCAAGTGGAAATTGCAAATTTAAATTACAAATTACTATTTAAGAAGGGAATGATACTTTCAGGAGTAAGACATTTTGAGATCAGTCTTGATAAAGGGAATGAAGAACCTCAGGATCTAGGAAATTTATAAATGTTGAAGGCCCATGATTTCTGGGAATGAGAAATCTAATTAGATTGTAAAAAAAGATTAAAACTGGAGCCACTGGAGTACAGTACTAATTACTGCTGTCTCATCTTTGCATAACACAACAGTGTAACAGACCATGCTGAGCTGCAAGGACTTGACTGAGCATTTTGTTTTGACTCTGCAGTAAAAAGTAACTTTCGATTCTGCGGCTTTATTTTACTGTCTAGCTGAAAAGTTTTTTAGACAAACACACTTTTCAAGAAAAATTTTCATGAGCAAAACCCTGAGCATCCCCTCTAATGTATGTAGAATAATGAGTTTAGTTTTAAACCATCTCTTACGTCCATATATGACACTAAATTTAAACTACAATGGACTTTTAAAAGTATTCATTAATGTAGTGATAAATCAACATGAAAACAGTGCTCTGTGCTTAATGATTTACATTGAACCAGCTTATGAAAATTATAATCAAACTATCTAATTTGTCTATGTATCATCACAGTGTAATAAAAATTGTTGCTTCTTTTGAGGAGGTCTTCTATTGCCTTACATGACTATACCAGGGGTCAGCAACCTTTTTCAGCCGTGGGCCGGTCCACCATCACTCAGACTATGTGGGGGCCAGACTATATTTTGAAAAATAATAATGAACAAATTCCTATGCCTCACAAATAAACCAGAGATGCATTTTAAATAAAAGCACACATTCTACTCATGTGAAAACACCAGGCAGGCCCCACAAATAACCCAGAGATGCATTTTAAATAAAAGGACACATTCTACTCCTGTAAAAACACTCTGATTCCTGGACCATCCGCGGGCCGGATTGAGAAGACGATTGGGCTGTATCCGGCCCCTGGGCGTTAGGTTGCCTACCCCTGGACTATACCTTACAGAGCGCTTATTAACTCCATTTTATTATGTGAAATCTGCTGTGCAGATAGGCCAGGTAATTTGCACAAAGTCGTAAGTCTGGTAGGCTTTGAATTTGACCTCAGCTCTATGTCTGCACTGTTCAGTACTTCCAATAAATCTTTCCTCATCACTTGATTTTAAGAATCTTTATTGATTAATCAGGTTCACTTTACAGCTTTCATGAAATATAATCTATCTAAGTGTTAACACCACGCCTCACTATCTTCTGCTATCAATTTCCTTTTAAAAAGAGGAATACTTGGCTATGGTGTCTAGTAGTTTGAACACCCACTATATTTTGTGGGACTGCGGTACAGCAGAATAAGGGATATTCATTTAGTTAGCTGGCCTGGACAACAAATCTGGTACCTTGCCTGGGGATCTACAAATTGTGTTGCAAACTTTCGTTGTTCCACCATGTGGTGAAGTAGTGAATTGTTGCCTTAAATGTTTCTTTGCTGGAATCATCCTGAAATTGCAGACTTTAAAGAAACTCACTTGATAAATTAAGAAAAACATTATGTTCCTGATGGAGGCGAGGAGACAGTGCAGAAAAAGACATGAATGCCGTTACGGTGTTTATTTGTTTTTCTGTTGTTGCTTTTTGGAAAAGTAACCCAGGTTGTTTCAAATACTGTTTTTGTTTTGTTTTGTTTTGTTTTAAACTTGCACAGTGAAAACCTTGATCTAGGAAAGCATTCATTATTGTTTGACGGGGCGGGGGATTCTGCTGCTTGTTATGTTCATTATCTTCCTCTGAAAGCTAGTCTTTCTTGCTTAACTTCAGAGGAATTCTCACTGATCTTGAAGCAGAAAACGGCAATTAAGTTAGTTATTTCTTTCCCTCACTCACTCACTCACTCGCATCCCCTTGGGAAGCAACCTGTAAAGAAAAGAAGAAAGGGGGAAAGAAAGCTTGATCTGGTGTTTTTAATAAAAAGTGGGGTGGGGTGGAAGCGAAGTCATGGTTCTTCAAACTTAATGCTGGCTTTGTGGTCTTAAAAGACATCAGTTGGTCATAGTGCCTTAGTTTCTCAAACTGTCAGAAGCGTAAAATGCTAATGATAACATTCAGTGATAACATTAACTACAAATATTTCATCAATCACAAAAACCTCCCTGTTTTCATCTACCTTTGAGGCATTGTTTATCACAACTCTGGCTACAATTGAAAGGTTATGCATGTTATTTGAAGATTGTTCCACACAATAGCATGTTCCACTGTGGTGGCTCCTGTGTCGTTTTTTGTAGCAGCTCAAAGCTTAATTACTGGCTACATTTTTCCACACTGCAAAAACGGCTTACCACATAGAGTAATTTATAGATGCTTACATATGGTGATTGTAATGATATGCGCTGGACATGGGTACATAACAGAGGGACTTAAGTAGCGTGTCCTGAAAGCGTGCCTCCCCACAAAGAAACATTATGTGAATGGTTAACTGCAAAGCTGTAATATTGTAATCTTTGCCCTTAACAAAGAGCAGGATTCACCTAACAGACATATCAGTCTGTACGATGACTTCTGCTTGCACAATGGGGCTTTCCCCTCTTTCCCCCCTGTGCCCCCCTGAATTTTGGGGTTGGGAGAGCCCTCAGAACAGCAAGGGGGAGGGCTGACCATGCCACCTGGCAAGTTGATATGCTTGGGCAGACAGAACATCAAATAAATGGCAGCTTGAATTCCACCTAAAAACTGCAAGTAGTTTAAAGAATAATGCTGGGATTTAGTGATTTCGAAGTCAAATTACCCAATTTTCTCCATGAAAATGTGAAAATGGGGCACTTGATAACGGAGGGACTGTTTGATGTTATCTTTCACGCAGCTCTCTCAGTTGTCAAGTGTCAGATTCCTTGGTTTGGGAGCAAAATGTGAGTGTGCAATAGAGGGTATTTTTCCCATCTTAGTACTGCACATTTCCAAAGCCACCAAGAGGCCTCTCTTTGCCTTTAACCACCCTGAAAAATCTAGTATAAAACAAATACTATGACTTGTAACAACTGCCTACTGAAAATGAAAGCTTATGTAACCATTGCATAATACAAAATACCTCCCCCCTCACAATTCGGTCTCCTTCCTTCAGACCCTGAATATTAGTTGATCTAGAGAAATAATAATAGCATCTGCACTAATGCAGCAAAGGAGGCATCTACAACATGTGGCTACAGGAGCCAGAATGTTTCTAGTTTAGGTGCACTATTTTAGCACTTGGAACAAATACTCTATTTGTAGAGGGTAGTAAGCCCCAACTTGAATGCTTGTGACTTCTAATATGAGAGAAGTTGGAAAGTGCTTCAGGCAAAACAGGTCCTTTCATAGCACTTTGCTCTTTGGGGGGATGGGGGAATTAGCCCGGGTAATTGGAAAACTACCTAACAGCCAGAAAGTACAGTTTCTTATTCTTCCTGTGTATCTGATGAAAGTAATCACTTGTTGAAATTCCCTAGCAGAGAAGGCCTTGAAAAATATTCTAGGTCACTGTGACCCTATCTCTGTTAGTAGAGGAGTGAGATGACTGAAGCAGAAATGTCAGTTTGCAAATTAATTGCTATAAATTTGAAAGTGGAAATTTCCAGACTTCTGGTATTTAACTGATGACTTAATTACCCAATTCAGACATGTATGTGTGACAGGGTTTTATTTTTTGGGGGGGGGGGGAGAGCTTAGATTTTAGATAGTAGTAGGAAAGGTCGTAGTGTTTTTGTTTCTTTTAGTAGGGTAGCGGAATAATGTCGTTCTCCCCCCCCATTTATCTCTCTCCTGCCACATGTGGCTTTCAGATCGCTTTGCAGACAAGTAATTAACCACACTGCATTCAATAATATCCCGGAATGTTTGTGCTGTGGCTGAGAATAAAAATTAGTTTTGCAGATTGTTAAACATGTTTCCTACTGCTGAGTCAAAAAGGTGTAGTGCTGGCTAAAAACGATGAGGATAATGTTCTCTTCTGTTGCCCTGGTCCATATTGTGTATATATGATTAACACTTAGTAAGATCAGCTACCTGGTTTCTTCTTTTGGTTTGTGAGTGTTGTTATTTAGAGACACGTTCATAAAAGCTTATATAAGTGCTCTTTAGTGTTTATGTAATTCAGGCCTCTTTACAGCAGCGAGGCCAGAATAAGAGCTCGTGAGTATTTGGTGCCTTCGTTGGCTTGCATAATCTTGGAGTTAGAAGATAAATTGCCTGTCACTGAGGTTGGTCTTTAGATGTTCCAGATTTTCTGAGTGTATGCTGCTGCTGCTGCTGCTTTTTAAAAGTGGGCTTCTTGCATTTTTTTTGTGTTGCCTCTTCCCCCACCATCTTACTTTAGCTATTATTTCCCCTTGGATTCATTCTTGGCTAAGTCTTGGAAAATGCACATGCTGCTCTTCCGTGAAGGAATCAGAGTCATAAAAAGTAGCATTAGCAGACAATGTCTCTGACAGTTGTGGAAGCAAGTGGAAGTCTGACAAGAGTGAGAATGAAAATGAGAAGACAATCATTGGCAAAAAGGAAATGAAGTGACAGTGAGATGATAAGTGTAGGCAAAAGCAGTGTACAGTGGTACCTCAGGTTAAGAACTTAATTCGTTCTGGAGGTCCGTTCTTAACCTGAAACTGTTCTTAACCTGAGGTACCACTTTAGCTAATGGGGCCTCCTGCTGCTGCTGCCCAGCGATTTCTGTTCTCATCCTGAAGCCAAGTTCTTAACCCGAGGTACTATTTCTGGGTTAGTGGCATCTGTAACCTGAAGCGTCTGTAACCCGAGGCACCACTGTACTCGTTCTGAATCCTAGAACTCCTTTTCTGTATGAGGGGTTGTTGAGGATGGTGCTCTGATTCCATGTACAGAGGAGTAATACATCTATCTGGGTCCTATTGCCTTCTATGATACTCAGAAAGAGTAGCTCTGTCAGTGCATTTGGACTTTGTAGGTGTGTCATCTTATGTAATCATTATGTAATTAGGTCTTTGTTAGGCCTTTCCAGAGTGGGAGGGACCTAAAGCTACTGAACTGCCAGAAGGCTTGAGACTGCTCTTTAATTAGCTGGCTTGATAAAAGCTTCAGAGGTTTTCAGACTTGGCACTTCTAAGGTCTGGCACAGGGACGTCTCCCTTCCCATCCTTAGTGAGAGCTGAATTTATCTGATTATTTTGTTTGTGCAGATAGAACCTACAAGAGTCACACTTGCGTTGTTTTCACATCTTTGGTCAGTAGTGAATTGGGTTTCTCTTTTCTTCTTGTTTTTGCAAAGAATTTGTCACTGGAGCAATTCAAGTTCTCCTAATTTCTAGTCTGCATTTTGTTCGATACAGAGATTTTCATACATTTGCATATTGCCGGAGATGTTGTAGGAAATGCATTTTTCTCCTTCTGGTAACCCCCAACTTCTTCATTTAATGGTGCAGAGCAATTTTCCTCTGATGGCAGCTTCTTTAAACTTAGGGTTCTCAACAGTGAGGTGAGCAGCTTCTAGGGAAAGTTCCTTCCACTTCCTGCACACATTTTTATTTTTTGGTTGTGCAGGAGGTTAGAATGCCTTATCTCAGTTGGTGTAATACAGACAACAAAATACCTCTCTATTTGTGCTAATAAATATTCTAAATTCCCTGTTTGGGGCCTGATTCCTCTCACTGTGGAATCCCACACTTGATTGTCTTAAAATGAATGCCATGGTTGCCTCTGCTTTTGCCACTCCTCTTTTTCACTAATTCATATTGGGACACACGTCTGAGTCAGGAGTTGAGTTATTATTGATCCCTGTTTAAGACATAGTATGTTACTACCCCTTATGTGTGTCCATCCAGTACCTTAGGTACTGTGACATTTTGGGGCTGCTGTTTTAAAATAGCTAATGGTATTATAGCCAAAGTGGACTGTGTGAACCATAGACTAGAAATCTGTTACACTCAGTGCTCTACCAGCCTAATTTTTTTTTGTTGGTATGGATGTGGACAGGAATGTTTTTCAAGTGAGATATTTAAAGCAGTACTGGAGGGTTAGAAAAGAAGTTGAAAACTCTTTGCAGTTTGAGCTGTTGGCTGTGAAATTCGTCTCAGGGTGCCCCTGCCAACTGAAGTATGGCAGGTAGATACCAGAGACCTTTTCAACAGCGTCCTCCCAGATATGGAATGACCTCCCCAGAGCATCTTTCCTAGTGCCTGCATAATGGACTTTTCAGCAGGACATGAAGCCCCTTAAAAAATTTCCCAGGCATTTTAATAGGCTTGGCTTTTTTCTTTAGCTCTCATATGTTTTGCTTTTTGCTAGATTTAGTTAGATTTGTACTGAGCCTGGCTTTATTCTGTTTATTGTTAGTGCAAGTTTTTATTTATTTTTAAATGGTTTTTAACTTTTCTTGTTAACCTCCCAGAGGGTGTGGTTGATTAGGTCTTATACAAGTGATGTAAATAAATAATAAACAAATTTTGAGTTGCAGAGGATTCTGAGACACACTCCAGAGCAGGGGTGGCAACCTCTGGTCCATGAGTCTAATTAGGCCAGGCATAGGTCACCGTTTGGCTGACAGTGCCATTTTCCCTAAACCACAACCATCCACCCCCACACCTGATGGAAGGGCAAGTAAGGATATGGCTACAAAGGAACCACTGGGAGCTTGAAGTTGGTTCCCAATTTTTCCTTTGCAAGTGGGACTCACTGACAGTGCTTTCATTGATAGAGTCTAGAGCATACCTGGAGTTCACCTGGCACTCTTGGCTTGACCAATCAATGTGCTGCAGGAGGGGCTAGTATTACATGGTTTGGCCTATACAATAGAATGTAGTAGTAAAATGTAGTATAATGTAGGCTGTGCTACTTTAAACTACAGTCAGCACTATGTTTAAATGTTCTTCAATATAAAGAACTCCTTAGAAGCAGAAAACAATTCTCTCTGCCTTCAAGCTTGCATATAGCAGTGAGAGAAATGGCCCATTTCTTGCTGTTCTAGTTGCAGGGAGCTTTGTGTTATTTGTTCTGTTTACCTTGAGAAGCTATTTAAAAAAAATTGATTTCCCTGTGCCTGCAATCTGAAGTAGCATTCTGTCATTTCATTCTTCTGGACATCTGAACCAACCCTTACCCAGGACCTGTTTTTAGGCATAAAGCTAAGTAGTTAAAGATGCACATATGCATCTGACATGTTGTATCTGATCCACTGTCAGGTAGAAGTTGCTTTTGCCCTAATAAGCATTCACCCCAGAGAGGGGGAAATGATGGAAAAGCAGTATATTGGAAAGGACAAAATGATGGGAGATCTAAGTTGGAAAGTTTTGAAGTTTTGAAGTTTGTGTGTGTGTAGAAGTTGTGGCTGCCCATTGGTTAGGTTAATATCACAGAAGGCAGTTGCTCCCTCATCCCACTCCAGGTGAACAGGAAATTGGTAGACCATGGGTAGCGGGGTTGCACAGAAGAGAAGAGATGTGCATGTGAGAAGTAGGTACAGTGGTACGTTGGGTTACAAACGCCTCAGGTTACAGACCCCGCTAACCCAGAAATAGTACATCGGGTTAAGAACTTTGCTTCAGGGTGAGAACAGAAATTGTGCGGTGGTGGCAGCGGGAGGCCCCATTAGCTAAAGTGGTACTTCAGGTTAAGAACAGTTTCAGGTTAAGAACGGACCTCCAGAACGAATTAAGTACTTAACCCGAGGTACCACTGTATAGCCTTTTGTTTTTTATTGTTATTATTTTATCACGGTCGGGAGAAGGGATCAGAACTACCAAGACAAATATTCTACTGGGTCCCAGGGTTTTATCTATTTCTGATTTCTGAAAATACTCATTAAATAAAATATGTGAAGGGAATGTGTGTTAGCTGTAGCTGTCTGCTTCTAATATTGGATTCTTCAGCCCTTCAGAATTCTGCATGAACTATGGCTTTGTTTTTGACTCTGGGGAAGTCATTGGTTTAATGACTCATCCTGCAGAATATGGTCATGTGTGCTGCTATTGCTGCTTCCTGTTGCCCTATTTTATCCAATCTTTTGATCTAGTTATATAATTGTGAATGAAAGGGAAAAGCCATGGGTGTAAAATCACTTTGTATAATATTACCATACTTTTTGACTTAATATTACAGAGAAATGTTATTTAACATGGGTAGCAGAGTTCTAGTCTGATAACTTCCAAGAAATTAGACTCTCTTCCCAATACTGGGATTCCTTGGGGTAAATGAGTGCAATCTGTGGGCTTGTTTGTTGTGACATTTCTGTTGCCACATGCTTCCCTAAAGGCTGTGTCTGTACTAGAAAATGTATCAAGTTCAAGGAATGACCTAGCTTTTGCTTCCTCTGTATGTGTTTGTGTGTGTGTGTGTGTGTGTGTGTGAGAGAGAGAGAGAGAGAGAGAAGAGAAGAGAAGAGAAGAGAAGAGAGGAGAGGAGAGGAGAGGTCAGGTTTGGTTCAGCTGCACTTGTTCCTTGTAGGAATGTAAAATTATAGAGCAAATAGGTGCTGTTTGCACTTAGATCATTTCATTTAAAATGCTTTGCCATGATATGAAGTGGTTCTGAGTCCTTAGGTACGATCCAAGAGTCCAAAGCAACCAGCTTTTTGGCTTATGAAACAGATTTTCGGCATGCAGTGAGCCCTTGACAAATGCAGCTCCACTTTGTCCTGCTATTTTAACACATGTCAGTTGTCCACATGTGACCATTCAAATGTAACATTTATGGAAGTGGAGCTGCTTCCACATAGTTTAAGGGTGAGGAACTTTTCTGCCCAGACCTTAGTCTCCCCAAACCCTGGCAGGCCCGAATTGGCAGGTGGGTGGTCAGTCACTTGATGTCATAGTGACACCTGCTCCTTAAACGCACATTCTTTTGTGTGTTGACTTCCATGCTGCTTGTTAAACCTCTGAAAACTGGAGTGTTAAAGAGTAATGCAAGGCTGCTTGGAAAGGGGCTTTCAAGGGGCTGTTCTTTGAACCTCTGGTTCCATTCAGTGGAAACTGCTTCCTGTTCCTCTCTCCTATGGCCCATCAGCTGATGGATGGATGGGAGCAAGCCTTGCTCCAGCAAAGGAACAAATTGGGAGCTCACTTTAACCTCTGATTGTTCCTTTGAAGTCCCGCCCTATTTAGCACCTGACACATGATGTTGCGTGGCTTCCCAGAAATGGCTTAGCAGGCCATGCTTGATCCACAGACCAGAGGTTCCCCACTCCTGACATAGTCCAACTCCACACCATTCCAGCAGTATGTGTTTATAAAATAAAGAAAAAGGAAGAAAAAAACCTCAGCAGGCAGGATATCATGGTTATTTAAGAGGTAACTGTGGCATAGTAATTACGTCAGTTCCCATGTGTAGTGTTGTATGTATTTATATACATACAAACAACACACACACGCATAGGTACATATGTATCATTTTGCTCAAGTGGCATTGGACCATGTGGAAGCTGTCAGAAATGTCTAACCTATTGCCAGAACTCAATTTCTTTTGTGAGTGAGGGTGTCTACAAAATAAGTTTGGAAACTTGGGGTTTTCAGCATCTTAAGGACTGATAAAGATCAAGAAGTTACTTGACTTCTTGGTTTGAATTAGCACATGTGGAAGGAAGGAAAGAAAGAGAAAGAAAGAGAGAGTTGATTTTGTACAACTTACTCTAACTTTCTTTGTTTCAGACCAGTCCCATGAAGCGGTGTTTGGCAGTGATCATCTTCAACATGGTGAAGATGGGGAATGGCAACGCTCTACTTCAACTACCTCATCTCAGAGTGAACAGGCAGAGAAACTGTTGCAGAATCAGCACAAGAGCCTGGCCTCTGAGGACACCAAAAAGAAGAGGGCTCAGAAACCTTCTCACATGAGGAGGAACATAAGGTGAACAGCATTTTTAAAAAATGTGTACAGGATTTGAGTAATAATTAACTGATTGTCATTATCAGTGTTGTTTATTACTGTCCCTTGAACCCAATTTAGGAGGGTGTGTTCAAGAGCTGTAGACATATTCTAAAATGGAAATGAAATGATACTACTGAAGGGGAAGATCGCAGGTTTGGTGGTTATTACAAGGAAAATATTGAAAGGAAAATTTAGAAGGCATATAGATAAAGTGATCATTGATGATCGATTCCTTGAGAATGTTCTTGCAGAATCCCATGAAAGAGTGGCATAATCTGATACTCTTTCCTTTGAACCAACAGCACTTTTGGAGCTTTAATTAGCATTACATGCTTTTAAAAATTATTTTGAGATCCCTTTTTTCCGGAAGGTGTGTTATCCACAGCAATATACAGTGGTACCTTGGTTCCCAAACTTAATCCGTTGGGAAGTCTTTTCCAAAACCAAAGCGTTCTAAAACGAAGGTGTGCTTTCCCATAGAAAGTAATGCAAAATGGATTAATCCATTCCAGACTTTTAAAAACAACCCCTAAAACAGCAATTTAACATGAATTTTACTATCTGACCATTGATCCATAAAATGAAAGCAATGATCAATGTACTGTACTATAAAATAAATAAGACAGTATTGTAGAGGATAAAAATTAAAATTATTATTTTTTCTTACATGCACTGATGATAGTCATTGTTTGGATGGGGGAGCTTTTATCCATTTCTGCAGTCCTACAATCAATCAGTAGCTGAACTGGGTTTCAAACAGTCACAAAAACAAGCCACAGTCACAAGTCACTCCCATAAAACAAAGAACAAGTCACTGTCAAAAAAACGAAAAAGCCACAAAAACGCAAAAAATAGCAAAAACAAAAGCTGTTTCGCTTTGAACAGCTCACAAAAGGCAAAGTTCACAAATCAGAACACCTACTTCCGGGTTTACAGTGTTCTATTTCCAAGTTGTTCATAAACTAAGCTGTTCTAAAACCAAGTGCCAATGTAATAATCTTGATAGTAGAGAGCATTAGGACTGTGGCCCATATCTGGTAATACCAAAATTTCCCTCTGCCTTTTCTTCTGGAATGACAAGCTCATAGATGAGTTACCAGGCCAGCAAAAGTATGTAGCTATATAGACCAATTACACCACATAGGTCCTAAGCTACTTCTCTCTGTTTTAGATAACTTTATTTATAGCAAAGGGATCTCCCCCCTCCCCGTTTAGCAGTGTGCCCCCTGTGAAGCCATGCCATACTTCAAATGTCAAACCACTTGGGGTATTTATATTAGCCTTTTATTTTTAAAACAAAATGTTTTCTACCTCTTTGCAACTTGAAGACATGTGAATGTGACCCATTTCCTGTATATTCTAACTTGCATGCATACTTTGCTTCAAGACGCTGTAGTACAGCACATACTTACCAGCAACTTATTTCCCCCAACCTTTCAATTAAAACTTTCAGAATCAGATATATTAATCTCTTCAGTGCCAGCCCCTTCCTAGTATAAAATTAAACACTTGCCCTGCAGCTGTAAGCGAATTGTCTCTATTGAAATAGAGACACCTGTGGTGTTCTTGGGCCTTCCTGTAACTTTCCTTCTGAAAAAGCTGTGCACCAGCTGTTGTTTTTAATTCCAGTTGGCAAAACGAAGCTAACAGAAGCTGCATAGGGAAACTTTGTTTTGGAGTAATATGTTCTCTGTTTGTGCATTCAGGAAGCTACTGCGGGAGGACCAGTTGGAAGCTGTGACAAAAGCAGCCCAGCAGGAGGAGTTGGAAAGAAGGAAGCGACTTGAGCAGCAAAGGAAGGAGTATCAAGCCAGCATCCCCACAGTACCCTTAGAGTTTCTCCCAGGTAAACAGTGATGATGGTGACTACTTCTGAACTAAAAACCTACCTGAGGACAAGTTCTATCGTCAGTCCTCCCCACAGGCTAAACTTGCTAAACTTCCAAAGAAGGCTTAGATAAACTCTTTGCATTTATATCTCAACTTCCTTCCAAGGCAATTACAGTGTGGCATACATGGTTTCTACCCCCCTCCCTTTATCCTCACCCTGTGAACATAGGCTTGGCTGGCCTTCGAACACCCATTGTGCTTGATGGCTGAATTTGAATCTAGGTCACCTTAGTCCTAGGGATGTGGGTGGCGCTGTGGTCTAAACCACTGAGCCTCTTGGGCTTGTCGATTGGAAGGTTGGCGGAAGGGGTGAGCTCCTGTTGCTCCATCCCAGTTTCTGCCAACCTAGCAGTTTGAAACCATGCTAGTGCAAGTAGATAAATAGGTATCGCTGTGGCAGGAAGGTAAACAGCATTTCTGTGCTCTCTGGCTTCCATCACGGTGTTCCGTTGTGCCAGAAGCAGTTTCGTCATGCTGGCCACCTGACCCAGAAAGCTGTCTGTGGACCAGTACTGGCTTCCTCAGCCTTGACTCCATAGTCAAGTTTGACTGGACTTAACTGTCCAGGGGTCCTTTATCTTTTTACCTTTTTTACTTTGATATTTTAACCCCTGCACAAGTACTGTGGGAATGGCTGCAGTACATCATTCCTTGTGGTTTCTTAGTGTGGTTGTATACCTGTCAAATGTTATACAACTATTTTTCATGTTAAGTAAGGCTTACTGTTAATAAAAGATGGGCTCATTACCATCATCTTTAATGTAAGTGAATTTGTAATCTCTGTGGTCAAAGTAATGACCTGTGGTACCATCTAATGCAGAGCTATTCAGAGTGAGTTCAGGTTATGCTGAGAAGAAGGAAAGAGCGGTAAAGTAATTAACATTCTTTTTTGTTTACTACTTCTTAAGATTTTAACAGTTGAAAAATAAGAGGCTTTTTATGCAATTGCCTGTTCTTGTTCTTAAATAATGGCTTAATGTTGTTTTTAAGGCCACAGTACTTTGCACACTTACCTGGGAGTAAGCACCATAGAATATTTTGAGTAACCATACTTAGAATTTTACCTTTTAAAAAAGGTTTTCTGGAATTGCAGAAAAACATTTTATTCAGTCTTTTTTTAAAAAAACAACAATATTAAGTGATCTACCTATAAGTTAAACAAAACAGTGTTAATTTCAGAACAAATTTGTATATCAGATCTAATTTGGGTAAGCAAAAACAAACAAACAGTTAAGTCAGTAGTGTTTAGGTAAGTAAATGAGGTGGGTGTTTTTTGTTTCATTTCCTCACTCTGGGTTGTTTAGCATTATTTATTATTGTTTACTGTTTTGGTTTAGAGGAGATTGCTTTAAGAACTGCAGAGGTTGCTCAGCTTTCCCCTCAAGTATTATCTGAAGACGTCATCTGCTTAGACAGCACCAGCAGTGGCAGTGAGGATGACTCCAAAGGAAGACTCCATAGCATTAAAGATGGTAAAAACAGATAGTAATCACTTGACATTCTCTCACTGTGCCCTACAACAGTTTTGTATCCCCTGTCTCCATGCAGCCCCAGCCCCACCTCTAATCCTGTTCCAGAGAGTCTCCCAGCCCTCTAAAAAGCTGGGGGGGGGGGTGTGAGGACACTGAGAAGGGGGAATTGGTGAATATCCCTCATCCCCTCAAGCAGAGCTCTCTGTAAATAGAGTGCCACCCATGGGTAGTTTGAATCCAGTCTAGTTTATAGATGAATATATTTAATATATTATAGAGTTGATAGTTGCATAATGTATGTGGGTTTATATTTATTTGCATAAGCAACTAGTCATTGCAATTTGTGTACAAAAATGCAAACATGAACACAATTTAACAGGTAAAATTTCCATAGTAAATTTAAAAGCACCAGCCATTGCAATTTGTTTATAAAGTACAAATATATATAAACACAAATGGAATAGGTAAGATTTCTAAACCATATTAAAAATTATACAATTGAAAACTCTGCTTAGTTGTGGCGCATATCTTAATGTCATATGATAGAAATTTTGCTGTCACTAGCTGAAATTAAACAAGAGCCAAAAGTTAAAGATTCTGATCCAGGCCTGTGTGACAGTAGAGAGGGCATCAACTTCAAATTGCACAGCATCACAATATATCAGTGAATAAATTGATTTGTAGATGGATATTTGTTTCTGATTTTTGCATCTGTAAAATCACTGACATGAAAATTATGCTCTGTCTTTTACTTGATCTCTCCACGTACTCTGCAATTATTTAATGAAAGCAGTGCTCATGTGTCTTCATTTTCTTTTTCTCTCATTTCTCTCGCTCTCTAGTTGAAAATAGAGCAAAATGAAAGAATTGCAAGATAGTTTAATATTCAGTTACTGGATATGCCGGCACTAAGTTTGTCAGCGTGATTAGTTACATTTTTTTAACCTTCGTAATTTATTACTTTGCTTAGTTTTCTACCGTAGAGAGAAGAGGAAATGAAAGCACAGGAATTGATAGTTCAATATGAACATTACAATTGAGATAAAAATACGATGGAGGTGCTAATCTCCCATGTCTGGTTGTCTTACAGAAGTGATAGAATTAAGTTCAGGAGAAGATGAATCCCTTCAGATTGTAGACAGCAGTGACTCTGGCAATGAAGGGGATGAAGATGCTTCTGAAGAGAGCAGTGGCGCTCACGTGAACGATGCTCTAAACCAGTTAGATGCTTCAGGACAAGTAATTGTCAACATCAACCATCCACCAAATGAAGAAGACATTTACCTGGCTCCTCAACTTGCACGAGCTGTAAAACCACACCAGGTACTGGAGATCTTCAGTCTGGACATAAAAAGGACTTCAGCAACTTTCTTTTCAGAAGCTGTACTTTGGTGTAACATGCACTGATAAATCTCAGCCCTTGTAGTGTTGCATATGTATGTGACAAAATGCATATCCAGCCTAGCAGTTTGTTGCGTTCCCACCCATAATCTCTTTGGCATTGTTTGTTACTCTTTCTAGATTGGTGGCATCCGCTTCCTGTACGATAATCTGGTGGAATCCTTGGAAAGATTTAAAACCAGCAGTGGGTTTGGCTGTATCTTAGCTCATAGCATGGGGCTGGGCAAGACCCTCCAGGTCATCTCTTTTTTGGATGTACTTTTCCGGCACATTGAGGCGAAGACTGTCTTGGCCATTGTACCCGTAAGTAGACTGGGCAGAAGAGTGTGTTGGTTCTGTTTGTGTGGGTGTTGGAGGGAGGAGGAAGGGCCCTTCAAAACTGAGAGCAATCTCTGATGTCTCTTGGCTTCCATTTCCCACCACTTAATTATACCCATTTTAGGATTACATAGAGAGGCTCAGTTCTTGCACTGAGGAGCAGAAGCAAGAGATACTATGTGGTCTTCCTTAGCTGTCCCCTCCCCCTTTACCGCCACAACTCACTCTCTCTCTCTCTGTCTCTTTCTCTTTCTCTCTTACACACACACACTCTTACTTGAGAAGGCTTGTATTTGTTACATCCTTTAAAAACCAGTTGAGTGTTACATGTGAATAAATACTTGCATGAACTTGAACCTGAAAAGCTGGTTTTGTCCTTGAATGCTCAGTGTTCTGTAGTCTTCGCTTCAGAATCCTAACTGGTGTGTCTCATACTTCCCATCACCCTCTTTTCTTACAGGTAAACACTCTTCAAAACTGGCTAGCAGAGTTCAACATGTGGCTTCCAGCACCAGAAGCCCTTCCTGCTGACTATGATCCAAAAGAAATTCAGCCTCGTACCTTCAAAGTCCATATCTTGAATGATGAACACAAGTAAGTGCAATTAATACCCTTACACAGGTGTTGTGTAGAGCTGTTGCTGCTGTTTATACCCTGCCTTTTGGCCCTTGAAGGTCCTCAAAGCAGCTTGTATAAGTGAACAAAACTTCTTAAATAAACCTTCGTATGCAAAATGGCTGATAAAAATTAATATAACAGTAAATATAACAGGTAAAATCAGAAAAGCACCTTTCATTAAACCATCACCATAGGGCTTATGGGCACATTATTTTAGTTAACATAATGTATATTTCGCTTGACTGTAGTAAAACTTCTAAGCAGCTTACAAGAAAATTTTTAATTATCAATAGCAAAGTTAAAAATAAGTAATTAAAACCATTTAAAAGATGATGAAATTTAATATTGGACTAAAAAGAGATTAAAACACATCAACATCTGTGTGTTCAGATAGGCATTTCTAAACAAAATGTTTTAAGCAGGCACTGAAAAGAGTACAGTGAAGGTGCCTGTCTGAAGTCAGTAGACAGGGAGTTACAAAATGTAGGTGCCACACATTACAGGGGACCCTCTGGATACGTAACTTTCAGGTTATGAATGCAGCAAACCTGGAAGTATATTCTTCCGGGTTTCGCCACGCGCGCATGTGCAGAAGCGGCGCCTCTGGTTACGGATTTTTTGGGGTGCGCACAGACCCCCCGAACGAATTAAATCTGTAACCAGAGGGTCCACTGTACTCTTAAATGTTTTCCAAAACTGTGCTGTCTTGACTTGCCTCCTGAAAGCTGAAACTGATTGGCTTTATGGGAACTTCCTTGGATGATCTTAGTATACAGAGAGAAAATGATTCCACAGATATCCTGCACCAGCAACTTTATGCAAACATAAATTAATTGGAAGACATTAATGTTCTTGAGCACGAGTGCCATATGTTCATGGAGACAAATCCTGGCCAATAGTTGCTCTTCATCGGCCATATTTTGACCCAGCTTCCAAAATTTTGCATAGCATTTTAAACTGCATGGACCTGTTGGCATAAAACAGTTCTATGGCAGTTATCTTATGGAATAAACACTATAATTTGCTCCCTACTGTAAAATAATTTTCCTGATTGTTCAGATCCTGAATATCTGTTGCAATCATCTCAATTCTAGCAGAACAATTCCTCATTTGTAGTATATACTCACTGTTTTCTGATCCTAATAAATGCTTTCTTGTCCCAAACTGTACCATTAGCTTATCTAAAGGAGTTGCAGGCAGGCTGGGCTGTGCAAATTGTTTCCTCACCCTTCCTATGGCACTTTGAATGGCATCAAGAAGCAACAGACTAAGCCACAACCAGTCTCCAGTTTGTGCAGCAGAAAAAGTAAATTGTCCCACCCTGTGAGTGGCTGTCAGTGGCAGGGAAAAACAGGTCATCCTTTAATTTTTCTGAAATGGCTGTTGTTGTTTGTATGATTAGGGTCCATGCCTTAAGCCCAATATGAACATATAGCTTTGCCCTCTTTCTTTAGCATTGGTTTGGCCTTGCCTCCCGAATACTACCTATAGCAAACAGAACTGTCGGTGAACTTTCTCACTGTTTATTTATGAAACTTCAGGATGCTTAAGTGATGTTGGGACTCACATTTGAGAGCCACTGCTTTACATGCTTTCAGCACACACCTGTCTTTTGTTGAATTCACCTGTTTCAGAAGCACCAGCACAGTTTTCCTTCTTATTGGTACGTTTTATTTTGCTTTTCTCTACAGGACCACAGCAGCTCGTGCCAAAGTGGTAACTGATTGGGTGACTGATGGTGGCGTGTTGCTGATGGGTTATGAGATGTATCGTCTCCTTTCATTGAAGAAATCCTTTGCCACAGGCAGAAGGAAAAAAAGCAAAAAGCAGACTGGCCCTGTCATTATAGATTTGGATGAAGAGGATCGTCAGCAGGAGCTTTTAAAAGGTTCAGAGGCTTTTGTCTTTTAAAACTCTTAATTTTACTTCCATTTTAAGAGATGCAGTCCTTAGATAGTTATTTTTACTAATATGTGGACACAGGAAAATTATTAACCAAAAATTGTTTAGAAACAGAGGCCCTATTATATTTATCTCTAACATGGATTGAATGGACATGTGTTCTGTGAAGTGTCTCACTGGGAATTTTAAATCATCGCCTAAGCCGCTGAAGAAGGTTTCAGTGTCCTTCTGTCACCAGTGTCATCCGTCAGATTGGAATGGCTATCACTACAGTCCATTCATGTTTTCTGACCCACACATTTTCCTTTACTGGATTTTCCACATTTTTTTGCATTAAATCAAGAATTGTGAACAACAGCTTCCTGTGTTGCTTTCTTTCATTCAGGAATCGAGAAAGCTTTGTCCCGCCCTGGGCCAGATGTGGTCATCTGTGATGAGGGACATCGGATAAAGAATTGCCACGCTAGCACCTCTCAGGCCTTGAAGAGCATCCGATCTCGGCGACGGGTGGTACTCACTGGCTACCCTCTGCAGAACAACCTAATTGAGTATTGGTGCATGGTGGACTTTGTCCGTCCTGACTTCCTTGGTACCCGGCAGGAGTTCAGTAACATGTTTGAGCGCCCCATCCTGAATGGACAGTGTATCGATAGCACCCCTCAGGATGTTCGCCTCATGAGGTATCGCAGTCACGTCCTGCACAGCCTGCTGGAGGGCTTTGTACAAAGGTGAGTCCACATCAGATTGCCAGCACCTTAGGTTTTCCCCCCAACAATTCTTTTGAGCCTTGTGCTGAGACACATTGTTGAGTACTGCAAGTCACTTCAGTAAATTGGACTTTTGGATCTGAAAAAAGAAACCTATCATGTTAGGGAAGCTTTTAATGTTTAATAGATTATTGTATTTTAATATTCTGTTGGAAGCTGCCCGGATGGGTGGGGTAGAAATTATTATTATTATTATTATTATTATTATTATTATTATTATATCTGCTGGGTCGGAACCTACCATCATCAGAGAAATGATGCTATGTCAGAGTTAGAAACAAATTATTTTGAAGGTTGACCATTGCTTTTTGAGTTGGCATTTTGTCAAATTGTTGAATTTCATTTGTGAGTTGAGACATGATTCTTGAGGTTTCCACGTTTAAGTTTTATGTAATAAGGTGCAATGTGCCACACATGGAAGGCTGCTCCAGCAATCTCATTTTGACGTACATGCTATTAAATCTAAGTGCAATGTTGTGAATAGCAGCCTGCTTGTGTAACATTTTCCATCCAAGCCTATGAACGTAATTTACAAAGATCTGACAGTTGCAAGTTCAGTTTGAGTTGTATATTGCTATAGATTAAATATTTACTCAAATTTCCAATTGGGAAGTTATACTTCCTTGGTAACAAACCCAGAGGCACGGCTCAAATCTTGGAGTGGCCTAGAAAAACAATTGCCCACTTCCATCAATGAGCTTAAACAACAAAGCATCTTGTGGTTCCCTCGAGAAGTACAAATTTATTATGGCATAAGCTTTTATGGCATACCGTCTATTGCAGTTGTAGTCCGTGAATGCTTATTTCAGGGGTGGCTCATCCTTTTTGAGCGTAGGATTGACCCATGCTGCATGTCAAAATGGATGTGACCAAAGAGTAAAAGTGGCAATGGTCAATAAAAATAAAGATTTTTAAAAAAATAACATTTTTGTTTGTGAGGGTGTGTGTCAACACCCCCTTTTTGCATTATAGAATCACAGCAGGGAACTTGCTGGAATGTTCAGCATTTTTTAAAAATTAGAAATTGTGGCGGGAGCTTGAAGGGACACAAATGACCCTTTTGGCAGCAGCACAATACAACAGGGGACCTACGGGAGCAATCATGATCATGATCATTATAATATAATATAATATAATATACACATTTTAAAATAATTCTTATTTTTTAAAAAGTGGAGGGGACTTCTGGCATCATGACATCGCAGTAAGAAATACATAGGAACAGGCAATATTTTTTAAAAAGCTAATTAAAACATTTTCTTAAAATGACAAATTTGGGAGGGCACTTCGGGCAACAGAGAAGCTTTCTGGGAGGAGGGGGGCAGGTACAGTGCCTAGGCTAGGAACCCCCAGCTTCTACCATGATGAATTTTGAAGGCTTTGTGATGCCACAGGACTCTAAATAACCTAAGAAAGGCTCTGCTGGATCAGGCCAGTGGCCCATCTAGTCCAGCACCCTGTTCTCACAGTGGCCAACCAGACACCTGTGGGAAACCAGGGAGCAGAACCTGAACGCAACAGTGCTTTCTCCACTTGCGATTCCCAGCCACTGGTATTCAGAGGCATATTATCTCCCAGCAGTGGAAGTACAGCATTGCGGCAAGTAGAGACTTAACATGGGTAACCCACCTGGAAATTACAAGTATGTTTCTCATGCTTGAAATCCTGTCATTATCGTTAATAAATCACACACAAAGTTAGGTGATCTGTGCTTTCCCTCCTCAGGAGCATAACAGGAAAGTCACATTTTGTCCTTAGGTTCACTGCAGAGATTCCAGACTGAGCACTCCCTCTCCTGACCTTCTTTTTCTTGGCTGATTTTGTAGGCGAGGGCACAATGTCCTGAAAGTTCAGCTTCCCTACAAGGAAGAGCATGTCATCTTAGTGCGTTTGTCAAAGATCCAGCGGGCTCTTTACACTGAGTTCATGAACCGGTTTCGTGATGCAGGCAACAGTGGCTGGCTGGGTCTGAATCCACTCAAGGCTTTCTGTGTCTGTTGCAAGGTATGTCTAAATCTGAAAGAGATGGATGGTTTGTGTGGAGTCCATGGAAAGGGCAGGAAATCCATACAGATGTATTGGTGTTCTATAGCATTGTGGTGATACTGAATAGCACAGCTGTCCTCTTTTAAGACCAAGCTCCTACTGGGAAGTACGGAACATTTCCTGAGTGAGAATGATTTGTGTTACGGTGGTTTGGCTTGAAGTATCTTGATTATAGTTCTTTGTCTGACCACAGACTAATTAGTAGCATGAGAAGATGTTGGACACACTTCCTTTCGAGAAGCTCAGTGGTCAAGCATCTTGCTTTGCAAGCAGAAGATCCCAGGCTGCCATCTCTTTGGTGGCATGGAGTTTTCGTGGAATTGCTGTTTCCCATTCTCAGCCCCTTGATTAGAGCAACATATGGCTAGAAATAAATTAAATAGTCACCACCTAGACATTAATAAATGGAATTTCTGAAGTATTTTAGGCTAAATAGTTGCAAAGTAACCTGCCCTCTCCTTTCAGATCTGGAATCACCCTGACGTGCTATATGAAGCATTACAAAAAGAGAATTTGGCCAATGAGCAGGACCTGGATGTGGATGACCTTGGCACGGCCGGTACCAATTCACGCTGCCAGTCACAGGGAATGAAAGTCAAAACGGAGAACAATGCTTTGGCATCACCAATTGGGGAAGCGACCAACAGCAAATACATTCAGGGCATTGGCTTCAATCCCTTTCAGGAAAGAGCCAATCAGGTTGTAACGTATGAGTGGGTGAGTACCAGCATCAAAACTTCCAGTGTGACTGATTCCTCCCTCCCTTTTCCTCAAGCATAAAGAAGGATTCTAAGGTTGAGACAGGCTTTTTTTGGATACTGCGCACTGTTTGGTTCTGGTAATTTTGCCAGTGTTTCCTGGAATAATCGGCCAATGTGCTGCTTCTCAAATGCTTAATTCAATCCAATATGTACTTGGATCTGAAATCATACATAACAGTATACATGCGTCTGTCTGTCCCTGCTGTGAGTCACCACTTTAGTTGGGGTGTCTCATGCTAATAATCCCCAGGTATGAAAGACAGGGTGGATATTAAATTATCTGTCAAGGGATCAATTATTATGTTTTGCCTCTTTTCGACTGACATGTGACATAATGTTGTGTGAAAGATTTGTTTCTGAATAGAAAGTGTGTTTTTCACATGTCTTTTACACCCATTACCTTGGTTTGTGATCATGTTTAGGAAGTTAGGGACTTTTAAGTAGTGAATTGGTGAACTGGGATACAGCAGCAAACTCTGTTCACGATGGTACTGAATGTTCCTGTTTTACCCACAGGCGAAAGACATCCTTTGTGATTACCAGACAGGAGTTTTGCAAAATTCCCCTAAGATGGTGTTGCTGTTTCATCTTGTGGACGAGAGTGTGAAACTTGGAGACAAATTATTAGTCTTCAGGTACGGGGCAATTACAGTACTTTAGATCTTGTTCCTGCTGTAGAGTCTTGCTAAATGTGACTAAATACTATTGACTCCAACCCAGCTGTTTATAAAAAACAGACCTTAAAGCAGGTTTCTCAGTAATCCTGGGCAACAAAGTCCACTGTAGAACACAATTAGCTTCTCTGTGTATGTTTTCTTCACAATTTCATGGCGGCCAGTGAAGAATGCTTGGAAATTACAGCGCACTGGCCATTCTGGGGCCTAGGAAATTGACCACATTACTGCTGTCCTTTAAAGAGCTATGCTTGTTGTCACTTGGTTTTGAGGCATAATTCGATGTGCTGATGTTAACATTTACATCCCTAAATCACCTATGCCTAGTTATTTGTTAGAAACACCATTCTCATATCTCCCTCCCAGTGTTCCAAGGAGGCCCTATTGCAAAAGCTCTTGATGTCTGAAGTATAATGGGCCTTCTCGGTTGTGGCATCCCATCCATCCCATCCTTTATCCAGGGATTCCTGCTTTTTTAATGTTTTTCATAAAATGATGAAGCTTCTCTTCTGACGTTCAACCAGCTTGTTAGATTTTGGGTATTAAGATTTAGATTCAAGTATGTTTCGGTCGTTCTGCAGAATAATTGTAATACTGATTTTATTGTAAGCTGCCTTTGACCAAAAAGAGAAGTATTTAATGTAAATCTGCTTTTTGATATGGCAAATCCATTGGGTTGGATCCAGGCTCAGTTATTCCTAGAGATGACTCCCTTGAACTTGTTAGCCAACTATGGCTGCAGTCCTAACCCCACTTGCCCTTGGAATAAGTCCCTGCAGTATTCAGCAGAACTTATTTCTGAGTAGACTTTGTTAGGATTGTGCTGAAAGTCTGAATCCATCCATTGTTTGTTCTGTCCTCAATTGATAGCATAACATTTTCTATTTTCATCATTCTTTCAAATATATTTAAAAAATAAAGAGCCTTGGATTCCTGCCTGTGCCTCATGCATGTGTTGCAGATGAGAAGTGTGTTAAATTATGTGAAATAGAACATTGTGTATTGTAAGGTGCCAGTGCAGACTAGCTTTTGCACTTGTAAATAGGATCTCCTTTTTTCTATTCAAATTATACTGTGGATTTTTAAAAATCTTTCATTTGCCCTTCTGAGTGGAGTTCTTTGTCTCTTGCAGCCAAAGCCTTTCCACGTTGTCTGTCATTGAGGATTTCTTGGCAAAGAGACCAGTGCCTTCTCTCCCAGGCTTGGAATCACAAGGAATCCATAATTGGGTCCGAAATGTGAATTATTATCGTAAGTACAGCATGTCCTTCCATCATCTGGAGTACTAATTGTTTACAGCTGGGCTGATCTTCCTGAAAATGTATCCATTTTCTCTAGTTTGTCTGCAACCTTTTCTGTTGTTTCCCATGGAGATGTGCATGGATCCACCTTCATTTTCAGACAAATTGCTTTCAGGCATTTGTTTGGTTTTGGATAGAAGTAGTTTATTTTGATGCTTGAGCATTTCCCCCCCTCCTATGTCAGTGTCACATGGATATTATCAAACAAGCAAAACCTTACAGTTACCCATAATTGTTTTATTTTAATGGATGTTGTGGGATTTTTATTTTTATTTAAAAACACACATTTTGTATTCATTTTCCACTGGGTAGGTCTGGATGGTAGTACTTCAGCCTCCGAGAGGGAGCGGCTGATAAACCAGTTCAACGACCCCAGCAACACTTCGGTTTCACTCTTCCTTCTTTCCACACGGTAAGTTGCGTCTAATGAGGTATTTGCCACCAAGAATCCTTGGCATTTTATCCAGTTGAAAGGATGGCCTTAAGACCTTTTAGAAACATGTGGAGGTCTGCACTAATCATTCCATAGTTATCTTCAGAAGTTACTGCTAACATCCGATTAAAATTTTACACCAGGGTTTTGAGCAAAAGCAACAGCCCCCACATAAGATATGATTCCCAGGCAGAATAGAGTGTGTGTGTGTGACCTCCTTCTCTGCAAGGGGACATTTACCAGCAGCAGCTCTGCAGGGAGCATCCTGGATGACTTACGTTTTGATAGTTTGATCGGGATATTTATTAATGATTTTTGTATCATTGTAACTTGTAAGCTGCATTAGAAAGATTTGCATCCTGTATAGGAAAAATATATAATTTATTTAGGAGACCACTGTAAGCAGATGAAAACATTAGCAGGGTTTAAATAACACTTGTAAACGAGTACTATGGACAGATTTAAAATATGAGTTATGAAACAATATGCAGTTGAAAATGTTGACAGTAAGACCCAAGGAGGGGATGGAGGGAAGTCTAGAGATTTAGAGAAATTTCTCAATGTTGATATTTATTTGGTATTGTTATAACTCTACACTTGTAAAATCAAATAAAATTATTTTCAAAAAGAAGAAGAAAGATTTGCATCCTGAAATGCAGGATATAAATAATGGTAACAAATGAATGAATATTTTATATATTTTTAGAGCTGGATGTTTGGGTGTGAATCTGATCGGTGCAAACAGGGTGATAGTATTTGATGCCTCCTGGAATCCATGCCATGATGCCCAGGCAGTATGTCGGGTGTATCGTTATGGGCAGAAGAAGCCTTGCCACATCTATCGATTAGTTTCCGATTACACCCTGGAGAAGAAAATATATGACCGCCAGATCTCCAAACAAGGGATGTCAGGTGGGTCAAATCTTCACATGTCTCCACCAAATCACATCTGTCTTTTAGCCTCTGAAATGGGTTCTCGGTTGCTTCCTGGTTTTCTTGTGTTTGCAAGTGCGTGCCCTTACGTATGTCACCACTCAAGGAATGTTATTGGAGGTCTAAATGCAACAAGAGCAGCAGTTCTTCCTAATTTTGGATCTATGTATGTTTTATTTATGGGACGCGGGTGGCGCTGTGGGTTAAACCACAGAGCCTAGGGCTTGCCGATCAGAAGGTTGGCAGTTCAAATCCCCGCGATGGGCTGAGCTCCCGTTGCTCGGTCCCTGCTCCTGCCAACCTAGCAGTTTGAAAGCATGTCAAAGTGCAAGTAGATAAATAGGTACTGCTCCAGCGGGAAGGTAAACGGCGTTTTCATGCGCTGCTCTGGTTCGCCAGAAGCGGCTTTGTCATGCTGGCCACATGACCCCGAAGCTGTATGCCAGCTCCCTCGGCCAGTAAAGCGAGATGAGCGCCGCAACCCCAGAGTCGTCCGCAACTGGACCTAATGGTGAGGGGTCCCTTTACCTTCTTTATGCTTTATTTAGATCGTGTTGTGGATGACTTGAATCCGGTGTTGAACTTTACCCGGAGAGAGGTGGAGAACTTGCTACACTTTGTGGAAGAGGAACCCGAAGCTGTCCAGCATTCATTCAGCCCAAACAAGATCATGGAATCTGTCTTGCAGCTGGCCTGTCTCAAGTACCCTCACCTCATCACCAAGGTTAGGAGGGAGGGGGGAAACCCACTATTCCCCTAATCTTTATTTTGCAACCCTGACCCATCTGCTTGTCAATAACTTCAAGGTGTCAAAGCCACATGGTTCTTATCTTGAGAAATCCTGCTGTTGATGTAATCTTGTTCCCATGTAACACTAAGCCAGACTATGGCATAGCACAAATAAATCCAATTGCAGGTTCCTGGAGAGGAGATAGTAGCTGCTTTGCTCCTTCCTGGTCATTTTGCTTCTGTCTTGTGCTGATATAAGTCATGGGTTGGCTTAGTGTGTAATCTGAACTTGGCCTTGAGGTTTAGCTCTCTCCAGGCAAACAGCAAGCTATAACTGAGACATCTCCTGTGTTTCCTGCAGATAACTTGAACCTCTTTCTCCTTGCTGTAACAAGGACTTGGTCCTTTTAAATGACCGGCACCTGACAATCAGAGGCAGCATTTCACAATAATGCAATAGTTATTACACACACTGAGGAGACAAGCTGTGCCAAACCTTAATTTACTATACAGTGGTACCTCCGGTTGCAGATGGGATCCGTTCTGGAGGACAGGTGGGATCCTGAGGTTTCCGCAACCTGAGGACCTCTTCTGCACATGCGGACATGGCAAAACCCAATCAAATACTTCCGGGTTTGCCGCTTTCGCATCCTGAAGTTTACGTAACCAGAGGTGCTACTGTAATTTGAAGTACTGGTACATGATTTTAGCTGCTAGGCTAGCATCACATGCTCATAACATACTTCTCCTGTGGTGTTACAGCTCATAATTTATCTGGAGAGAGCAAAACACCAAGCCTGGGTTTGGATAATGTGCTAAGCCAAACCATGTAGAGCAGCAGCAGAATAACCAGAGGAAGAGCAAAGCAGTTGCGGTCTTTCCAGGACCCAACCAAATACTCCTAGCCTTTGCAGGGAGGGAAAAATACCAGTTATATAAAATAAAGCCTATTGGCTCCCAGTTTTTTCATACAAAGATGGATAGGTTACGAAAGGGACACGGGTGGCGCTGTGGTCTAAACCACTGAGCCTTGGGCTTGCCCATCAGAAGCTCAGCGGTTTGAATCCCCGCTACCCGGTGAGCTCCCATTGCTTGGTCCCTGCTCCTGCCAACCTAGCAGTTCGAAAGCATGTCAAAGTGCAAGTAGATAAATAGGTACTGCTCCGTCGGGAAGGTAAATGGCGTTTCCGTGCATTGCTCTGGTTTTGCCAGAAGCGGCTTAGTCATGCTGGGCCACATGACCCGGAATAACTGTCTGCAGACAAATGCTGGCTCCCTTGGCCTGTAAGGCGAGATGAGCGCTGCAACCCCAGAGTCATCTGTGACTGGACTCTGTCAGGGGTCCTTTACCTTTTGGATAGGTTACTGGTATCCTAGAACAGGAGGGTAGGATAGCTGCCATTCTTTCACCTTGTGTTTTTGTGGTACTTTTGGTAAAAAAAAAAGTTCTCAAAATGATACTTCCCATTGTTGTTACCACAGGAGCCTTTTGAGCATGAGTCGCTGCTGATTGACCGTAAAGAACACAAGCTCACCAAGGCAGAGAAGAAAGCAGCCAAGAAGAGCTACGAGGAAGAGAAACGTGCATCCGTCCCATACACCCGTCCGTCCTACGCTCAGTATTACCCAGCCACTGACCAGAGCCTGACAAACATACCCGCCTTCAGTCAGAGGAACTGGTGGGTAAACCCTTTCCTTTCTGTATGTAACGTTCAAGGCGAATGGCAAATTCTGATCTGCCCCAGCCCCTGCATCTTGGCAACCATTTTCTGGCTCTTAGAACATGAGGCAAAGAAGTTAACCGGTAACTGTGAACAATTAGAGATGAGTGGGGGAAATCAAATTAAACAGCATTCTGTTGTGATGGGACAGTCAGTACAGTATTCAAAGTACAGATGGCTACATACACACATCATATAGAGTGAGCAATAAGGTGCACTTTCCCCCTGAGATTTTCAGGATACTTTGATACTGATTTCTTGTTGCATTTCTTGCACCAAGTCAAATACCAAAACTGCCTATGAAGCACCCCAGAAATTGTGGAATTTAATATGTGGTTGGGGACTCAGCCTATGTCATAAATACTCATGTAACTCCATAATCTGGAATTATTTCCTCTGCAGGCCCCTTTTCTCTGCATGTGGATTATTAAAGTGATGATGGTGTCACACATTGATTTGGGGGGGCGGGGCGGGGGTACTTTGATCCTCCAGATGACAATGAACTCCAACCCCCAGCCAGCATAGCCAGCAGTTAGGAATGATGGGAATTGTAGTCCAAAAAATCTGGGTAGCCATATCCCTGGTGTTAGGGCATTAGGTGAACAATGGAGTGGATGGTTCCATGTTGTAGTAAGAAGCTATTGAGCCCCTTCCAACTCTGTGCTTCTGTGAAGTGCTGATTCTTTCCTTTCTTCCCCCCCCCCTCCCCATAGGCGACCAAGCCTCAAAGGTGAAGAGAGGCCGGTGGCAAGTGTACGTCCCGTTCAGTCCACCCCCATTCCTATGATGCCGCGCCATGTGCCGTTGGGCAGTATGGGATCAGCATCAGTTTCCAATCCTGGCATCAACTTTCCCATCAATTACCTGCAGCGAGCTGGTGTCCTCGTACAGAAGATTGTCACCACAACAGGTCAGTTGCTTTCCAGCTTTATTGGAAATGGAAGTTGCTGCAAAAGGGGGTCATTAAAGTGAAATGTGTTGCCAGCCCTCTGATGTTAAAACTGACCATATAAGGCAGCTGTTGTTAACCTTTCAAGGCCAGGACTTGCCTTTTAATATGCCTGCTTTTGATTAGTTATACCTGCATGTCCATCTCTTATTTTTGCCCTAGGAATATCAGGGCTCCTGTACCTTTAATAGCTGCACAGGAGATGGAATTTTGGAAGATGCTGCTTGTCATGCAAGCGAGAGAAAATATTTGCCTTTTGAAAATTCCATCTTTTGCACAGCCATTAAAGGTACTAGAGGTCTGTGTGCTTTCCAACCGTCTTCTTAAAAACAAAATAAAATATCTGGAAAGAGAGAGAAAATGATAGTGATGCCACTGCTGCAACATACTTTAGGTGAGTCTTGCTTGGCGTGACTCGCTTGTGGATCTCAACCCACCAGCTGAAGACCAGAGGTATAGGGTTATGAGTATTCACTCTCAGAAGTAAAAATTTTTCCTCATACACTTATTTTGAAAAGTAAATAAATACTGCTTTCACATTTTACGGAGTGCATTTCAGCTTTTGTTTAACTGGTGGCCCTGCAGTCCAAAAACTGAGCCAGATGCTTGGAAGCATTTATTCACTTGTTTTCTGGCTGAATTTTCCTTTGTAAATGTACACAATGTGTCACATATGTACTGTTTGCTCCAATTCAGATATAGTGATCCCTGGTACAAACACTTCCACTGACGTGCAGGCAAGGATCAGTGCTGGAGAGAGCATCCACATTATCCGTGGAACTAAAGGTAAATAAAAAGAGCCCGTCTTTCTTGGGCAAAGAAAATGTGTATCCATTTCTCAGTTTTTCTTTTATGATTTGAGATTGGTGAGGGGGCTGCTATGTTTTTGTATAGATAGGCAAGAAGAGGAGGCAAACTGTGTCACTACAGAGGTGTTAGGGAATCTACTACTGCAATAAATGCCTTTGAACCCTAGTTCAGAAACCCCTTATCTCTCATTCAAACTGACCAGGGTCAGGCACACACAGAGTTTGTTCCTCATGACCTTTGTTTGTGATTGACTGTTTAGTCTAACACATGGTGATATCACTCAGGAGGTCTTAATTGTCAGCTTCACAATTTTATCCTGGAATCTGAACAAGGAAATAAGAGTGTTGATGCTGTGTCTTTGTAGGAAGTTGACGAGCAAAGCTTTTCTTTCAAAACTTTACTTGCAATGTCTAGCGTGTGTAGGCAGTGCAGAAAGTGAAGGCGATTCTCTGTAATGTTGAACATAAAGACGCCCTATTCAGCTGGTCATAAGTTTTCTTCTGGCTTACCTCTGACAACGTCCACCCATCTCTCATTTAGGGACATATATCCGGACCAGCGATGGACGAATCTTTGCTATTCGCACCACTGGCAAGCCAAAGGGCAGTGATGATCATCGCATGGTTGCCTCGGGTAAGGTGCTTATTCTGGCAAGGATGTCTGACGGAATTTTTCTTTAGGGATATCCTTTGGGGGTTTTAATTTATTTATTCATAACCCTCTCTTTTGGTTTAACAAACTCTCGGAAATAACTTACAATGTCAGCATAGGAAGCTGCCTTAAACTCAGTCAGACAATTCATAGAATTGTAGAGCTGAAAGGGAGCACTAGGATCATCTAGTCTTAAGCTGCTGCAATGCAGGGATCTTTTGCCCAACACGAGGCTTGAACCCACAACCCTAAGATTATGCTCTACCAGCTGAGCTATCCCTCGTTTGTTTATTTAGGTCAGTATTCCCTACTCTGGCTGGCAGCAGCTCTCCAGGGTTTCAAACAGGGTCTCTCCCAGCCCTGCATGGAGACACCAGGGATTGAACCTGGAACCCTATGCATGAAAAACAGATGCTCTACTACTGAGCCACAGCTCTTCGCCTAAAATAAAGAAATACTAAGAGCTAAAACAAAATACAGACATTAGGCATTCAAATAACAGAATGCAGCTAATTAGCAGGTTAAATATCACATCTTAAAAAGCAAGCATTTTTTTAAAGTGTCAAACAGGTATCTAAAAACGAGAAGGGCCCTGGCAAATTGCCGTGGGGAAACTACTGCCTAGTCTTGTAGCCAATGCTAGAAGCCTGTCTCTCAAGTACCTCTCATGCCTCTCAGGCTCTTGCAAAAGATGGGCAGAGTAGAGCTCCCCAGGTTGATCTTAAGCAGAGGGCAGACTCAGGCCATCTTTTCCAGCACCCTAGTTCTGCCTCTTGTTACTTCCCTGGTCTTATCTACTGATGTGCCTCTGTCGTTCACAGGATCCCAAGGGCCATCTCTGGAATCCACAAGCAACGGCCGGCATAATGCCTCCTCGCCCAAGCTTCCCAACACAGAGGAGCTCACTCGGCCGATCTCCCCCGACAGCCCCGAAATCATCAGCGAACTGCAACAGTATGCGGAGGCGGCTGCCGCCCGTGAGTCCAGACACAACTCCCCTAGCACTAACACGGCACCCGGACACCCAGCCCGGAAAGACAACACGGCCCCATTAGCAGCTCGTGGAACTGAGCAGCAGCGAGCAGGGACTCGTGGTACGGCTCCCTCATCCTCTTCAGCCCTGCCGGCCACCAGCCACCACGGTGACAACCACTCCGTGCTGGACTTAAGAGGCAACAAGCGCAAGTCCACGTCGCCTTCCGGCCCGGAGGAGCAGGCCCATCGGCAGCAGAAGAAGCGGCCTCTGCCCACAGCAGTCCAGCCATATGAAAGTGGGTACCCTGTCTCTGGTGGGTTCACCATGCCCTCTGTTCCCTTAAACCACAACCTAGCCCACCCATTTCCTCCCCAAGCAGGCAACTCCTTGTACATGAGCACAGGCTCCTCCTATTACCAGCTGCCTAGCTTGCTCTCAGACCCCCACCTGGTGTTTCCTGTGACTACTGACCCTCTGCTGACAGCCGGCACTGCTAGTTCCTCTGCTGCTACCTCAGCCACCGCCAGCGTCCCCTCTTTCATGTTAAACCCCTCCATGACGGGGATGCTCTCCAACTACTCGCTGCCCTTCACGCAGTCACTCCTGCCTGAGCCCAGGATGTTTGCTCCTTTTCCATCCCCAGTCTTGCCCAGCAGCCTTCCCAGGAGCATGGCGTCTGCCTATCCTGGCTTCATGTCCCCTCATTCAGGATATCCAGCTGGGAGCCTCCTTCGGTCCCAGGTGCCTCCGTTTGACACCCACGAGGTCTCTGAGGTGGGCTGCAGCTCCAACGAGGATGAGGACAAAGATGACGATGTAATAGAGATCACGGGGAAGTAAGGGGCCTAGTCTCTTGTTAGAGCTCAACTCGGCCGGCAGGCAAAAATAAATAAACAAAAAACAAAATCCTCACTGGACCTTTCTGGGGCCAAGGGTTTCCATCCGGGACACAGCAGAGGTGGAGGAGACTGGAAAGGAAGGTGGCGTTTTTAGTTGTCCGAGATCTGCATTGTATGGGGAACTGTATTGAATGGACACCCACCCAAGAGTGGGGAAGCAAGAGAGTTGCAGGAGGGAAGTAATACTGTAAACCATAGGAGTGCCTCCTTGACTTTCCCTCCTGCGCTCTGAGTTGTCCAAAAGGGAGACCTGCCATTACGTTTCAGTGCCCTTTGTTAGGCTGGAGACACTGGTTTGTTGTTTTCTCTCTCTCTCTTTGTCTGTGGAATAACTCTCAAACACGAACTGCCTTATCTGTGAAAGTTCAGTACCCCATAGTAAATAGGGGGTGAGTTTGTACCCTAGGAGACATGATGATGAATAGCATTGTTAATGGAGGGAGGGAGGCGGGTTTGGAAGGAGCAGGCAATATGTAATGTGTAGGTGGGAGGGTGTGGGTGGGGCAGGGTCTATGTGAAAACCAGTTTTGTCTTTCATCCATCTGAAAGCTGAAGACAGGTGAGTCTGGTGGTCTTCACCAGGCCCTCATCAGGTGGTATCGGGAGTAAGGGAGAAGCGATGATGGGGTGCAGCTCTCCTGCTGCTTTCCCCACGAGATGCATTTGAAGGCAGGGACCTTTGTTGGCTCAGCTTCACACTGGCTTCTTCAGCAGGGTTGGGTTAGGACTTGTACCAGTCTTTTAGTGAGGTAGTGCTCAGTGGAGGAATTGCGAAGATTTTCCTACGTCCCTCTCTAGCTTTGTGTAGTGGTTACTCTCCCTCTGCCACCCCACCCACTACCGAGGAGCGAGTAGAAGAAAGCTTAGCAGTCAGGCTCCTGTTGACCACAGTAAGTCGAACGTCTTACAAAAGGGATGCGCTCGAGAGCCTTGCTGCTGTCTGTGTTAATTGTTGACACTGATCCGACTGACCTTCTCCTTCTGCAGAACAGATTTGTTAATTTATTTAACGAAAACAAACTATTTATTTTAGGATTCTCTTTCCTTTTCTGCTTTTTCCTTGCTGTAAACAATGGCCTCTACTGAAAGCAGGATGGTCTGCATGGGGAAGAATTGGGGATGGTGAATAGGCTGCTTGACCAAAGCAGAGGCAGTGTGCAGGACCAAGAGACAGCACCCCCCCAGTCCACACTTGTTCAGCTGATAAAACATCTAACAGCCCCTATATTCCTTGTCCCTCTTCAGCTGAACATGCAGCAACACTGCAAGGTGGTTACTTCGTTGTCAGCTGGAACCCTGCTTGGTGTCTAGCGTTCTCCCTGGTACTAAGTAACAGTTAAACTTGCCTTCCACGTTTGTTGGAGAGGTTGGTTACGCAAGCAGGATCCCACCACTTAAGTGGATCGTGAGTTAGAAAGTAGTCAAGCCATTGGAGAGGCATGTCCTCTACACTGTGACTAGGCTCTGGTCCATGCCTGCTCTGTTTATATGTTGCCACAAGGGTGTATAAGGAGAAGCTGTGAGCTCTCATAGCAGGCTTAATGAAGGGAGTGAGTTCCATGGTTTAGGCAGAAAGACCAGTGTCTGTCTTTCTGCTGGGGGATGGGTTACATATAACAGAGACAGTGCAATGGCACCCAGAGTCTCTCTTATAAAGTGGAACCAGGTACTCTCTTCAGGCTTTTAAAGAATTGCCATTCCAGGGCAAAAAGGGCAAGCACTGCATGTCCATGGCAGGGAACGAGTGAGAGGGTTACCAGCCCCCTGTGCTAAGGAAGCCTTTTCAGGATAGTGGTGAATGAAACCCCATTCTCACCTTACCTTTGTTAGGTGGTTAAAACTGCCCCCTCCTCATGTGGAAACCTCTCCATCCTACAGAATTTGAGAATTCAGCCTTTGCCACACTGTTTGAGGTCTACCAAGACCCACAGTTCAAGAGGTAGTGGCTAGGTGATCCACATATTGGTTCTGAAAGCTCTCTCTGTGTATGTGTGTGTGTGTGCGTGCGCGCTTGTATGAACCGTAAAAAGCATGAAATGATGGGCTTCCTGTCTTTTCTCTGTTTATGGGACACTGTCTGTCAGACCTGACTTCACCATTCGTAGAAGCCTTAGATTTACAGTTAGCTATGCAAATTACTTTTAATTATTTTAAAATAAAAACATTAAAATAGTGCTTTCTTCTTTAACATATCCTAGGAGTTGAAAACCGAGGGGTTCTGAGCAAACTTCTGGACAACTTGTCTTTGGATGCACCATGGGAATAAAAAACAAACAAACACAACCCCCCCACAAAAATAACAAAGCAAATTAACTGATGGTGTCCATTCGCGTTTCTCCAAAGACTTGGCCATGGTACGTCTGTGAGTCATGCCCTTTTGTGATTTGTATGTGTCCACCTCATACAAAATATGATGACACTGATTGTACTGTAAACTCACTCAGCTGTCTTTTGCAACCCTCGATAAGTGGACTTGGGGACCGGATGATAGGCAAGGTGGGTTCTTGCTTGAGCAGCAAGGTTTTAGAGCTGCTGAAGGCTAAGCCATTTTTGGAGAAGGATGTCATTACTTTAGGCTTCAGGCAGGCTCAGTCTTCAGTGTGTTGGTTTGGGGCAGCATAGCTAATGATAACCTGAGATATCTTGCCAGCTCCTGTCCTCATTTTAACTGAGTAACAAATTTTGACAGGACAGGCTGATATGCTCTGTCCATTACTTCAAACAGTGCTTCCTTCTGATTCTCTTGTTCCTTTTGAAGAATATACAAAGGGCTCAGGAGGGGTCACTGGACTAGGCAGGTTTTTAGCTCATCCTCACTGTAATAGAGGGAATAGATACATCTGGGATTAAGTAAACTAGGCCTTGTAACCACCTTTTAAATAGGAATGGGAGGTAGCTATTAGCTGTAGAAAATGGTGTGTACACCTGTAATTTACTACTCTGGCCACTGGATGGCAGTGTTGCATCACATGGATTATTTAGGTTTTAAAATACCTTATTTTGAAAAACTGGCTTTTGTACTTGGTTAAGAAAGCTATAAAAATGTTACGTCTGTCTGTCTATGCACATCTCTCTCTCTCTCTCTCTCTCTCTCTCTCTCTCTCTCAACTAATCTTCTAATGTTAGCGGAATGCTTGAGAACGTATTTGCACGACTGACAAACTCCACTTCACCTCCCTGTCTCCCCTAATACCTTCTGTTAGACCAACCACTTTCTGTAACCTTTGGAGAGAAGTACTTTGTTGGGACAGATGCCTCTACTTCAGCAAGTGCCTGAGCTGGGTCTCTTTCCCACCTGTAGGGTGTTATACTGGTTTTGTCTCCAAGTGATTGAAACTTTCATTCCCCAGCGCTTGCTGAGAGAGAATTCCCTTGCCAACGGGAATGAAGAGAACACTCTTCCACTCTGCGTCCTTGTTGCTCCTAGAGGGCACAGTGCAGCCTCCTTCTCAAAATGCTTCAAATCTCCCAGGTGTTCAGCGTCCCCTTATGATGCTGTGGCTTCCGACAACAGAGGGAAAGCTGCTGTGCCTTGTCTGTGAAGGGCAGAGAATGCTTGAGACAAGAGCTGGGTCAGAATGGCTTAGTGACTTTAACCTAGCAGAATATCAGAAAGGTCCCTTCCTTGATGCAGCTGTAATCCCCAGGAATGTAGTGTCCACTCAAAAGCAGCGTCTATAGTTTTGTGCTGTAGAGAGATCTCTGAATCCACCCACAGGACCTGGGCAGTCCTTGTCTCCCATATCTCCAATAACGTTTCTTTCTCTTGCTGGTTCTTGGTTGTGTTCCTGAGGCTAACCCTGGTTGACTCTGCTTGGCCCTGTGTGACTTGCACTGCAAAATTTCAGACAACAAAAGAATTGAGGAAGGAAACTTGGGGTGTTCAGCTTTTTACAGATGCTAACACAGACCCTAGGTGCATATCCCAGGAGCCTCTGGACTGTCCTTTTTAGGCCACATTGTTCATTGGAAGGTGATTTACATATACTGTAGCATTTCTTCAACAGCTTTAGAGCAACACTATTAAGTCTTGAGTGATACAGAATGGAACTTGACCCCTTTAATAAATGCTTAGGGGAAAGAGGTGACCTTAAACTGTGATGTTTCCTGGACCTTGATGGTACACTCTCCATTTTGCTCCAGCTTCGGGCAGCCCACAATTTTAAACTGATCACGATTTTGTTTGGACACATACTGCCTGTGATGGATGGCTTTAAATTGTTGTGGGCATAGAACTGAGGGACTTAAACCACAACCATGGTAAGGGTTATATGTGTGTGTATATGCATGTATACTAATTTCTGGGTGCTGTCTCTTTGTCACACTTTCATACGACCAAGAGATGGAACTTGAATGGGATTTGTCAGGTGAGAGCAGACTTGATCTTCAATCACTTTGTTTGCAATAACACTAATTCCATAGTTAAGAGGGATGAGGACAAAACACATCAGGCCTTGGGTTCAAGCACTTCCCTCTACTTTGGCACAACCATAAGGACATTGGAAACTTCTGCTTCTGTATTAAATTAAACCACAGTTTTGGCATTATAAGTGAAAGCTAAGCTACTTTATCTTAATTAATGTTAAGAAAAGGCAACTTCTTAAACTGTGGTTTGTCTCAACAACTATGGTTTATTTGTCTTGAGTTTGATCTACAGGGAAAGCTGTAGTTAATTTAAAATGGAAGTGAAAGCAGGCATGGCAGGGGAATAACGAGAGCCCAAGGATCACCCAGTTGCAGTGTCATTGCCCTGAAGCAGGGGTGGGAAACCCCTTTTTGTCCTCTAAGGGCCACATTCCCTCAGGAGTAATTTGTTGGGGGTCATATGCCAAACTTGGGTAGGCCAGAGCGAAATGGGGGATGAGGCCAAGGGAGCAACCAACTGCTCTCGCTAGAGGTATAAAGCAATAGCTGGCAGGTGGCTCCTTTCATTTCATCTGTTTTGGCTCCCCTGCCCCCCACCATCCCTTCCCTTCCTTCAGCCCACCAGAAATTAGGCTGAGGGACCCAGGTTCCCAACCCATACACTGAAATATGGGTTAGTGTTGTGTTCAAAATAGCCCATTGGCTCCTATAGGACAAAGTTAAATGGGCTGCAATTTCAGGCAGAGTTTTGAGGAGACAAAATCTGACTGCAGCCGCCAGGAATCCCTGCAAATATATGGGCATCCTCTCTGCCTCTCTCACCATGACGGACATATTGCTAGTTGTAAAGAAAGCTGGCTCATATTTTTTATCACAATTAGGGGATCAAATGACAGCAGTGCAAATGGTCATGGGAAGATATGGCAAGTCAATAAAATTATACATGTATTTGTGCTGAAATCTTGTTTTAGCTACCATAGATGTACAGTTACTAAACTGGAGGGAAATTGTCTGTGGACCCACTAAACAGAGAAATTAAACATTGCTAGATTAAAAATAATAACAAAACCTCTTGCATTCCCCCCCTTTAACGTCAAAACCATATTAAGTCAAGCCTGTTGATTTACAAGTGAAAGGCCGTTTAGTCTTTGTGGGAATGTCTGCTCCTGGTAACTCAAAACAAGAAAGCAGATTTTCAGGAGAGGTGGGAGGGTGCTGCCAGTTCAGGGAGGATCAGCAAAGAATGGGAGAAGCTAGCAGAGGAGGAGGGATCTTTTTTCTTCTTATTTTGCTCTGTATTGAAACAAGACCACTAACAGCTGCCCACAGCTGCATTGCTTCTTGGGGTTCCTATATTATTAGTTTCCCAGCTTGCGTTCTCTGTCCCACCATTGAATCCATTTGTACAGGGGAGCTGAGTGAATCCAATGGTTTTCTTGGTTTGTTTCTGTTCCGCCTTTAGTTTGTGGCCTGTCTTTTGTGATTGGGGGGAAAAATGGCATTTCTGTAGCAGCGTCAGTTGGTCGGCTGGTTGCACGCATGGGTCATGTGCTTCCCTCATCTCTCTGTCCAATGGGATGCGCTTACCCGAGAACAGAGACATTGAACAATTTTGTTGTTTATATGATGTATTTATTTTTACTTGTGTTTCATGTCATTTTTTAAAAAAAATAATAAATTGTAAGTTGGTATAATGCCTATCAATTCTCTCTCTTTTTTAAAAAATAAACTTCAAACATTACAACAGTCCAATGATTTTGGTCTGGAATGAATTTGGTGTTTGTTTTCAAGCATAAATATACTCTGGCTGCCATATGGCTAAAATCAGTTGCTACCATGTCCCTTGAAAGCAGTGCGACATGCTACATGCAACTACCGTATTTTTCGCCCTATAGGACGCACCGGCCCATAGGACGCACCTAGATTGGGGGGGGGATAAAGGGGAAACAAATTATTTTTCCCCCCCAGGCGCGGGGCTGGGGCGGGGGAAGACCGAGCTTCCCCTGACCCCAGCTCCCAGAACGGGACCCAGAGCGATGCCGAAGCTGCATGCTTGCGGGGCTGGGAGAGGGGGAAGCCCTCCGCCAGCCTCCAAACCAGGTCTCCCCCTGCCAGCCTTCTAACCGAGTCGGGGGACAGCGGGAAAGGCCGCTGCGCCTCTCCCGCTGTCCCCTGCGTTTGCAGGGCTGGCGACGGGGAGGAGCAGGCTTCTCCCCCCCGCCGGCCTTCTAACCAAGTCTGGGGGCCAGCAGGATGGCGGCGTTCCGCCTCCCCGCTGTCCCCCGAGCTTGTGGGGCTGGCGGTGGTGCTCTCCTGAAGCCTGGAGAGCGAGAGGGGTCGGTGTGCACTGACCCCTCTCGCTCTCCAGGCTTCAGCGAAAGCCTGCATTCGCCCCATAGGACTCACACACATTTCCCCTTCATTTTTGGAGGGGAAAAAGTGCGTCCTATAGGGCGAAAAATACGGTAATTGCTTCGTTGATTTCCAAGGAATTTAAATCATAACAACTGGGTTTAGCTGTACCAGGGCAGCTATCTTCACAGCAGGTAGGTGATGGTTATTTGGTACCTGAAGGGGCAAAAGTTCATTTCAGTAATAAACAACACTTGGATCAGCCAACCACTTTTCGACAGAAGTCTGAATGATGGGACAGCCTGCCTATCAAGAAAGTGAATATTTGCTTTCACCCAGTTTCAACACAGTTTTTCTACTAAGGGGACTATCAGATTTTTCCACAGGGTGCCCCTTAAGTATTTGTTGAAACATGCTTTCATGCAAAAAAGCCTTGAGGCACAGGTGATATTTGTGATAGGCCTAAACCCCATAAGAATATCCAAACCACAAACTGTATTTCTATAAGCTACAAATGCTGTTTTGTAGTGGGTTCTGGTGAGAATACAGTTTACTGTTACAAGGACCAGAAAGTTCAGGCCTCTCAGCCACTTCTTACATAAGGGATCTTCAGATAGTTGTTTCTACTCTGTGTGTTTTCTTTAGCACAAAAGCTTCAGCTGCTAAATAATTTACTATATGGGAGGGAAATGATGGTTTTTAAGACTTGCCTTCCCTGACACTCAGGAATTCAAAGTGCTGTATCTCTGCAGTCGTGGTGATGTAGCTGCCCACCTGGCAGATTTGGCCTACCTGGGGGTGGGAAGGTTAAGGTCTAGCCAGCCCAGAAGTTCACCACCCATCTTATACAATGGAGAGACCTGAACTGTGAATTCTTCTATTTACTGCTAGGATGGTCTGTTGTTAAATGCTCTGACAACCTAACATCTGTATTTTGGATGTCACTATGTCAGATACTAACTAGAGATTCCATATCACAACTTTCTCTTTCTGCCTCCCTCTTGATGGTTTCCAGGGATGATATCCAACTAAGTCATACTCAGAGTAGGCTCATTGCAGTCCATGGACTAAAGTAACTTAACTCCATAGATTTCAATGGGTCTATTCTGAGTTTAGCAAACATGCACAGTTGTGCCTCCCCCACCCTACATGGCACAGAGGGAGGCAGCTAAAGAGATTTTTTGGGGAAGCACTGGAATGGAGTTTGAAACCCAATTCCAGATCAATGGAAGCCAATTTTCACAAGTGGCTCTATTTCTGGTTAGAAACTATCTGAAGCAGAACGTATAACAATTCTGTGTTTTTCTGTTGTTCTGGATGGGAGTTGTTACTTAGTGCCAACCTGGGCACTTGATCCTTACTCATGAGGTGATACAGTTTCAGCCTAAGGTAAGGATAAGGCAGCTTGCACCCTGTTGGCAGACCCACACTGAGGCTGTACACTCACATCCCTACATGTGTGCCTGCCAACTGAACCCTTTTTGCAGAACAGTTGAAGGTAATCAGTCCTGTTTTCCACTACTGATGTAGGCACTGGTAGGTACTGCTAACCGGTTCCTGTTCTGCTATGTAAACTCAAAATGTGATAGGCTGAGGTGAATTTGAATATTTGGGAAGTTGTGACATTTGATGTGATGGTCCTCTACAAAATGCTGTCCATTTATTATATCTGTACATCCAATTACCCAGGGATTTCATAGTTTCTTAACATCAATAATTCAATCAAAAGCTCCTCAATTTTGATGTTGTCGTTGCATTATTTTACATTTTGGTTCAGTTTTTTTCTGGCAGATACTGTGAAAAGGGTTTCGGCCGACGGATCAAAAGGAGAGGTGAGTACAAGAGTGCCAAACACGGAGCACGGCAGTGATGTCCCAACAAAACGTGCCATTAAATATCTAGTCATAATTGAGTCTGGTCTACTATGAAATGAAACTCCCACTTGAGCACTGTCTGTAACATTAATTATGTTTAATAGAAACTGCTTGGTAATTACCTCAAAATTTGAAAATTGGTGTCTCTTTATTTAAAATGTTCCAGTAAGGGGCAATAGCTCAGTGGCTACATCTCATGCTTTGTATGCAGAAGGTCCCAGGTTCAGTCTTGGGCTTCTCTGGGAAGGTTTGAGAAAGACCTGCACCTGAAACCCTGGGGAGCTACTGTCAGTCATTGCAGATAATACTGAGCTAAATGGACCAATATTTTTACTCTGTGTAAGGTGGCTTTGTCTGTTGCTGAAGCAAATAAGGAGCTAGCACATAACCTGTCACCATGTAGAAATGCCAAAAATGGAGGGGGTCACCTCCCCCGCCCTCCCATTCACTTCGTCTGCCCTTATCACAACCTGCAGTCTGGTGACCATGTTAATGCCAACATTTTTTATTTCAGTTAAATAGTCCTCTTTAGCTGTGTATTATCCATTCTTAAATGGGCAATGGAACCCAAGTTCTTTTGTGTGCAAAGCATTTTCTGTCCATGAGCTATAAAGCCCCCACAAAAACCAGTTTAGAAAAAGGCCAGCAAGGACAGTGGCTGGATGTTAAAACAAGACATAGGGATGAGGCAGATCACTGCTAAATGGTTCTTGGCTAAAGCAGACAGAAACAGAAGGCTGCATCACCTGCATTTGCACATATGTTTTAAGGCCTTAACGTTTACATGAGACAAGTGCACACTTGCAGCTGGGTAGAGATACAGACAGCAATGAGTGAGGTTGGGCTGCCTTTTCTTGTCATGAATACCCATTTGTCACTGCATGAAGGGTGAAGTGGCCCCAAGTCTTTGGGAAACACAACTCCTCATTCAAGTGTATCACCCTGTCTAACGCTGGCCAGGCATGGAAGGGCCCTGATTCTCACACTTTTGTATTTGATCATAACACAGCTCCCACCCCACCCAATTCCTAATTTTACCCCTGGGGTGTATATCACTTATCATAGATGGAGTTGCAAATGCTCATCATGCAATTGGCAGGTGCATAAAAGGTCTCTCAGAAACTGGTACCCCCAGTGTCTTTAATGGACACCATTTATTAGGAAAACAAAGTGAAGACAACTACAAAATATGTGTTATATGATATGTAAAGAGCGTAAAGCTCTCTCGTCCAATCTTTACAGAGGAGTCGTGGTATCACAAGGCAAACCAGGCTGATCAGTCCATCCTGCATGACATAGGCTGGGAAAGGCAATCGCACTGCACTCCTCAGGCTGGCTTGTAGACACTTTGCCCACTTTGCAAGTATATTCCTTCCTCTGGTACCCAAGGGGAGGAAGAAGGCAAAAACCCAGAGTTTCAGCTTGAGAAAGGACTCACTGGCCTTTCTTGGCGTATGTAGTGAATGGGATCTGGAGGCCATAAATGCAGTGGATGTGTCTGCAAATGGCTCTTGCCTGCGAAAGGTCTCCAGAGAGTGCCTGCTGAGTCCATTTGGGTTCCTTGCATAACATTACAGGGGCCCAGGCTGCCGACGGACTCTGCCTCTCTTGCTTTCTAAAGGATGCTGCTGCCACTTTGGGCTCCATCCTTTCTGTCTCCGCCTTTTCCTCCGCTGGAGAGCATCGCAAAGCTCATCCAAATTAGTGCCAGGGGCGCCCATGGCCCATGAGTACCCTTTGTAATGCAGCTGCAGCTCTGACGCAGGGATGGTGCCGTGTGGGCCTCCTGCTGCTTCTGTGCTCTTGCTCCGCCTGGTGGTGAAAGCCTCCATGGCCTGGTGCCCAATGATGCGCAGGCTGTAGTAGGTGAGGGTCTGGGAGAAGGAGTGCTCCGTCCCTTGGCACTGGTAGAGCCCAGCATCCTCCTGGGTCAACTGATTAATCAGCAGCCCTTGCTCTAGGATTGAAAAGCGGCCCATGCTCCCAATCTGCAAGGAACAATATCTGCTTGTTTAGCAGTCTGGCCAGAAGAAAGGCAGCTCTTAGCAATGCCGATGATTAAGTGGTATATAAATAAATGTCTAAAATAAATGATTTAAACACATTCTTTCTCCTTTCCCTGCACAGTAATGAAACCCTTTGTTCCCATGGCTCCCCAGGGCCCAAAGAAACGACTCCACAACCCCGTCTCCTTCCCCACTGCTATACCTCCTCTAGGACTGGTGCATTGCTGTGCTGCACAAGCCAACGGATAGCCGTCTGCGGGGAACGTGGAAGGCACTCAAGAAAAGTTGAGTTGTTCTGTACACCAAACACCACCTTTTCTTCAGCCATAGATATTCCTGTGTGAAAAGGACAGAGATGGGGTTGTGTGACTAGAAGGAGTGGGGAACTGTCTTACCCTCTACACAAGCTTTTTGTGGAACACGCTCTCAAATGAAAAGCCTGTAGCAAAAGGCAAGCAGTTCTCTCTACGCCTCCAAACCTTAGCATGTCAGCCCTAGCATACCTACCCCCCACCAATTCTGTGGTCATTACTCTTAGAAATGGGTTTTTGGAAGAACCATGCAGGTTCTCTAGAATGCAGTCCACCACCCTCCGTCCCATTTCTGTAGCTTTCCTGAGAGAAAGTGCTGTAGCTCGGTGGGCCAAGCAGATGATTTCAGTCCCTGGCATCTCCTGGTAGGGAAAGGCCCTGGCCCTGAAACCAGCAGAGGCACTGCCAATCACTATAAATCATGCAGAGTTAGACCAACAAATTGACTGTATAGTGCCGCTTCCTATATTTTATATATTGTACTAGTTAGTGCCATTATGCCTCTGTTAGGGAAAGCTATACCTGATTTACTTTCTGCAGTGTACAGTCGTACCTTGGAAGTCAAACAGCCTAGTTCTTGAATGTTTTGGCTCCTGACTGTTGCAGTTTTCAAACATTATTTTGGAAGCTGAATGTCCGACGGGGCTTCCGCGGCTTCCGATTGACTGCAGCAGCTTCCTGCAGTCAACCAGAAGTTGCGCTTTGGTTTTCAAATGTTTTGGAAGTCAAAACGGACTTCCGGAAAGGATTCTGTTCAACTTCCAAGGTATGACTGTAAATACAAATAGAGGACTCAAAATGGCTACAGTCAGACAGCACAATAACCCCTTTCCCCTTCATGTAGCAGTTAGTTTTCTTCAAATGATTATTTAATTTTCTCAAGTGCAGAGATAGACAAATACTTTAAAAAAAATCAAAATAAAAGTGGAAACTCAAGACTATTTCAAATATTAAATAAATAACACATGGGTGTTTTAAATACATAATGCCAGATACATACACACAGAGAGACACACACACACACACGTGTGTCTTATGTATTCCCAAAGTTACATACTAAAACTGTCATTTTGATGACAGTTTACAGTGACTTAAAAGTAGGCTTTCAAAGAGCACATGCAGGGCATTTATAAGTTGTATAGCACTATACTGTACCCACCTGGATGAACCAAAGTCTCTGTGAGCTCTGTGCTTGAATTAGCCCTCATTATAATGACTTGCTCAGAAACTCAACAAATATCTCGCCTCTTCCATTAGTGAGTTATGGTATATGAAAAGAGCCTTCCCACATGTATAGAGGATTAGATATTTGCAGTATCAACAACTTCTTGACTGTTGGTATTCAGCATTCCTGGGATCTTGTAAGTTATGTAGTATTCATGACTGGCGAATGCTTCCAGACTCAGAATTCTAAATACTGGTGAAGGCCATTTGCAAAACCTCATGAGACTTCTTGTTCTTTCCCTGAGCTCTGTGTGCAGTAGCATTCAACACCGGCTCCTTGGTATTGTGGGAAGTGATAAACAGGGTCATTGCCCCTTGTGTTGTGCAAAATACTATCTTTTCAGCTATGCAGACTGAGCACTAATTAGTTGCTCCCTGAACCCTGTGGGACTGTCTTGATTTATTCTGCAGTTCTTTGCATTCATTCCCCCCGCCCTCAGCAACAATCTGGGTTGGCTATAGTACACAATACTGTGCACATCTTGTACATGCAGACCTCATGGCTACAATATCCAACCTCATGTTTCTAACTTCTCCACCCCCTGCTTTGTGCAACATCTTGTCTGATGAAGAGTTCTAGAGAACCGGACAGCTTTCCACGTTTTGGAGGCATTTTGACTGGTCCTTGCAAAGGAATTGCCTGAATGTGGATTTTCAAGTTTTATCTTGTGGACAAGCACAGCTACCTTGTGCTTTGTAAAGCCCCAGTCCCCCTACCCACTATTTGTGCTGGGGACTTGAACTTAACATTTAATGTTTAAACTCTGGTAATCATTAAATGCTTTCCTGCAAGGAAGTTGAAGATGTTTATTACCATCTCAAAAGAGTTGACTAATTGTTCACTGGCCTCTTCCCCCTCAGAAGTTAAGAGAAAGAGGTGGTGAAGTGCCTTCGTGCAGTTTAGCTGGAGGGTGTATGTGCTCTCCTGAGTTTAAACACCTGTATAAACAGTGGGGTTGTATGTCTCCTCCACAGTTAATATCAATTGGCTTAGATCCTAAGACCCACCAGCCGAGTTCAGCTTGCCAAATGGGGATTTCTCACCTTCTTACCATTGAAGCCCTGCCTGTCTCTGCCTCAGAGCTGCTCTTGATGGACAGGAGCCCCTTGAAATGTGTTTACACCAACAGGATGGCCACAGCTGGAGAAGGAAGCATATAACCTTCCCACTTCAATTTTCACTGGGGCTCTGATACAAACTTTGCTCTTAACTACAGCAAATACAGTCTCTGACAGTTGCACATAGTCATAACCACAGTTACACATAGTTGCTCTTGGGAATCACTGATCAAGGAGGGTGTTTTTTTGTTTTTTTGCGTTTTGCACTAAATCATAGAATCAAATAATCTTAGAGTTGGAGGGGACCCAAGGGTCATCTAGTCCAACCCCCTGCAATGTAGGAATCTCAGCTAAAGCATCTATGGCAGGTGGCCATCCAACCTCTGCTTAAAAACCTCCAAGAAAGGAGAGTCCACCACCTCTTGTGGGAGTCTGTTCCACTGCTGAACAGCTCTTACTGTCAGAAAGTCCTTCCTCGTGTTTAATCGAAATCTCCTTTCTTGTAGCTTGAAGCCATTGGTTCATGACCTACCCTCAACAGCAGGAGAAAATAAGCATGCTTCCTCTTCTGTGTGACAGCCCTTAAGATATTTGAAGATGACTATCACATCTCTCACCCCTCTCTTTTCCTGACTAAACATAGCAGCTCCTTCAAGCGCTCCTCCTAAGGCTTACTTTCCAGACCACTGATCATCTTGGTTGCCCTCTTCTGCACATGTTCCAGCTTGTCAACATCCTTCTTGAATTGTGGTGCCCAGAATTGGACACAGTATTCCAGGTGTGGTCTGACCAAGGCAGAATAGAGTGGTACTATTACTTCCCTTGATCTGGACACTATACTTCTGTTGATGTAGCCTTTGCTGCTGCACCACACTATTGACTCACATAGGAGCCAACTCCCAGGGGCCGTGGGTCTTTGGCCCCCACAATAAAATATTTGAGGGGGCCTGGCCCCCGCAAAGTTGACGGGCATTCTCATTCAAAAGGTGTGTGTGCACTGCACCATGTGAACAATTATGTGGAGTGGGGCTTACCAGGGCCCCCACAATATTTTATTCAAGTTGGCACCCCTGTTGACTCATGTTAAGCTTGTGGTCCACCAAGAACCCTAGATCCTTTTCACATGTACTGCTAGTAAGCCAGGTGTCCCCCAGCCTATATTTGTGCATCTGGTTCTTCCAGCCTAAGTGTAGAACCTTACATTTGTCCCTACTGAAATTCATTTTGTTAGCTTGCGCCCAGTTCTCCAATCTGTTAAGGTCATTTTGAATTCTGATTCTGTCTTCTGTGGCATTAGCTACCCCTCCCAATTTGGTGTCATCTGCAAATTTGATGAGCAAATACAAAAATTGTTAATATAGTAGGAAGAAGTAATCCCCACTGCAAACTTCCAATGTGTTGTGTATATGTTTTGTTTCAGATACTATGTACCACTTTGAATTTCATTTGAAATATTTATTTTAACTACTACCCAGCTACTACTTGGGAAGAGAAAATGTAAAGGTGGTGGCATTGTATGTATGGGTTTAGAGAAACTTATTTCCCTTCTGAGAGTGCAAAACAGAGGGAGTCGCTTATCTACAGTTTTTGCAGGTGGGTAATTTAGAGTGAAGCATTAGCCAAGTCCAAAGTGGGAGTCACTATAATGGAAGTGTGCAATGATAAATGTGTTACTTTACACCTACAGAGGCTCAGAGTAAAGGCCTGCGTTAAAGGTGCAGGATAAGGATCCCTTGCAAAGTAACATGAATCCCGTATGTTGGAGCCTGCACAAACCAGAACCAAATGTTGGGTTTACATTAACTTCTGTGCCTAAATCCAGAGCTGACAGTGTTTATGGAAACTCAGGTGAGCACCTCAATATGTCCAGCTTTTGAGCAGCTGTGGCTAAATTAATCACTAATGGCTCCTGACAGCAGCAAAACTCAATGTAAATCAACATGGCACTTTGAATGAGATGAGTGCCACTTCCCAGGTGGTCTTTCTTGGGCTCTGTGTTTAAACCACCTCCACTTAAGCATGTGTTTTGTGGGTAAATCACCCTGGCAGCACTGAGAGTGATCAGGAGGAGGCTGCATAAACTTCTGGCAAGAACTAAGGCTGAGGTACACTAAAGCCTGCTTTGGCGCAAGGGATGCTGTTAAGTTGTTTTTTACCTTTTCCCCAGGACTGAACAGCGGTGGGCTCTTGCTGCTTGGTGTGGGCTTAGCACACCATTGGTGTGCCCAGTAGAGTGCCCTTTGACTCACCTTTTGCAGTGTCCTGGCACTGGCTGATCGGATTGGCCTCCAGCACATTTTGGCATTGGGCTCGCCTGCAGGGAAGAAAGTTGGTGCATATGCTTAGCCAGGTTTCAGAGATGTTCAGGAACATCTGGATTCTTTTAAGGAGACTAGTGGGCTTGGCCTAACAGGCAGTGCACGCGAAAATGGCATGAAGGGATAGTATGGCTCGGGAATGGAGTGGCGGCCCCAGTTCTTCAGTCTTCACCGAATTCATCTCCAGTTGTTTTTGTGTTGCTTTGCACAGGAGGCAGTGCATCTTCACCATTCCTTCTCCATTCCAGCAAGGTGAAGTGCTGAGCACCTCACCTTATATAGTAAGGATAGCTAACCAGTGGCCCTCCAGAAGTTGGTAGACTCTAACTCCCATCATTTCTGACTATTTCTGTGCTGGCTGGGGCTGATTGGATCTGGTGCTCTATTTCTGCATCCTGCCCCCCACCCCCCGTGCACCTTTTTCCTGCAATGATCTGATGACCATCTGGCAAAGGAAAGCTAAATTCTAGGCTTCTACATAACTTTCCCACAGCATGGCTCAAGCTAATGGCCAGTGTTCTACTTTCCCCACAGCCAGAAGGTGCCTAGGCAAGAAAATGGCTGGGATGGGAGCCCTATATAGAATGTAGTAAGGGACCTAAGTTTGGATGCTGGTTGGGTTAGGGAAGGTCAGGATTTACAGACAGTCCAACTTAAATGTTTGATGCTCAAGTCATATGATCTAAAGAGAACTCCAGACAGGCCATCCAGTATACACAGCCATAGCACATGCTCGTGTATAGATGGTGATCCCCATTCCAACTATGCCAACTAAAGAGTACTAGGAAGTGTATGGAGGACAGAGACGGCACGCTAAAGAAGGGAGAGAAGGACAAGGTGAGAACTCACCTTTTTTTTGTGAGCAAGTAGGGCCTGCAGGACCTGCCATCCCAGGTGCAGTAGGGATCTCTAGCCAGGCAGCATTCGGTGCAGGTTTTGCCATAGTGTTCACAGCGATACAGGGAGAGCTGGACCAGGCCATTTGTAGTGCTCACAAACACCTCCTGCTGCTCACAGAACCAAGAATAGAAATAGGCATCAACTTTTGTTTCCCTTTCCATTAAGTCATGAAAGCTGGCAGACTCCCATGAGTATGGGGAACACAAACATCTTATGGGAGCAGGAAGGAAGACTCAAAATCATAACATATTTAGTAAATATTGAGAGAAGCCTGCCCTGAAGTACGTACTCTGGAGCAGCCTTCTGTAACCTGGTGCCCTCCAGATGTTTTGTGCTATCTTCTATTCCTTGGCCATTGGCTATGCGTGCTGGGGCTGATGGGAACTGTAGTCCAAACACCAGGTTGAGGAAGGCTGTCCTATAGAAAAATGCTACTGGTAGATTAACAAATACAGACTTACCCTCTTAAGAGAAAACTGCATGTCTAAGATGGCTGAAGACATCTACAAGAAAGAGAAGACAGGAGAAGTTTGAACAAGCACAGCAAACTTCTATTCTGAATTCAGTATTAGCACCCCCAAAATTCCACTACAGCTATAGACTGGTATGTTCATAAACTGAGCCTGCTGTCTTCCTGACATTCTTGTATGCTACTAAAAAACCTAAGAAGAGCAACCCTGCTGGATCAGGCCAGAGGCCAATCTAATCCAGCATTCTGTCCTCACAGTGGCCAACCAGATGCTTACAGGAAACCACCAAGCGGGACTTGAGTGCAACCACGCTCTCTTCCCAATTGTGATTTGAATCAAACTGACATTCAGAAGGTTGAGTTCAGAAAAGTAGCAGGCTAATTTGTTCTCCATTGTTTTACACTTTGCCAGCACAAAAACAGTCTTCACCTCCAGATATGTTGTGTGCTTGGGCCTTTCTTGCCCTGTGTGTGTGTTAGTTCCCATTTCTCCAGTGCCCTTAACACTCCAGTTAAATGCAGAGTAAATAAAATTCTAGGTTGATGCGCCAAAAGTAAGAAGCTGCTGTAGGCTCTCAAGAGACAGCTAAGCCCTAAGACAGTTGATTAAGGAGCCTGGAAATGCACAAGTCCCATCAACCCCAGTCAGCATAGCTAACGGTCAGAAATTATGGGACCTGTAGCCCAACAAAACCCAGAGGGCATCGTGTTGGCTACTTCTGTAGTATATGTTGCAAGGAGGGGACGCTAGATCTATGCCTTCCATTTTCATCAGCAGTCATGTATCTTATGATCATTATTTTTTTAAAATGTATATTCCATCTTTCTATATGCAGGCCATAACCTTTAGTTCAAAGTCATCCATTCAAGGTCAAGTGAAGTCAATACTGAAGGGAAAAATCAACTTGCTTGGCTTCCAGGAAAAACTGCCAGGAGTTGGTTATTGCTCCATTTCGATCTTTTTCAAGCTTGATGCCTTCCAGATATTTTGAAATACAACTCTCATCAGCCCAGCCAGATGTGCTGAAGGTGAGCCAAAGCAGTTTCATCTCAATAAGCTGTGCTGTCTGGGACTGATGGACAAAGGAATCCAAATATACCTTGAAGGCACCAGGATGGTGAAAGGTGCTCTGCACCAAGATTCCAATTAGAAAAGGAAAGCACAACATCCTGAATGTTGATTGGTGCAACCACCATCCCCATAATAGACAAAGTCTCTATTTTCAATCAGCAAAAATTCATCACAAGTTACGTCTGGCAACATGGCACTTTCTTGGTGGATCCATAAACAAAAAGGCTTTTAAGGATCAATGAGATTTCCACAGTACCTTTGAAACACTGATCTCTTCCAAGCTAATTTCCTGAGGGTCTTGGCCTCCTATGCCAGCAATCCCCACTTTTAGTACTTTGCCATCATCTGCAGAATAAGATGTAAGGACATATCACGGGGTAACTGCACCAGTTCTTGCTGCACGGAATTGGTTAGGTCAAAGTTAGTCAAAGCAGTTTATTTGAGTCCAGTAAACTATCTCCGAAAGATGCCAGTTTTGGATACTCCAAGGTATGAAGAACAGGATGTTAGAAACGAGGCACCCATTGTTCCTGCATTACTCTCAGCATGCAGCAGAGGCTTCAGAACACTGTGAGTGCTACACAGCTTTGCATGCAGAAGGTCCCAGCTTCTAATGCTACAATTCCATGATTCTATTAATCCCTGGCATCTCCTGGCAAGGCTTGGAATGTCCTTTGCCTGAAGGCCTGGAGAGCTGCTGTCAATCAGTGTAAACAATACTGAATTAGATGCTTTGGGAATATGTGATAACGTGATTAATAAATAATAATAGTTGTTCAGTGCACAACACTGCTGAACACTGACAATATCCCACAACTTTCTTCCATACTCTTTTGTATGGAAGATTTTCATATGGAAGGTATTCCATAGCAATAATAATGTGTTATTTCCATACAATTTTTTGGCTGTGATAAGTCTTTCTTGGGATATCACGATCAGATTAGTTGCATGCTGTGCTCAAGATGTGGACTCATCAAGCATATTTATATAGAGCTATTATGATATTTTCTTTGTTATATTTCATCTCTTTGCTAATAATTTCTAGCATTGTTTTGATAGCTGCAATGTACCAAGCTGATGTTTTCAGTGATCCCTGTCCAAAATGACAGCCTGTAGTTTCTGGAATCCTACTTTACATTTTTATATTTGTTTAAAATGTGTATCTTTCAATAAATACTTTGTAGAGAATCATATTTTTACTGGTAGGCAGTGCTTTTTTTCTGGGGATACTCAGGGGTACACAGTACCGGCACCTTTTCCCCCCCTATAAGAAATCACTGCTAGTAGGAAAATTATGCTTCAATTAGCAATCAGAAGGGTCACTTCTTATTTCAGATTATACTCATGTTAATAAACAAAAACATTGACAAAAACTGCAACAAGGCTTTGTAATAAATAGAATGGCAGTGTACAAAGAATGCCCACTCATGGGCTGGTGACATCCAGTACTGGCACACTGCTCTTTCCCCTTAAAGAGCAGAAAGAGATCAGCATGACGTGGGTGGGGAGGGGTGAAATGGGTCTTCCTCCTCATCCATAACCTGCTTCCTACATTTGCTTCTCTCCAGCTGTGTTTCTCCTAGTGGGGATCTGCAATAGGGAGCAACCCTCATAGGGAGAAAAATGGTGAGGAAAAGAGCTTCAAGGCCACAAACACAGGCAGTGGAAAGACGTGGCTTCCATCACCACACTCCCGTGCTGTAGTATCCATTTAAAAATTCCCCTCTCCAAGCCCTGCTGCTTTGTAGACATTTTGCATGATTTGGGTTGAATCATGCCACCACCATATCTAATTGCACCCTAAGTCTCAACCGGACATATAATTGTAATGTAACAATTAGCAAAAACTCTCACTTTCAGTTTCTTGTTAGGCCATTCTAAAACTCTTCTTTGCTCTGAAGTCAATCTATCAAATTTGATGGCTATACTTCCAACAAGTATGTTTAGGATCACAACCTTGAACCTCTTTAGCCTGGTACCTCAAATCCTTACCTCTGGAGCTCCTATCTGATCTAATGCAGTACCTACTGAGGTGAGATTCTTAGGGACAGGCAGTTCTTTGTTAAAAGCTTTCCAGAATAACATCAGGGACCGTTTCAAAATATAAAGTTGTCAGATCTTACAGCATTTTGACTGGGCAAACTCCTAAATTACTGCGACAATCTCTCTTCCTTCATCATGACATCATGGCGTTTGGGCACTACCATCCCTCACCTTCCTTTGCCTGCTGAGCGGGAAAGGACACAAAGGGCCCATGGAAAAAAGACCATTGTAATGTAGTGTGTCACAAAGAGAGGCGGACATCTTTAGCTAGCACCCTCTACCTGTTCCAAGGAAGAGGACATCAACAGGTCCAGCCTCTGTCTCCACTCTGTCCACCAGCATCTGCTTGATCTGGAAGACTACATTGGCTCTCATCAGAACAGGCTTCCAATGGAGTGGATAGACGGGGTCCCACATCAGATGGTGGGTGCGCATGAAGCCAATCACTTCATCAGGGAAATCCTTTGTTGACTGGAGGAGTGGGTCATATGTTTCGCTGGGACACTGGCAGAGAAATAATGAGGACATAAAAAGAGGGAAAGGGTACAAGACAGTACAGGATTCAAGTTCCACAATAAGTAGCCTTCTTGTTCTGTAGCAGCAAAATAACGAAAGCAATGGAGCAATGGAAAGCAAAATAACCTACCAATATGTGGCTGTCTCCTAGTTCTTTCCAACCTCCCTATTTATGGGCTGGCAAAAAAAAGTCTTCATGACAATTCATCAGCATTTTAGTACAAATTTATACTAACGTTCCTATGCAATTTTGCCCACTATACACCTTTTTGCAAAGCAACTTTCCCTAACTAACAATGCATTTGTGTATGTCATTTTCACTACTATAGGAATTCTAAGCACACTTTACTCCAGTATGTGCATTGCAAAATGTGGAAAACTGCAAGCGCTGAAGGAAGGCTGTTTGGTTTTGCTTTTATTGCTCCAGAAAGTGCAAGTTAGTTAGGCTCACCTTTAAATGCAAACTGAATCAGATTCTGAACTCCCCATCCCCGGCTGAAACTTTTGTGTTTTAAGGACGTACCGTTCCAGGGCGGGGGTAGGGGATCCGTCCCTTGAATTCCACCCACTGATAGTCCAAGCCTTCCTTATGTGCAAAGGGTCCATTGAAAGCAGCCCGAATGGCTGCCAAAGAGTAAACGCACACAGCAGAGCCACTAAAAATGCCACTGGGAAAGAAGAGGGGGGGGGAGTAACTGGCAAATCCTAGAATCATACTCTACTGATGCTGTGGCTATATGGTACGTGCATTGTGCGCACCTGAAAAACTGTTACGTTGAAAGGTTTCTACCTTAGAAAATAGGCACTTTATTCAAGGATTTGGAGGACCTCAGGTTCCCTACCTCTGCATTAAATCATCACAGAAGGGTCTATCTTTAAAGAATTAGTTTCCCTTCAAATGATGTTCTTTTAACACTTCCTGCATTCCAGCACTGATTCAGAGAAGCACTTTGTTCTCACTAACTGTCCTCCATGTTGATCTTTGCTTTGTGGAGTATTGTGTTTCGTAATGGAATACTGCACAAAACCCCATCCCACCTCCCCCATGTTTATGAGTGACTTAGAACAAGGTGCACTACATTTTGCAAGTATTTGGACTTGGGGAGAGTGATTGTCTGGTAGTGCTTTTTCATGCCTCCAATTCAGAGCCAAGGAAACTCATTGCATAAGGTATCTGTGCACAAGCACTGTGTTTAAATGATGTGTTAGCCTTTGTCAATGCTGAAGTAAACCTGGTGCTTGCACAAACAATGAGTCAATTTCCTGATGTGGGTTGTTCATCTTAACACTCACCTTGACACTGTGAAGAGGCCATAAACGAGAGGGTTCTGTGCATTACGGGTGTGAAGGAGGAATACATCCTCTGGAAAGAAACATTGGGGTGGGAAACACATGAGATGAGATGAGGAGGTCTGTGGATGGCTGCTAGAACTGTCTTGAAGACTGAACACAAGGGAGAGCTCTAATCATAACAATGTCTCCACCCTTATGGCAATTGCAGCTTCAGCTCCAAAAACCCTAACACCACCTAAGCAGGTACTTCAGCAGCTGTTAAGACAGAGTCGGGGGGAACTGGTGGGCAGAACACATCAAATCCTGCTGTATTAGTTATGACCAGAATGGTGTATCCTCTGCACTAGAAAAAATAAAATTCTGTGCCAAGAGTCTTAGCCCAAGATAAGTTGAATTCTGTACCCTGGATAAACTAGAAACTAGTGTGTCTTCCCAAAGTATTTTGCTTAAAGGGGAATGCATGCATACCTACACACAACTATTAAATGGTAAATAATCAGAAAATAAAGCATCAATTATTAACTGCACTATGTCTTGTATTAAATAATAAGGATGTGAGTTGGGTAGTGACTGTGGTGTGCTTTATTTTTGCTGTTGAGAAAAGGGTGTCGTCAACTGAATACTTAATGTCTGGTAAAATATTGTTGTGTATTAATGAACCCTCAGTGCTCTTGCAGCAGTGGCCACATTTCCCATTTCTCATTTCTGATCACAGAGGACTGCACATTGGAAAAGAGTCCCTCCCCAGAAACAAGTACAATCACAAGTATTGGTCTGCCCACCTCAGAGTGAAAAGTGCAGGTTTGGTGGAAAAGAGTTTTCAAATTAAGCATGTGTGCATTAAGAAATAATGTCCTCACCCCAATACATATGATGATGGCCATCCAGCCATTGAGAAAGTAAAATGGAGGAACTTCCTTCCCACAGATTCACCCACTCACTCAAGCAAGGTTCAAGGTGGGGCAGAGAGGAAGGCGTGGAAAAACGATGCTGAACCAGTACTGCAGGATGCAAGTCTCTCCCACCAATAATAGTAATCACTGATTACCAGAGGAAAGAATGAGAGAACGCAAAGCAAACTTACCCAGCTGATCAAAGTGTGTTTCGGTGCCCTGCAGACCTGGAATGGAGCAAACCAGCCGGGCTTTTAGGAATGTGCTCCAACGATTGATGAGGCTGTGCTTCCCACCAACATCATTCTGCCAGCCACAAAGAGGAGCCAGTCAGGACTATAATCTCCTCATCCATTTATGGAAAGCCTATGTCCCTGTCCCAAGCTACTGCTTTGACTGGAATCAACCCTATCATGATCACACAACTGGTATGTCTTAAAACTTTGGATGATCAGAATTGTCCAGTCCTTCTGGCAAAAGTGGAACACCCACTTTTCTGCCTACTTCAATGCAGAAGGAAATCCTATGGAGTCCCAAGTCAACATGGGATTGCAACCACAACATGGCTGCAACCACAGGCTGGTTCTCAATGCACACTTTCTGATTTCAAGGTGGTTGTTCTGCCTGATGAAAAGAACGCTTATCAGATGAGTACCATGCTTTTATTTTACATGTTCCAAGACACAGGGAGAAGGAAAATTATCCACATTGTAAGCTGCAGAACAGGGATGGGAAGCCTCTGGCTCTCCAGACTACAACTTCCACCATCCCTGACCATTGACTATACCGGCTAGGGCTGATGCGAGTTGGAGTCTTCATCAAGCACAAACTCTGTATGCACAATGAAAGTATATTGCACACTAAATATCTCAAAGAATATATGTACCAGTCTCAAATCAATATTTGAGAGATATATGCAATCTTACAAATTACAAATTAGATGTTACCAAGTTCAAGAGTGAGTTGTGTGAGTTGAAGTCCATCAACATCTAGAAAGCCAGAAGTTCCCAACTCCCGTCACAGGAGGAGGAAAAAAAGATTTTATATACCCAGCATCTGGGTACCAGTGTCACTCTGAGAAGGATTCACATTCAGACAAAAAGCAGCTCATCCCTTTCTGGCCTGTTAAAAGCATGATCATATTGACAAACACTAAATATTCAAAGCAGCAAGCAATGGTTCCTATAGGCTGAGCTGATTCTTTGAATCACAGCTGGGTTGTCCAGTTGACTCCCCTCACTGACCTTGCAGACCCGTGCCACCCGGGTATAGATGCGCCTTCTCTCCCATTGTCCAGCTTCCACTGCAGTCTCCCGGAAAAAGAAGTACACCTTATCATCATCATGGTTGTAGGTGTCGGGAATAGCATAGGCACCAATAAACACAGGCTCTGCAAGGAGGGAAATTCAGTTAAAAGTCAAAGGATCACAGAATTTTTGAGTTGGAAGGGATTCCAAGGGTCACCCCTGCAATGCAGAAATCAAGGAGTCACAGCTACAATTTAGTTAAAAATTGCTGGCAGAACAATATATATACCTGTACAGTGGTACCTCGGGTTACATAAGCTTCAGGTTACAGACTCCGCTAACCCAGAAATAGTGCTTCAGGTTAAGAACTTTGCTTCAGGATGAGAACAGAAATCGTGCTCCGGCGGCGCAGCAGCAGCAGGAGGCCCCATTAGCTAAAGTGGTGCTTCAGGTTAAGAACAGTTTCAGGTTAAGTACGGACCTCCGGAACGAATTAAGTACTTAACCCGAGGTACCACTGTATATGTATGAATAAATGATTTTTAAAAATCAAGATAACAATAAAAGAGGACAACTACGGTTGCAAAAAAATTTCAAAAGGACAAAAGAAAACCCAGTTATGAAATTCGTGGGCTACCTGTCCTTTTTTTGCCACCTGAGGCAGGAAGGTGTTGTTACCCTGGCTGCTGCCCTGCTGCTGAAGCCCCCCTTTCCAGGGTAGCATGGCTATAGGAGCGGAGGCTTCTGGTGATATCTTGCCCCACATTTTTATGTTCCACACATTCCTCCACAATCCCTCTGAATGTAGAGTGGCTCAGGGAGACATTTCTACCCATCTCCTGTTCTCTGGTCAATCAGTTCTCTGCACTACTCAGTCAATCTCAGTCCAGAAGTATCACTGTCACCAAGAGATCCCACCCATTTCTCTCCAGGCAGAACAACTATTGAGTTAATTTGTGTGCCAATGTAAATCTGTCCATCCATTTTTGATTTTGTTGTTTAAAGATTGAGTTTAATATACAAAACAGACCTACAACCTTTCCCTCAACTTGCTTTGCTTGGAAGAAAGGACATGTCTGCTCCACCAATTGCACATAAAGAACTTTTAATATTCCTCCTCATGGCAGCATGCATGGAAATGACCATGCAATGGGCATGGACAGTAGCCCTGGCTGAACAGCTAACGTGCCAGATTCATGCAACCAAAGGGAATTCTAACCCCCATCCTTTCTATAATGTATGGCAACTTTTTTTATATTATCTGTGCCAAGAAGATTATGTTTATAACTCCCTGAGATCTCATGGTAATACATGGAAATATTTTTTGGAGTGAACTGTAAGAATTTGATTTGATATTTTTAGGCAATGGGGTTGAAGTGTTGTGAGTTATCCTCCCTTCTGTTATCATGATGGCAACACAGCCACATTAGCTGGTTTAGGTTCCATATCCTTGCTGTATCACTCTGTAGGTGAAGAACTGCACAATAATGGCAGACTTGTTAGCTAACAGAGATCATATTCTGAGCAGCTGCTTCTGCCATCACCCACTTACCATTTAACCAGTAATCCTGGTTCTGTTCTGTCCGAATGTAGTTCTGGTCAACCCTGTCAAGCTGTGTACGGAAAAAAGCAGCACTGCTGCCCATGAAGTCAACAGAAGTGCCTGAATAAAACTCCCCATCTGTCAAATCCAAAAAAGAAATATATATATATATATATATATTGGCAGAAAAGCTACATTCTAGATCTCTAAGGAAGTTTATTTCGCTTCATGCCTACACTCTGCACATTTTAAGTACGACAAATAATATTGGGCTAACAATTTATGTATGATTGCTCTCTGACGCCTCCTAAGTGTTGAACAAATAGAAAAGTCCTCACTCAGTATGGAGATGCATTAATGGGAAAGAGGATTAATATATCAGAGACAGGGGTGTCCAAGAACGTTTTGCTGCTGTAGGCAAAATGCCCTGCTGATGCTATGCCAACACTGCTCCCAACAGATTTGGACCTCTTCCCTGCCCTTGCCACAGTGCCTGCACTGCTGCCTGCGCCGCCACCCCAACTGCACCCTTGCCACAATGCTACAGTGGTGGTGAGGGTGCCATGTTAGGGCAAGGACGTTGTGGCAGCAGCAGTGGTGGCATGGGGGAAGCTGTGGCAGGGCTTCCAGTGGTGGGGCGGGTGGATCTGCTGCCTGAAACAATTTTTTTTTGCCTCAACCCATGGAAGTGCTGGCCTTGACCATGGATCAGAGAGTGGGGAACCTTTATCCACATGAGGACCACTTTCCCTTCTGGGCGACCTTCGGGGAGGGGGACACATGTCAGTGGTGGGCAGGGCAGGAGTAAAGTCAGCAGAGCAATGAATGTGCATTTTAGTCTTTTGAACAGGGCTAGTTTCTTCATAATCGCACATCCTTCTCTATCATCCACGTAGACAAGCAGGAAGTTCAGGGGCACATTCCAGCCAGACAGAAACACCCAAGGAGGATGGCAAAATAGGGCTGAGGGGTGTGACTTGGGAGGGGGTGTGGCCTGGGGAGAGTTCCAAGGGCCGGACAGAGAAGAGGGCCACGTGTGCTCCCTGTGCTTGAGGTTCCCCATTTCTGCCACTGAAGAAATGATGCACACAGAGACAAAGATTGCAAAAGCCACTGCTAGAACAAAACCTGTTAATATATATTGCATTTGTCTTAAATGATCCTAGCATATATTGGCTTGGATCCACTTGTGCTCTGATCGATCCAGAGAAGGCCTACATTAGTGAAAAGGGGAGGGAGGTCATTTTTGCTTATTCCCTCTTCCCTCTCCCCCACCTCAAAATACGAAGAAGTTTGGGGGACCTTTTGGAACAGTGTGGTCGGTGGCCTGCAGGATAAAGGAAGATCTGGAAAAATGGATGCTTCTTCCTCCTGACTTTGGGTCCTAGAAACCTCTGCTGAATCAAATAGCATTCTGTCAGTCGAGGGATGCTATTGGATACAAGAAGCCCTTGTCTAGGTTTCATGCCTGCTTTCTGTTCACAGTCCCTCTTACCTATGAGCAGCCCTGTGAAAGGCTCATGGGGGCTGTATGGACACTTGCCTCTTCCAGATTCTATGGAGGACGTCACCAGCTGCATAGCTGGCACCACTGGTTCCTGCAGAGGACCATGGAAAAGATTTCATAAGCATCACTGTAAACAGAGCAATCATGCTCACAGCAGAGATTGTTTTACACTTCAAAGAAATTGGCTCAGCAGTCCTGGCTGCTCTCCAGGGAACCTCCTGAACTAGAGAGTTTTAAGGTGCAGGCTGTTATTTTAACCACCGTCATCACCCCTTTCCACTCTCTTTGCTCTCACCCAAACTATTTGCCACAGGAGTATCCTACTGTGGTGCACTTGTCACCTGCAAGTGATACCCATTGCAGTGTGGACTGTGTGGATGGTTCTGTAGGGGCTCAAATGGATGGGTGGCATGTGGCATGAGGTTAGACTAAATTATTTTTGGTCTTCTCCACCTCTATGACTCAAATAGTCAGCACTACCTACCTTGCCTTTGGTGCTAATATTGTAAAAGTGGTTTAGGCATGCTGTGAAGCTTTTCCACAGAGTGGCAACCTCACAGAAGTTCCAGATTGGTTGTTTTTTCAGTGCTATGGAGCTGCCCTTTACTGAACATACTTGAAAAATTTATCATACAGTTGGAACTCTAATGATGCAGGCCAGGAGAGTTATTTATTTTGCTTCTCTTTACTTTGAAGTGAATAAGAAAAGCCCATCTAGTCCAGCATCTTGTTCTCACAGTGGCCAACAAGACACTTACAGTGGTACCTCGGGTTAGGTACTTAATTTGTTCCAGAGGTCCGTTTTTAACCTAAAACTGTTCTTAACCTGAAGCACCACTTTAGCTAATGGGGCCTCCTGCTGCTGCCGCGCTGTCGGAGCATGATTTCTGTTCTCATCCTGAAGCAAAGTTCTTAACCCAAGGTACTATTTCTGGGTTAGCAGAGTCTGTAACCTGAAGCGTATGTAACCTGAAGCGTATGTAACCCGAGGTACTACTGTATATGAAGTTTGAAAGAGGACTCTCCCAAATTGTGATTCCCAGCAACTGGCATTCAGAGGGCTGAGTCTAGAAAAGCAGAAGGTTAACTTGTTAGATTATCTGAAGTTCCTCTCTCTTTTTTATACTGTACTTTACATCACCAAAAAGGCCTCAGCCTCCCATGTACATTGTGCATTTGTGTGCTTTGGACTTTCTTGCCCAATGTGTTTCAGTTCCCATTTCACCACTGCCCTTTAACACTACCTTTGACTGTTTTTTCACGGATTGCCATTTGCTCATGATTCAGCAGTAAAGAATGAGTTTTTGCAGGGAAAGCTCCAGAGCAAAAGAAACAACAACATTCAGATACAGAGCTTTAAAGTGGGGACCAGGCCTGGAAAGCATGGAGGAAAGGTAAGTGTGGATAAGCCTTACACATCTTAAACAATCAATTTCCTTAGGAGAGACCATCACCGTAAATTAACAGGATTAATGAGGTGATTGATTTGAAGCTGTTTGAAACCTTGAAATCAGGTATAAAAATACCAAGCAATATGGTGCCCACTTATTATTTATACTCGTATTGTGCTAATCCAAAGAATTTGGCCTTTGACCAACATAATCCAAAGAGTCAAGAATGGCCTTAAGCCTGTGTCTAGGGTATTATGCCAAAGTCTGACTGGAATTGGCAGGATTGGCCCAAGTGAACAGATTACAGGATTTCATCCACTGCTGGGATGGTTGCCATGGAGTTACTAGAGAGGGCAGAATGCTGGTGTGGAAGTTAATAATACCTGAAGAGAATAAGTGATTGTCTCCTAAATCCCTCATCACTTATACATTCTGGGTATCTCTACAAAATGTTTTTGTACTGTCTGCAGAAAGAGCAAATGCACAAGACATCTTCTGAAAAAGGCTGGAAGAGTGGGCAGCTGTCTTCCTTCCTTACTATGGAAAGCATCAGAAAAGAGTCTCTGTGAAAGAATTCCCTGTTCCTCAGAGAAGCAGGTGATATTGCAAAACACAGGTAAAAAGATAATGCTGGCTTTTTTATCTGACGCAAGAAGTCAATGCGACAGTCATTCCCTTGCTCTCAAATATACAATAGTATGCATAGAGGGAGAAGTTGGATGCAGAATGAGTTATACCGCATCTAGATTCGGATACCTGTAATACTGGCCTTGTGGATGCAACTCACCTCCACTCCACCTCTGAGATATATGAAGGCACATATGGGCTGGTAGGAGCCTGTTCCACAGGCAAACACATGAGTGCTGTTGAAATGCTGGAGAAAGCGGATGAAATTGGCACATTCCATCTAGTAAAGGAGTCAAAGATGTAAAAGATGGCAGCATTTTACTTGAACATTTTTGGTTTGACCCAGTATTCCCACCATGAAAGGAAAGGAAGTATCTGACTTACAAGCTATTTTCAAGATCTGCATCTAACGGTATTTGCTGGGCGATAGCTGGTTTTCAAAATCTGGTTTTCAAAACCAATATTGCAATATATCGATATATTACGATATCTGAAATAAGGAAGGAGCTATGCAGAGGCAAACAGGACAATGTCCTGGCAGCTGCTACTACTTAAGGGTCTAAAACTGAGAAATGGTGATATTATCAATCAACTCATTGTGATATTGTGAGGTTTAGCTGCTGATAACTTTGCAATGTTTTGCTGGTGAGTTATTGCGATGTTTAGCTGGTGAGTTATCACAATGCTGAAAACCAAATATCGCCTAGCCCCTAACACACATTGTGATTCAGCAATACATTGCCAGCTCAAATATTATGAAACAATTATCATGATGTGAACTTCAAACTGATTTTGGACGATATATTGATATGTTGCCCAGCCCTACAAGCTACTGATGCTGGATTGAGGCCATAGCCTGATTTACTCATCTACTTACCATTTGAGAAGTTGCTCCTGCCTGTGCACATCCACAAATCACTAAACGAATGTCTTTATACATTCTTAGCTACAATCCTATATCCTATACTTACATGGAAGTAAGCCTCAGTGAATTATAGACTATTAATTGTACATTTGTATGAATGGCTTTAGAGCATGTAAGAATAGTTTTTTGGTTTTAGGATTTATAGTTTTTGTAGTATTTTATCTTATTTTTGTGTTGTATACTGCTTTGATGGCCCCAGGTTATAAAATAGTTTATAACTTTGTAAAATAATGATGGTGGTAATAACAAAATCAACATCAGTTCAGTGGGACTTACTTCTGAGTAAGCATGTATAGGATTGCATTGTAGTTAGTGATCACAGATCGTTCAGGAGGCACCTCAACCTAAACCATGGAGCCTAAAGTCCACCATTTTTACCTTAGGATTCTTCCCAGCCAGTCTGCAGTGCTCCATTTGCTCTCTAGGAGCTGGCCAGAAAATCTGGAAGAGAAAACACAACCAAGAATGTGGATGGAATCCTTTGCAGCAGTAAGTGGGATATGCACATGGGAAACGAGGTTCACTCACCTAATGAGACGTCCCTTCCACTTCTCTCCCCACACTCCCTGTATAGCACATGGACCAAATCCTGATGGCCGTTTTCTGTTTTTCTCCCTTCCCACCCCACCCCAAAGCAACCTCCTTTGGCACTCTGACCTTCTGTGGCTCTTTGTTGGGGCTGTCAAGGTTGAGCAAAAATATGTGGTCCTTAGCGCCTGCCATCAGCCATGCCCTCTTTTCGTCCACAAGTAGTGTCTGGAGTGCCAGCTCATCCTCAGAGTCCAAGAGCAGCTGAGAGCTGTTTGATCTCAGGAGGTCTGTAAGGTGGAGCATACAAACAGAAATATGAAGGTGGTGGGCTCATCCACACTTCTACCTGTACCTTGCCTAGAAAGCACAGGTGGGTCCAAGTGGTTTCCTGCTTGTCTCGTGCTTTCTAGGCATGGGTCTGCGTAGTTTTGCCTTTGCCCTGCCACTTTCCCCCAGAAAACCCACTCTTTAGCAATAAATCATAACAAAAGATAATCTGCAGAAAACCCAATTGCCATGCCTGCTCACGCTCTCCTGAGAATGATTTTCGGAAGCTGAACATCTGGCGCTGCTTCTGTGGCTTCTGATTGGCTGCAGGATGCTCCTGTAGTCAATCAGAAGCCGTGCCTTGGTTTTTGAACGGTTCCAGGAGTCAAATGGTCTCCCGGAAGGCATTCTGTTAGAGAACCAAGGTATGACTGTACTTTTGTCCATTTACTGTATTTATTTTCCCCGATTTGAACTATAAAATGGTGATTTTCTTGAGTCAAAATGAGAGTACACCTAAACATTTTTTAAAGAAAAAAAGCACTGATAATAATAATAATGCAAGGAGCATTAATGAAAGACTAGCCCAAGGTCACCAGGCAGCTGCATGTGGAGGAGTGGAGACATGAACCCAGTTATCCAGATTACGAGACTACTGCTCTTAACCACTACACCACACAGGCCTATATAGAGACACAACTGCCTACATTGTGGTGTGGGTGCAATATTAGTGTAGAACACTGACAGGAACAATGAGTAACCCATCAAGGGATGCAGTGTGTGGACTTTGCACTCTCTATGTGCAATTGTTGCTGGAGACAGATTGAATGTCACATGGAAATTAACTGATCCACATCACTTTTAAAAAAGCAAAAACATACTAGGGTAACCAGACTAAGAGCAGAGAACCATGTCTGAGAACCTTTATTGCTAAGTATACTTTCTTTCTGGCTCTTTCATTCGTTCCGTTTTCATTTGGGCAAGGGAGCCATGAGACAGAAACTGTGTGATGCTGTAGTGTAGACCCATCGCCCTTTGGCATATGTCCCTTCCATCCCATAGAAAGGTGGAGTCTGGCTGGGAGTGGGAGGGGAGACATTGCCATCCTCTTAGCAGCCGTTCAATGGGGATGAGCAGTGCTAGTGTGAAAGAGAATGAAAGTGACATCATCGTCTTATTGGGGCCGATTTTACACAAAAACTTCGGGAAGCAAGCTTTTGAGTTGTGCAGAATACTTTCTCAAACAAAAGAAGGCTCCAAAACAAGGAACAAAAACAAGGAAAGCTACCATGTTTTCATTCAATGCTTCTGTTTTTCTAGCTGTGATAACTGCTATTTAAATAGAGAAAGAAAAAGGACGGCCCCTCCTTGTGCTCTTGCCACTGCACTGGGCCCCACAATCCTGACACTCCCCATTGACAACACTAGGAAAGCCATCGTCTTGCTGCTGTGGTGGGCTATTGTTTTTGGCCTTATTCTCTCAAGCACATCTTTCCTTTGCACTCCCTGCCTTGAGTTTTCTCATTTCCTTTTGGCCGGCCCATCTGTTTCTTTCTCCCTCCCACCTATTCTACTCCCAGGGTGGAGGGCGCCTCCGAGGACTTTCCAAATGTAAACCCCGTCATTCCTTGTATCCTTGAACTTGGTTTGATATCTGTGAGTCACACCTCCTGCCATTGTCTTCATTGCCCCTTGGTCCTCTGCAAGCTGGGAACTTCCTTTTAGCTGAGACCAAATATTAAGCATTTTTCTAGCATGTCTGACCCTAGTACACACTTTGAAGTTCTATTTCTATCCAGCTAAAGCCTTTCAGCTGTTTGCTTTTCAAAGAAAGCCAGATCGATTTGTTTAATTTTTGTGGCCTGTTATCACTGCTGGCAGTATATCTGAAACTCTGTGCTTTGGAAATGTTTGGCCCCATTGCAGACCACATTAATCTGGTGGTCTCTTTTTGTCTAAGTTTGCTTTCTATCACCCCATCCTAAAACCTCCATCTGTCAAACCACTTTCATCTCTCTTTAAATCTATTGTTTATCTCCACTCTCTGAGTTCTAGTTAAGGAAATTAACTCTACCTAGAATTAGCAGTAATGCATCAAAGCTCCACTGCATCCATTAACTGGTACTTCCTTTGTAAATAAGATCCACCCGACTGCCTTGCATTTCTCTTATTGATCCTGCCTTTGGTTGTCTCCAGACTGCCTGCATTTTGTGGGAGAGATTGGCGTGCATAATGGAAATTTAGGCTTGTGCAATTAAATAGGATTAAAATGCTCTGTTCTCCTAGCACAACAAATTCAATTTATTTTAAATGACTTTTTGTGGTTAGGAGTGATGTGGAAATGTACTGAAAAGTGTGGAATGAAGGGATGATTAATGAGAAGATACATAAACACTGCACAAGCAAATTAGAATGAATGCCCCTTGCTGTATATCCTTCCCACAAACAAATCAGGATGAACGCTCAATAAAGACAAGATACAGTTCTACCTTGAATCCTGAACGCCTTGGTACTCGGACGTTTTGGCTCCCGAACGCTGTAAACCTGGAAGTGAGTTTTCTGGTTTGTGAACGTTCTTTGGAACCCAAATGTCTGATGGGGCTTCCATGGCTTCCAACTGGCTGCAGGCAGGGGCGTAGCAAGGGAGATGCAGTAGGTGCAGCCTGCCCCTGGTGATCCCACTGAGGGAGGTGACAAAATGGTGGCAGCACTCACTGTGGAGCCTGCAGTGCGCCCGAGCCACACGTCTCTCCTGGGAGTGAGGCAGTGGCTTGAGCACCCGTAGGCTCCGCACTGCCCCAGGCTGCCCATTGCTTCCCCCTCAGTTGTAGGGCGGCTGAGTTGGAGGAGGCAGGCAGACTTCTCAGAGACCCCGTGGTGCCCCAGTGGGTGGCTGGCCCCGCCCCCAGGCACAGGGCATGAGCCGCCCCAGGCACCCAATCTGTTTGCTCCGCCGCTGGCTGCAGGAGCTTCCTGCAGCCAGTCAGAAACAACGCTTTGGTTTCCGAACATTTTGGAAGTTGAACGGACTTCCGGAACGGATTCCATTTTACTTCCAAGGTATGACTGTATAGTCTAATCTCCATGTAGTTTTTTGTGTCCAAAACATGTTATGAATATTGGATGTATCTAATTTTTTTCTATCAGCACTATTACCTCCAAAGCAGCACTTTGCCGGGGTTGGTTGTCACTTTAAAAAAATGTACCTCTCACAGAATTTCAGTGAATATAATAGTCATGATAAGCAGAAAATAAGCTGGCACATTTCCACCCATCACTGCTTCCACAGGCCAGAAAAGTTTGCACATATAGAATTACTGCATGTTACAGCTCTGCTTAGAAGTACTGGGCTTATGTCAAGGGGGAAAAAAGATTGCAGCCACCACACAATGTCTAGAAAATTGCTGCAAAAGAAAAAAGAAGCAAAATTTCACTAGTCTTATCAGCCCTAAAAAGGACTTCATAGACACAATATTTCCAGAGCTGCTTCTTTTTTAACGGTATATGAAGTATTGGAGCATTTCTAGAGGGTAGAAGGGCTACTCATTGTTTTGCTCTTGATGTTTTAGGTGCTTCAGGAAACAGAGCCAACACTGTTGTGTGGAGCCCAGTGCAAACACTCTCTGTTCAACAAAGGCATACCACAAAAAGTCTGAGTGCTGTAGAGAGAATTGCCTTTCTGGTATACAGGTTTTGGTTAGAGAACTGCATCACACCATTTAGAGAAGTGTGAATTTTGAGGAATAGTTGTGTTTTGGCATTTTTATTGTTTTAGGAGTGCAAATTAGGTAGGCTCACATTAAAATGCAAATCAAACCAATTCCTCTCCCATCCCTACCACTGTCCAATGTATCTTTGTGATGTTTGAGGCCACTGCATTTCACACAAAACTATCACATTCAATGTGCCGACCAGATTGTGGTGTTGACAGTATCATACTTACTCTCATCTACACAAGTTTGCCACTTGAAGGAAGAAGAAAAAAGAGAGAAGCAAAATCTCTGCAACACAAGCTAATTGGAAAAAAATGTCCAGATGCTCTGAATTGGTTGGCATCCATCTGTCTCGGGAAACAATAGAAAAGTGCGCCTTTGGGGGATCCTCTAGATCCCAGCAGAATAAGTTAACATCTGCGCATCTATTGTGCTCACCTGGAAGGGCCCAGAGAGTTCACCTGCAAGTCATTTAAGATTAGAAAGTACAAAAGAGCAGAACAAAGAGTCTCAGATGGACTGTTCATCCTATATTAATGTGGCTTGAATGGATTGCATATATTCAGATGCCTGAGGTAGTAGAAGAGGCTTAACTTTCAGAGAGGGTCACAGGACGAGGATTTTGGATTAGTGAATGTGACAAAGGGGAAGGTGTGGGGGGGAACCCTTAGGTCAGATACACAGCCTGCATCTGCCTTGTCTTTGTCCTCCTGTGTGGATTAGTTATGGCTCAGGGTGTCCATCCTAGGAACTAACTTGAAAGACTGGCAAGACAAGTCCTACCTTGATATGAGAGGCGGAGGCGGGGGACCCACTGCTTCCAGGGAGTACTGTTCTCAACTGTCAGCAAAACAACCCAAGCCACTAGGACTACGTTGGTAGTGAAGCAGCAGCACCTACAGAAAGTCAAGCTGATCATCCCCTCGCCACAGTCAATAATTCCTATGTCAGCAATAACGTCTTGCTCATAGATGCATTTTCTTGCCAGAGAGAGTCACCTGAAAGAGAAATGGAAAAGATTCCTTACTAGACTCACAGGTGCTAGGAGGTCTAGTGAATGTAGCCCAGTCATTCATTGTCCCAATTCCCATTTTCTTCCATCGTGAACCTTTCTGGGTGGGCTGGATCTGGCTATGTTTCTGATCTAGAAATATATTGGTAGCTAGCATATGAGAAGTGTAAATACTCAGGATGTTTAGGTTAAAACTACCATCTCAATTACTTTAAGTATGGGTCCCTTTGCATTCTGCTTTAAAGCAGAGGCTTTTCCTTCTGTTAAATAAAATGTCAAAATATTTCAGTTGCAGTTTTTCCTCTTTGTGACACTTCTTTTCCTTAGTCCCAGTTCAGCCTTGGCAAGCTGCTATCCTGGCAACATGGATCGTGTCAGATTGTGGATAATTAAAAAAGGATGCACTTGTCTTGCCAAGACTTGAAACCTGATCTTATGCATATTTATTTGGGAGTAACGGTCTAACTCAGGGATGGGGAGCCTGCAGCTCTCTCTGTTCAATAATATTGAATACTGCACCTCCCATCATCCCTGCATTGGCCATTCTGGATGGGGCCGATGGGAGTCCAATCCCATTGGTCCCATTCAGCATGGCCAATGCTCAGGGATGATGGGAGGTTCAGTCACTGGAGAGCCACAGGTTCACGATCGCGGGTCTAACTGTGACAGTAACTAAATGTGACTCATACATTTGAACATGGTTTGTGCTGGAGATGTATAAAGTGGGAGGTGAGCATGATTTAAAGCAGGGGTGGAAAAAGGATGCTCTACTTTTCCCCTTTGATATGCCTGCCCATGAATGAATTTCTCTAAGCAGACTCCCTTCTGCTCTCAGAGCCTAGCCAAAGGAAAAAGCAGTGCCTGCCCATTCTACACAAGAAATTGCCCCCTTTTATAGTTATTCAATGGATTAAAAAAACACACATGGGCCTGCCATGTTGCATTTAGTTACCCACTAAAGTTCTGCTGAATACAGTGGAACAGACTTCAAAGTAAGTATGCACAAGGCTGTAGATTTACAACTATATGTTTCTATAAACTTGGGAGAGGGGTACAGGACTGTGGCCCTCTAGATGTTGTTGGGACTCTAGCTCCTATCCATTGGTCACACTGGCTGGGGTTGATGAGTTGTGGTCCAAAAACATCTGGAGGGCCACAGGTTCCGTACTACAAACACTGAAATGTTTGCCAGAGGCAGGAAGTACATTTTGACATTTTGTTCCATAGGGCCTGTGTTTGGAGATGACCCACAGTGAAAGTAGATTCTGGCTCTCATTCTATGGAAGAAAATAAGTTCAAATGTAAGCAGTGAGGCCACAAAAGGGGCAGAGGAAACAGGAAGAACAGGTACAAACATGGTGCTTCCATGCCTTGTATACTATTGAAGGATGTTATGATCAGCCCATCAGTTAATATAAACTCTTCATATGAGTATGGAAAAGTCCAGGTCTTTAGGATAAGGGAAGATGCCTGATGAAATTTGTCCTATTTTGGTGGCATCAAATTGTGAATGTTTTTCAGTGCTCAAAATTTATTTATATCAAGTGGAGGGGAAATGTCCACATATGTCTCCAAACAAAAGCTACATTTCTAAAAGTAGGAATTTGAAAACTGGCCACCCAAATCTTTGTGCTTAAAACAGTGTTTCCCAAAGTGGGCAATACTGCCCTTTGGGAGGTGCTGGAATGATCCAGGGGAGCAGTAGCAATCTCAGGTGCAATTGGGGGGCACTGAATAAAGCTAAGGGGGTGGTGGAAGCATAAGGAAAGAGTAGAAGAAAATGATATTTGGAAAAACCATTTGTACATGTTTCATCTGTTGTGTAATGACACTTATTGCCAGATCGGATGCCAGCCCCACCTCTGGGACAGATTGGACTGAGCCAGCAGACTTCACTCCGGTCCGCCCCATGGGTTTTTACAACATCTTTCTTGTAGGATGTAGGCAGAAATATAGATACATCAAAGAACACAAATTTGTCACTGCATCTTCCTGTTCGTTCACTTAAAGAAGGAAGATTTCCAGAGGGCTCTGAGGTTTGTTTGTTTGTTTTTTCTGAAAAGGGGTCAGTTTGGGATCCTCTGCCTTAGACAATAAAGGAAGGTATTCAGGAGAGTAAGCAAGGTAAAGGTAAATGACCCCTGGACGGTTAGGTCCAGTCAAAGGCAACTATGGCGTATGGCGCTAATCTTGCTTAGGGGGGTGGCGTTTGTTCACAGACAAACAATCATATACTAATATACACAAGTATATATCAATTGGGAGCTTAATTTGTAATCCACAAGCCAGTTTAATTTTCTGCAAATAACTGCATTTAAGATGATGTAGCATCTCCTGTAATCTTAACATGGCATCACTGCTGTTACAGAAAAGCATTGTCACCCATCCCATCATATGCAAAAATGATGCAATATTTCTAAAATTTTGAGTCTGGCAGGAAACCCTGGGCAGTGCCACACGTGATCCTTGTTCTGGGAAACAACAATGAAAGATCAACATTTTCTGCAGGAAATAAATGAAATGTGAAAGTAAAACATGTGAGTATTTGCCTCTTTATCTATTTATTTACAAGGGTTTTTTTACCACATCCTCCCATCCTTTCACCTTAGGAGCACCGGTTGGCTTACAATAATAGGTGTATAACATGCAACCTATTACTGCTCAAAATATATATTTTAAAAAGAGCAACAAAAGAACTAAATAGACAACAGGATGCTTAATACTGGCTCTGTTGTCAATCACCAGCTACACAAATAAGTCTTCAATTGTTGTTTAATCTGAACGTTCCCTAGGGGGGAATTCCTGTAGTAGGGCGAGGGTGGGGTCTCATCACAGAACATATTCTTTTTTGGTTCCCTGTTCTCCTCAACTCAGCCAATGGAGTGTCTACTTTAAAACACCCATGTACCTGAATGGTGGGCACCACAGTTTGGGAACCCCTGAACTACATGATTCTGTAAATAGAAGGAAGCAGAAACTTGGTGCTAGGGCTTGGAAAGGGAAGGCCCCTCCTGTTAAATAAGACAAATGCACAGTACATTATTTAATGTAACAGTGAATGATTGAAATGCAAAAACAATATTGTTTCTTCATTTCTAAGAACTCATCTAAGGTTTTAGCAACTGCTCAGACTTATGTCTGATTAAACATGGTTAGAAACAGGCTAGAACTTGTATTTCACAGCATTGCTGCTTGCAAGCTTCAGATCTAGCTGTTGGTTTTGCCCATGCCAATGGGATTGCCTTAGCTTAAGTGATGGGTGTGACATTGTTTTAAAGTGAAAGTATGTTAATTTGATGGTTTGTGTGAATCAAACCACCTAAATGTACGGTAATTCACATTCCCCTGAAGCAAAGGCAGCCCCCAACCACTACTACACTGACTGAAAAGTTTCATTCAAAGCCTGCTTGTTTTCTACCAACTTCTGTCTCCTCTGTATTCCTGATGAGAGTAAATCACAGTCCAAACTATAAGCCATTGCCTAAATGGATATCTTAGAGGTGAACAGAAGAAGCAGTTTGTCATAGCAATGATTTATACATTACAGTGGGAGAGCAAGTTTCTAATGGATGGAACTGATCTGTAGATGATAAATCTAAGCATAATTTAAACACTGAGCATATGGAAGTTTCCTATCTTCCCAAGATCTCCCTAGTATTACATTCCTTTTCTCTTTAACTTAACACTAACGTGTCCGCGGTGTGCAACAGGCTGCCAGGTTAACATTTAAAAAATGAAAGGCTCTCCGAAACTATGATTCTAGTTTTGTGACATGCCATGGAGAAATAGGGATTTTTTAAAAACTGGCATAAGCCTAAGGGAAATATTTATTCATTTATCTGGAGTATTTTTACTCCACTCTCTATAAAAGTACTCCAGAACAGCTTATAAAGATTAATAAAACACTCAGGTTTACAAGCTGAAAGGCACAACACAAAAGGAAAAGAGATTGGGTGGGAGAAGGAAAAAAGAAAAACCATGCTCTAGTTTACAAGGTGACACCCACCCCCAAGAGCAGATGGACCTTCCACTGTGGGCTGCTTGCAATTAAAAAATAGGGCTTCCAAGAAATTGCCTTGGGTCTTGACCTTTCTTTGCAGAACATATTGTCCTCCTCATTGGTTCATATGATTGAGGTAGCCCAATGTTCTGGAGCAAAGAATTTTCCTTTAAAACAAAGGTCTTACACAATAAAGGCAATCTAGCCATCCTGCTCAGTTTTCTGACCCATGCCTCCTACCTATAGCAGTTCTTATGATGACAGGCATTATGCACTAATGCTGAGTTTGTACATTGCCATATTAATGTGTCTGTCTGTACATGGCTATAATATCTAGTTCAGTTTCCCATGTGGATATTCTTGAACTTGCTGAGAGTTTCCAAGCCAGTGGCAAGGTGCCTTAGAGGATCCACCTGGCAAGCCAAGGGTGTGTTAGCTACTGTATGGAGAGCTACTGTCCTCACACAAGGATAAGTTAACACGTAAGCAAGTTCTGCAACACTATTGCCTCTAGGACAATAAGCAGCCAAACTGCCACCTAGTGCAATCCCTGATCAAATCCACACAGTGGCCATCAATACATAGAGAATAGAACAATGTATGCAGGAAAGAACAAAAAGAAAAGAAAAGAACAATGTTTGCTTTGCTGTTTCAGCTAGATCAGGAGTTGGAAACCCGTGGCTCTCCAGATGCAGCTGAACAACAACTTCCATCACCTGTAGCCATTGGCTATGCTGGCTGGGACCAATGAAGTCTGGAGGACCAGAGGTTTCTCACCACTGTACTAGTCTCATCTTTCACTTCCTGCTGCAATGAACTCCGCTTCACTATGAAGTGACCGTTCATCCTGGTTTGATGGTCCTTTGTTATTACATACCTGGCTCCTCATCTTATAGTACTTCTATATGAGATGCCCCATCCCTGCTGAGGTACATCTTGCATAAGGCAAGGAGAATTCATTCTTCCTAAGCCCAGTGTTTTCTCTGTTGAATGCTGATCCAATTGGCATTATTTTAGGCTCAGTACTGTACTACAAGATACTTTTGCAGGTTAGCTTTGAGGTAATTTTTCAGTCAGCAGTCTCCTTAATAATCTACTAACCACCTTCATTTAGTTCCCAGCCCTGTAATCACATCACAGCATTATTCAAGTGTGACCTTGGCATAATTTCAGTATGCACCATCTAGAATCAATTTATCTAAATTGGATCATTTGGCTCAACTGCAATAGACTGACTGTGGTTAAGTGAAGGGGTTTAGGGTTTTGAAACAGCCAGGATGCTATTGTCATTTACCAACCACTAACAGTGTGTTCTCACTGGAATCCTAGTGGATTCTGGCATATGTTATGCGTATCTTTTTACTTCTTGATTGTTTTCTAAATGATTCACAAGCTTGTGTGATCCCATTACAGTTTGGGCAGCCAGTGCAATGAGTAACGCTTGGAATTCAAGACTGGAGTCAACGATTCCAGGATGCAACTCAGGAAGTAGTCAGTGAAGATAACAATGGGCAGCAGGCCGATATACAAAATGTAACAAGTATACTCTATGAACTTTGCAGACAAAGGAAACATAATCTTTACAGGAGGAAAAAGAGCCCCAGTTGGATCAAGTATTGACTTGTCAAAGTATTAGCACTGTCAGAGGTAGAGCCAAGGAGCTTTCTGATAGCTCCACCATCCTTTCAAGAGCTATTAACTGAACTGGTGTTATATTCATGTGTGACCATGAATAAAATTAATCTTTATTTATGTTATTACTGTTGCAATCCTGGAGCAGGTCAAACACTGGTGAAGGGATCATTATATGTGGCAGAAGCATCTCTCTGCTGCAGAGGAGGAAGGACTGCTATTGGGACAACACTTATGCTTTCAGAGGCCCTTGGTACACCCACCACAGAAAGCTTTGCAGGTGTAGACATCATCATCAAATTTCCATACTGCCCTTCATCCAAGGATCACAGGGCTGTTTACAGTATAAAAACAAAAATACATACCATAATAACAAAACAAAACAATATGCCCTTCAGAGTTTAAAAGGCCATTGGATTGCTCAATTAGCCAAAGGCATGCCACTAGTTCTATTGGTGATGGGGCTGAAACAGAATATATATGCCTAACACCTGGGCAGTGCCAGTTCCAGAAAGTTTAAGGCAAGGGGATATACTCACCTCTTGATCCTTATGATGTCTTTGGAAGTGATAATTTGGCAGTTTCAGGAATAAATCAGAGTGTGAAGTCAATCACTGAAAGTTAAGAGAATCCATGGACTGGTAAATCCCAGGGAAATTACTCATGCCAATCTCTTTAGATAACAGCATTTTACTCTTTCACAAGAGTACTTTGTTTCTAGGTGGTATGCACTGCCTTTTCAGGGGGTATTAAACTACTTCTATCCACCTTTGCTTTGACCCGATGTTGAGAGAAAAAATAGTGGCTGCCCCATGTTCCCTTGCACTGAGCAAGGGAGCATGCTGCTTTTGACAAGGATGTCCAACCTATTTCCTCCAAGAGATCAGCAGCTGTTACTCTCTGTTCTGGAGCTGTTCACCACCTACAGAACTTTATGTCACGGGGTGACATACAAATGTAATTCATAAATACATGAATTGAATGACTGCATGATAAAGAGACAGTGCAGACATTCATTCATAGGCTTTCTAGTCTGCCCCACTGACACCTTATCTTTCCTTGGAATGCTTGAAATAACTGCAGAGTCTTCCATTAGTAATACCACTTGTGAAGTGAAACCCTTGCAGCATGAATATATCCAACAGAAGTTGCAGTAGTTAATTGCCAGTGATTACAACTGAGTGGGAAAGAAGGAGGACTTGGCCAAAAGAAAAAGGATATGCAAAAAGCCGGGAACTGATACTTAAGTGAGTGACAACTGTCTCACACCTGCTCAATATCAAGGCATGAAATGAATTTTCAGTAAAAAATTATGATCTTCAGTCACCCCACAACACTTTTCTTTGTGCTTTGTCCACATACAGGTCTGACTCAGCAAGTATATTCTGATTCCCCTTTTGCTTTCAATGGGCATATTACTGTGCTTTTGCCTAAAGTAGTTCTAGGAGTTAGGGACTTGACATAAGAACCTTAATAGTACTTTACGGACTCATATGTTCCTGGATAGGTGATTCATGTCCAAAGGTGGGGTCTCAAACCAAGGCTCTATAGTATGTGGGTGTGGATGGGTGTGCTAGAGAAACAGCAGTTTTGGATATAAAATATAAGATGCAACATCTTAGAGTTAAGGGTCATCTGATAGTCTTACATAGCATTAAGGTTTTAGTTCTTTTTCTTCAATACAGTGAAAGGAGAAGGATGCAGCTGCAGCAAACGTCTGGGCTGGGTCAATAAGCAGCAGCTGTCACTTTTCTCCAAATGAGATGGCAGAAATGAAAGGAAACAAATTCCTCTCCTTTTCTAGGCCCCTTTCCTTTACTCATCTATTTCTTTTGAAACTGATTTTTGTAGAGGCCTTTTTCCTTCTGTGCCAGGCTCCGTATGCGAATAGCATCCAGAAAACCCTTCAGTCATTTAATTTTTCATCCATTTATGGGATAAAGGAAGAACAACTGTTTGTGGCACCTACACAGTAGCTGGCCCAACACTTGCTGCCAAAATATGGCCTCTTTAATGGAAGCCATGCTGGGTTGAGGACAATGCAGCACAAGAGGCAAAGATTGTTTCACATCTACATCATCATCATCATCATTATTATTATTATGAACATTACTTCTATACTACTTTAATTTTTTAAAAAAACCTCTAAGCAGTTTATAGCCTATCTTAAAATATCACAAATACGTCCCAAAACATCAGAACAAAACATTGCAAATGAAAATGAAATACAAAAATAAAAATCCACATTTAAGGCAGCATAATAAGCAGCAAAACAGAATTCTCTCTAATAAACATTAAAAAAGTAAAAAGTAAAACTACAATAAATAACCTTACAGGTTAAAGCAGGGATAGCCAATGTTGTATCCTCCAGATGATGTTTAACTGCTACTCCCATCATCCCTGACTATTGGCCATGTTGGTTGAGGCTTCTGGGACTTGTAGTTCAACATCTGAAGGGCACTGTGTTGGCTACCCCTGTGTTAAAGCATTGTCTGTGGCCAAACAAAGTAGCTGAAGGAGATACATAACATAACAACTACATAACACTCTATGCCCAGTAACATTTTCCAAGCAAACATTTAGCACTCTTTCACATGCAAACCTCACTCTCAGCCATTTTACCAACCATACCTCTAACACAGTTAACCCCTAGCCAACAACTAGTCACAAGACTAACAGCATTAAACATAATTTACAACTAGTTCACCCACCCACCTTAATCTCAAGCAATATAACAGCAGCATAACCACTCCCTCCTTGTCTCCCACCTAGGTAGGGTCCTACTCTCTCACACTGAGTGGTATAAAGCAACTGTATTACACACGAAAACCATATAACCCTGACTGTCACTCTGGGCAGTAAAAACACAATTCCAATTACCACTCAGCATGTCAGATAGGAGTTTCTAACAGACACAATGCTTTTGGAAGGCCCCGTGGTAAAATATTGCTTGGATGCTTGCCTGGAAAAGGCAATGGAGCATATGTGCCATTCATTTCAGTACTGTACTGACCCAGCTCAGAATGGTATGGAGAATCTTTATTTATTAATATGTGCAGAGTGCACTCACAACCCCCAAAGGGAACGTATAAAAAACAAATGTGTGTGCCTAAAGATTGAATAGCGCATCAAAAGCAACATAATCCTTGAAAGACCTACATTCCTCAGTGCCCTTTACATAGGGATTCCTTCATGTGGGATGAAACTGACACCCATCACCTGTCTAACATATGGTCTGACATTTAGCTATTCATTTTGCCAGATTCATAGCAGAAGCTTATAATGTCTACTCAAAAGTAAGTCACACTGAATTTTACTCCTAGGAAACTGAGTATAGAACTGAAACCTTATAGTTGAAGCTACAGGACAATACAAAGCCAAAGGTATGCATTTCCAGCCATCTTATACTGTCTGCCATCAAGGTCCCTTACGACTGGAGAATCTACACTGAAAATAGTTCAATGTAGTTTCGTTAACAAAAAGTGTAATAAAAGAAACATTCTTTGCTATACAGTAGTGTTCACTGGGATAGCCAATGTAGTGCCCTCCAGATGTTGTTCTACAACTCCCATCATTCCAGACTACTGGCAGTGTTGTCTGGGGCTGATGGGAGTTGGAAGTCCAAAATATCTGCAGGGCACTGCATTGGCTGCTCCTGGTGTACAGATTGATTTCTTTTGCTTGTTATTATCTCTGGTGAAACAGGCTTTGCAGAATCTGAAAGGCCTGCAAAACCTGTGAACAGAGATAATTGTGTGGTAAGTGTGCACATGAAATACAGCAGCTCCCAAATATCAAAAACAGTATCACATTTTAAAGAAGCTGATTTCTCAGTCTTGTTGTGATAAACCTGTGATGGAAAACCAAAGAAGCCTCGCTTACAATAAAAATGTGGATGTTAAGAGTAGGCTGAAAGAGAAAATAGCAACATATTGCAGAACATGGACCAGGGGTGGAATAGTACAAGACTTGTAGGTCAGGACTGAGGGGCATCGTGTGTGGTCATATACACAACACTTGTCTGACTCAAACAAGCGTAATCCACTCATCACTGTCATGAGCAGTCAGTTCATTGAAAGAGTAGCATAGGATTTCAATACAGAGGCTTTTCACCTCTAGGTCATCTGCTCAAATCTTGATCAGGGCAATGCATGCCAAGAGTAACTGTGGCTGCTATCTGTACAAAAGCCTCTATGAAATAAGTGGGTGGTCTCAGTCACATTCCCGGGCGCACATGTCACCATCACAGCCCTGGTCCCATCCTAGCAGCCCAAACAGGGGTGAGGATGTCTGAAGATCATATCTACTCTATAGGTGTCTGTCTGGGGCAAGAGGGGAGAATGTTAATGGAGAAAATGGGAGCAGATGAAGTAGGCAGGGAAACAGCCTTGTTCAAATGCACCTGTTTTAGGAATTCTGCAGCTGACTTTGCTAAAACTGAGCTAAGAGAATGGAAATGTTAAAAACTATGTTCAAAATGGAAAGCTCCACAAAATAAAACGAAATAAAGAAAGATTTAAAGGGCACATTAGGAGCCTATGATCCCCAGTCTTTCAGGTTGTAGCTGATCAATGTATTTCAGAACTAAGCATTCAATCTGCTGTCTCTCTTAAAACCCTAGTTCTGAACTCATTAAGTCTCTCTCTCTCTCTCTCCCTGGTTTGAAACATGAAAGCTATACAGTATTTTCTTTTAATAAAAAAGCTCCCCCCTCTAATCTGTACTCCTCCTTGCTTCCTGCTGTAATTGGAATAGTAGGAGTGGGTGTAGGAGGGCTTGTAAGGGTCCAGGGAAAGTATTTTAATGAGCACAATAGGGAGGGGATGGGGTGAGTCTTTTCTCTTATCTGTTTCTTGTCAAAGATTTTCAGTTGGGATTGCTGTAAATTATGTCTTGGTTTTGAGGTGGCCTTTCTGAACTATTCTGCGCTCCTTCACTGTCTTAGAAGCAGTGCCCCTTTCTTTGGCGCAAGTTATCCCTGTCTGACCTTTGCCCTCCCTAGATTGCCTTATTCCTCAGTGCACCTCTCTGCTGTCTCTGAAAGATCTCAGAATCTGTGGGCAATGTCTCATGTTACCTTTTCTGGACAAGGCTATTAGAGACTTGCCTCCTATGAAGTCACTGGGAGTAAATCCCAGCAGCAAAGTTGGTAAGGTCAGGACAGTGGAATTAGGTTGACATCCTTTGGTGTTTTGTTCTTCAGATCAGAGAACAAGCTTTTGTGAGAACAGAAGCATTAATGTGAGTCCAACTATGGTGCACAACCTGCTCTGTACTATTGCTTCTCCGTATGATTTCTTTGCTAGCCTGTTTGGATATCATGAGTCCATCCCTTTGGTCAGAGCTAGGTGGTGTCTCAAGAACTGAATTATTGAAGAGCATAGATCCAGAACCTCTGTGGAATTATGTGGAGACAAAGGGTAATAATAGTGCCATGTAAAATATACCGTATTTTTTGCTCTATAAGACGCACCAGACCACAAGACGCACCTAGTTTTTGGAGGAGGAAAACAAGAAAAAAAATACTCTGAATCTCAGAAGCCAGAACAGCAAGAGGGATTGCTGCACAGTGAAAGCAGCAATCCCTCTTGCTGTTCTGGCTTCTGGGATAGCTGCGCAGCCTGCATTCGCTCCATAAGACGCACAGACATTTCCCCTTACTTTTTAGGAGGGGAAAAGTGAGTCTTATAGAGCAAAAAATATGATATATTGTCCCTCACTCTGCCAAATAACATTAACTTTTTGGGCTATCAGTATGGTTCTAATTGTTGGTTAGTGAGCTAGTAGCTGAAGACTTCATCTCACTAGAAGTTTTTATGGATAATACAAAACACAGAAGATCTGTGTGTCACATTTCCTGTTAGCAACCAGAATCTTGCTGCTCCCTAAACTGCCACAATCAAGTTTTGGTTAACCATACAATAGGATACTTTGAGCTACAAACAATCCCCTCTCAAGAATTGACCAGCATGGTCTTTATTCCCTGTGGAGAAACAGTAGAGCTTATCCAAAACCAAGGGAATTTCAATATGCTTGAGAAGAACTGAAAAGGGAACACTGTCTCCATATATAAAATGGCCAGCTCACAATTCTTTAGCCCTTAACCACAAGACATTACATATTCAATGACAGTGAATTAAAGGAGTTTACTGAGGTTAAAGTAAGTGGGAGAAAGCAATATGGTACAAAACACTGCCAAAAAAAATAAAAATATATTTAGGTGGATGTTGGAGGTACACAGTAACTTCTGGACATGCTCAACTATAAAAGGTGAGGTTCTTCCATCAATCACTAATGCCTGTGCCTGCATAATACTGGAGCCGCTAAACTAAAATACCCTCAGTTTTTATCAAATTAAACATTTATGGCTTTGCCCCTGCCTGTCTCCCTTCTAGATTGGTCCATCAGATCTCTTACTTCCTTGTACATTTCTATTGCCAGGCAGGTGAACCATCTTGAGATTTTCGGATGAAGGCAGTATACTAAACAAACAAACAAAAATAAAAATAAATAAAATAAAGGAAAGTAAAATAAAATAAAATAAAACAAATATGCATAGGATTGTGCTACCATGGTGTTCTTACATAAGTTTGCGCTCTTCAGCCTTCTTTTGCTGTTCCTCCACTTCTGTCTCAAAGTTCTTACTGAGGTGTATTTTAGGACTGATTTAGCTAACTTTGGAATATAGTCACCTCCCATTTATCCTCGTTAATTCAGTATTTCAAATACAGGAACTTGGAACAAAAGCAGATTGCTGTGTGGGCTCTCCTCCCTTGAATGGGCTCTTTCTGCAAATAAAACCCCAAGGTGGCTGTCACCGATGGAAGCGAAAGCTCTGAAAAAGCTCAATATCAAGGCCAAATGGCCGAAATATTGGGAAATTTTGGAACAAGATGGAGATAGACTGAAATTGCAGAGTTTTGAGAAATTAAAAAACAAAGTGCGAGACTGGCTTCATTATTATCAGATAATGGAGGCATATAATTTGGACAAGAAAATTGGTTTCCAGGTGGAAAAATCAAAATTAGAAACAGAACTGTTAGAACCCAAAACTAAGATTTTGTCAAAGATGTATAACTTGCTGTTGAAATGGAATACTCAGGATGAAACGGTGAAATCTGCTATGATTAAATGGGCACAAGATGTTGGACATAACATAATGATGGCTGACTGGGAACAGTTATGGACCACAGGTATTAAGTTTACGGCATGCAATGCCTTAAGAGAGAATATTATGAAAATGATATACAGGTGGTTCATGACCCCAGTCAAGCTTGCAAAAATTTATCATTTGCCCGATAATAAATGTTGGAAATGTAAAGAAACTGAAGGTACATTCTTTCACCTTTGGTGGACGTGCCCAAGGATTAAGGCTTTCTGGGAGATGATATATAATGAATTGAAAAAGGTATTTAAATATACCTTCTTGAAGAAACCAGAGGCCTTTCTCCTAGGCATAGTTGGCCAATTGGTGCCAAAGAAGGACAGAACTTTTTTTATGTATGCCACAACAGCAGCAAGAATACTCATTGCAAAGTATTGGAAGACACAAGATCTACCCACCCTGGAAGAATGGCAGATGAAGGTGATGGACTATATGGAACTGGCGGAAATGACTGGCAGAATCCGAGACCAGGGAGAAGAGTCGGTGGAAGAAGATTGGAAGAAATTTAAAGACTATCTACAGAAATATTGTAAAATTAATGAATGTTAGAATGATGTTGGATAGAAATTAAGTGGTTTTCAGCCGTAATACTATAAGGGAATATGAAAAATGGATTATTAATAGGTAAAAATTTAACGTTACAATATTTTAAGATTAAAGACTAGGATAAACAAAGAGGGTAAGGATTTGCTGAACCAACAAACTGAACTGGAATACAAAAAAGGGAGGCGTGAGGAGGTCCAGGAAACAAGCTAATGAAAAATAAGTAATGGAAAGATTGAGTTGTTTTTAACCACTTTTATTTTGTATTTTCTTCTTTTTTATTTTTTTATTTTGTAACATTTTGAAAATCTCAATAAATATCTTATTAAAAAAAATGAATGGGCTCTTTCTGCAATCTTCCATGGGGTTGTATTTATAGGAAGAAGCAGCTCTAAGAATCTAGGAGCCAAGATTGGCAATAAATCTTATTTCCTACTGTAAACTCTCCAATATGTCACCAGAAGAATGGAAAGGTTGGTGTCTGGAGAAAGAAAGTAAATGATGAGAGGATCCTATTTTATAGTTATACAATTGTGGCTATACAATATAGAACATCATCAGCCATTCTCTCATGACCAATTAAGTATTTCCCATGTGGTGGTTACCTAATCATTAGGATAATTCTGGTCACATGACAAATCAAGCGCTACTGTGCTCAATTCAGGAAAGTTTAACAGCAAAACTTGTAGCTTGCTGCACGTGTACTACAGTAAAGTGATTACAGAGCAAATAAATCTCCTCTTCACAAAAAAGAAAAAGCGGTAGCAAAGTATTCATTTCCCCCATCTCTCTCCCCATAAAGAAAGTGGAATTTTGAAAAAGGTTAGTGTTTCCTAAAGGCTCCCACCAACTTTAAAGCAAATGTGCTTTTATTTCCTCTTAGCTTGCTTTCGAGAACAATTTTTCAGATGAGTATAGAGAAGTATGCACACCTTGAGTCTCAAATCTTCCATTCTTGGGCAAGGTGATTGAGCGCGTGGTTGCTGAACAACTCCAGGCACGCCTGGAGGATGCGGACCATTTGGATCCCTTCCAATCGGGATTCAGGCCTCACCATGGGACTGAAACTGCCTTGGTCGCGCTGGTTGATGATCTCCGGCGAGCTAGGGACAAAGGTGAGAGTTGTTTCCTGGTTCTGCTGGATCTCTCAGCGGCCTTTGATACAATCGACCATAACATCCTTCTGGACCGTCTAGAGGGGCTGGGAGCTGGGGGCACTGTTATACAGTGGTTTCGCTCCTTCCTCCTGGGCCGTGTTCAGAAAGTGGTGGTGGGGATGAGTGTTCAGACCCCTGGGCCCTCACTTGTGGGGTGCCTCAGGGTTCCGTCCTCCCCCATGCTTTTTAACATCTATATGAAGCCGCTGGGAGAGATCATCAGGGGATTTGGACTGGGTGTCCATCAATATGCAGATGATACCCAGCTCTACCTCTCTTTCAAATCAGAACCAGTGAAGGCAGTGAAGGTCCTGTGTGAGTGCCTGGAGGCGGTTGGAGGATGGATGGCGGCTAATGGATTGAAGTTGAATCCTGACAAGACAGAAGTATTGTTTTTGGGGGACAGCGGGCGGGCTGGTGTGGAGGACTCCCTGGTCCTGAATAGGGTAACTGTGCCCCTGAAGGACCAGGTGCGCAGCCTGGGAGTCATTTTGGACTCACAGCTGTCCATGGAGGCGCAGGTCAATTCTGTATCCAGGGCAGCTGTCTACCAACTCCACCTGGTACGCAGGCTGAGACCCTACCTGCCCGTGGACTGTCTCGCCAGAGTGGTGCATGCTCTGGTTATCTCCCGCTTGGACTACTGCAATGCGCTCTACGTGGGGCTACCTTTGAAGGTGACCCGGAAACTACAATTAATCCAGAATGCGGCAGCTAGACTGGTGACTGGGGGCAGCCGCCGAGACCACATAACACCGGTCTTGAAAGACCTACATTGGCTCCCAGTACGTTTCCGAGCACAATTCAAAGTGTTGGTGTTGACCTTTAAAGCCCTAAACGGCCTCGGCCCAGTATACCTGAAGGAGCGTCTCCACCCCCATCGTTCTGCCCGGACGCTGAGGTCCAGCGCCGAGGGCCTTCTGGCGGTTCCCTCATTGCGAGAAGCAAAGCTACAGGGAACCAGGCAGAGGGCCTTCTCGGTAGTGGCGCCCGCCCTGTGGAACGCCCTCCCATCAGATGTCAAAGCAATAAATAACTACCTGACATTGAGAAGGCATCTTAAGGCAGCCCTGTTCAGGGAAGCTTTTAATCTGTGATATTTTACTGTATTTTTTGTTTCTATGGAAGCCGCCCAGAGTGGCTGGGGAAACCCAGCCAGATGGGCGGGGTACAAATAATAAATTATTATTATTATTATTATTGAGGGAACTGGTAAATTAGAATTATACTTTAAAATGTGCAGGAGATAGCATCTAATGAAGAGAGAGAAACATATTTTATATTGTTCTGTATGGTGCTCAATGATTTGTGGAAAACCTGATTTTTGCTTGACCAGTTTTCATGGAAACATCATACATGGCATCATAGAACTGTCAAGTTGGAAAGGGCCACAAAGGTCATCTAGTCAAACCCCTGCAATGCAGGAATCTTTATGTGCAACATTGGGCTCGAACCCACAACCCAGAGATGAAGAGTTGATTGTGAGAGGCAGTAGAACAGGCAAATCTATTGGGTTTATATTTCTTTATCTGGAACATTTTTCAGGTGGTGATGATGGGATTGCCAGATGGGTGTCTTTGTTTTCCTTTAGGAATTAGGATTGCGGTTCTAAAACATAGCCCCAACCCAAAAATTATATGGTGCAGCAGTGGGCTGCAAACATGCTGTTATGTGCAAGGGTCTGCTTTCACACTTTAGTAAACAGGTGGTCAGAACACTTCTTATTACTGAAGGGACTGTAATGAATCCCCCACCTCTCAAAAAAAAAAAAAAAAGCAATCAGCACAGATAAAGCTGACAGACATGACTACCAGCTAGTCCAAATCCAGCAATGCAGCCTTATGTGCCATATGTTGGATTCAGCAAATGGGTCAACAAGTGCAGAATCTTTATCTTTATTCAATTTATGTCCTGCTTTTTCTCCAAGAAGCCCTGGCAAGCTGAAAAACCTGTGCTGATGGAACAATGGAAACCTTAGTAATATAGGCACCCTTGCCATAGGATACAGTACTTCTGTTACTGAGATGAATTACCAGCTCTCTGACAGTTTCTTTAGCACTGTGGTTAAGTTATTATCCCATCTGAAGGCAGCAACCTCTTGTGTGCTGGTGGAAAGACATTTTGGTGATTTGAGACCCTGTGCCAGCGAAGTCCTAATACCAGGCTGCGTGTGTCCCCAAATTCTAGAATCTGAGGAATTACATTACAAGATTAAAAACCTGATTTGATAGACTATGGTGATAATAGTCTATCAACCAACAAATATGGCTGGAACTTTACAAGATGAAATAAAACATCTTTATTTAACAGTGCAAGAATCCTTTGATTATAGCAATACATTTAATTAGTTCAAGAGAAAGTCAATCTCATCCAGACAGTTTAGTAGTCTGGTAAAGACTGATAAAATGAGACAGAATACAAAGACTGGTTTTATTGATGTCAAATGGAGCAGCCTGTGGCTGACAGGATAACTGAAGAGAAACATCCCCCCCACCCCGCCCAGAAAATATGTAGCCTGGAAAATCACTTTAGAGTTACTGATGAAACTTGGATAAGTATAACCATAGGGGCTCCTTACCCTTTGTGTATATATAATACACAAAGTCTTAACCTTATCATTAAATGCATTGACCCTAAAGAAAGGCATTAGTGGAGACAGCAATAAAAACAAGCTTAGCCAGGAGTTTCCCATTATAATATGTGACAAACTGATGGAAAATTAATTTTTATTTTGGCTCCTTTTATTAGAATATCTTGGGATAAGCATTATTGAATTGCAGAGCCCTTGAGAAAGCTGGAAAGGTGAGCATGGCTTCTTAATTGTTATATTTTACACTTCTTCCAAAGAAGCTAACAGCATTGCAGATTCACAACAACCTTGTTAGGTAGGTTACACAGAAAGATAGGAACTTGTCCACCATCTCCCAGTGAGATTCATATGTGACAGCTGATTTACATTTGCCCCAGGTAATCAGTGAGTGTTTAGAGTACTAACCTGAAGAATTCATACATGCCCCCACTCAGGGACAGAACTGGGGAACCATAATCAGCTCTCAGTTCCTTGGCACATGTCCTTGACTGTTTTGGAGATACATATCTCCCCTTCATTCTTTACAGTCAGTGCTTGGCACTACAAATACTAGTTCACATATGAAAGTATCTTGACTGCATGAACTATGAATCAGCCCTTAGCAGAAATCTGAACCTGGGTTTATCTCATCCCAAACCAAGTCTAACCTTTGTACCACACTGGCACTCCTAGGGCTTGTAGCTTTAGAAATGTTCTCTCTGTGTTTTGAGTCTTTCCCATTCTCCCACTGCTGCAGCCAACAAGAGGGGAAATGCCATTCTTGCCTTCTGCATAATCTCTTAGGAGCTGCAGTTCACCAGGTAGTAACCACTGTAGCTTTCCCCCTCTTTTGCAGAGCCAAGGAGAGGGACTTGGGGATCATAGAACAGCATTTAAAAAATATGGGAAACTGAAAAGATGACAATTTGTGATAGTGTGCCTACAATCATAAACATACTTCTATAATTGTATAATGGGTTTAACTTCAGAATAAACATGGATAAGATTGCATTTAGGCTGCAATCCTAAATATACTTACCAGAAAGCAAGTCCCATTAGACACAATAGGATTTCCTACTGAACACACTTGCAGAGTTTAGGGCTGCAGTGTTAACTTCTCAGAAGAAGATGCACATGGGATCAGTCATGGGACTTGCTTTCTTTATACATTCAAAACCTTTTCACAAAGTTTGCTCTCTACTTCCTACTGCTTGCCAAGATGTTTCTGCCATGAAATATAAACAGTGTACCTATTTCGACTTGACAATGATGGAAGATTACATATTACATGCAAATTCAAGATTGGTTGGTTATATATCCAACCAATGCCATCAATTTTGACAAAAGTATTACTGTTTCATAAAACAATAAATGAGAAAATACAGAACAATCTAATGAAAGAATACAGAACTCTCCCAGCACTGTTTACAAAATAGTATGTGTGTGTGCATGCATGTGTGTATGTGTGTACACACACACACACACACACACACACACAACTTTAAAAAACATTGTACTACTCACTTGTCCAAAGCTTTCCTAGTTGAATGCATTCCAGTAAGAGCCAGCTGCGTTGACTTCCACACTACAATCCTGTCTGAAATTCAACACGGTCTACTGCATAAGAGGACAGTACACAAGCACCTGAAAATTACAGAGAGACTCCAAAGTAGGGGTGGAGTGTACATGCCATGAGGTCATTTAAAGACAGCCTCCATTCATAAAAATAAGAAGCTGCTAGTTAGCAAGCCATCTGCTCTTCCTCATTCCCAGCCTCTACTCAGTTCTTTGGAATCTACAAAAATGCATTGAGATCTGATGACACCTTGTGGTGAATTGGTTTTCTAACTACCAGTAGGTTCTAAGTTGAAATTCTGTTCCTGGAACTTTCATGAAACTGCAACCTGGCCATTGCTCATGGTGTTGGTTTTGTTTAGTCGTTTAGTCGTGTCTAACTCTTTATGACCCCATGAACCAGAGCACGCCAGGCACTCCTGTCTCGTGGTAGTCAATTTAAAAAACAATTATGAATAAACCAAATGCAACATGCTTTCACACCCACCCCACACCCACCCCCCATTATCTTAGTACTGTACAATTATCCAAAGTCTGAATCAAGATTTAACATCCCTGGTATTTTTTTTAATTGAACTGATGGGAAATTGAAGAGCTGAATTATGCACTTATGAAAGCTGAATACAGAAGGCAATTGATTTCCAGACTTACATTTTCATTGTTTGATAGTGGATAACCTAGCTATGATTTGAAAGTGGCATGTAGTTCCTGGAAATGGCTCTCCTATCCCCTACTTTCATTTTAACTACTTGTGGTTAGATGCAGACTGGTTGGGTGCAGAGGAATGATGAGAAAAACCAGCTGGGGAACCACCAAGCAGCATTCAAAACTCCCATTGTTCTAGGTGCATTTTGTGACAGAGAATTTCATTAATGCAAGCAGTTTATGAGCTCTGGGAGTACTGCGCCTAAGATTTCAGATTAAAACTGCCACTGCTGGAATGAAAATAGGACCTTTTTCTGCCTCCCCACTTCCTGCCACTCTCTGAGGACAGGAGACGGGACCCTCATAAGAATATTAGGGGGGTAGGCAGGGAAAGTATGGCTTTGTTTTTTGCAGTCTTCAGATGAGGACTAGACCATGTGAAAAATGAATATAAGATTTTAGCTGCAGTTCATTCATTTTCAGCTTTGTATTGTTATAAAAAAAAGTGTACCTAGACATTCCATTGCAGCGCCCATAATCTAGGTTTAAGGTGCCATTTAGCTCCTAGCTTTCTTATCTCAGTTTCTAACACTGCCACCAAGGGAAGAAGGCTCAGAGCCCAGGGTGATAAAGTGGTCACAGTGAGAAGAGGGAGAAGACTGGGAAGAGGAGGTGTCAGAAGCTGAGGAGGTAACAGGGCTTAGTGAGCTGGGAGAGTGGCAGTCTGTGGTGGAGAGAAGTCCAGAATCAGAGGCAGAAGCTGAAGAAGGAAAATGGGAGGAGGCAGGTCAAGAAGCAGAGATGAGTCGGGCTGGTGAAGAGTCATGGGAGTCTCTTCCTTCTGCTCTGTCAAGCCTCCTCGTCCTTTTTTGTGCCATAACCAGAAGATGCATAAAAAGAGCAGAGATTAGCCGTGTGCAGACACTGCCTCCAACTGCTTGGGGGGGAAACCCTGGAGAGAAGGGGGCTTAGGCAGCTATGGGAAGGTGGGGACTGCTTCATGAGGGAAGACCTGCTGGAGATGATTTATTGAGCTCATTAGACCTTACACTCCTGTGCAGATCATGTGTTTGCTAATTAAGAGTCCAACTTGCACAGTGTGGTTTACTGCTGGCTCACTCCTGACAACTAGGACCTTCTATCAGTGCCTTGGCATTGGATAAACAGTATGATATGTTGGTATGTATGCACTGTAAGTAAACTGAAATAAATATTATTATAACCAAAAAACATGCCTTTGCTTGACATGACCACTTTGCTGAACTGTCTCAATTTGACCATATTTCTGTCGAGTTCCAATTAAGCTCCTCTAAATTCAAGGGATTTATTTCTAAATAAATGTGTGGTGTAGTGGTGTAGTGGTTAAGAGCGGTAGTCTCATAATCTGGGGAACCGGGTTCGCGTCTCCGCTCCTCCACATGCAGCTGCTGGGTGACCTTGGGCTAGTCACACTTCTCTGAAGTCTCTCAGCCCCACTCACCTCACAGAGTGTTTGTTGTGGGGGAGGAAGGGAAAGGAGAATGTTAGCCGCTTTGAGACTTCTTCAGGTAGTGATAAAGCGGGATATCAAATCCAAACTCTTCTTCTTCTTCTTCTAAATGATTGTGCAAAGGATTTCAGTCTATTTTGTAAAGCACCTTTATAAGCATTTTCCAAGGCCCTGAAATGTGATAATTACAGAACATATTATATATGGGAGGAAAATGTTTCCTTTTTTTTTTTTTAAAGTAATTTTTATTAAAGTTTTAAATAACAAAAAAAACAACACACACAAAAAACAACACAAAATTCAACAAAAAAAACAACAAAAAACATAACAATTAAAAACAATATCTCTTTTCCATTTCCATTTTTAAGTTACTTATTTTCTGGACTTCCTCATACCTCCCTCTTTTGTATTCCAATCCAAATTATTTGTCCAGCAGTTTCTTTTCCATTTTTTAATCCCAATCTTTAGTTTGATAAAGTATTAAAATATATAACTTCAACTTCTTTAAACCTAATCCTTGGTCTTAATATCATATACCATTAAAATTTTCCCTCTTAATATCAAATTTCCATTTCTTTAAACATCTTTAATCTTAATCTTTAATCTTAGTCTATCATTAACTTTAACCTGTACAGCTGGAAACCACTTGTTTTCAGTCCAACATCACTCTAACATTCCTTAATTTTGCAGTGTTTCTGAAGATAGTCTTTGAATTTCTTCCAATCTTCCTCCATCGACTCTTCTCCCTGGTCACGGATTCTACCAGTCATTTCCGCCAATTCCATATAGTCCATAAGTTTCATCTGCCATTCCTCCAGCGTGGGAAGTTCTTGTGTCTTCCAATACTTTGCGATGAGTATTCTTGCTGCTGTTGTTGCATACATAAAGAAAGTTCTATCCTTTTTAACACCATTTGGCCGACTATGCCCAGGAGAAAGGCCTCTGGTTTCTTAGGGAAGGTATACTTAAATACCTTTTTAATTCATTATATATCATTTCCCAGAAAGCCTTAATCTTTAGGCACGTCCACCAAAGGTGAAAAATGTACCTTCAGTTTCTTTACATTTCCAACATTTATTATCGGGCAAGTGATAGATTTTCGCAAGCTTGACTGGGGTTATGTACCACCTGTATATCATTTTCATAATATTCTCTCTTAAGGCATTACATGCCGTAAATTTCATACCTGTGGTCCATAACTGTTCCCAGTCAGCAAACATAATGTTATGTCCAACGTCCTGTGCCCATTTAATCATAGCCGATTTTACCGTTTCATCCTGAGTATTCCATTTCAGCAGCAAGTTATACATTCTTGACAAATTCTTAGTTTTGGGTTCTAACAATTCTGTTTCTAATTTGGATCTTTCCACCTGGAAGCCAATTTTCCTGTCCAATTTAAATGCCTCCATTATCTGATAATAATGAAGCCAGTCTCGCACTTTGTTTTTTAGTTTTTCAAAACTCTGCAATTTCAGTCTATCTCCGTCTTGTTCCGGGAGGAAAATGTTTCCAAAGCAAAACTGGTGATACAAATATAGAAGTATTTGAAAATATACTATCCTCATTTTTTCATTTGATTGTCACTCTGGTGGTTTATCATGGCCTCAAACATCTATGCATTTTCTTTATTATTTCTTCTGCTAAATCCATGCACAAAGTATTACAGTATCAATATTGTTTTTCTAGTTGTAATGGACAGCTTCAGCCACAAGGGGTCAGAGTGTTCCTATATTTGAGTAGTTTTCAAGCTACATGGGATTCTTTTCTATGATCACCATTCTCTTATTGGTACCTGCCCAACTGCATCCGGCATAGAAATACATCAGGCTACGGATGAGGAACAAAGCTCTCCATCCCTCATCTGCCAAACTCAAGACAGTTTGAAAACTTCAGCTGGTATAGAATTCAGTTGCTAGGTTGTTCACTGGGGCAATGCCATACCTGTCAGAGGCTTAATGCTGTCCAGCTGGCATACATAAGACTCTTTAGGCTCTCTATAACTGCTGGTTTCTGTCCTTTCATCTTTTCCCGTTTGCGTCTCCCTGACAATACCCTCCAATATTTCTCCAATGAAAATAGGTACTTCCTAAGGAAAAGTGGGACATTCTGAGCTCAAATCAGAAACTGGGGTGGCTTATCTAAATCAGGAATGTCGCTGGAAAATAGGGAAACTTGGAGGGTTTGCCATCATCTAAGGCCCCCCCTTTTTTTGCAAGAGGTCCAGAGGGCAGCAGCACAAAAATGGGTCTTTTCTGCAGTGGCTCCCTGCTTGTTAATTCTCTCCCCAGGGAGGCTCGCCTGCCTTTATTACATATATCTAGGCACCAGCAAAAACATTTCTCTTCTCTCAGGCCTTTTGCTAATTTGCTAATTAAACAATCTATGGCCTTTTAAACTGAGTGGGGGTTATTATTTTTATTTTTTTATTATAGTATGTATTTTGTATTTTTATATTGTAAATGCCCAGTAACCTTCGGATGAAGGGTGGTACAGAAATTTTAACAAAAATAAAAATTTTGCATCATTTTTGCTCAAAAGCAATAAAAATACTGCAACAGGAACCAGCAATGCCGATATCAAGTAATGATATGTCAGTTTTAACTAGTTTTTAAAGGGTTAGAGAGGATCTGTCAAGTGAATCTCCTAAAAAATGACATTCCAAAAGCAGGCTGATACAACCTAGAATGTCCCTAGATTTCACCGCCAGTGTTTAGGCAGCTGGATACAAGAAAGTCTTCTTGGCAGATCATAAATCAAAGAAGGAAATAAAACGACAAGGTGTTCCATGAGATACCATGGACCCAAATGATTTAGAGCTTTAAAGATTAAATATAGTCTTTTGAATTGTGCAGCAAAACAGTGTTGTTGAACCAAGTGCTTGGGGCTTGGGAGAATGATGCTGAATAGTAGTGTAGGTACCGAGATGATAATAGGGAAGCATGGATAGTACTCTAACTATTGTGACTACTGCTGAGAGGACACAAAAAAATGGTGAAACCTGTCAATGTTGCAGAAAGGAAGTTGGGGATTAGCAGATTCTAACAGCAATGGCCTGTGTACTGAGCCCAATACTGTCCAGATGAAGAAGAAACAATGCATGCACATGATAAACCAGATAAATGCATATTACAGAAAACATGGCATGTAAACAATGAACAGGCAGGAAGTTCAAATGACAAATGAGTTGGGGTTGAGGTTTTTAGTACTGTACTTTTCACTTTGTGCCCTGTTACAAAAGAATTTAAATGACAATGGTTTGAAAGGCGAATATAAGCTAATGGGTGAACAGGAAAAGTATTCAGTGATTTTCATTACACCATCTGTGGACTACTTTTTTCAGTGGATTTAGATAGCTAAAGCCCTACTCATCTTGCAGGGGTTGGTTTTCAAGATGAATAGGGCTTTAGCGATCTAAATCTACTGAAAAAAACTAAACCAATCCCTGTATATGGCATTTATTGACCTGACTAAGGCCTTCGACACTGTAAATCGTAATGCCCTGTGGACTGTCTTTCTGAAAATTGGCTGCCCAGATAAATTTGTTAACGTCCTTCTGCTCCTCCATGATAATATGACATCAACAATCGCAGATAACAATGGCTCTCACAGCGAACTGCTCACAGTGGGATCAGGTGTCAAACAGGGGTGTGCTATCACCCCAACTCTATTTATTATTTTCATTGACATGATCATACACATTGCCGAAGGGAAACTCCCCACCGGGGTAGAAATCGTATATCGAACAGATGGAAAGCTCTTTAACTTGAACAGGCTGAAAACAAAGAGTAAGGTTACCATAACTTTCGTCATAGAGCGTCAATATGCTGATGACAACGTTGTGTCCAATGACCTCCAAACCATCCTAAAAAGCTTTGCAGCTTATGAAAAGCTTGACCAATTGCTCAACATCCCAAAAACCAAAGTGCTGCACCAATAAGCACAAAACAAGCCCTCTGCAGTGCCACAGATCCAACGCAATGGTGCAACACTGGAAAATGTCAATCATTTTTCCTACCTGGGCAGTTAGCTTTACACAAGAGCCAATAGTGATACTGAAATACAGCATCGCCTGAGCTCTGTGAGTGCAGCTTTCTCCCGATTGAAGTGCAGAGTGTTTGAGGACTGAGACATTCACAGGGAAACCAAAATTCTTGTTTACAAAACTACTGTACTACCAAACTTACTATATACTTGTGAAACACGGACCACTTATAAACACCATCTCCAACTCCTCAAAAGATTCCATCAACAGTGTCTCCAAAAATTTTTACATATCACCTAGGAAGACAAGCGAACTAATGTCAGTGTAATGGAAGAAGCAAAGATCAGTGTCAAAGCAATGATTCTTCAACATCAACTTCATTGGACTGGTCATGTTGTTCGGATGCCTGATTATCGTCTTCCAAAGCAACTACTCTATTCCAAACTTTAAAATGAAAAGTGTAATGTTGGTGGTCAACAAAAGAGGTTTAAAGACTCTCTCAAGGCAAATCTAAAAAAAAGTAGTATAAACATTGACAATTGGGAAACACTGGCCTGTGAGCACTCCAATTGGAGAACAGCCTTTAACAAAGGTATCGTGGACTTTGAAGACACTCAAACTCAGGGCGCAAGGGAGAAACAAGCTAAGAGGAAAGCATGGAAACCTATGTCCCCACTGTGGAAGGACGTGTGGATCCAGAATTGGCCTCCACAGTCTCTTTCAGACTCACTGTTAAGACTGTGTTCATTGAAGACAATCTTACTCGGCTACAAGTGATCGCCAAAGAAGAAGACTCATCTTGCACTAAAAGTTCTTCTCTGCAGAATTTTATCTCTGGACCAAGTGGTTTTTTGTGTGTGCGGTTTGTATGAATGTAAAGTCATAAACCTAAAGCCATTTTTTGCATCCTGACAGTTTACATGACACACTTTAAAAATATTTCCTGGCAGAAGGAAATTTTAGGGGGATTTTTGGCCCAAAGGCAATTCACCTATTCACTACCTAAATCCAATGATAAACAATAGTTCCCTGACAGTGAAACAAAATTATACATGAATGGGTGTCACCTGATAGTCTAATATAGATTAGTCAAGATAATAATCTCCTCTGGGCATTAATTAGTCCAGATCCAGAGATGCTGGATTCTGCTGAAACAGTTGCTGAGGCTAAGCATGAGCAAAATAACACTTCACTAGCAAGACAACTTCCATAATTTTGAATCGTTGTAAGCTGCCCTGGGGCCTGCTAGGGAAGAGTGCATGATAAATTTAATCATAATCATAATCAAAACATCTTGAAGCAGTAATCTCACACTAATTCCAATCTATCATTAGTAGTGTAATATCCCGTCGCCATGTAATTTGCAGTCATATGAAGAATCATGATTGATAAGTGCTCATGTTATGCAGGAGGAAGATCTACTATAATAAGGATTGTTTGTAAAAAGAAAATATTAAAATAGTAGGGCAATGTAGTGGAAGATGTCAGTGTAGGATCCTGAAGCCTAGAGTTTGCTGCCAATTAGAGTCAACATATTTTATTTTATTCCATTTGGAAGGGGAAAACAGGTTTCCAGGTAATGGCATGGTCAGTATCTTTAATGCAGCAATAAATAAATAAATGCTAACATGTAGTTTTCCTCTCTCTAGAATGGAGTAGTTCACCTTAGAAGTTCTTGAAGTATAGTGACTGTTTATTACCCATTGACAAAAGTAGAGAACTAGGCTGATTCTCCAGTTATGGCCACTCCTTGATCAGGACAACCTGTTGCTTGTGCTCTGGTGACCTCCCATCTGGATTACTGTAATGTGCTGTATGTGGGGCTGCCCTTGAACATGGTCCAGAGGCTGCAGCTAGTGCAGAATGCAGCTACTAAACTGGCAAGTGGGGCAGTTTGATTGGACTACATGCAATTGGTCCTGAAAATGCTGCATTGGCTGCCAATGAACTACTGGGCTCAATTCAAGGTGTTAGTACTAGCATGTGAAGTCCTAAATGGCTTGGGACCCAAAAGAGCTCCTTCATAATATCAACCATCTCAGACACTGCAGTCAGCAGGTGAGGGTTTGTTGGCCATGCTTAGTTGCACTGACCCATGACAGGGCATTTTCAGTGACACTTCCCCATTTGTGAATGCCCTCCCTTAGTGAGGGTCTGTCTCATTACTGACTTTCAGGAGGAATTTAAAAACATTCCTGTTTACCCAAATCTTTGGTGGCTGGAAGATACTGTTCCTGGCAACTTTGAAATCACTGGTTGAGACAATGTTTTTAATTGTCTTTAGAGTTTTTTAAACTGTTTTTAGAATGCTTTGTTTTATTCTTAAATTATTGATATGTCTGCCACCCTGGTCTCCTCCAGGAGGAAGGGCAGGATACAAATTGGATAAACAAATAAGAAGAGCAGTGCTTGATCAGAACGAAGTTCTACCTAGTCTAGCATCCTTTTCCCCCCAAAGAGGTTAACTATGTGTCCAGAAAACATCATCAGGATTTGAGGCCAACAGCTGTCAATGGGCTGCTGTCACCCAGCAACTGATATTCTGTGACATGCTTCCTCTGAACATTTAGCTATCATGATATACCTACTCTTTTTAAATTTTTTAATTCCCCTTTCCAGTAATATATTTTTGTGCTTGAAACAGAGAGGGATTATGTCCTATACAGGAATATCCTGGATTGTTGTGATTTCTCTCTGCTAGTAAGGCAGTTACTAGTGAAACTCAAGGGTTAGTTTCTAGGTATATATAACTCAGTGGTAGACCCACATTCTTTATCCAGAAATCCTAGGTTCATTCTTTGGCGTTTCTAGTTAAAAGGAATTCAGATAGGATTAGGGAAAATGTGTACATGAGGCCTTGAGAGAGCCATGTCTGGTCAGAGTAGATAGTGCTGGATTAGAGGATCCAAATAGCTCATGTTTCATAGTTACTAATTTGCCTAGGAGAGCCAGATCATTTGAGATTAATTATTCTGTTTAGAAGCACAAGTGCCTCCCCACAAAAAAACTTGTCACCTCTCTATTGGGAACCCACAGTGCTTCTCTGGGATCTATCACCCAAGACAATTCTTTCCGCTAAGGTGTGTTTCTCAGTACTTAATATACATTTCTAATGATCATTGGGCTTTGTCAAGGTCACGAGCCTTATTTTGTCTTGCTAGGTATTTTCCAAGTGAATTAAGAAACTGACACTGATCCAAAGTTGTGGATCAGGGCAAGTTGTAAGCGAACTCTCCAACTGGATAGGCTATTTTGGCTTAGGCAAGCAATAGAGTTTTAAATTTGCAGATATGTAAGCACACAAATTAGCAATTGCCTAAGGCTGACACAGTGTCTAGACTGCCTGGGCAGGAGAACCAAACCTGAATGTACTTGTTCTCTTCTCCCCAGACTAGTTTGCTATCTGCTAGGTTCAATCTTCTGCTATAAGGTCCTAAACCTTCTTTTCCTGGCAAAGTTCCTGAAGAGCCTCATGGCAAGCAGAAATCCTACAGGTGCAGCAGCACTGTTCAACAGGGTGGCAGGGATGGGTAAAGCTGAACCTGTTGAATTGCTGCTTGTTAAGCCCAGGACACCTGCTCAAAACTTAATGGTAGCTACTGTATTCTGAACTGGATTGAGGATGTGTGTTGCGACTCCAGAGGCTTAAAGCTGCCTTTTCCTTACTCAGGGCTCCCCTGCTCTTCTTTTAACAGCTACCTGAGAGGAGAAAATACAGTATTAGCCAACGAAGCTTTTCCTTGCGCAGAACTGAAGAGACGTGGGAAGGCGACACCTGCTGAATTTCCTACTGTCTGAGGCGGTTGAAAGGTAAAGGGCGACTGTGAGGTAAAAAAATAAAAGTAAAAGTGGCAACTTGACGGCGGCCCATTTCCCCTCACGTACAGCCGAGGTGCTCGGTGACGGTGAGGCGGCTGCTATAAAACAACCTCCTTTAATAAAAACAGGCGGAGGAAGCGCTCTCTCAGCGACGTAGCCACCCTGAACCGCCGCCGCCGCTTCCTCGGCGGCTGCTTCCCTTTCCCGCCCTGTGGCGCTGAGGCCACTTGCCCTCATACTGGCGGCAGCGGCTTCCCGCCGACGTCGAGCTCCACCCCATCCCGCGGGGTTGAGCCCGGCGCGGCGCGCTCCCGGATTGGGGCGAGGACGCGCCTCCCAACCGCCGAGCCCGGCGCGCCCCCGAGGTTTAGCCTCAGCCCGTGACTGAGGCGGGAGCTGCCAGTTGAGTCCCCAGCGCCGGCTCCGCTCTTCCTGCTGCTGTGTGAGTTGGGGGGCGGGCGGGAAACAGAGAGAGCCTCGCAGGGAGGAGGTGGTGTTTGGAACTGAGGAGATCCCGGTCACTGGATCCCGCGGTCTGGGGGGGGGGGAGGCGTAAGAAAGGAGGGGGCCGAAAACCGGAGGAGATCCCAAAGGCATCTGTTTCCTGTGGCATAGACGGCAGTGGATTGCTGCTGCTGGGGGGAGGCGGAGCGGGGGAAGGAGGATTCGCGAGAGTGGATCCCTACGATGTTAGCTGACGCCCCTTGGAAGATCCTGAGGAAGAGTGGGGGGCGAGAGGGGAAACCTTTGAAGGAGGAGTGGAAGGGGCTGATCCTTGGCACAGAAGGGTTTTTTTTTGGGGGGGGGGGAAGGCTGCCAGTCAGTGGATTGATGAGGAAGATGGATGTGGAGAGCGGGGCAAGTGACACCATGGAAGATAGGAGGACATTGGAACAGCGTGTGTCTTAGTGGAGGAGATTGTCTTGCGTGGATCCCAGTGGAGGAGAGAGTGCGCTCCCTATCGAACCCTAGGACTAACACCTGCTACACATATACAAACAAACACATGCCAGTTTCTGTTTCTGAACGGGAAAAGTAATCTGGAAAGGTGGGGGGTGGGGAGTGGGGAGATGCAAAACCGGCTAGAATATATTTGTAGTGGAAGCAACCAACACTCCATGTGGATGTGGCGCTAGTTGGGTATGGTGGATTGCAATGGAAACGGAAATAGTTTGGATCCCAATAATAAGAGATCTTGGGAAGCACACCTGGACCAGTGGAGGCTTCGCATGCGTTCATTTGGTCCAGTAAATATTAGTAATATGCCTTGTTCTCAAGGGAGTAGATCATACTGTAGGATGAGGGTTTTCTTTAGCAAACAAAAAGCACCAGCCCAAACAATCCTTTAATTTCTGTTTAAAGTGGAATCTAGGGAAGAAATAAACAACATGCAAATGAGGCTCTCAGGTTTGCCCATTTTTTCTTCTCCCACTAACTGGTTTGAAACTCAATTCCTTGATGGTTAAAAGCATAGAAGAATAATGCAAAGTAACTGTAACAAGTGCAACTTCAATACAGTTTAAGTGGTAACCTTCAGTGCCTCTGCATCCCAGGTACAGCTTTTGGTGATAAGTTTTTGCTTGTTGCACAGCTAAGGCACAAGAACCCCCCCCCCCAACTGAAAGAGAGATGGCAAATCTAGCAAATCTTGGGGTGTGTGAGGAAATTAACATCCTTGCCTCACTGCCACCCTAGCATTTTCATTAATTAATTCATATTTTATTTGTTTGCATACTTGGAAGTATGCATAGGATTGCAGCCATGTGTCCCAATCTTAAGCATGTTTACTTGGAAGTAAATCCCTCTGAATTTAATCAAGATTTGCCCTCCATCATTAATACAACTGATTTTTCTTCTCTCAGCATTTTAAAACTAAATATATTTTTCAGCTTCTTGCATCATATTCTGGACCTTTTATTTGGAAGGATGTGGGCTCAAAGTTTTTCTTTACAGTCTGAGTGTTTCACCTGGCTATAAGACAAGGTTGGGAGCCTCCATTGATTTTATTTATTTATTTATTTATTTATTTATTATAGCCCGCCCATCTGGCTTGGTTTCCCCAGCCACTCTGGGCGGCTTCCAACAAAGATTAAAAATACATTAAAACATCAGTCATTAAAAACTTTCCTAAACAGGGCTGCCTTCAGATGTTTTCTAAATGTCATATAGTTGTTTATCTCTTTGACATCTGATGGGAGGGCATTCCACAGGGTGGGTGCCACTACTGAGCAGGCCCTCTGCCTGGTTCCCTGTAAACTCACTTCTCGCAGTTGGGGCAACTGCCAGAAGGCCCTTGGCGCTGGATCTCAGTGTCCGGGCAGAACGATGGGGGTGGAGACGCTCCTTCAGGTATACTGTGCCAAGGCCGTTTAGAGCTTTAAAGGTCAGCACCAACACTTTGAATTGTGCTTGGAAATGTACTCCCATCCTCACTGATTGGGCGGTTGAGGGGGATTGATACTTGGGAAGAGGCTGGAAATCTTTAGCTGATGTTGTTTGTTTAGTCGTTTAGTCGTGTCCGACTCTTCATGACCCCATGGACCAGAGCACACCAGGCACTCCTGTCTTCTTAGCTGATGTAACATGATTTAAATGCTGTTCCAGCTCCCCTCTTATCCAGTAGTTTAGGGCCTTGGGAAGGTGCATTGGCTTTCACAGATCACATTTGAATGGAAAATCCCTGTTTATGCTCGCTAGGAAAACCGGGTGGACAAGTGCTAATAACCTGGTTTATAACCAGTACTGCTGTTTTGATTACATTGTGGACTAGTCCCAAAGGTTCATTTGACTGTGGTTGTTTAGTCTTTATTTGCAGTTGTAGCAATCTGTTTCTGTCTTGGCAATTAGCACTATGGATGTCACAAATGGCGGATTATGGTTCATCTAGGTGGAGTTTGAGTTTTCCATGCAAGACTCTGGTAAAAATATTTGGGCTCTTGATCATGCTGCCCCATAGCACAATGATGACACATAGACATACATGCTTCTAAATAAATCCTGTTCCAAATGTTTTGCTTAAACCATTCCTAGTTCTTTAAGGAATTGTTGTAAAAGTGCATGCTGGCTTTATGAGCGTGCACGAGCACTGTGATCTCATCAAGCTGGTACACATGAACCAGGAAGTAGAATACAGCTGAAATAAACAGGATCAGCTGGGAGAAACCAAACAGCTCTATGAGAAGAGGGATGAATGTAATTGTGTAGCAGGTTTATTTTCCAGTAGCTAACAATAGCAACTGAACTTAAATACTTGGTGATATTTTCTGCTTTTCATACAACGCTGAATTCAGGAGCCTTGATTATATCAGTTCTCTAGAGTAAGTTTTCTCTCTCTCTCTTGTTTGTGTAGAATGTGTTGTATCTAGGGAATATATTATCAGTGTCTCAGGTTTTTCTAGGGAATATATAATCAGTGTCTTAGGTTTTTCACCCTGAATTAGAAATAAAAGCATGAAGGGTTAAAACCCATTTATGTGGGTTTAAACTGAAATGAACTGGCTGCTGTTATCACCATTAAAAGGGAATGCAGAACCTATTCCTAGTTAAACAGTGACAATTGTACAGAACAGGATCAGATTGGAATTAAACTGCAACTCAAATTACTGGTATGCTGTCTTTAAACTAAACTTATTTACTTGCTTATTTAAAATGGTATCCTGCCATTCTTGTCAAAGACAACCCACAGTGGCTTACATCATAGAAATTAAAATGTAAGGGTCTGATGGAGCAATCCTGGTGAAGCTAAGCAGATCTAAGGTTGGGTGGTGCCTAGAAGTGGGGGTTGCTTGTGGGATCCCTGTGTAAGTAAGCCTCCTGGAATTATTGAAAGAAAGTTGTGCTATGAATGCTAGAGAATTTAGTGTGTGCTCATTTTCTTTTTGCAGGAAATACATAGTGCAAAAAAAGCCACAACTTTTTAAAAACTGATGTAGAAGTTAAAACAAAAACCTCAGTGTTGCTAAGTATTTTCACATTCACTTCTTGTCAGAATTAAAAGTTTCTGAATTACTGAAACCACTGGATAGAGACAAGAAAATGAGATTGTTTTACATACATATTAGTTCTGTGCATATTTGTGGAGAAGTGAACCCCCTGAGTGTATATATCATGTAAGATTGCAGCCTTACTTTGACGGTGTCGCTTGCAACTATTGTAATTGCACTATGAAATGGGTAGACCTAGGGGGGAAAATCACAGCTTGTGTTTATAGTTGTGCTACCTTTTTATTGTTACATTTTAATGTTCAGATCTTGATCTTTCCAGAGGCATCTGGTTGGTCGTTGTAGGGAACAGGATGCTAGACTAGATAGGCGTTTGGTCTGATCCACAGGTTTAGGAACCACTCTGGACACAGTGCCCCTTGTGCATATTGGGGAAGCAGTGCAGGTTTTCTGGCCATTGTGCTCTCCTACCAAACTTCAATTTAGGGAAATTACTGTAGGTCACTTCAATCAGACTTTATTTTCTTCTTTTTCAGAGGCACAAATCCTGGATCAAAGATCCCTGGGAGAGACAATGAGCTATTGCTAGGCTGCCTATACTGCTGATTCTCAGGTTTGTACAAAGTGCATCTCGCTTGAGGAAATTGTGGGCTTTGATTCCAATTATATGGTTCCTGAAAAGAGATTGACAAGTGTCAGCTTTATTTCTGTGTCTTAAACAAGAAATAGATAATGTTTTTATCACAAATGTCCTGCTTTGTGGTTCAATAAGGTACAGAAATGAATTTTGAGCTTAAGAATCAGCTGGTCAAATTCACTTATTGTTAAATGCACTTAAATAGGAGTAGGCAGTTTGCTGAGCAATGGTAACCATTCTGGAAATCTGGTGAACTACAAGAATCATAGAATAGAATCATAGAATCATAGAATCACAGAATCATAGAATCTAGGGAATCATAAATGCTAGTATAAAGATCATAAATGCTAGTATAAAATTAACTGTGACATTTTTCAAGGGCAAATCAGATTTCTTTTCCACAGTTGTCCTTGCTCTCTGCTGATCTCACTAGGGTGGATAGTAGCCTGATCACATTGCAGTTTATACTAAGATGTGGTTTTTATTAATTGCCAAACAGAATGAACAGTTGCTTAGGTATAATTCATTTGTTTCTAAGTAGGTTCTATGTTAAAGGACCACATCTAAATTAAAAAATCAAAGGTGATTCATAAAGACCATTTTGGAAAAACAACAACTTGGGTCAATCCATGTTACTCCCACTCCCACCCCTGGCCTGG